GCTGGAGGAGGGTGGCTGCCGGCGTCGGCGGCGGAGCGTGAAAGCTGAACGCTATGTTCTCATCGCTGGCGAGGCTGCCGGAGGATGGGGTCGCTGGAGGAGCTGATCGTGAGCGATTGCAAGCAGCTGGCGGAGGGTGGCTGCCGGCGTCGAGCTGCGGGAGCGTGAAGAAGCTGTATGCTGCGCGCTCGTCGCTGGCGAGGGTGCCGGAGGGGATGGGGTCGCTGGAGGAGCTTGTCGTGCGCGGCTGCGAGCAGCTGGCGACGGAGGGCTGGCTGCCGGCGTCGAGCGGCGGGAGCGTGAAGAAGCTGGTTGCTGCGGAGTCGTCGCTGGCGAGGGTGCCGGAGGGGATGGGGTCGCTCGAGGAGCTCGACGTGCGTTGCTGCGCGCGATTGGCTGCGGGCTGGCTGCCGGCGTCGAGCTGCGGGACACTGCAGAAGCTGCACGCCACGGTCTCGCAGCTGCAGAGGCTGCCGGAGGAGCAGATGCGGTCCCTGACATCTCTGTTACGTTGAGCAATCAATGTGAGCGCACGTACGAATGTGGACTCCCGGGAGGACGATGCGATGGATCACTGCCGGCGCCCGCCTCGCTCAGCCCTCTGAGACTCAGCAGTGACATCGTCAGGCCACAACAGGCTGCAAGACAGTCGTCTTGAACGTAGCTTGCACGCCGCCGACGGTGCGCGTTGACGCCGCGATGGCCCCGGAGTCGGCGGTGTCACCGTGCCCTGCTGGATGTCGCACTCATGGAGTCGCACCCTGCAAACAGTGCAGCCGTGTCAGGGTAACACTCTACGTGTAGAAGTGCGACTCGTCACGCGTTGGATGATGACGGCCCTGGAGCTCAGGCCGGCGGGAAGCGCCTGCCATGTGCGTCGCGGTGCGTCTTCGACGCCGTGGTCTGTCAGCGGTCGAGTTGTACCCGTTGTCCCCTCATAGAGGTGTGCGCACTCCCCCACCCGTCCCGGGCGGCAGCATGCGACCGCGCCCGCCTCGCACAAGCTCAGTGTGACTGGCTCGCGACCGGCCGCACATCGGCATCGCGCCGGGACGACAGCGGGCCGTGCAACTGCTTGTAGCAGGTGAGACGCGGGGCGGTGGTCTCGGAACGCGCTGGCGGTGGCTGGTGCTGATCGCACGGGCGTGGCGGAGGTGTGCGCTGTCTCGCGGGCTGCCGTGCGAGTCGCATGGAGCGCCCAACGCGGTGCGCACCGCGTGCGTCTCTGGCGCTGGAGGGAGCTCGGCCGTGAGGCTGCGTTGCGGGAGACCCTTGCTCGGCTGTCACGATGTCACATGACAGGCACTGGGCGTCATGCCGAGCCCGGCTGCATGCGCGCGCCGGGCGGCTCTCACAGCTCCCGCTACCTCACCTCCTGGAATCTCTCTCGTTGGCACCCGCAGGACCCATATACGGCGTCCTGGCGACGGCGAGGCATCACGGGCACGATCTCAGCAGTCGATGGAGCTGCGAAGCGGCCGCTGCGCGGGCGGGCCGCGGCCCTCGCAGCGCCCACGCGCCGGTGGCGAGGATGCGCCCACATTCGCTCTGATGGACCTGTCGTTCGGGCAGCACGGCGGCGCGCTGGCGGAGGTCATTCGCCTGCTACCCAGGGGGTCGCGCATCAGGCTCGCGGCTGCGTCGTCGGGCGCGATGGCGAGCGTGCTGGAGAGCTGCGGGGGGGCTCGATGGACGGCACGTGCACGCACAAGGGAGGTGGGCAGGGCGGTGGCGGGGAAGGTGGAGGGGCGCGTGTACGCGGGGGCGAGATCGGTGGTGGGGCGGACGAGCGACGACGGGCGGTGGTGGGTGTACCGGCGCGCGGGTGCGGACCCTGACAGTGTGGCGGCGATTGTCGGGCTGGAGGCCAGGGGGTCGGACCAGGGAGAGGGGCCTGTGGCGAACGCGGGTCGGCTGGTGATCACGGAGGAGATGACGGGGCTGGAGGTCGTCCGGGCGTCGCGGCATCATTTTGACATCGCTGAGGAGTGGGGGGGGGACTGGCTGCCTGCAGGCGTCGCGGCGCGGTTGAAGGAGCTAGTGGTGTGGGGGCAAGGTCTGCGGAGGCTGCCGGAGGGGATGGGGTCGCTGGAGATGCTCGACGTGAGCAAATGCAAGCAGCTGGCGGAGGACGGGTGGCTGCCGGCGTCGAGCGGCGGGAGCGTGAAGAAGCTGGATGCTTATGACTCGTCGCTGGCGAGGGTGCCGGAGGGATGGGGTCGCTGGAGGAGCTCGACGTGGTGGTGCGAAGCTGGCGGCGGAGGGTGGCTGCCGGCGTCGAGCGGCGAAGGCGCTGTGCACTCGTCGCTGGCGAGGGTGCCGGAGGGATGGGGTCGCTGGAGGAGCTGAGCGTGAGCTGGTGCAAGCAGCTGGCGGAGGGGTGGCTGCGGCGTCGGCGGCGGGGCGTGAAAAGCTGGACGCTGCGCGCTCGTCGCTGGCGAGGGTGCCGGAGGGGATGGGGTCGCTGGAGGAGCTGAACGTGAGCGCATGCAAGCGGCTGGCGGCGGAGGGGTGGCTGCCGGCGTCGAGCGGCGGGAGCGTGAGGAAGCTGGTTGTTGTGTTCTCATCGCTGGCGAGGGTGCCGGAGGGGATGGGGTCGCTGGAGGTGCTCGACGTGAGCGCATGCGAGCGGCTGGCGGCGGAGGGGTGGCTGCCGGCGTCGAGCTGCGGCAGCGTGAAGAAGCTGGTTGCCGGAAGCTCATCGCTGGCGAGGGTGCCGGAGGGGATGGGGTCGCTGGAGGTGCTCGACGTGGGTGGCTGCGAGCAGCTGACGGAGGAGGGTTGGCTGCCGGCGTCGAGCTGCGGGAGACTGCAGAAGCTGCACGCCACGGTCTCGCAGCTGCAGATGCTGCCGGAGGAGCAGATGCGGTCCCTGACATCTCTATTACGTTGAGCAATCAGTGTGAGCGCACGTACGAATGTGGACTCCCGGGAGGACGATGCGATGGGTCACTGCCGGCAGCAGCCTTGCATGACCTTCAGCGGTGCCGACGTGAGGCCACAATCGTCTTGAACGTAGCTTGCACACCGCCGACAGGTGAACCCGATGTTGACGCGATCCTCCGGGCCGCCGGAAACGTCGCGCCATCTCCGGCGACCGGTCAGGAAGGCCTCGTGACACACCTCCGGGGCCAAAAAGCAGCCCGACTGAGCCGCGGCGCACCCGACCAGTCCTCAATCGCCCCCGCGCGCGCGTGGCTGTGTCAAGTATGCCCTCGTTGCCAGGGGTCCGGTGTTCAGACGGTCCAGAGCGCCTTGCGCCCTCTTCGCACAGCTCTCTCCCTTGCTGTGATCGCTCTCAGCGAACAGCCCTGACGCGTCGGCGGCCCGACAAGAGCCGTGACGGGGCCCGCTCACGCGCTTCGGAATCATCGGAGCCGTACGCACCGTGCATTTAGCGGGTCACTCGCGCGCGCGGGCGAGCACGCGGCAAGCGCGCTGCGCAGCACATGTCCGCGTGACCGGGCGGTCGTGGCGCCATGAGTGCGCAGAGTGGCGACGATGAGCCGGACGTCATCGCTGTCGCGGATCCAGAGGAAGGTGCGTGCTCGAATCTGCGGCCTTTCGGGAGCGCTGAGCCGCGTGCAAAGGGCATGAAGTGCCTTGGGCTCTTTCCCGCGTCACCACGGGACGGGACGTGGTCCACGAGCGACACTCACAGCATGAGGCGTTTATACCACACGATGACTCGCAACAGCGCTGGTAGGAAGGGTGGAGCGGTGCTCGAGGTGGCCACGAGACGGGCCGAGAGTCGCAGCTGCCTTGACTGCCGCGCATTCAACGCCTGGGCGCCCTGGGTCGCGTTGCGCAGAGGAGGTCGAAGTGGGAGCGGACTACTTCGATCCGGTGGAGCGGGCGAAGGCTCTGGCGATGCAGCCGCGTCCCGTGGAGTCGGTAGAGGTACAGCGCAACACAGCATCCGTCGACAACGCCCGCGCGCCTGCGACGCTCGCAAGCCGCAGTCCACGTGGCGCCTGTCCTGCGCATGCACAGTCTCGGGCTGCGCCGCCGGGTGGCAGCGTCCGACAGGTTCGCTCTCCATCAGCGCCCACAATCCATCTGCGCCCCGTCTTTGCGCTTTCACGCCACCGCAGGTCACGCCTTCGTTCAAACGCCCGCCGGTAGACGCCGACGACGATCCGGACGGTGAGGCTAGCCCGCGGGCCACGTTCCTCGAGGGCGGCGCCGACGCCCCAGGCGACGGTGCTGTCATTCCAGAACCTGACCCAGACTTCACGCCCGGCGCCCCGAGCCCGCGGCGGTTGAGCCGCCGTGCCTCGGCGCAGTCGGCGCAGCTTCCCAAGGTCGACGAGGGCGTCCGGGAGGGGGAGTCAGCCGCGGAGCCCCCCGGGGGGGAGTCCCCAAAAGTAGAACACGATGGAGGCCAGGAGGCGCCTGACGCCGCTCGCGGCCGGGCCGACGACGCCGCCACCGCCGTGACTGACGACGAGGCGCAGCGTCTGGCGACTCTCGCTCTCGATGACAGGCCGCAGAGCGCGGCGGCTGCGCCCCTCCAGGCCGCGACGTCTGCGCCGCCGTCAGAGGGCGGGCGCTCGCTCGCCCGCCCGGGGTCGGCCTCGCGGAGGAAGTGGGACCTGCCGGCCGAGAGCGAGGTCGCGTCCGTGCGGGGCAGCGTCGAGCGGGGGCTCACGGGGAGCGGGGGGGGTGTCCGCCCGCTGTCAGCGGCGCAGGCCGAGTCCGTCGGGCGGCCGCCGTCGCACCCGCAGAGCACGGGACCGAGCCGGCAGTCTTCGCGGCACCGCGTCGCCGCCAGCGAGGGCGAGTGGGCACCGTACAGCGGCGTCGCGCCGCGCCGCATGATGTGGCAGCGCCCTGACGTGGCAAGCCCTGCCGCCGCGCCCTCACTCGACGGAGCATCGCCGCGGTGGCCGAGCCTGGCCCCCGGGGAGGCGATGCCGGCGCCGGACTCGCGCCCGCGGACCCCCGGCACGCCTGCGTCAGGGCAGGGACACCCCCCCCAGGCAGCACTTCTCGTGCCGATGCCGCAGAACGCGGCCGAGCGCCGGCCGCACACCGCGAACAAGGTCCGGGAGCGCATCTTGCTCGCGTCGCAGCGCGAGGCGAACCTCAGGATGGAGTCGGAGCTTGCTGCGTTTGACTTGGAGGTGGCGCGGCACGAGAGGCAGGAGGCACTGGCGAAGGTGCGGCCGCCCGGACGCCGCGCACGTGCTTGCGGAGCGGCGACGCCCCTGCGCAGCAGCACCGCGCCGTTCCGTCGAGGCCCTCAACAACACCTCCTCACCGTTTGTTTTGTCCGTCCCGCGACGTTGTGCAGCTCGAGAGGACGCGCGAGCGGCTGCGCAAGGTCGAGGCCGACGCGGCGGCGCTCCGCACGGAGGTGGAGAGGGAGCGCGCGAACCCGCTGAACGCGCGGCTGAACGAGGTGGAGTCGGCGCTGCACGCGGAGCGCGAAAGAAACGCGGACCTGTCGCTGCGCGTGGAGGACCTCGAGGCCCGCCTGCGCGACAGCGAGGAGCGGCGCGTCGCGGCGGAGGCGCAGCTGCGCGAGGACCGCGCGGCCGCCGCGGGCGAGGCGCGGGCGCGTGCGGCGGCCGGGGGGGGTCAGGGCGGTGCGGGGGGGGCGTCGCAGCAGGCGAGCGTGCCGACGGAGGCCCTGCGGCACTTGCAGCAGCAGGTTGCGGAGCTGCGGGGGGCGCTGGGCCAGGCCGAGGCGGCCGGGAGGTTGCTTGCGCGGGAGGGCGTGCAGCCGGGGGGGGCCGAGGAGGTGCGCGCGAAGGAGGCGGATCGCCGTGCGGCGGTCGTGGACAGACGGATGCGCGCGATCGAGGCGGCGGTGCGGAGCATGGGGCTGCTCGCGGGGGGGCTCGGGGGCGGGGGCTCCAAGGGGCGCCGCAGCCCGCACGTGGCGTGGGACGGTCGCGGGCGGCTAGGGCTGACGCAGAGCGCGGTCGGCGACGGGGACGACGAGGGCGACGGCTGGGCGGAAGGGCCGGAGGACGTCGACGACGCGCCGCCTCGTGGCTGGGGGGGGAGTATTGGACAACATCCCGGGGGACTCAATGCGTCCTACGGGGCTGCGTCAGGCAGCCGTCCGCGGTCGCAGCGGCACAGCAGGTCGCCCGGCGGACGGCACAATCGCAGTCAGGCCGCGCCGAGCGCGGCGCGCGCGACGCCCGGCGAGTTCATCGACACGGGGTCTCGCGGGGCCTCCCTCAACGCGTCGCTGCGGCAGGGCCGCGGCGCGGCGCCGGCGCGCACCGTGGAGGACGCCGGTATTCCGGGCTACCTGTTCCACCCGGAGCTCGGCCTGATTCCGGAATCCTCGCTCGAGGCACAGCAGATGGCGCAACAGCAGTTTGCAGCGGCGCACACTCAGGCGCCGCGGCGTACCTCGCGGCGAGAACACGAGCAGCCCAGCGCGAGCGGGTTCCACAATGAGCCGCAGCACCGCCCGCTGCGCAGCTCCCAGGCCAGCCTGCGCCCGCGGACGGCCAGCGCGTACGGCAGCCGACCGGCGTCGCCGCCCGCCTCGCCCCCTCAGCCGCCGCCCGCCCCGCCCGCGCCCGCCGCGATCCCCGCGCCCGCGCCAAACCCGCCGCTCGCGGCGTACGCCCCGCCGGCGCAGCAGTGGGCGCCGCCGCCGCCCCGCGCCAAGCGCCGCAAGGGGGAGTTGGCAACGCCCCCCAACCGCATGAGAGAAGAGGACCTGCAGCAGGCGCGCGTGGAGTACTTCGCGGAGCGGCAGCGCATCATGCAGCGCGTGGAGGCCGAGGCGAGGCAGCAGGCCGGCCAAGTGTGACGCCCTGCGATCGATGGGAGCCCTCGCACGCGTCACCGCAGCCGTCGCCGTCCAGGTCCGCCTTGTCAGCGTCCGCCGTCAGCGGCTACTTTTGTCCACGGCCCTATTGCAGATCCATCTTCTTTGTGTGCTTGTTACAAGTTGACAAGTTTCGTCAAACAATGGTTCATTTCAAGGTGGGCGTGTCAGCTGCCAACGGACTGCTTGCCGGCGGCCTTGGCTGCCTCGAGCTTCCGCTCGGCTTCTTCGACCGCGTTGGTCATCCACGTCCGGAACCCGCCCTCGAATTTGTCCCCCCCTTTGTACCCCGGGGGAATCTCTGGCATGTGCTCCTGGAGCTCGGGGGGGGGCTTGAACACCACCTGGAACTTCTTCCAGTCCGGCTCCCGGTAGTAGCGGTTCTGCGCGCCAGTTGCGGGCTCGCGGCGGGCGCGTCAAGCTGTGCGTCATGAGAAAAAACAAAGACACACCTTGAGCGATGGGCAGGCAGACCGGGGGTGCCGCACCGTGGCCGCTGGCTGCCAGGCCATCTTCCCCTTGTCCGGCCCCGAGAACATCAGCTTCCGTCGCAGCTGGACGCGCTTTTTCCGTCCCTCGTACACGGCGCTGTGCACCTCCAGCACCTCAGCGCCGTACAGGCGCTCCAGGTACTGCCGAACTTCGACCTGCGAGCGGGGCAATGAGTGTGATGATTCGGCGTGCGGTCAGCGACGAGCCGCGGGGCGGTGGCGCTGCGGGAGGCCGTGGCTCACCTTGCTGTAGTGCGGTGGGGTGCGGAATTGGAGCCAAGGAACGTACTTCCCCGCGCGCAGGCGCTCCTCCTGGTCCGCTGTCAAGTTGTGGACTTGCAACGGGATGTTCGCGAACACGCTGGGCATTCGGTGCCACTCCCCCGTGATCTGCAGGGCGGGACGAAAAGGGGGGGCGATGGTCGTGTTGGTGGACGCAGCAGTCGGAGTGTGTCCACCACGCAGATGGGTTCACCGCGGCTACTTGACACCGCCGCGCACGACGTCAGCAGACGCGCTGAACCGTCAGGGCGCGGGGGCGGACACCGCGAGCTCTCTCAGCTCCGTGCCGCTCGTGGCAGCAGGAATGTTGCCGGAAGAACGCATGGAAAGGAAGAAGAATCATTGACGCCATTCGACGTGCGACGACGCTCCCGCGTGATCGCAGCGTTCGCGCGCTGGGCAGGGCTTCCTGTGTTGATCAGGGCTGCGCTCGTACCCTCGTGTACGCTTGCAAGAGCTTCTTCTTCCCCCCCATCGTGACTATCCCTGATCTAAATGTCCCTCTCAGCTATTCTCCTCGCTCCCCTATGCCGTGCTATGGCTTCCACGGGCTCTCTATGTCACGCAAGACTCATCTTGCGGTCTCTGCTCGTCGCACGCGCGCTCCACAGGCCTATTCTGTGCTGTCACGAAGTGTCAGTGCCACGCCCTCGGACGCGGAGATGTAGGACCGCTCCCCAGTCCCCGTGTGCGACGTGCCGGCCCCGCTGTGAGTGTCCTCCGGGGCCGCAGCACGGGCGGGGCGCGAAACAGTGCCGTCAGGACCCGCCCACCGCTGTCAGTTCCGTGACAGCTGCGTCCTGCTGCGCGCATTGCAGTGCTGCTCGCCCGCACCCATCGTCGTGGGCACATCGGCGTGCGGAGCTTGCTGCAGCTGGTCGAGTGGTTCTTCGCGTGGCCGCAGCGGTCGGCGGCGACATTGCCGCGCTGGAGCAGCGGGTCGCGTGTGAGTAGTTCTAGGGATGTCGGCCGCGGAGATCGAGCCGCGGCTTCTGCAGGCCATCAATGCGGATCAATCCATCGCCGACACCGGTCCCTGGGCCGAGCAGAATGGATTCGATCACCTGGCGGTGGTCGGCGTGATGAAGTCTTTGATAGCTGCCGAATTTATCGAGTCTGAGGTGCGCATCTCCCCGCCGTGTGCATGAATCCCGCATCAAGGGGGTCCCACGTCCTTCCGAGCGTCGCCGCGTCCATTCCCAGCACGCACGTTGGCGACATTTCGTCCTACTTCGCCTCGACAGTCGCTCTGCGGCGCGAGAACGCCATGGGCGAGATGCATCTCCTGCGGAGGAGCGCTTTACACTCTCATGCTCTAGCGCGCCCTACAGAACATCGAGAACAAGCGGTACAAGCTTACGGAGGACTCGGAGAAGTGCATCGGCAAGGGCTCCCCGGAGGCCCAGGTACGACCACACCGCAGTCCGCTATCGACCTCAAACGCGGTCGACAAGACATCATCCCTCTTGCCCCGTCGTCCCGGGTCACGGCGTCACGCGCCCCGCCGGCGACCTCCTCGACCGCGCAGGTCTTCCATGCGGTGCCTGCCGACGGCGGGCTGCCAGTCGCGGACCTCAAGCAGACGCTCGGCGCGCTGGGCGACGTCGGGATGCGCACAGCGATGCAGAACCGGTGGCTCGGGGTAGACAAGAGCTCAGGGCAGCCGGTGCTGGTCCGGAAGGTCGAGACCATCGAGGACACGGTGCTGGGGCAGCTCGAGGCCGTGGCGGCGGGGCAGGAGCTGCCCGAGGACGTGGCACAGCACCTCTTGAAGAAACGCAAACTGCTGCAGCTGGAGAAGTGGCTGACGTACAAGTGAGACCCCGCGCGCCGCGACGTGGACGGCCGGGCCGGTGACGGGCTTCGGGAGAGCTGCGCGGTGCCCCTCGGGGCAGCGGTGGCTGATGAGAGGGGGGCGTGTGCGGGGGCCGACGCCGACGGTGCCGTGCGCGCTGCGTGCAGGCTGACGAAGGGTCCGAAGTTCGCGGTGGTGCGGAAGAAGCAGGCGACGGAGCTCACGGTGGACATGCTGGCGTCGGGCGCGTGGAAGAGCGAGGACTTCAAGCCGTACAACTTTGCGGCCCTGGGCCTCCCGCCGGCGACGGGGCACCTGCACCCGCTGCTCAAGGTCCGCTCGCAGTTCCGCAAGATCTTCCTGCGGATGGGGTTCGAGGAGATGCCCACCAACAACTACGTCGAGTCGTCGTTCTGGAACTTCGACGCGCTGTTCCAGCCGCAGCAGGTGCGAGGACGACCCCGCCGCTGCGCCGCGCGGCGTGTGCGTGCGCGCGTGTGCCCGCCGTGCCGTGCCAGCACTACTCGCCCGCACGCGAGGACCCCAGTGCGCGTGTGGGCCTTTGCTGCTGGTAGATTGTCGTGGCGTTCAGAAGGCGGGCGCCGTCGCACCGTACGGCGTGCTCGCAAGCGATGACGCCTACACACCACGGGTTTCCTCCCACGACTGTTCGTGCGGAGCACAGACGTCCTTCCGCACTCGTTTCGCCATTCGTTTCGCTTGATATTTATATCCCTTGGTTTCGATGGAACGGCGTCGGCGTCAAGCCGGTGGTGGGCTGCACGAGTCGTGAAAGGCAACTGGACTGGCTCTGGCCATGCCAGCAAACCTGGCGGCCGCCCAGTTGGCCTTTGACAACTCGTGCACCCAACGCGGTGTTTCATCTCCACGCCCTTTCATCTCCACGCGTACACCTGCCACGTACGTCCCCACGCGAACCTTCCCGCCCGCGCTCTGCTCGCGCAGCACCCCGCGCGCGACGCGCACGACACGTTCTTCCTGACGAAGCCCGCGACGTCCGCGGAGGGCGAGGTGGCCTACCTGGAGCGCGTCAAGGCGACGCACGAGTCGGGCGGGTTCGGGTCGCGCGGCTACAACTACTCCTGGAAGATCTCTGAGTCGCAGAAGAACCTCCTGCGCACGCACACCACCGCGGTCTCGTCGCGCATGCTCTACGCGCTGGCGCAGGAGTGGGCCGCGCAGCAGCGCACCGCCGGCAAGGGCGCCCCGCTCAAGCCCGTGCGCTACTTCTCCATCGACCGCGTCTTCCGCAACGAGGCCATCGACCGCACGCACCTCGCGGAGTTCCACCAGGTCGAGGGCCTGGTCTGTGCGCGCGGGCTCACGCTCGGCGACCTCATCGGGACGCTCAAGGAGTTCTTCGAGCGGCTCGGGATGAAGAAGATCAAGTTCAAGCCCGCGTACAACCCGTACACGGAGCCCTCGATGGAGATCTTCTCCTACTCGGAGGAGCTCGACAAATGGATGGAGGTGGGCAACTCGGGGATGTTCCGGCCAGAGATGCTGCGGCCGATGGGGCTGCCGGAGGACGCGCGGTGCATCGCGTGGGGGCTCAGCCTGGAGCGGCCCACGATGATCATGTACGGCATCGACAACATCCGGGATCTGTTTGGTCACAAGGTGTCTCTGAATCTGATTCGGAACAACCCCATCTGCCGACTCGGGTTCTGACGCGGGGCGCGGACCGGCCGTGTGACGACGCAGCTAGCGGACGTGACCTGTGTCTGCGAACGTGCGGCATCAGGGCAGGCTCCGCAGTAGCAGGTGTGCGCGATGCTGCGGTGGACCGACGTGGGTCACCGCACGACGCGCCGCCGCGCATGGGCTCCTTAGACACGCGCCGCTGCCCCACTCCCCGCACGAGAAGCCGCCCCGCGCCCCGCATCTCCGTCGAACCACGTCCCAGTGCGGCCGGGTGGCACCAGGCTGGTCATCTCATCTCACCCTCCGTACGCACGTTCTCTGCCGAGCGCTCACGCCCCAGTGAGCCTCGCAGACCGCACCAACCCGTCCGCCCGCCCGTGTGCGCCCTCCTCGTCACCCTCCTCCTCCTCGTCCTCGTCAAACTCATCGCCCTCCTGCTCCTCGTCCTCCTCGTCCTCCTCCGCCTCCGCCTCCTCGTCGTACTCCGCGTCGCCCTCCTCGTCGGCCCCCTCCTCCTCATCGTACTCCGCGTCGCCCCCCTCCTCCCCGGCACCGACCGACCCCGCCGACACATGCCCCCCCGCACTAGCGCCCTTGTGCGCCCGCTCCGCCGCGTCGGCGCCCGCCAGCCCGACGCCGTCCGCACTGACGCCGTGGGTGTCCGCGTGGTGCGCGCGCGCCACCACGTGGTCCATCTCCTCGTCGTCGTCCTTCTCTCCGAGCCGCCCCACCACCGCCTGCCCCATCCCGCCCACCGACCCCCCGCGGCCGTCCGCCAGCCGCGGCGGCGGGGCCCGCGTGAACGAGTCCGCGTCCTCGGGCGCGCCGCCGCCGCCGTGGCCCTCGTCGATGTCGCCGGCGTGCGCAATGTGGTGCGTGGGGTGGTGGTCGGCGTCCGACGCCATGCCCGCGTCGCCGTCCCCGCCGATCCGCGCCTGCGCCGTGAGATCGGCCCCGCCGGCAGGCACGCCGGCCGCGCCGTGGTCGAACGCGCCGGCGTGCTCCGCATCGGGCTCGTGAGTGGCACTGCCTTTTGCCCCGCCCGCGACCTGCATGCCGCCCGCTGCCTGCTTGGAGGCGGCGGTCGCGCGGGACTCGCCGAACCCGCGCAAGTCTGCAAGCCCGTCCTCCTTCTCCTCGTCGCTGGTCGTGCCACCCGCTGCGCGGAGACTTCCGTCAATGGCGCGCGAAGCAGCCCCGTGCGCGTGGCCCGCGCCGGCCGCATCGCCTGCGCCGACGCCCTTCGCAGCACCCCGCGAAGCTGCCGCCGTCCGCTGCCCCGCCGACCCGCTGGTGTGCGCACTGGCGGCGTCGTTCCCCGCACCACCTCCGGCCGCCATGCCCCCGAGCGCAGCGTCCGCTTGGCTCCGGTCGCTCTGCCGCGTCGCAGCGCCCACCGTGGGCCTGCTCGCGCCCCGCGTGCGAGCGCCCTGCATCGACACCTGCGCTGCCGCCGCTGCCGCCTTTGCTGCGGATGCTGCAGGGGTGGCGCTCTGCGTCCGCGCCGCGCCGCCGGCCGCGACCCCGCCGATTGCCGCCGTCGCGGCGCTGCGCGCCTGCGCTTCGTCGACGCGCTTCTTCGGGGTCGGCGTCGGGCGCGCAGCCGCTTTCCCGCCCTCGTGGTTGTTGCCCGGCTTCGGGGCGTCGTGGCCCACGTCGGGGTCCTCGTGGTGGTCCACGAAGCCCACCATGCCGTCTCCAGCAGCCGGCACCGCCGCGCCGTGCCGCGTGGCCTTCTCGGGCCCGTGCGCCCCGCCAGCGTCCACCGCGTCGCCGTGCCACCGCTGCGCGACCTGGTGCAGGTGGTACCGCAGCTCCTCCTCGGTCGTCTTCTCCCACGCCTCCAAGCCCTGCGAGGTCGCGAGGGTGCATCCGAGGTGACGCGAGGCCGCCACCGCAGCGTGCGCATACACTGCCACGGAGCAGCAGGGCGTGCGATGCAACCGTGGGGCGTCGCACCTCGATGAAGTGGCCGACGGTCGTGTTCTGGTTGATGTCTGGCCGGTGCGCGGCGACCCAGCCCTGAACCTCCTTGTTGGACCCAAACACATACGTCGAGATCAGACACAACACGATGACTGCGCGACGACGGGAGCGGGGCCGGGCGTGTGCGCGGGCGGCGGCGTACCGCAGCCGGGTGCTCGGAGCCAACTCGGCAGCGGACATGTCGGCGGCAGCGGAAGCCATGAGTGTCGAGGTTGAGAGACAACATGCACACCAGTCTGGGATCTCTGGCTGTTGGTAGGGGGGCCGCCGTGCGGGGCCCATGGTCGGGACGCGACGCAGGGAATGATTGGATCGAGCTGCGCGTGGTACCGGGGCGGGAGGGTCGGCGGGCGCGGCGGGGCAGCGGGGGCGGGAGGGACGCACTGCAGAGGCTTCCGACGCATGTCATCTTGAGGCACCGCCGACAGGCACCCTGGGCGGAGGGATGGCCATGCCTTCCGGCTTGCAGCGAGGCCCTGTGTCGAGCGTGTGCGGCGGTCGTGGGCGGAGACTGAGATCCGGACTCCTGCAGTTGAGGGTGGGCCCGAGTGTGGGTCGATCGCCGCACCGAATCGGGTTCTTGCGGCACCACAGCGTGCATGACATCTGTGAAAACCCCGTGCGCCGCCAAGGTGCAGAGATCGCGACGTGTGGGCGCTCGGGCGTGCAGCACAACGTGGGCAGTGGCAAGCAAGCACGGCGCCCGCGTCGCGACGGCACGAAACCGCCTTCCCGCCCATATCGGGCCCAGGCAAGGGTTGTTTCTCGCCGCGTGGACCGATGTCCGCGCTGTCCACCGCCAAGGCGAGCTCAGGGCCCCGATCAAGTTAGGGCGAAGACCGACACCCGCGTTGTAGGGCGCACGAAAGGGCATGTCGATGCAGCACGCACCAGGTCATCATATAGCCGACCGCCGGCTTTGGCGTTCCCGCGCCGCATCGGCTCGGAGCCCCTGGGGCGAGACCCTCCCCTCGAACCTCGAGCCAAACGCTGCAGCTACGGGCCGGGATAGCTCGCCCGCGCTACGTAACCCGACTCACTACGTGGACGAGCGCAAGCTGGACGCTGTTGTCGCCGCAGGCGCCCCACCGGGCGTAGGGCGCGATATAAGACTCAGTACCCCCGTTGCGAGTGCAACGACCCTGCAGCGACTCGTCAGGGCTGCAAGGGGCAAGCACGCCACCCCGCGAGGACCATTGTTCGCTAGACATGGTGCTGGCATGAAGGGACGCGATCTCAAACGACAAGGTTGACGTTGCGGCGACTGTAGTGCTGTTTTCATCCTGGCATCGGAGCGCGCGGGCAGGGGTCGCGACTTCTCCGGCCTGCCGCACCCGGGAAGCGTCTGGCTGACAAGGCATTCTGTTGCGGATACGTCGGTTGGCTGCGATAGCCTGGCGGCGCCGGTGGCGGGGAGGCTCTGCCGGTAGGCCCCTCGGTGGGGCGCTGCGCCGAGGGGGCGCGGTGGGTGTTTAGCGGGCCGCCATGGACCCGCAGTTCGCGTCGATCCCCGTCTACATCGGGCTTTTGGCGGCGTGGTTTTTCGTGTCCGAGCGGTACGTGCAGCTCCCGGTGCAGCTCCTGGTGGGCCTCACCACGTACCACGTCCCGGAGGAACAGCCGGGGTCCAGGGGCGCCGCGTCAGAGACCTTCGTCACGACGAAGAAGAAGCTGCACAAACCGCAGCCCGACAAGTACGCCCTCCCCAACGGATTCGCCCCCCCCGCCAACTTCCCACGCCTGCGCAGCCGTCCTGCTGCCCAACATGGCCCCTGGCGCGCGCCCGGCGTCTCCCGATGGCCAGGCCAGGCAGCGCCCGCCGCACGGACCCGCCGTCTGGCGTTGCGGGCGCTGTGTCAGACGGAGGATGACTTGTGCGCGGAGTGCCCTTTGCAGGCCGCAGGGCGAGCTGGTCGCCGCGAGCAAGAAGCGCAAGGCCGAGGAGCGCCGCGCGAAGGAGGAGCGCCCAGCGCTCGACCTCGGCGTCGCGGGCAACCTCGCGCACGTGCCCCTGCCGCTGTCGGCTGCTGTCGGGACCCCATTCTTCGCCGAACTCGACTCCCTCCTGTCCACCACGAGCATCTGCGCGACGCAGTACCTCGCCGGAGAGCTCCTCCACCGCTTCACCGGCCTCCCGCGCTCCCCACTCGTCACGCTCTTCTGCCTCGTGGCGCTGTTCCAAGGTCTGTGCGGCCCCCGCCCCGCCCCGCGCGCGCCGCTCCGCTTCGCGGCTTGCTGTCCTCGCGGCGCCCGGTCCTAGCGCCGGGGCTGCGTGATTCGTCGCGCAGGGTTGCGAGCTCTGGTGCGGTGTGAGCTGCGGGCGCGACACGTGCGGCCCGACCACGGCGCGATTCTCGCGCTGTTCGGGGTGGGCGGGCTGGTGTTCGGCGGGCTGATCCTGCGGACGCCGCGGTGGCTGATCAACTTCCGCGTCGTGGAGGCGGCGCGCGCGCTGCGGCCCAGCTTCATGCAGTGGCTGCGGGGGCTGCTGAAGCCCGCGATGGCAGCAGGCAAGGCGACGCCGCGCACCTGCAGAAAGAGCGCCCTTTGCTATGCCTTTGAGTTCCTCGTTCACCGGCGCCCTCGGCTGCAGTTGTGTTTTCGTTGCATGTGTTTGGCCATTGCGTACTTGTGCGGCTGAGGTGACGCGGGTTTGTTGATGCAGGGGATCGCGGCGGGCCGGAGCCCGCGTTCGTATCCGCCGTTCGCGTGCTCATCGAGGAGCCCGAGGGCGGGTGGCCAGCGGTGAAGACGGTGCCGCTCCTGCTGCTGCTGCCGTTCGCGTGCCTCGCGGGCGCGGCGTCAGCGCTCCTCACGACGCCCGCGCTGCGGGCCGCGCGGAGCTACTGGCTGTGCATGTCGCCGCCGGAGTGGGGGGACGATTACTTCAGACCCCCCCTGTTTGTGCGCACCGTGCTGCACGCCGCGGTGGTCCTGCCGATGCTCTCGTTCCTGGCGTGGATCGGACCGGCAGGCCTGCCGCTGCTCGCCCCCAGGGCGCTGCAAATCTACGTCAAACCAGGTGCGACCTCCCTTCCTGCTGTTGGTGTCTTCTACGGTTTGCCCTGCTCTGAAGTTGAGCCGAAGCTCACCCACCTCGCACGCGTGCGCTGCGAGCGCTCCATTGTTCCTGCTTCCTCGGCGAGGCGTTCGCCGACGGTCGGCGCCGCCCCGCGCGTGCAGGTCTGGTTGCCCTCTGGGCGCTTACGCAACTTCTGGCGGCGCGGCCGCTCCTCCAGAGCTACCTCAACGGCGCGCTGGTGGCGTGGCACGACCTCAAGGTGGACGCCGAGCGCGCGAAGGACGCTCCGACGTCGCGGAAGATCGTCAAGCGCATGCGCGCCACCAACGACCTCATCTTCAGCTACCTCGGACGCGTGGCGACGATGATGGTGGCGCCGGCCTGCCTCCTGCTCGCGGGCGCGATCCTCTACGTGTCGCGGGGCACGCCCGGCATGGGCACCACCGCGGCACCCATCTCCGCAGTCGGACTGAAAGGATTCAAGTGCGCAACACGGCCCCCTCCCACGGCGTGCTGTCCGCAGCGCTGCGCCGCGCAGCTCCGCTGCCTGCTCAGCGCTCGCACCGACCGCACTGATTCGCTGTTGTCGCGCGCCGCGCAGGGACCCGGTGCTGCACTTCCTCCCAATGTCGCCGGAGCTCGTGGACGCGTCGTTCCACTACCTGTCCTTCACGTCCGCGACCGTGTGGCTCGTGTGGGTGACGGCGAGCCTGTGGATGTTCCGCACGGGCATCATGGGGCACAACTCGTTCCAGCTCGCCGTGTAATAACGAGCTTCTCTGTCTGTGTTCCGATCTCGCTTGCCGCGGCCCTGACCGAGTGCGTGGCACGGACAGCCGCCTCGCGACCGCGCGGTGCGGAGCGCTTGGGTTCTCCAGCGCTGGCGGCCAGGCGGTGTGCGACATGAGTGAGGAGGGGTCTCTCTGGAGCCCGCCCCCGCTGAGAACGGCCGGGGTCTTTGGCCGAGCACCGCCTGCGTTTCTCGCATCTCCTGCACAAGCGATTCGCAGTGGTGCATCGAACGCGGGGACGACGGTCTGTGCTCTGTCGCGATCGGGGCTGTTGCCTGCAGGCGAAGCATGATGCGGCCTGCTTGTAGGTCGGTCGCCGCTGTCGTTGGCAGAAAATCAGTTGCACACACACGGACATCCCCGCCAGCGGATCGTCTGGGGCAGCTGCGTCCCAACACGCAGCAGCGGAGGCCACTTGCAGCAGAGGCAGGGGAGACCGAGAGCCCCGCTGCGGCGCCCGAAGACGACATGGTCTCCGTGACGTACCGGGGCAACACCTTTCGGGTCCCCAAGGGCACGAAGCTGCGCACGGCTTTGCTCAAGAACCAGCTGTCGCCGCACAACGGCAGGGCCACCCTCATCAATTGCCGCGGCCTCGGCACCTGCGGCACCTGCGCGGTCGAGATCAAAGCAGCGGCGCAGACCGGCGCGCTGCCCGTGGCGCCGGCTGCCTGGACCGCCCAGGAGCGGCTGAGGCTGAACTTCCCGCCTCACAAGCCCCCTGGCAACCAGAGGCTGAGGCTGGCGTGCCAGGTCAGCTGCCAAGGCGACCTGGAGGTGCTCAAGCGAGACCAGTTCTGGGGACAGGGCGAGGACGTCCTCGGCGAGGTGCGCCCACCCCTTGCGAAACACGAGCCTTCCATTATGTTTTTCCAACTCCCGCGGCATCCGTAGCACTCCTGATGTTTTGTCTGGGTGCACGTGCATCGTCGACGACGGTGGCCGGCACTCGTCCGCCGCTGCAGGTTGCCCCGAGTGACGACCTGACGTGGTTCGGGCCGCTTGAGTTCGTCCTGGATCCAAACGCGGGCGCTCTGCCCGACAAGAAAAGCAACGGCCAGGACGGGAAGTAGGCGGACCGGGAGCACGCAGACGCATCGATCGCCGAGCTCTCCTGCCTCAGACCGGCTGCGTCTGCGGCCTGTGCGTCTGACACAGCCGCTGGGAATAAAAACAATCACAGCTGTCAGGTCCGTGACGACTGGCATCGCGGGCGAGAGAGATGTGGACGCTGCGTGCGGAGCTTCCCGTACTCGTCTCGCAGCTGCGCGGCGGCCAGGAAGCGACATGCAGTGCGCACTGTGCGCGAAGCTGGGAGGATTGGTGCGGGCGGTGCCGCTCGCCAACGAGGTGCGGCTGTTGCTGCTGCCAGCGCTCCTCGGCAGCGCCCTCGGTTTCCTGCGGCGATTGTGGTTCATCTCGGTCGGCTATGGCGCGGCGGTGAGCCTGGTGTCGGCCGCGATCGCCACAGAGGTACGCAATCTCATGGTGACCGAACGCGCCCCGTGGCGCACGTGCGGATCCCCCGAGGGTCCGAGCCTGATCGCACGAGGCTGTGCCGTCCGAAGCGAGTGGCGCGACTGACAGTCGGCGCGTCCCTTTACCCGTGGACTGCAGGCACTGAGCACCTTCGGAACCCTCGATGTCTTCCAGCTGCTGTACGTCACCACGTATGTCAAGTACGGGATCCGCCTGTCGTGCTTCCAACTGTGGAGGTGAGCCCCCCGCGCTTGCGGCCATGCACCCAATCCGCGCCCCGTCGCCTGCAACAACCAGCTCCATTGTTCGACGCCGTTCGCGACCATGCGAGCATCTTCCGACCGCAGGGAGCTGTCGAGCGACGGATACATCAACCATCTGCGCGAGACCACGTCGTGGGGCCGAAGCGAGCGCTCGTCCTGGAGCGACGTCCTCTTGTGGTTCTCCATTGCGCCACTCTACGCCTTCCTGTGCCTTCCGCTGCGGTTCGCGCTACGCGACCGGGTCCTGTTTGCGCACTCGAGCCTAGCCTGGGCCGGGCTGGCCGTCATGTGGCTCGGTCTGCTACTCGAGAGCCTCGCGGACGTCCAGAAACAGATTTTCAAGTCTTCCGGTCCTTCCACTGCACGGCACTTCTGCTCCACGGGGACTTTCCGGCTGTGCCGACACCCGAACTACTTGGGCGAGTGTCTCACGTGGGTCGGCGCGTGGCTCGCGGCCTCTGACGCGTACCCATCGTGCCTTGCTGCCGTTGGTGCTGCGGCCGCGCCCCTGGGGTTCATGGTGCCACTCATGGCCTCGCAAGCGTCTTCCATGGACCGCAAGGCCGCTCGGCGGTACATGCGGTTCTCGGACGCCGGCCAGACCCTTGCCAGCTGGGACTTGTACTGCGAGCAAGTGCCCTCGCTGCTCCCCTTCCTGGGCGCGCGCGGGCCGGTGCTTCCGCTTGACCGCGGCCGCGAGCTCGGCGCCTCGCCGCGGCCGGGCGGGTCCGACGCCCCTGAGCGCGGCAAGGACGAATGAGGGGTCCTGTTGCACACCAGTCGGACTGAGGTGGTTTCTCTCGGGTGGACGTGAGCGCATCTGCAGGGCGTGTGAGCCACCCGCGGCGCTGACCTGGCGTTGATATCACACGGGGGAGGGACGGCATGTGGACCGCGCGGTCGGGCCGGGCAGGCACGCGCCGCAGCGGATCGTAGAAGCGTCACGCGAGCGTCGTCGCTGGCGCGAGGTTGCAGGGACGCTTCCTACGTGCGCATGGATCTAGTTCCATATCATGGCCGCGCGCTCCTGCCAGTACGCCTCTGGGTGCTGCTTCGCGCGCATGGCCAACCTGTTCGCGTCGTCGACGTCTAGGTTCTCCGCGACCGACAGCGCGTTGGCGTTGGACTGCAGCTGATAGACTGTGGCGGCGCCGGACAGGACCATCGGCCGGAAGGGCTGCGCGTCACGGAGTTGTGCGCGCCACCAGGTCAGCCACCACGCGCCCACTGCAATTTGATGCATGCGGGTCGGACACGCGAACGTGCATGCGAGTTGCTTACCTGGACGATCGCGCACGCGATGGCGAGCGCGTCCGGGTCGCAGCCGCGCTCAACCGCCTCGCGCTGCAGCACCGACGCTCCGCCGCTCCACGAGCAGCAGTTGTCGTCGCCGGTGAGGAGCCGCCCGTTGCCAACAGCCTCCTTGACGATCACGTCCATGCCTGCCTCCCGCGCCTCCTGCGGAAAGCATCCACAGCGCGGGCCCGCGCCCGTCAGCGTGATGTGCTTGCGACGTGCGAGAGGGGCAATATTACTATTTATTTTATTATTTATTATTAATATTGCCAGGGCGTCCGCGGTACTGCGACGGGCACGGCGCACCAGCAGGGCCGGGCCGACGCTCGGCTCGAGGAGGTTCCACGTGGCCTGCACGGCGTCGAAGAGCGGCCGTCCGCCGACCTTGATCTTCATGGCTGCGCGCAACGTCTCTGCCTGCTCAGCGCCGGAGAGCGACAGGCCGAGGCGCCAGCCGCGGTCGTCGCGCAGCTTGATGAGTCCGCTGACGACGTCGTGGCTGCACCGGACACACGAGCCCGGTCAGAGGCACGGTCAATGAACAGCGTTGCAACGCGCGCAACAAACGTTGGCTTGGACGGAGATGCCGGCGTCGCTCGCATGCAGCGGCTGACCTCGCTACGCGCAATGACACGCGCAGCCTGGAGCCGGGGCAGACACGGCTTGCATGCCTGATTGCGGCACCTTGGTCGGGGGTGTTGCGCCTCACCTCAGGGCTCCCGACTCGAGCGTGGCGGAGTGGATCTGGTACAGATCGACATCTCCGAGAAGGTGCGCGGTCTCCGCCTGCTGCGTCGCGAGGTTCGCGGCCGTGTGCTGCTTCACCTCGTGGGGACCTCCTTGGGTGTCCACCTGCCAGTCGGCCGTGTAGGTGTACCCCCACTTCGACCCCACGAGAAGGCCGGAACGACGAGCGCTGAGGATTCGCGTCTGGAGATAGTGGGCAAGGAACTCCTCCGACTTGCCGTAGCTGCAGCAAAAAGATACCAACAGGAAGCTGGGTGAGATTCTAGATTTCGGTTTGCAAGGGAGCGCATCGTTGTTGACAAGATTGATTGAGACATTCTTCCCACACCTCCGCGCGACGTCGATGTACTGCAGATTGAGCTCCAGGGCCGCGTCCAAGACCTTGCAGCAATGGTCGCGCAGAGCCTCGACGCTGTGGTTCGGGCCGAGGTCGGACCCGTGGCCGAGATTGATGTATCCAGGGCGACCCAGCGCCGCGAGTCCGAGGCCCAAAAGAGGCACCTCGTCCTTGCCCATGAAGGAGCCAGTAGCGCGGCTTCCCACCGTGCTCGCTGCGCCGCACGCGACGCCGCGCTGCCCCTCGCGGGGGGGTCGCGATGGGCAGGGCAGGGCGCTCAGGGGCAGGCGCGGGCCAGCAGGGCGCTCGCGCGCGGGCGCAGGGCAGCAGCGAGCCGCGCCCTTCGGGGCCAACTGAATAGGAGTCATCGAGGTGTGGATAGCGTTCCTGGGAATAATGGCGCTCAACTTAGCACCGAATCGCGAACATCCGCGATAAAGCGGGGCGTCGGGCGCAACGGTGGCGCCGAAATCACACGAGAGGCTCGCTGCAAGGCTCCTTAGACAGACACAGGGCGCACAACTGCCTGCGACCGCACCGCCACGTTGGCCATATTCCTGCCCGTTTGTCTATTCGACGCGCATCTTTCATGCAATATACTGCTTCAAGTGGGGTCGATGCGTGCGGCCACTTCACAGCCAGCGCCGTACATGCCACGGTGTGGCCACCTCAGCGCACGGCCTCGGTGTCCGGCGGGGGACCCTCAACGACACACCGCCGCGGCCACACCTCCCCCCTCGTCGCCAGCATCCTCGCCGCGGTCCTCCGGCTGGTCCCGGAAGCACAGCGTCGTTGCAGCGATCAACGAGACTTGCGACACTGTGCGGGCCAGAGCGTCGTAGCAGACGGGCCACATCCGCCACGGCGTGGCCTGCAGCACGAACGCCGGCCCGCACACGGCGATCCAGCACTGGATGCACATGAAGTAGCGGTTGTGGGCCTTTGAGCACCAGTCCAGGTACGCGCAGCGTCGCGGGCTGGGACGGCCCTCGCCGTGCGCCAGAAGCGGTGCTTCGAGGCTGTCGTCCTCGCTCGCAAGGCTGCGGGACACATGGGACAGCGTCGCCGATGTCGGGCCGTACGACCGTGCGTGTCTGAAAAGGGAGACGAACGATCGCAATCGCAAACAAATTACGATCATTTCCTGGCACTTCGACGGGTGTCATGCGAGATGTGACGCCCCGCACCTTGCGTCCTCGACCAGATCGAGCTCGTTCATGTCCTGGAGGTAGTGGTGGCAGGCAGCGACGAACAGAGACAACATCAACACAGCGCAGACCAGCAGAGCGGCCCGAGCCGCCGTGGTGCCGTTCAGGAGCACGGCCAGCGCGGGCGCCGTGACCGAGGAGGACCGCAGCGCGTCCGGGTCCATCAGCGGGATCGTGTCGACCGCGAGTCCCAGCGCGAGGAGCGCACAGATGATTCCAGCTGCGGGCCACGACTGAGACTGAGACCTGAACGTGCCCACGCCACCTGCGCGACGGCACAAAGGCGAACCTCATATTCGTTCGACACATTCCTGGCGCGGAGGGCGTGCGTCCGCGCCCTACGAGCGCGCCTCGTGGCGTCGAAACCAGCCTGTCGTGGCTCCGCTCCGCTCGCGCCAGGCGCGTTCGTCGCGCAGAAGCGCGCCTCGCCGCGCCGCTCGCACCTGCTGCGGTCACGACCATCAGCGTCAGGCACCCGGCCGCCAGGGCGCTGAGGACAGAGTTTGCGATGAAAAACAAGAAAGCCTGGTTGTATGTCCACGCCGCAGACGCGTCGTCGCCCAGCCCGACGCCCGGCGCCGCCCTCAGGACCTGGAACGACGCGAGCTCGCTGAGCTCGGCAACGAGGCCCGTCGCGGCCGCCGCGGCCGCTATGCGCCCGATGGTTCTTCCGCTGGCGCACCACAGGCACCACATCGCGCACACCCACCAGAGACAGAGCGCAGTGGTGTCCGCGTAGGGCAGGTGCTCCATGTGATGCGCCGCGTGCTCGCTCCCCTGCGCCTGAGGCGCCCTCACGCCGCCCCAGACCTCGAGGTAGGTGGTCAAGAAAGTGTCGTCCATGGCTGCGAACCGCGCCAACCGGGCAACTTTCAACTGAAAATGAGTGGCTCGGACGGAAACGCGAGCCTCCGAAGCGTGCCTTGCCTCCTGCGCGGTCAGGCGAGCGCCAAGTCACCAGTGATGTGGTGCAAAACCCCCCCCCGGCTGTGATTCGTGAGTGAAAACGACCGCGCGCCCAGATCGCACTGCTCCGAGACTCGTGCGCCCTTGCCGCCTCTTTCGTCCCGACCCACCCGCGGTGACGACCCCGTCTGCGGGCGACATTTGAAACAGCAGCAGCGGGCCGCAAGGCCGGCACGCCTCGCCGCGCACCGCAACGTGCTCAGTCGCACGCGCTGAATCCGGCCGCGGCCGGGACGCGCCTACGCGGAACTCCAGCGCTGCTCCGGGACCGGAACAGCGGCATCAAGTGCAAGCAGTTAGGTGTTGTGTATTTGGGCGGAAGACCGGCACAGGGCCGCATCGCCCGCCACTCCGGACCGCCGTCGCACTGGGCGGCTGCGCCACCAGGCGACGATGCGTTGCAAGCCGCGCGGCTCGCGCGGGCGCCCATGGTGAGTTTGTACGCGCCGCTGCTGAGCCCTCAAGTGCCGCTGCCCGGCGACATGGAGCGTGCGGACGGACGCGGGCGGGACAGGTTGCGCGCGACGACCCCGTGCGGAACCACGTCCGTGGCAGCGGCGCCGTGGGCATTGCAATCGACGCGCCAGGGCGGCTGGCGGCCGCGCGGCGCACAGGCCCAGATGGCCGACGACGACGTCCGCGAGGACGACCGTGTGGCATGAGGTCGGCCTGAGCGGGCGTGCCGCCGCGACGGCCCCGTCGAGGCGCACGCGCGTGCGTTACCTAGCCGATGCAGAGGATCGGAAGCACCGCGGTGCCTGGGGCAGACCATCCGCTCGTGATGGTCGGAAACGCTTCCTCACTCACATGCCTCTCTGTGCAGGGAGGGATGGTCGGACGGGAAGCCCTGTCGGCGCGGAGGACGGGCGGAGCTATCTTCAAGGCGTGCTCATGGCCCGCGTGCGGCGTCAGCGAGCTGGCCGCTACGTTCAGGGGGTGCCGGTACCCATGATCTTGTTGGTCTGCGGGAACAGCGAGGGCGAGTACGAGCGTGCCCAGCGGCGGAAGGGCGACTCGAAGTATGTCCGGCCCTCCTGCACGTCCGCGGGCTCCGTCTTGAGGCCGCGCCTCATCCTCTCGTTCTTCCACGACAGGTCCGGGTCCTGGATGGCCTTGCGCGTGAGGTGGAACGTCGTGAGCCCGACCGCGACCGCCACGGAGAAGGCCACGGGCCACACCTGCGTGGGGCGTGGAGCAGCGGCGCCTGCGTCGGCACCGGCCGCCCGCGCGAGCGTGCGCGCGGGCGCGCGGAGCAGCATGCCGACGCGACGGTGTGCGCGGCGACAAGGTTGTGCGGGGGGTCAGAGGCGCGTGGTCTCCTCTAGGGAGGCACTGCCGCGTGAGGGGCGAAATCTGGACGTCACGGCCTCGGCCCGCGGGCCGCCCGTCTGAACATAAGGTAACGACGCCTTCGCGCTGAAGAGGAAGCGCAGGCGGAGGGCACCGCGCCCGCGCCGCCCACAAGTCGCCCGAGCAGCGAACCCGCCACGAGCGCCCGCGGCGCGCCTCGGCACGCGGCGCGCGACGCCCGCGGCCTCGACAGCGGCATGCACATGCCTGCGCGCAGGCCGGGCGCGTCTTTCCCCCCCCAGGACGCACCTCGTAGGGGAAGAACCACCGCGGGCTGCCAGCCTTGCGTAGCGGGATCATCCTGAGGTCCGAAAGTCGCGCGGGGGACGTGGGCGGCAGAGGAGGCCGGGGTGCGCCCGCGGGGCGCCCGCCGCGCGCAATGTGCGCGGCGGCCGCGCGGGGTCGCCGCTGGAGGGGGGCCTGAGCGTCGGAGGCCACCTGCCCGCGCGGGGGCCGGGGCGCTCGTTGGGCGGCGCGGCGCGGCGGGGGGCGTCATTGGCGTGGACGTGACAGCGTCCAGCGGTGAGTCATTGGGCGGTTCGGTCCCCCGACAGGCCGCTGACAGCCGCGGCCAGCGTGCCTCTCTTCCAGGGCCAGCTCTGGGACGCCCCTCGGGCAGCCTCCGGGCGCCCTGTTGCGTTTGCCGGCTCCTGAGGGCGTGGAGGCTTCGCGGGGGCAGTAACCAGGAAGGCCTCAGCGGCGAATTGCGTCCCGCGGCGGCGCGGAGAGGACTGAGATAATGGCTGCGAAAGGCGACGTCGAGGAGGGCTACAGGGTGAACCATTCGTTCGGTATCACCCTCGAAACCCTCGACAAAATCCAGAGCGTGAGTCCCCCCGCCGGACGCCCGCGCAGCGACGCCGAGCGGGCCTCCTCGCGACGTCCTTGACTGCATGGCCGTGCCGGCCCCTGGCCGTGACGTCGCGGTTTCGATCCCGCACCGGCCGAAATTTTCCAGACTCCGCGCCCGAGTGAGGCACGGGCCGCGCGGGAGCACTCTCCGCGGCGCCGCGCCAGACCTGGCATGCTCGCCTCGCAACGCCGGCAGCACGCGTCGCACCCTGTCGATCTCCCCCCCTAACACGGCTCGTTCGTCTCTCTTCGTCCCATCTATTCGCCACGGCCGCGAAACTCCCCGCGGGGTCGCCCGAAACGGCGCGCCAGCATCCCCCTCACCTGGGCACCCTTTCCCCGCTCGGCTCCCCGCCTCACGCCCGCCCGCCGCGACCCCGCCCTCGCAGACACGCGACGAGGACCCGGACGCCTGGGACCGAGAGGGCGGCCTCGAGAAGGTCGCGGCCAAGCTGCAAACCTCGCTCGACGATGGTAGGGCCCTCCCTTGCATCCTGCCCCCGCTGCGCGCCGGCAGCCACGACACGCGCCCCCCGCGCGGCCCCAGAGGCCGCACAGCCTCCGAGGGACGCGCGCATGCTGTGGGCGCGGCCCCAGGTGCCCGCGTCGATGAAGATTCGCCGCTTTAGCCGCCAGACCTCACGCCGGTGCTCCTCGCGGCGGTCCCGCCCGCAGGCATCTCCCCGGACTCCGAGCAGGACCGCCAGGCGGCCTTCGGGGCCAACAAGTTCAAGGAGGTGCCCCCGAAGGCCTTCTTCACGCTCCTGTACGAGCAGCTCAAGGACCCCACTCTGATGCTCCTGATGGCGGCCGCGCTCTTCCAGGCACGCGCCCCTCGTGCACCCGCGCGCCCCCCTCCCCCGCTCTCCGCGCCCCCGGCAAGCGCCCGGGCTGCCTGCGCCGCGCCGGCGCGGCGCGCCCTGGGAGGCTGGGCGGGTGCCGCGTAGCGCAGCCGCACATGGCCCGCGGAAATCCCCCCCGCCGCGCCGCACGCGGTTGCTCCGCCGCAGCCAACGCGCTTCGCGCGCCTCGATCTTCCCCGCAGACCGTCCTCGGCGCGTCCCTGCCCGAGGAGCGCGAAAAGAACGCGTACGTGGAGGGCGTGGCTATCTGGGTGGCCGTCATCGTCGTGTCGATGGTCGGCGCCGTGAACGACTGGAAGAAGGACCAGCAGTTCCGCAAGATCAACGCCGAGCGCGACACCTTCGAGGTCAAGGTCATCCGCGGCGGCCACGAGACGCTGGTGACCAACGTGGACGTGTGCGTGGGCGACCTCCTCGTCCTCGACACGGGCGACAAGGTCGTCGCGGACGGCTACTTCGTGCGCGGCTTCGACCTCGTCATCGACGAGTCCTCCCTCACCGGCGAGTCGGACCCCATCAAGAAGTCGGACAAGAGGCCCTGGTGCCTCTCGGGGACGCAGGCAAGCGCCCGCGCGGCCCGTTCCGAGCCCCCGCGCCCCGCGGCAGCACGCAAGCGGTGCTAACGGGGCGGCGCGCCGACGTCCGTGGCCGCAGTCCTTCTTTTGCTTGCAACAACAGCGCTCGGTGCCGTGCCAAGAGGGCCCCGCGCGCATCGCCCCGCGCCCGGCCCTCCAAACGCGGCGCACACCCGCGGTACGCCGTGCGCCGCCTCGGCGCCGACCGCCCCCGCGCGCCGCGCCCCCCGCAGGTGACGGAGGGGTCGGGCACGATTTTGGTGACGGCGGTGGGCGAGAAGTCGCAGTGGGGCAAGACGATGGCGCTCGTGGTGGGCGAGGCCGAGGACACCCCGCTGCAGGAGAAGCTGGCCGTGCTCGCGAGCGCCATCGGCAAGGTCGGCATGGCGGTCGGCGTGCTGTGCTTTTTGGTGCTCATCATCTCGTGGATGGTGGAGTTCAACGGCGGCAGCGCGGAGCACGCGACGGACATCCTGGACTTCTTCATCTTCGGCGTCACCATCGTCGTCGTGGCGGTGCCCGAGGGCCTCCCGCTCGCCGTGACCATCTCGCTGGCCTACTCGATGCGCAAGATGATGAAGGACAACAACTTCGTGCGCGTGCTCGCGGCGTGCGAGACGATGGGCGGCGCGACCGCCATCTGCTCGGACAAGACCGGCACGCTCACGGAGAACCGCATGACGGTCGTCGAGGGGCTGTTTTACGGCAAGAAGTTCGGCGAGGTGCCCAAGCCCGAGGACTTCACCCCCGAGCTGCTCGACCACCTCGCGAAGAACTGCGGGCTGAACGGGAAGGCCTTCCTGCAGGTCCGCGACGACGGCATCATCGACTTCGTCGGCAACCGCACCGAGTGCGCGCTGCTGGTGCTGCTGCGCAAGCTGGGCTTCGACTACGAGAAGATGCGCAAGGACTTCCCGCTCGAGCGGCTGTACGGGTTCTCCTCCGCGAAGAAGATGGCCGCGTGCCTGCTGAAGACGGACGCGTCGCTGCGGCTGTACAACAAGGGCGCCTCGGAGTGGGTGCTGGAGAAGTGCACCGACATGCTCATGATGGACGGGTCGAAGGTGCCGCTCGACGCGGCGAAGAAGGCCGAGCTGACGCAGCAGATCACGGACATGGCCTCGCGCGGCCTGCGCACGCTGAGCCTGACCATCAAGGACCTCCCGCTGGACACGAGCCCGGAGTCGTACGAGCACGAGGCGCCCGACGACGGCCTGACGCTGTGCTGCGTGGTGGGCATCAAGGACCCCGTGCGCCAGGAGGTGCCGGACGCCGTCGCGACGTGCAAGCGCGCAGGCATCACGGTGCGGATGGTGACGGGCGACAACATCAACACAGCGCGGCACATCGCGCGCGAGTGCGGCATCCTGTACGGCGACGGCATCGCGATGGAGGGCCCGAAGTTCCGCCAGATGAACTACGAGGAGATCGTGGCCATGGTGGACCGCCTGCAGGTCCTGGCGCGCTCCAGCCCCGAGGACAAGTACACGCTCGTGTCGGCGCTCAAGGAGCGCGGCGACGTCGTGGCGGTGACCGGCGACGGCACGAACGACGCGCCCGCGCTCAAGGAGTCGGACGTCGGGCTCGCGATGGGCAAGACGGGCACGGAGGTGGCCAAGGAGGCCTCGGACATCGTGATCCTGGACGACAACTTCACCTCGATCGTCAAGGCGGTGCTGTGGGGGCGGAACGTGTTCAACTCGATCCGGAAGTTCCTGCAGTTCCAGCTCACGATCAACTTCGTCGCGCTGACGCTCGCGTTCATCTCGGCCGTCGCGCAGAAGGGCACGCCGCTCAACGTCATGCAGCTGCTCTGGGTGAACCTCGTCATGGACTCCCTCGCCGCGCTCGCGCTCGCCACGGAGCTCCCGAACCCCAAGCTGCTCAAGAACAAGCCGTACGGGCGCTCGGAGCCCCTCATCAGCAAGAAGATGTGGAAGCACATTGTCGGCGTCGGCTTTTACCAGCTCCTCATCATGCTCCTGATCATCTTCATCACGCCCGAGGTCGGCGGCGACTACTACACCATCCCCTCGGAGTGCTCCCTCAGCAACGCGGACGCCCTCGGCCTCCTCACGGCCCAGGGCGTCTCCCTGGAGGCCGCCGCCGTCATCTCGGAGGGCGACCTGGAGAACGTGCTGACCGTGTCGCTCGAGGACGGCGGCCGCAGCTACCAGGTCGCGCGCCACGCGTCGGGCTGCATCCAGGTCGGCGGCCCCGACACCGCGGTCTACGCGTCGGGCACGCCCGAGCACGCCGCGCTGTCGCGCATGGAGGGCGAGAGCGAGGACGTGTACGAGACGGTGCTGGAGGAGCAGGAGCAGCACACGAACTCGATCGTGTTCAACGCGTTCATCTGGATGCAGCTGGTGAACGAGCTCAACTCGCGGAAGATCCAGGACGAGCTCAACGTGCTGCAGGGCATCACGCACTCGCCCATCTTCTTCTTCGTGCTCGTCTTCTCCGCGGCGATGCAGGTGCTCTTCATCATGACGCCGATCAACCAGTTCTTCAAGGTCGTCGAGCAGGACGGCATCGAGTGGATGATCGCCATCCTGTGCGGCCTGGGCTGCTTCCCGGTGTCCTTCATCCTGCGCCTCTTCGGCAAGTTCGGCAAGGACCCCTCGGAGCTCGAGAGCGGCGAGAGCCGCAAGCACCTCGGACGGGTAAGCCCTTCGCCGGAGAAGGAGGGCGTCGAGAACGGAAACGGCGTCGCCAACGGCCACTGACGCGGCCCTCTGCATGCACGCCGCCGCGGCGCGCCGCGCCCGCCCTGCCTCGCCTTGCCTTCCCGCCCTACTCTACGAAGAACTCTCTACCACACCCTGCTGTGTTGGACGGTGACCCGCACTGCTCCGGTCTGTGCCCCCGGCGCCCTTGGCCAAAGGTGAGCGGTCGCACCCACCCTCTTGCCTGCGGCGCAAGGGCGCCGCGGCACCGGTAGCTCACGCCTCGCTCGCGGCTCCACAACGCCACCGGTAGCTCACGCCTCGCTCGCGGTTCCGCAACGCCGCCGCACGCGGGCACCGACCCTCGCCCAGCTGTGTGTCGACACGCACGCAGGGCGAATAGCGGTGCGCGACCTCTGCGAGATGGTTCATGCACAGACTGGCTCTGCTGCTGCCGTGGACGCGAGGCGGCAAGCCGTTCACGCACGCCGCCGGTGGGCCCGATGACGGGCGCGCCGGCGTGGTGGTGACGCCATCGGCATGGGGCGCCGCGGCTGTGCGGTCGGCGCTGCGGCCGGGGGCCGACTCGCGTGACGGCGCGCCGCTGATCGGTGATGGCTTGCGGGACGGCGCGAAGCTCGAGTAGCTGCGCGTGTGCGGCGGTGGGCTGCTCGCGCGCTCGTGCTTGTGCTGTCTTACTCGCAGCGCCTCGCTGGCGGACCGCTCGCAAGAGGTCGACTAGAGGAGTGACGGACGGACTAGGTCCGCATCGTCTTGAACAGCTCCCCCCCCCTACAGTTTTTCTCCCCCCAATGCCCTCTTCAATCCTAGGCTCGCACACGAAGACAAACCGGTCCCGTTCTACTGGACCGCGCTGCGCTGCCGACCGTGTGCTGTAAGAGACCGTTCTAAGCCCACTTGACTCCGGCTCAGCAGACTGCGTCCAACCCTCGGTGCTGGCGCCGCAGCCCACCTGGGGTAGTCGCCCGCCCGCACCCCTCGAGCAGTGCACGCGCCTGGCGACACACGGAGCGCTCGGAACGCCACAAGCACAGTCGAATCGAACGAGGGCGTGCACTTGCGGCCCACTGCGCGTCGACGGGGAACAAGGTGTTTCTAGCCACGGAGACAAAGACGCGCTTTCGACGCCGCTCTCGCATCGCCTCAAGCCATGAACTCAACCGCGGACTCGAACTCTCAGGATCCTGCTCGGACGCACCAGAACGGGAGCGGCGACCGCGAGCGAGGGGGCCCCGCCCAGGCCCAGGCCGCCCTCCCAGCAGGCTCGCGCGTTGGTCCCGACCGGGGGCGCTACCTCATCGTCCGGAAGATCGGCTCGGGGTCCAGCGCGACGGTGTATCGCGCGTTCGACACTCGGGACCAGCGCACCGTGGCGATCAAGCTGGTGCGCTCCCCATGGGTTCGGAAATTTTTAGAGAAGGGATTCCGGCTCTGCGAGTGATGTTGCGGCCCTCGTTGTTGCAGTTCGACATTCGGGAGGCGAGTCAAGGGACGGAGAAAGGGCTGACGCTGCGATCGAAGCTCGCGCGCGAGATCGCTATCGGCCGCGAGTGCGGCACCATGGACTGCGTTGTGAGGCTCGAGGAGTGCTTCGTCCAGGGCGACCTGCTCGCCCTCGTCATGGGTAAGATCGACGGAGAAACGTTTTCCGTGCGAGTCGACAGGAACGCTGGCCTGTCTTCCTGCACCCTTCCTTGCGTACGTGGCAAAAACACAGTGTTGTTTGTTTGTGGCCGATCAGAGTTCGTCGACGGCGAGGACCTGCTCGCATGCATCAACAGACACGACCGGCGGCTCGGCGAGAGCCTTGCTCGCCACTTGTTCCGGCAGCTCTGTGGCGCGGTCGAGAGCCTCCACGCCTCACAACTGTGCCACCGCGACATCAAGCCGGAGAACGTGAGACTCCCCCCACGACTCCCTGACACACACGCACCGTTGTGCCCCTACCGCTTCGCACCAACGCCGAAGAACTTTGCCACTCCCCCCCTTCCCCACGCGGAGACTCCACTAACGCCAACGGCGTGCAGATCCTGATCGAATACGGGACGTATCGACTCAAGATCTGCGACCTCGGACTCTCCAAGCACATCCAGGTGCGAGCGCGGCGCCCGCGCGACCGAGTGCAGGCGGGTGAAGCTCGCCCTCGCTGAACCGCGTATAAATAAATAAAACCACGGCGCTGCATGCAGTCGGCGGTGACTCTCGGCATCGGCACGCCCGGGTACCTGGCCCCGGAGCTGATCATCGCCACCGAGGACGCACCGCGTCAGGGCCAGTACGACGCGATGAAGGCCGACGCGTGGGGCGTCGGCGCGAGCCTGTACCTGATGGTGGCGGGCTGGTATCCGTTCTCCTCCCCAACCGAGGGGGCGCACAACTCATCCCGCGCCATCGCCAGCACCCTGCGCAACCAGGTGCGCCGCGCGTCCGACACCGACTCGAACACCGAATATCAGCCCGCCAACACCGACCACTGGGGGACCCTGTGTGCGTGGGTGGCTGCAGGTGGCGGGCAGGATGCGGCCGCTGCCGGAGCCTCTGCGCGGGTCCCCCGTGGAGGACCTCATCAAGCGGCTGCTCGAGCCCGACCCGCGGAAGCGAGCGAGCATCGCCGAGGCCATCGCACACCCGTGGACGCAGAGCGCGACGGAGCAGGGGTAGGGAGCTGGGCGCGCGAGAGCGCTCACATTCGGCGGCACTCGCCGCCATCGAGCGCGCGCGGACGACCCTGCGGTCGCGGCGCGCAGCATCTTGCAGGAGAGGGGGGGGTTGAGGCCCGGGCGCGCGCAGGACGCCCGGTGCCAGCGCCACCCGGCGGAAAAACGCGCTTCATGAAATATAGCAGGACGCGCGGTGTCGCGGTCGCGGTCGCGGTCGCGGGCTCACTCGAACTTGAACACCACGGCGATCGCGGAGATGTTGTCGCCGCTCCCGCGCTTGTACGCCTCATCCACCAGCGTCTTCGCCGCCTCCTTCGCGTCCCCGACCTTCCGCACCGTCTCCACCGCCTCCTCGTTCGTCATGACGTCCCACAGCCCGTCCGACGCCAGCACCAGGCACTCGTCCTTCTTGCTCAGCTCCTCCGTCGCCACCTCCGGCTCCGCCACGACGAACTTCTTCAGCATCTTGTCGCCGAACGCCCGCGACACCGCGAGCACGCCGCCCACGCGCCACGTCCCCGCCCACACCACCACCCCGCCGAGCCCCTCGATGCGCGACCGCTCGTCGCTCCGGTTCGGCTTGTGGTCGTCACTCAGCGCCACCGCCTCGCCCTCCCGCGACAACACCGCGCGCGAGTCGCCCACGTGCGCCACGTACAGCGTGGACCCCTGCGCGGAGCGCAGCACACGCGCGGCGTCGGCACCCGGCAGACCGCGAGGATTGCACACGCAACAACAAACATGTTTTGAAGAACCTTTGTCCAACCGAACGATAGGGCGAGCAGCGTCCCGCGCAGGCCGGCGCGCTGCGGTGGCGTGGGCGCGGTGCGGCGCGCACCTTGACGACGGCGATGACGGCGGTGCACCCGTCGTCGCGCTCCTCCCCGTTCTGTTCGAGATACTCCTTGTCCGTCTTGAGGAACGAGTCGACGATCGCGCCGGGGACGTCCGTCTGGAACTTTGGACTCTTGAGCAGGTTGCGGAAGAGGTGCTCCTTGACGAACTCCGCCGCGGCGCTGCCTCCGTGCCCTGCAGGTGCGGGGGCGCGCGTGCAGGGGCGTGAGGGGAGGGGCGCGATCGAAGTTGCGCTCCGGCGGTCTGGTATGGAGCGGGGAAGGGGCTGAGAGGGTACGGGAGGTCGCGGGCGCGACGAGGGGGCGTGGAGTGGCATCGGGCAAACACAACGTTGCGGACTCTGCGAGCGTGCGGGCGAGCGAGGGCCCGCACCGTCGTACACGCCGAAGCATCCGACCTGCTCCCCGGAGTGCGCCTCCCGCACGAACCCCGCGTAGTGAAAGTCCTCCATCGTGGTCCGTTTTCCCCGCATCAAACCCCACCCAAAGGAAACCTTGCCGTCGTCTCTGCACGCCCCACGACGTGCGCGAAGGTCTCGTGTGCTCTTCCGCAGATACGCGAACTAAGCGGGGGGATCGCTGCGGATCCCTCGGCCCGCACGCACATTCAACGGGCGCCGGCAGAGTGGTTCGCCCCTGGGCAGGGCCGCGCGCGCACGCGTGTCGCGGGCAGGGCGCGGGCGCGTGCGCGACGGGCGACATGGGACCGCTGAGGAGGACGTCATGCGGGGCCGAAAAAGAAGCGAGGGCAGTGCCCCTGGCACGGCGCAGGAGGCAGGAGAGAGCAAACGAGCAGCCCAGCGCGCCGGCGCAGGCGTCCGTTGGAATAAGCGAGCGGCCGGTGCAGAAAACGGAACTTCCTAGAAAGTCCAGCCGAAACCCGGCGCGGTCGCCCTCCGAGAAGGACACACCCGCGCGACACAGCCACGGACCGCTCCCTGCTCGCACCTACTGTTTCCGCCCGCCTGCACCGCGTCGCCGCTCCCGTCCCGCGAGCCCATGAGCCCGCTGAGGAAGCTCATGCCCACAACGCTCCGCCCCGCAGCTCCTCTCAAGCAGTATCGGGACGGCAACTCCGCAGACCTCCTAGTGCTGCGCTGCCTGTGGCCCGCGCGTCCAATTCCAGCGCCACAAGGGACCTCCTTCCGCTATCGGTACACCTTCCACGCGCGCCTCGACGATACCAGTCAAGTTTGCCCTCGCATGGCCACCCAGCACGCCCGTGACCCGGACTCGGCCCGCACCTCTCCAGCCCCTACATACGCGTCATACGCGGCCAAACACCCCCCCCTTCGGCAGCCCCGCACCCCACGTCGCGCCCGGCGCGCGCTCTAGCGCCCGGCAGCTTCCCCCCGCGCGTTCGCGACGGCCCGGCCGCGCACGCGATCCATGACACCAGCCCGCTGCGCACGCACGTAGCAAGCGCGCCGCTGCCCGCCGCGGCATCCAGTTCGGCGCCGAGGCCGCGCGCCCCGCCACGGCCGTTCGCGCCCTGCGTGCGAGGCCGGCGGCCTCGCCGACTGGGCTGCCGGCTCCCGCTGAGACGAGCGCACGGCATCCGGCCGGCGCTCGCGCGCGTGGATGTGCGTTCCGCTTCCGTGCGTCACATGCTCGGCGCGCGGGCTACGTCGCGGGCTTGAAGTCCGCGCTCCCGGCGATGATGATCCCCACGATCACCCCGAAGAGGCCCAGCGCGGACCCGAAGATCTCAACCACCAGGATCTTGATGAACAGCGTGGCGTTCTGCGCGTCGGACAGCGCCGTGCTGCTGCCCACGACCCCCACGCAGATCCTGCACGCAGCGCCCCGACCGCGACAGCGGTCAACGTCTCAGCACAGAGCCACGCGCATGCAAACAAGAGGCTGACAGGTGCTGGCGTGGGTGCGTGCGGCGGGCGCCCCGCTCGCGCGGTGCGGCGTGCGAGGCGCTCGCGCGCCGTGCGTGCGCCCCGCTGGCGCGTGCCGTGCGCGTCGCGTGGGGCACGCACCCACAGAAGAGGTTGGAGAGCCCCGCGGTGAGGCCGGCGCCGAAGATCGCGTAGCCCGCGGCGTACTGCTGGGCGTCGTAGGGCGGCGGCGCGTAGTCGACCTTGGTCTGCAGGATGATGCCGACGATGACGCCGTAGATGGCCACGGCCTCGCAGAAGATGATGGAGATGAGGTTCTTGCTGGTGATGCGCGGCGCCTTCATCGCGGCGCCGATCAGCGACGAGCCCGTGATGAAGATGCCCCTGCGGCCGCGGCGCGGGGGCGGCGCTGGTGGGCGCGCGCCGGCGTGGCGGGGAAGGGGCCTGAGGCGCCCTGCGGCGTCTGTGGGCGGCCGTTGGAGCTGAGCGCCGGCGACTGTGCAGTGAGCTGTACGGGTGGTGCGCAGCGGGGCGGGAAGGCGCTGGAGCGCGCGGGTCTGTGTGGAGCGCGCGGGAAGGAGAGCTGGGGGAGGCGGGGCGTACCAGGCCGCGCCGAGGATGGACGCGCCGACGCAGACGGCGATGCCGACGTACGCCCAGAAGTACGGCGACACATTCCCGAACACCAACCGATAATGCGCCCAGTCGATCACGGGCTGCTCTGTTGCCATCGCACCCACTCCCGCCGGTCAGCTGCCGCCCGCGGGTCCTTGCGGGGCGCGCGGACAAGTCGAGAAGCGCGAGATCTAGGTCGTCGTCCGCGCGTGCCGGCGCTCGCGTTGAAACTCTGCCTCGGCGACCCGCACGCCAGCACACTCACAGCACCCACGGACAACCTTCTCGTTGCTCGAACGTGGTCGCACGGCGCGAACGCAGCTTCCCTGGCTTCCTAACTGGCTCAGCTCTGCCCCTGGAGCTCGCCCGCGCGCGCCCTCATCGCGCCGGGCCGCCACGCCAGCCCAGGCCCCCGGTCTCTCAGGGAGGTCCCGGGAACGCCCCGGCTTCGTTCCGCTCCGCTACTGCGGCAGCGTGGCAGTATGTCCTGGGCACGGACGGCTCGTGGGACGCGAGAAGTGACGGCCTGAGGCCCGCATCGGCACGGAACCGCGAAGAGCTGGGTGGCGATGCGCAGCCATCTTTTGCGAGGCCTCCGTGGCGCCGCAACTTCGATTGGCTGCGCCCGCGCGCTTGCGAGCGACGTGGGAGCCGCTGCGCAGAGCAAGCGAGGTGACGCCGTCCCCCAGGCCGTGCCGGCTGCGGCGCGCTTTGCTAGTGGAGGGGCGAGCCCTAGCGAGCAGGCTGCCGGTGGCTCCGGGCACGCCGCGCGAGACCGGCCGACGGACGCGCAGCCTCTGTCACCGGAGCGCGTCAGCGTGGACTGGGATGCGGTGATGGAGGACCGCAAGTGGGTGTTCGAGCACTACGAGTGGCCAGAGGGTGGGCCTCCGACCGGGCGATCGCCGCGGAAGTACCTGCAGCGCAAGCAGCGCGCCCCCGAGATCCTCGCGTGGACACAGAAGAAGCTCATGTACAAGCAGGTGCGCAACCCCCACTGCTCTTCGCGCTACCCCACCCGCAATGCACACATACGCTCTCGCGAGGTTCCACGCGCGCTCACTGCCGTCTCGTTCGCTTTGTCGCCCGCAGCTCTTCGAGGCGAACCCGATGATGCCTCGGACGGCGGGCAAGATCATTTGGGAAAAGAGGTTGCTGGAGCTCCACGAGAAGAAGGGCAAGTTCGCGCCGAAGAAGGGCGAGGGCAGCTCGGGCAAGAAGGGCAAGAAACGGTAGACGACCGCGCTCACACGGCCGCCGCGCCCCCGCGATCTCGAACGCGCGGCCTCTGCTGCGCTGCGTGTGACACGGCACCGCGTCCACGCGCCTGTGCCGGCGACCCCCGCTCGCGGCGGCGGGCTGCTGCCACGTAGGGATAGATAGAGCTAGAAGGGGATGGGGTGGAAGACCGGGTCGACGCCCCAGAGCGTGCCGTATGTGTTGATGGCAAGCATGACGCCAAGGACGGCGGGGAGCACCACCGTGGCGCCGAGGATGACCGGGAGGGACCCCCACACCGAGCCGATGTACCTGTCGCCCTGCGCACGGTCTCGGCGGCGCGGGTTGTGGAAGTTGGAAGATGCGCAGCGCTACAGCAGTCGCGGGCGGCGGGGCGCGTCGGCGGGGCTGAACGAACGGCCGGACCTGCCAGTTGTCAGAGTAGAGCTCGGCGAGATACTGCTCGCGGATCGTCCTGTCGCGCCGGTGGTACTGCAGGGCGCTCGGACACGAAAAACGAGGGGGGGGGTTCGGGTCTCGAGCACATCGCCGGTGCTCGAACCGGCGTCGAACTGCCGCCGCGCGGTGAGGCGACCGAGCGTCTAGGCTGCTGCGAGGGCGATCAGGGATCCCGGGCGCGGCGGTGGCGGCCCACGCGGGCAACCACCTCGGCGTGCAGTGCCTCCAGCTCGTCCCCGAATGTGGACTCCGTCAGGCGCTGACTCTCCGGTACCTCGAGCCGCTCCGGCATAGTCTGCAGGGCGGGCGTCCGTACGCGGTCGTAGGTGGACGGTACCATGTCGCAGCACGCAACAACTCGCAACGGCGCAAGTGCGGCCCTCGACGCGCAGGCGTCGCGTCATGGACGCCGACACGCGCGTCACCGGCCACATATGGCTTCGAATCGCAGTGGGCCGCCGTGGAATCGCGGAACACGTCGCGGCGGCGCGTCGCGCTGCCAGAGGTGGTCGGGCAAGTAACCTTCCGGAACGTTCCGCGGATGATTGGTATTTCATCGTGCGCCTGGACGCGAACGGTCAGACGGCGGCCAGTCCGCTTGGTCGCCGGCCGAACACGTGTGGCGAGCCTCGTAGTGCAAGTCATGTGTGAATCAGAGTAGTGCATAAAGAAAGGGTGTGGCAATGCAGCGGGGCGGAGTGAACCGCGGTGTTCGAGATACAGGGGCGGAGACTGAGTCGTGGGGCTTGGAATGCGCCGCGATGTACCACCGCAGGGCGGTCGACTGCGACGTGCCGACGTCAGACCTGACTCATGCAAGGATTTGGAACTGACAGGTACCACGTCGTCGTCAGGGCGCACGAGGCCTCGGCGGCCCGCGTGCCGGCGCCACAGATCGTGGGGATCGCGCAGCGAGAGTCCACGCGCTGGACTCGGGCGCGGCACACCACGGGCGCGGTTCCCACACAGAAGCAGAGGAGGGGCTGACGGGACGATGGGCCCGGTCTGGAAGGGACTGCGACAGCCACGGGTGAAGCCATGAATCTGAACCTTCGCGACGTCTACGTGGACCTGTCGAGCGGGCGGGCCAAGGAGCGGAAAGAGGGTCTGAAGTCCCTTCAAGCAGTGCTGGGGAGCCCGCCCTGCCTCGCGTCGCTCGACCACAAGACAATCAGCCACGCGCAGGACAAAGATGTGCGAGGCGATACCTGGCCCGGGCTCCTCCGGGCGCTCTGCCGGAGCATCGACCAGGTGCGCAGCGCCTCGAGCGTCTTCTGTGCTCGGCGCGCCAATCCGACGTCGCCTGCGGCGAGCACGACGAACAACGAGCACTGCCGCGGGGAAGCGACAACACTGCATCTCCAAACTTTCTCATCCGATGGAGCATGGATTGTATAGCGCCTGCGCCGCTCCGTCGCGGTGTCTTGTGTTCGCGCGCTGCCTTCGCGGGATTCCAATGCCCGCGCGCTCGGCACACGAGATGCAGGAACTCGGCAACACGGGCGGCAGGAAGACAGGTCCCGACGCCGCGTGGGCGCGCGTCCTGAAAGAGTTCTTCGACACCGCAGAATCAGGTGTGGGGCCCAAGGCAGCAGTGAAATGCGTCCCAACGACGGCCTGGGACGCCACTCGCCGACATATTCACACACACTCGACATGACTTGTCTCAGGTCACAATACGCAACAGAGACAGCGCGTATCGAGTCGCTGCCGAACGTGCGCTCCATCAACCTCCTCAACACAAGCCCAGTCGCCCCGCCGCGCCGCAGGTCGCCGCGGGTCCCGCCTCTTGCTGCTGCGCAGCGCCCGGGAGCTGATGCGGACCTGCTGCGCGTACCTCGCTCACCAGGACTGGGGCATCGGCGACCCGGTCAGCACCGCCAACATGAACACGCAGCCCGTCCGCGACATCATGCACACCCTCCGGAACGCCGTCCAGGTCGAGGAGTACGCAGAGCAGTGCCCGCTCGAGTGCATGGAGGACATGGTCAGCGTGACCCTCAACCAGCTCCACGCCGCCCGGTGCGTCGCACATCCCTGTGCCATCCCTCGCCACCGCGTGGCCGCAATGCCGCCGCGCGACGCCCCGCGAGGCGCCGTCTGGTTGAGGAATCGTGCGGGCGCGGCCTGGGGCGAGTTTCGAGTCTCGTGTCCTCCGCGGATTTCTGAATCGAGGTTTTGTATTTGTGCAGGAACCTGAGCGACTCGAACGCGACGCAGCTGCTCACGCTGTTGTCGTGCCTCCTGCGCGCGCTCCCGATCGACTGCTTCGAGGAGGTCAGCGTGACGGAGTGCGACTCGTGCCACGGCTGGGGCCTCCTGCCCGGCCGCTGCACGCTGCGGCTGCACCTCGTGACCACGCTCACGGAGCTCCTGAAACGGTGCCGCGACAACGTCCTGCGGACGAAGACCACGGTGCTCGCGTGCACCAACTCCTTTCTCGCCACCGCCGCCGCGGACCTGACACCCTTCCTCCCAGGTGCAACAAGTTGTTACTACAGCACTCCCCCTCAGGTGCAACAAAAGCAAGTCGCGACGCCCCGGGTCGCCACGCCCCACCGCTTCCCGCACCCCCGTGTCCGGCGCAGAGATGTCGAAGTACGTTCTGAAGTCTGTCTGCCGCGAGGCGTGGTACAAGTCGGAGGCCACCGTTGACGCAGTGGTGGTGTTCGGGGAGATCCTCCTGCGCTCCGGCGCGACGGACGGGCGCGCGGGTCCGACCATGCTCAAGCAGTGGCAGCAGGTCACGTTCGGCGAGCTCTTCAAGGCTGCGTCGGAGACCTGGTGGTTTGTGCGCAGTGCGCCGTGGTGCCTGTCGCACCGCGCGCGGGAGGCGGCGCGGTTCGCCGCGGCGCTCGCGGATGCGGTCGCGGTCGAGGAGCAGCGCTGCACGGACGACGCGCCCGACGAGGACGTGCCGGTGTCCACGCAGGGGCCCCGCGCAGCGAACGGCGTGTCCGGTGTGCGGCGGACGTTCCTGGAAGGCTGGCTGCGCAATCCGCGGGTGTGGGGGCCCGTGCTGGTGGAGTGGCTCGGGATGGTGCGCAGCGGCGACGCGAGGGCCGGCCTGGACGCCGCGCACGTGTGCCTGGTCGTGGCGCGTGCCAACGGCGCCAGCGCTCTCGACGGCGAAGACGCCTTCTGGCGCATGAAGTGCCTCGCTGACTGCGTTCTCAGCCTCACCGGCGGTCCGCACGAGGCAACGAGCACGCTCGCGGACGGCTCCCCGGCACACCAGGCCGTGCGGGAGGCGACGGAAGTTGCGCAGGTGTCACTGCATCGCCTGCCGGGGGGGCGTCCGGTCGCGGCAGCGGTGCACGGCGAGTGTCTGCGGACGATCGCGACAGCGGGCGTCGTTCTCGGCGAGGACGGCCGCGCCGCGATCGTCTCCGCGCTGCAGGCGCGCATCAAGGACAACGTGACGCTCCCAGAACCTCTCGGGGACGGTGCGGTGTCGTTCGCGGTGAACAGGTCGCGGGCGTGCCTCGCGGATGGCGGTGCGGGGTCGCTGCCGGGCACGCTCGCGCTGATGATCGCGGCGGGGAACGTCCTGGGGTCGTCCGGGGACGGCGAAGAGCTGCGCATGCAGGCGCTCAAGTGGCTGGTGCGGAACGCCGCGAAGACGCTCCCGGGCAACTTCTCGGCGCTCTTCGCCGACGCTCTGTCGGCGCTTATGGGTTCTGCCGATGTTCGGTGCAGCCACGGCGGCTCCGGGGGGGACCTCGCGTGCGCCATCGCCACTCAGGCGCTGGAGCCGCAGGAGGACCCGCGGTCGCAGCTCGCGGGGATCCACAGCGCAGGGTGGTTCGCGCGGCACTGGGCGAGCGAGGCGCACGGCGCTGAGCGGCCCGTTTCGGACTCCCCTGGGGGTGTGTTGCACCGCGTCAACGTCGGGAAGATCGCGGACGACCTCGCGGGCCCCGGGAGCGTGTGGTTCGCCATCGGCGTCGTCGAGCAGGGCGAGTGGCACGACGGAGGGCCGTCCACGCCGGCGCTGCTGGCCATGGCGGCGGCGATGGTCGACCACGTGACCTGCTGCCACAACGCGCGCCAGTACGCCGACGTGAAGCTCATGCCGATGGTGGGGCGCATGCTGTCTGAGCTGCGGCAGAAGGAGCGCAGGGGGCAGCTGATCGGCGGCGTCATCACGTGCGGGGCGGAAATGCTGAGCGCGCTGGCCCGCCTTGCCGAGGCCGTGCAGCGCGCGGCCGAGGCGCTCGGCGCGGACGTCGGCGGCGCCGCGGGCTCGGCGGGGATCTTGCAGCAATTCTCGAAATCGTTTGCGGCGGACATCGTCGATGCAACGACTCCGATGCTCGATCGTATCAAAGCACACATCTCCACAACGGTCCACTCCGCGGCACGCGCCGCCAACGGCAGCTCGGGGGGCTTCGACCTCATGGACGACGGCTTCGGGTCGCCCGTGCGCCTCCTCGCCGAGCGGCAGCCCGGCGGGAGCTCAGGCGCGACAGGAACCACAGCTGCCGACGTGCAGGCAGCGGCGCAGAACGCCGACGCGGCGCTGCTGAGCCCGGTCGAGCAGGCGCTCTCAACGGACGCGCGGCTGTCCGAGAACTGCCTGCGCGAGACAGTCGCGGCGCTTTCGGCCGCGTGCGCGTGCGCGGTGGCCGCGGGACACGTGGAGGGGGGTGTGGGGTTGTCTGCGCTGACTCAGGCCGCGGAACGGCTCGATGCGGACCACGCAGGGCTGCCGCCGTGCGTGGGCGACGTGCTGCAGCGCGCAGTCGCGGCCCTGGCGTCGCGTCTCGTGTCGCTGCCCGAGAGCGGAGCCGCGCAGGCTGCAGGTGTTGCGGGGACGCGCACAGCGCTCCAGGCGACGCTCGCGGTGCTGGAGTCGAAGCCGCGCATCGCGCCTCCGTCGCGGTGCGAGCGTGCGATCGTTCCGTGCTCCGAGCTGCTGCGCAGCGCCGGGCTCGAGGACTGGGCGTCCTCCTCGGGCAGTGCACCAACTGCCGAAGACAAACAGACGTTCGAGAGCGTTCTGGACGCCCTGGACGACGTGATCGACAGCGCCGACGCAGCACTGCGCCAGACGGGCACCAGCAAGCTCGCCCGCCCGCGCGCACGCGAGGCGCTCGCCGGCCTGCACGCCGCGGCAGCGGTGTTGTGCAAGGACCGCTTCGCGAAACGTTGCGGGGGCGCGCTGATCGAGCTGTGCTCGGACGGGTCCTTCACAGTGCGCGTCGCGGCCGCACGCGGGCTCGCACGCGTCACCGCGCTCTTCAACGACCCGCGAAGGGTCTTGAACGCGCTGTGCATGGAGTTCCGGCACGTGCCGGTGTTGGACGGGGACGGACAGAGCAGCGACATCTCGCTCAAGGACGGCAAGATCACGATGGCTATTGCGGACGCTGGCCGGGCGGCGCAGCGGGCGAAGGCGCCGCTGTCGCCCCCGCGCACGCAGACGGAGCTGCTGAGCCTGGCCGGGGTCGCGCAGGGTGGCGGGGCGAGCGGGGTGCTGATCGAGACCGCCGCGGCGACGCTGCTGATGATGCACGCGCTCACGGTGCCCACGGACACCGCGTTCGCGCACGACCTGCTCACCGCGACGGCCAGAAAGGTCGGGTATTCCTCGGCAGTCGAGCATCTCCAATTCCTGATGCCTCTGCTCGTCGAGACGTGGGTGCAGCACGACCTGGGCTTCGAGCAGCTGCTGGACGCCAGGACCGTCATCTGGGGGTGTCCCGCGGCCCTGCCGGAGCTGGAAAGCGACCCTGTGGTCCTGTGTGCGAGCACACACTTCGCGGCGTCGTTGCTGGAACGGGGCGACGCCGCTGCGGTCGACCATTTGGCGGAGTGCGTGGGCCGCAGCGCCCTCGACTTCCTGCGCGAGCGCGCGTGGGGCGGCGTGAGCCCCCTCGCGGCCGCACAAGCGCGGTACTGGATCGCGAAAGCCGCTGGGGACGCTGCAAGGGTCAAGCACCTGGCGTCGGGACTGCGAGAGCTCACCGGCGCGGACCTCGACCGCTGCTGCAACGAGTGCACGCTCGACACAGTCGCTTGCGCGCTCGCGCTCTCGCGCGGCGGGTCGGGCCAGGACGCGCAGGCTGCCTATCCCTTTGTGTCGTCGAAAGTCGTCGAAAAGGCTCTCCACGAGCAGATGGGCCGCTCGATCGGGGCCTCCGCGCCGCCGTTCGACGGCGGAGCGAGACCGAAGGGCGCCTTGCGGCGTTTCGTGTTCGGCCCGAGTCAATCGCTCCGCTTGCTCAGCCTGGTGCAGCGACAAGTCGTGCTCGCGCGCGGCGCGTCGCACGCGGGGCAGGCCGTCCAGGCGGTGCAGAGCATGATCGTGGCCGGGGGGACGTGCTGGTCGAGCCCGCTGGCGTTCATCGCAGTCGTGAACTTCCTTCTCGGGAGGGTTGCGGCGGGGCTGGGGGTTGAGGAGTCCCTCGCGGTGCTGCTCACTGGTACGCACGTGTTTGACTTGATGCGTCCCACGCACGCTCTTGCATCGTGACAGGGAGCTCATGGCTTGACAGGTGCCGTGGCAACCTATGTTTTCCGTCTTCTGTGGTGCGCAGTCGTCCAGTCGTTTTTCGAGGCTCCGTGCGGCGACGCGGATCAGCGGCGAGGCGTCATCGCCAGCATCCTGCCCAGGGCGGCGCGAGTGCTCTTTCGGCAGCCCCTGCGCGCGCCGCAGTCGGCCGGCGCGCCCATGGTGGGCGTGTTTGTGGGTGCAGAGATCCTGCGCACGCTTGCGCGCGCCGAACCGAGCCTGCTGCGCACCTGCGCCCCGTTTCCGCCCGCCGTCCACCTGCTGGCAAAGGATGTCCAGGAAGCGCGGCAGACGGCGCTGGAGGAGGCCCCGCTATCGCTGCTGGAGCTGCTGACCGTCGTCACGGAGCAGGCCGGGGACGTGGACGGTGACGCCCGCGACCAGGTGAGTGCGCACCGTGCGGCTCACGACCAGCTGGACGGTGTTGCGGGCTCCGGGCGCTCGAGGTCGCTTTCGGGGACGTCTGAATGGAGATGCGTCTGCATATATGTCTGACTGACTCATCACACCATTGTGTTTGCGCGTGCAGCTCATTCGCGAGGTCGAGGCGGCACTCGGCGGGCTCTCGGAGGACGAGGGCCACGAGAGCGAGCTCGCTCGCGCGGTGTGGCGCTTCGTGCGCGCAGCAGCGGACGTCGGCGACAGCAAGCTGCAAGCGATCGCTGCGCGCGCGCTCGCACGCCTGGGCCCGCTCCCGCCGGGGACGCTCACCACGCCCTTCCACGGCTCCGACCTCGAGCGCCTGTGCTGGGGCTCCGGCCTCGCGCCCACAGAGTCAGGCCTTCGACGGCCGCTGCCACTCAGCGACAGGTGCGCCCGCTGCGTCATTATACAAATACGTGTCGCGCCTAGCCTTGATCCCAATAGGTTGGGCCGACCTCTCGACCTGCCCTCGCTGGACGTCGGCGCTGTGCAGGTGGTGGCCGCTGGCGCTTGAGCATTTGCTCGCGAGCGCAACGGACGGCGACAACGTCACGCTGGCAGCGGCGGCGCGCGACTCGCTCCTGGCGTTGCTCACGTGCGCGCCGGACGCGACGGAGAGGGCTCTGCCGTTCCTGAAGGACGGCGGCGCTCATCTGGCGGACATGCGGGCCGACCTCGCGGCTTTGTTCGCGCGCAGGCCCGTCGCATTTGACAGCGAGGACCCCCCCCTGCGGTCCCGGCCCGCGGACGACGAGCTCGCGAAGCTCGCGCGGAAGGACCTGTGGGATCTATCGCCCGAGGACAGCTACGAGGACTGGGCCCAGCGCGTGGCCGCGGCGCTCCTGCAGGCGTCCAAGGTGGTGTGCGACGACACGGGGGTGGCGGGCGCGATGGTCGCGCTGAGCCGCACGGCCGCCGTGCACGCGCGCCTCGCGGAGGTGATGCTGTTCGCGGGGATGATCACGATCTCGCGGTTCGACGGCGAACGACGGGTTTGCAGCGCGATCACTCCGCACGCGGCGCGGGTGCTGAAGGCGTCCTTGGAGCGGCCTGCGGGCCACCCAGGGCACAAACCTGGCTCCCGCGCAGCGTGGGCGATCATCTCGACGCTCGGTCTGCTACGTCTGTGCCGTCAGGAGAACCTGCAAGCGCCGAACGTCGTTGCTGCGGGTCTGTCATGTGGCAGGTGGTGCCACGCGCACCTCAGCCGCGAGCAGCACGACTCCGACGGCTCCGACAGCGACGACGTGCAGCTCGTGTCCTCCGCGTCTCGCAAGCGGCGCGCACAGCCCCAGCAACGCCAGGCCGTGAAGGCGAAAAAGCAGCGCACACCCGCTGCGAGCTCGGCGGCCAAGTCCGCCGCAGCGGCCGGACGCGCGAACGGAGCGCCGAGCGCCGCGGCGGCGGATCCGCTGTCGCGGGTGGATGCGACGGAGCCGGTGCTGTGGCGCAAGGTGTACTGGCTCGACATTGACTACCAGGATGCTGCGCGGGCGGCGCTGCACACGTGCGGGGCGCCGTTCACGGCCTGGCTGTACTGGGAGCAGAGCGTCGAGGAGGACCCGGGCCGGAGAGAAGCCGTCGAGCGCGAGCTGATCCAGGCAGCCATGATGACGGGCGACCAGGACCTGTGGCAAAACCCTTTTCCAACAGTCCGGCTCTCCGACACGGACGCGCGCAACCTGGAGCGCCTGGCGCGCGAGCTCAACTGGCCCCTGCACCTCTCGCACCTCGAGGGCTACGAGCCCGCCCAGAAGGACCCGTCCATTCGCGCGCAAGACCTTCTCAAGATGGGCTGTCCCGAGGCCGCACGGAGCATGCTGCGGCACGCCGACGACTCGCGCTCGGCCGCGGCCCGCGAGGTCGAGCACGAGGCGGCGTGGCGCATGATGTTCTGGGAGGAGTGCGACGCGCCTGACGTCAGCTCTCTGTCAGACGCGCTGTGTCGGGGGGACCCCGTGGACGCGCGAGCGACGGAGACGGCGGGCTCGGGGTTCCACGAGTCCTTCGCGGCTGCGCTGGCCGCGGTGCGCACCTGCGGGCCCCCGCGGAAGATCAGGGGCCTCGACGGCTGCGTCGAGGAGGCGCGCCGCATCGTAGACGCAGCACGCGCCGCGACGTGCCGGCTGGTCGGCGCGTCCACGGAGGAGATCAGCCGCGGCACGAACGACAGCATCGTCCGCCTCGTCGCCCTCGATCTCGTGCCGGGCCGGCTCAGCCCCGACCGCAGCGATGTGGACACAACCCTCGCGGCGACGCTCACGCCCGGCCGCGCGTTCGCGGGGCGCTTCGAGCTGCTCGAGCCGCTCTTCGCGGCACAGAGCGCCGTGCTCCGCGCAACGGGCGCGTGGGCCGCGCTCCCGTCCGTGCTCGAGCGGCTCGCAGACGCCGCCATCGCAGAGCCATGTGGGGTGGCGGTGTCTCACGCCGCGTCGTGTCTCCGCGGGTTCGAGAAGATGCTCGGCGCGCGCTCCGCGACGGTCCGCGACGCCGCGAAGCACCTCCGCGAGCCCTGGGCGATGTGGCGGATGCTGGGTCCGCGGATGCAGTGGGGCCTGGGGCGGCAGTGGGAGGCGGCGACGCAGGGGCTGTCGATGCTGCAGGGCTGGCAGGTGAGCGAGGAGGACGGCGAGGCGGCGATCAACTACGTGCGGATCTCGTGCACCGCGGCGCAGTGGGCGGCGGAGACGCACAGCGTGTCGTCGCAGGCCATTCGCGACGTCCTCGAATCCGCCCGCGACCTCGCGAACGACTTCGACCTGGACAGCCCCGTCGCGGCGGCGGTGGCGTGCGACGCGAACTTCAAGCTGGCGTCGTACCTCGACCGGCTCCGCGGCGAGCTGGAGGATCAGATGCGCGGGGAGGAGTGGCGCGAGCACGGCAAGGCGCTGGAGAAGAAGGGCGTGGAGGTGGCGGCGATGCAGCAGCGGCTGGACGCGCGCGCGGCGCGCGGGGAGGTCCGGTGGGACAACGGGCAGATGGTGGACCGGGAGTCGAAGTACATGCGGCACTACATGGCCAAGATGCAGGCAGTGATCAATGCGGACATGCAGGAGCGGCGGCGGGTGGAGCAGCGGGCGAAGAAGTTCACGGAGCACGCGATGCAGGCGTACAGCGACGCGCTGTTCGCGGGCTCCGCGCACGACCTCGCGGGAGCCTTCGGATGGTGCCGGCTGTGGCTGAGCCACCCGCAGAGCGCCGAGGTGAACCGGCTGGCGCGGGACGCGTGCAGCCACACCCCCACGCACAAGCTCGTGCCGCTCGCGTACCAGGTGCGCCGCACGCCGTGCCACTGCCTGCGTGGCGACATCTCAATCGAGGCCGCATATCTGGCGGTGGTTTTTCTCACGTGTCTGAACGCAACCCCGGCGCCGACGCAGGTCGCATCGCGCATATCGAACGTAGACAACGATAACTTCCCGGGCTTCCAGGACGCGATCTCGCACATGATGCGCGGCATGCTCCTGGACCACCCCCACCACGTCGCGTACCACCTCCTGTCGTTGGCCAACGGACTGCGCGACCACGGCGGACGGGAGGGCTCGCCGTCCGGGACGCAGCTGGTCGGCGGGATGCAGCGCGTCGTCGACGAAAGCAAGGTCGCGGGCGCGAAGCGGATCCTTGCCGCGTATTGCAACCCAGCGCAGGCGAGCTCTCCCGCCGCGGTAGCGTGTCTCCGTTCGTCGGCGCCGACGCAGGGATCGCGACGAGGGCTTTGTTCTCGCCGTCGTTGCAGGTGTCGCCGGATGCGGAGCGAAGGGCGAAGACGGCGTATCTGCAAGAGGTGCTTGGGCAAACCAAGAGGCTGGTGGACGCGTACATTCGCCTGGCGGCGGCGGACCCAGAGAAGACCTCGGTCGTTCCCTCGGCGATATGCCGGGACGTCCGCGACCTCGACAAGGTGCCCGTCGTGTCGATGAACCTCCCGCTCGACCCGCTGTGCCGCTACCTGCGCGCCGACGGGCCGAGCGGGGCGCCCAGCGAGGCGGTCACCTTCGAGCGGTTCGAGAGCAAGGTGTCGCTCGTGGGCGGCATCAACAAGCCCAAGCTGATCGCCGTGCGGGGCTCGGACGGGCGCCTGCACAAGGAGTTGATCAAGTCGGGCAACGACGACCTGCGTCAGGACGCCGTCATGACGCAGATCTTCCGGCTCGTCACGGAGCTGCTCGCTCAGGACAAGCACAGCGCCTCCACGGGGCTGCGCATGCAGGCACGCCCACACACACGCGCCAATGCTGCGTACGTTGCACTGTTTGTTTCTCCTGTTCCTCGCTGCAACTCCCGAGCCTGCGCGGCGCCCGCTGCAGACGTACAAGGTCGTGCCCTTCACGCCGCACGCGGGCCTCGTGGAGTGGATCAACCAGTCGACGCCGCTGAGCGAGTGGCTCCTGGGGCCCGACCGGCGCCACGGCGCGCACCTGCGGTACAAGAAGCCCGGGCAGTGGTCGTTCGGGCAGTGCCTCAAGGTCATGCAGGACGCCCTCGGGAACCCGGACACGCAGCTGGCCAGCTTCGCGCGCTGCTGCAGAAACTTCCCGCCGGTTCTGCGGTACTACTTCCTGGAGACGTTCCGGGGGCCGACGGAGTGGTTCACGCGCCGCCAGGCCTTCGTGCGGTCCGTCGCCGTCGCGTCCATGGTCGGCCACGTCGTCGGGCTCGGCGACCGGCACTCGGCCAACATCCTGCTCCTCGACAACTCCGCAGAGGTGCGCTGCCCGCCGCCCCGCGGCACCGACGCGCTGAACGCGCTCCGCAGCACCGCGTGGCATCGGCCGCCTCCGACGCAGCGTCCACGCCCCCGCCCCCGCGGCCATATATCAATTTCATACCTTTGTGTGTGGCAAAACTATCCAGGTGGTGCACATCGACCTCGGGATCGCGTTCGAGCAGGGCAAGTTCCTCAACACGCCGGAGCAGGTTCCGTTCCGCCTCACGCGGGACATCGTCGACGGCATGGGCGTCCAGGGCGTGGAGGGGTCGATGCGGCGTTCCAGCGAGAAGGTGATGTCGGTCCTGCGGGCCTCGCGCAGCCTGCTGTCGACCATCCTCGACGTGTTCCTGCACGACCCGCTGTACAACTGGACGCTGACGCCGGTCGACGTGGCGCGGCGGCAGCACGACGAGGGCAGCGACGACGAGGCGGAGGAGGCGCGGTGGGCGAGCAGGGAGGTGGGGGGCGGGGCGTTCGCGGGGGCGGAGGGGAACAAGAGCGGGGGCAGCGCGGACGCGGCGCGGGCGGTGCTGCGCGTGCGGGCGAAGCTGGAGGGGCGGGAGTTTGGGGAGGGGGTCGAGGGGCGCAGCGTGGAGGGGCAGGTGCAGCAGCTGATGGCGGACGCGCAGGACCCGCAGAAGCTCGCGCGGATGTTCTTCGGGTGGGCGCCGTGGGCGTGAGGCGGCGCGGGGGCGCTCTGGACGCATGCGCGGTGCGTGGCGGAACTGCAGGGGGGGACTGCGACAACAGGAGGGGGGACTGCGCGGTCGGATGTACATATGGAGGCGGGATTCGGGAGAGAGAGGTGCATGAAGACGACGGCGCGCATGACGCGTTCTTGCATTTATTCCTACCACGCAGTCGTGCGTAGTGGCGCACAATCAAGTAGGCGAGAGGTGACGCAGCAGCGAGCTGTTACGCCGAGCAAGCCGCCCTCGCTCTGCTCTTGCTTGCTCCGCCCGCCCTGCCTCGCAGCACACTGCGCCCCGCGCCTTCCATCGACGATGCTGTCAGCGATGGCGAACACACCACTGAGGTGCGTGGTTGCGTGTCGCTCCCGCCACGGCCCTCGCAGGACCTGTGTCGCGAGAGACCGGCGGCAACGTCAGCGGTGAGGCGGCTGGCCGCATGTCTGTCGGGCCCGAGCCCTCTCCAAACTTGTTCGTCGCACCGCTGCTGGGTGCGCTCTTCTCGCGCCGCGGGGTCCGGGATGTCCCGCGCGCGCCACCGGGCTCGAAGCACGCGACTCTGCTGGCGTCCCTCGTGCCGCAGTTCCCCCGTGTACGAGACGCACGGGCTTGACGCTTGCCAGAGGCCCCCCAGGTACTTTGGGCGCGCTTGTCTGGCGTGATTGGGGCCCCGTGCCGCTGCGCGCGACCATGCGTGGCGCGGATCTGACATCTACCAGCGCCGACACGACGCTCTGGTACCGTGCGACTTCAGGTGAGCGGTTCGCCGCCTCTGCCTCAATAGTGAGGCCGTGGTGTCGATTCTGTGCGTGATACGACGTCAACCGTCTTGCGCGAGCGAGAAACCTCCCAAAAATAATCGAGTGTGGATGCAGTGTTGTTCTCAGCGTTCGTTCACGCTCTCACGCGTGCCCACCCCGCGCTTTTTTTGTGCAGGTGGTTTCGTCGGCGTCGCGCGGCACCCACTTACTTTTCCAGCCACCACCGCTCACGGTAGCGGTTAATCTCGATCACTGAAGCGCGGAGAAGGCTGGATCGAGTCTTCGGCAGCGCCAGGACTCGCTGGTCTAGTAGGTGCACCAGCCGTTCGAGTGCGTCGCGGGCAAGAACAGGCGACATGAGCGGGCAAGAGGGCCACGACTTGCAGCAGGTGACAGACGCGCAGCCTGGACGCTCGCCGTCAACCGCAGTGATCAAAGGTTGCCCAAACCTCGCGCTCACAGACCTCCCGCCAGCACGCCCCGCCCGAGCTCGACGTGCATTCCTGCCGCACGACCGCCGCAGGGTGGTGAAGCGAGCGGCGCCGTGACGACCCTATTTGAGAGGGTGCTGTGGGAGGCGTCTGGCGTGGTTGAGAAGCTACCTGACCCCGACAAGAAGAGTCTGATGGCGGCGAGCTGGAGCGCGCTCGAGGCGGTGGTGCGGAGCTGCGACGCGACGCTGGACCTGGACTGGGTCGACTTCGACGCGAGGCTGGAGATCGACAGGGTCTATCATCCGCGGCTCACTGCACTGCCATCAGCACTTGCTCGGCGGCTACGTGCTGGTCAGTGCAGAGGGCAGGTCCGCGCCGGGGGCGTCGGGGTGGCGATGACGGACGCGGAAGCGCTGGTGGAGGCGCTGCAGCGCGTGCCGCCGCCGCCGCACCGCGGCTCGTTTGGTCCAGACGCTTCGGGGATTTCCACCAACTGGGTGTTGTTCGTGTGGCAGCTCATCGACGCGGCGCCGCAGACGGAGGCGGGTCCGATCAGCGTGACGGCACTAGTCATGCCCGGGTTCGGATGCGGACCGGAGGGGCTGCGCGAGCTGCGGGCGGTGCTGGTGCGCCCTGCGGTGCGGGACAACCTGCGATCGTTGAGCATGAAGCTCGTAGGGGACACGGCCGCGGCCGCGGAGCTGCACGGGAGCCTGCGGGGAACGGGAAAGCTGCGGAGCCTCACGGTGTGCGGGATCGAAGAGTGGCTTTGGCAGGGTTACCTTTGGGCCCAGAACAATTCCACCGAGTGCCGCTGCAGTCGTGCGCTGGCCAAGCTGATGTGCGAGTGCGCGTTCGTGGAGCGGGTGGAGCTAGAGCATCTGAAACTCGGCGCATCGAAGGCTGCTACGTTCCAGATGACGCACGAGACATCCTTGATCGGCGGTTTGCATCGGGCAACCCGCTGCGGCACCTGAGGGTGCTTGACGCGACTCCAGTCTACACCCCAGGAGGAAGCCACCCGTCTGCGCTCATGAACCGCGCATGGAAGGGGATTGCCAACTTGGAGCACTTGTCGCTGTGTTGGCACACCATGGAATGGCAGGAAGAGAACGAGGCGCTCGCGCGGCTGCTGCTGACTACGACTACGCTGCAAAGGCTGGATGTGGCAGCGTGGCACTTATACGACTGGAACGGGCTGTCGACGATCCTCGCGGCACTGGGCAACAACAAGACGGTCGAGGTGGCGCACCTCCAGGTCGAGGCAGCGCGCGACCTGCTTTTCGACCCGGCCACCATCCGCGCGCTCGCGGCGGTGCTGCGCAGCAACAGCACCTTGAAGGAGCTGCGAGTCACGGGGGACGGATATTACAACGATTTTCAAGTTGATGAGGAGGCAATGGAGGGGATGATGGTCGACAAGGATGCCCGCGAGGCGGCCGTGCGCGAGTTCTCCCAGGCTCTGGGCGCCAACACAACACTCGAGACCCTCGCGCTCCCCAGCAACGGATTCGGCCACGACATAGGACTTCGTGTCGTCAACATTGCACGCAATCGCACGCTGCGACACGTGCACCTCACGGTCTCGAATGGGTCCCACGATGGCGTACGGAACATGACGCGGGCTTTCGCCCACGTGACGAGTCTCCGGTCGCTCGTCGCCCACGTTGTACAGGATGCGCAGGCCTCGGCCCTGATCAATGGGCTGTGGGGCAACAAGGCCTGCAAGAGCCAGGTCCAGCGTCTCAAACTACAGTCAAGCGGGCGTCTGTCGTGCGAGGTCGCGCAGAGGCTTGCAGACTTGCTAGCCATGGAGCAGTGCACACTCCAGGAGCTGGACCTCGAGCGGACCGACTTCGGAGCAGCAGGGACGCGGGCGCTGTTCGAAGCGCTGAGGGTCAACACGTCGCTGGTGGCGCTGACTGTCCGCTGGGCTGACATCACGGAGGAGGGCGTGATGGCGCTGCTCAGTGCGCTGCGAGTCAACACGACGCTGCGCTGGATGAGGCTGCACGGCCCCCTCTATCGCGAGAATAAGCTGTCCGCGTCGGCGAGGGAGGCGCTGAGGCGGGTGCACGCGCACGTGGCACTCTTGGGCAAGTGGGGCTCGTGATGCGTACTCCGGGGGGAGGGGTTACGGGGCATGTCAGACGGATGCTCTCATCGTCAGCCGCGCGACGGCGCGACTGCATGCGAGGACGCTTGGGAATCGAAGTAGGCAGCCGCGGGAAGCAAACAATCTGGAGGCAGCGGCGATGTAAACACAGCTCCTGCGTTGCACAGGACGGCGCCCTCTGGATCCCCGATCCACCGTCGCGCGCACCTGCTCCTGCGCTGCCGGGAGCCCAACGCCCGTGGGTGCTCAGCGCACATGTCGCATCGTCCTCCGCATCTCACCGCGCCGTGCGGCACGCGACGTATCGCGCACGCCGCCATCCACGCACCACGCCGCCCTGCCAGTGCGCCTCCCTCGCGCTGCTCTCCCGTGCGAGTCGTACGGGCCCGACCGCACGCGTTCCAGTCTGACACCAAGTAAGTGGTGGGACGGCCACGCCGGCGTGGTTGCGGCTGCTTGGCGCTGCGCCTCGCCATATGCGGCGCGGGCGCGAGCCCTGCCAGCGCCAATAGAACCACCACGGCGGGCTCCCAAGCCAGGTACGCTGTTCCCGCTGCCGTGCATGATTACGGGGCGCTGGCGGCTGTTGTTGCGCGCATATCGATGGCGGCTGTCGTGCACGGGAACGCACAGTCGACGAGACTTTGAAACAAGGACGCGTTGTCATCTGGCAAGCTCTCACGCGTGCCCTGCCCGCCCTCGCGTTTGGTGCAGGCTTGGTTGCTCGGCGTCGCGCGGGGCCGACAGGCGCTTCGAGTGGTCGCGGGCGGGTGTCGGCGATCGACGAGGATCGCTGCCGGTCCGGAGGGCTTGTCGAGCCGGCCCCAGCAACAGCGGTGGGGCTTGCGGGCGTAGCAAGCAGCTCTCCATCAGCCTTCCCATCGCGCACGGGGCAGGAACGGCGACATGAGCGGGCGACACGAGAGCCACAGGGTGCACAAGGTGAGAGGCGCACGCCAGGCCCCCGCGGACGCACGCAGTCGCACGCAGTCAGAGAAGGTTGCCTCCCAACACAGACTCGCACAGCGCTGGACTCGCTCGCGCGAGAAAGCCCGCCTGCTGAGCTCTGGTCGCCTCCCTGCCCCACGGCTGTCGCAGGGCGGGGAAGCGGGCGGCACCACGGCGGCCGCGGCGCTGTTTGAGCGCGTGTTGTGGGAGGTGCCCGGCGTGGTGGAGCGGCTTCCCGACAGCGACAAGACGAGCCTGCTGGCGGCGAGCTGGGGCGCGCTCGAGGCGGTGGTGCGGAGCTGCGACGTGACGCTGGACCTGGACTGGGGCGACGCAGGCCACCGCCTCGAGAGGGCTCTCAGCGGCGACGTCGATCATCCTCGGCTCACTGCACTGCCATCAGCAATGGCGCGGAGGCTACGTGCTGGTCAGTGCAGAGGACAGGTCCGCGTTAGGGGCGTCGGGGTGGCGATGACGGACGCGGAAGCGCTGGTGGAGGCGCTGCCGCGCGCGTACCCGCCGCCCCCCCGAGTGTTGTCCGGGTACTGGGTGCAGTTCGTGTCGCGGCTCATTGACGTAGTGTCGGAGACGGCAGCGGGCCCGATGCGCGTGACGACGCTGGTCATGTCCGGGTCGGGGTGCAGGGCGGACGAGATGGGCGAGCTGCGGGCGGTGCTGGCGCGGCCTGCGGTGCGGGACAACCTGCGGTCGTTGAGCCTGGTGGTGTTCGACAACCTGGCCGCGGAGCTGCACGGGAGCCTGCGGGGGATGGAAACGCTGCGGAGGCTCACGGTGCACGGACGGGCAAGATCCGTGGGCGGCGTGGATCGACATTACATGCGGTGCAGCCCTGCGCTGGCCACGTTGATGTGCGAGTGCGCGTTCGTGGAGCGGGTGGAGCTCCGGAACCTCGAGCTCGGCGCGGACACTGTGGAGATGGTCCTGGACTGGCTGGCGGCACCTACGCCTCTGCGGCACCTACGCCTCGACGGCTGCGATGTCGGCGATGATGCACTTGACATCCTTGATCGGCGGTTTGAATCGGGCAATCCGCTGCAGCACCTGAGGGTGCTCGACGCGAATGTTTATCAGGAATGGAACCGCGACTGCGGCCCGTCAACCCTGATGGACTGCGTGTGGAAGGACGTGCCGAACTTGGAGCGACTGTCGCTGTTGTACGACACTCTCAACTGGCAGGAAGAGAACGAGGCGATCGCGCAGATGCTACGGACGACGACTGCGCTGCGGCGGCTGGATGTCGGAGCACATCACGTCGCTGGGCACGACTTTATTTCGGCCGAAGAAAGCGTGAAAGAGGTGGCGAGGATCGTCGCCGCGCTGGGGGACAACAAGACGGTCGAGGTGGCGCGCTTCCGGATGGCAGACGACCTGCGCGCCTGTGCGGGCATCATCACGGCGTTCGCGGCGGCTCTGCGGAGCAACAGCACCTTGAAGGAGCTGTGGCTGGAGGAGGACTGGGAACAGTGCTCTGGTCGAAGGGTCGAGATCACGGCCGACGAGGACGCCTACGCGGCGGCGGTGCAAGACCTCTTCGACGCTCTGGGCGTCAACACGTCGCTGGAGACCCTGGTACTCCCCCACAGTTGCGGCCGCGGGGTTGTCACCCTCGCCGGGACATTCGGCACCGGCATGGCGCGCAACCGCACGCTACGGCATCTGGAGCTCCCGGGGACGTGGAACTTGTCTTGCGACGGCGTGCTGCAGATGGCAAGGAGTATCGCTCACGTGGAAAGTCTTCGCTCGCTGTCAGTTGATCTGAGGGACGCCGCGCAGGTCTGCGCCTTGATTGATGGGCTGTGGGGCAACAAGGACTGCAGAAGCCAGCTCCAGCGCCTCCGGCAAGGTGGCGTAGGTCTAGAGGGCGGACTCGCACGGAAGTTGGCAGACGTGCTAGCCCATGAGCAGTGCACACTCCAGGAGCTGGACCTCGAATGGACCGACTTCGAAGCAGCAGGGACGCGGGTATTGTTCGAGGCGCTGGGGGTCAACACGTCGCTGGTGGCGCTGAACGTCTGCGTCAGGGGCAATGCAGGCAAATTCACGGAGGGCGGCATGATGCCGCTGGTCAGTGCGCTGCAAGTCAACACGACGCTGCGCTGGATGAACCTGACGTATTCTGACGGACGCAACATCCCCCCAGCGGTGACGGAGGCGCTGAAGCGTGTGCAGGCGCACGTGGTGCATTCGAGATATATCCCTGAACCTGATGAAGATGAAGATTAGCTGTGATGCGCACTGTTGTTGTAACATTTGTCTTTCTCGTTGTCCCTCCCCATTCGACTGACAATGCACATCCCCAAGCCGGCAAGCAAGCACCCGCTGCCGCCGCGAGTCCCGTCAGCACACATCCCGCAGGGTGTTGCTGCGCCTGCTCCCCGCGGAGCCGTGCTCCCCTACCACGGTGGTCACACCGCGCAGCCGTGGTCACAGTGTGACCTCAGGTGTGGTACGTTTGTCTCTCCTGCATGTTCAATACACCGCGCGCTGGTGGATGCGTGCGTGACCGTCTTCCCGCGCGCCCCATCACGCCCGCGCGACGCTCTCCGCAAACCACGAGTCCACCGCTCACACGCCGGCCTACAGCTCCGAGTGCGGCCCCGGGCTCGTCGGTATTCGCCCCGCGGGCACCTTGAGCGGCGTCGACAGCAGCACGTACATCCGCCACCCGAAGTACATCGCGATGACCACGTACGCCGCCAACATCCACCGCCGCACGGCCGGCGACATCAGCTCGCCGTCCGCCGCGCCCCCCGCCGCCCCGCGCGCCTCGTCGTCCACGCCGCTCGTCCGCACCGCCCTGTCGAGCCGCGCCACCTCCAACGGGTCGTTCAAATCGATCCCGGAGCGCTGCGCCATCTCCACCGCCTCCGGCGGCAGCCCGTCGAGGTCGAGCTTGCTCCGCGACGACGCCTTCGACGCCACGGCCGAGCCCCTGCAACCAGCGCGCAACGACCCACATCTCATGCGGCCGCGGGTCTCCCGCCGCGGAACGTCGCGCCGGGCGCCCCCAATCAACACGACAACGCCCCGCCGAACGGATCAGCGCAGATCGGGCCATAGATCGGCTTCCCGCAGCAACAGACACCCGCGTCCATGCCTGCAATGCCGTACCTGGGCGAGGCGCCGCTCCGCGACTGCCGCGTCCCGCCCTTCGAGGACCGCCGCACCCGCGCCTCCTCCACCTCGCTCCCGCCCATCATCCTCCGCGCCAGCTGCGCGTCCTTGGCCTTGTGGCTCCGCGCCGCCGCCAACGCCTGCCGCATCGCCGCCGCCGCGTCCTTGTCGGCCGGGTCCTGCTTCGTCGCCACCTTGAGCTCCGCGAGCGCCTCGGCGAGCGCCGCGCCGTCGTCCCCGCGCGCCATGAGCGTCCTAGCGCGCATCACGCGATACAGCACCTTGTCCGGACGCAGCGCCACGGCCCGCCCCGCGCAGTACTCGGCGCCGTCTGGGTCGCCGAGGTCGAGCAGGCATGCGGCCGCCGCGCACATGCTGCGCGCGAGCGCCCCCTTGGCGACCTGGCGGTCCTTCTCGGGCATGTCCTGCGCGTCAGGTGGGTGAGCAGGTGTGAGAGTCAACGTCGGGGGCTCGCGTTCCTCCGCGAACGTGGCTGCGGTGCGCCTTACGGCATGGAAGTTGGACAGTGGTGCCGCGGGGCGGTGAGACGCGGCAAGATACGTCGCGCAGATGCGCGGGAGGGGCGAGAGTGCGGGAAGGTGCTCACCGCGGTACCGTCGACGAGCTCCATCGCCTCGCTGTCTTGGTTCGGCGCGGGCCGCCGGAACCACATCAGGACACCGACGGCGAGCGTGAGCGTGTCCAGCGCCCCGGACGCGTCCCCTGACGCCATCTTTTCCTTGGCAGCGTCCGTGAGGTTCCGTGCCGTCTTGATACGCGCGCCCGGGTCCTTTCCCCGCGCCTGCGAGACGACGAGATGCGGAAGATGCGTGCGTGATGCCTCGCGTGCCGCGTCGACGCCCGAGTGCGATGCACGTGGCAGCGTTCCGTTGCGACAGAGGCGACGCGCTAGCGCCCCGCTCGCACCTCTACTATGTCCTTGCGGTCCACGACTGTGTTCTTCAGAAACTCAGGCGCGATGTTCCAGTCCCTGCGAGCGGCGGCGTCGCACGGGTCTTCGGCCGCGGCCTCGCAAACAGTGCGGCAACACCACACCGCATGCAAGGGCGCTCTGCTTCATCAAACACGGAAACTCAGGCATGAGAATGACTTTGATACCGCTACCATCTGTCAGGCGTCCCGCCACCGCCTCGCATGCTGCGCGTCGGCGTCGCTCGTGCGCATTGGCAGGCACACACACCTGCGTCCCGGGTGCTGCTTCAGCAGCTCGGTCTTCCGCCGCAGCGCCTCCGCCATCATGCGCTCGAGCGGACCGTCGGCCTGCGCCCCGTTCTGGCCCGCGGACGCCGGCATCGCGCCTCCTGCTCACGGAATTCCCCTCAATGTCCAGCCCCCCTTGACAGACGAAATACGAGATCTCTCCGTACGGTGAACGGCACGTGATCGACGCTGGCGGTCGGAACTGCGGGCGGGTGCGTGTTTCGTCGCAATTCAGACCCGGAGTTCGGACAGCGGGGCCTGTGACCTCTCATGGGGGTCTCCTGGCGCGCCCGACGGATGCGACGTCAGGGGCGGGGAGGGCCGCGGCGCGCGAGATGGCTCAGGAGGAGAGCGGGCCGCGAACGGCGTCCAGTGAAAAACCATGGCCCCCCGCAGGAAAGCGCGGGGCAGGTCGCTGCAGCTGGGGACCATGGGAGGCGCCCACTCGAAGAGCCGCCGCACCTCGTCGGCCTCGGGCGTCGAGACGATAGAGGCGAGGCTGGAGAAGAGGAAATACGCGCTGATGGACCTACCGGTGGACCTCATCATGCAGGTGACGGCACCAATCACTGTCGGACTCAACAGCCGCGCCCGCGGTCGACCGAGACCGAGCGATGCTAGGGTTTGCGCATTCTGTGCTCTGTGTATCCATCAAACACATCCTATCGTTTCGGCACCTCGAAAGTGCCTTGTATGCTGAGCACCGGCGCTGGTGGTTGAGGACACTCGATCCGTGATTCCAAGGCTCTTCCGTCCTCCGACTGCAGCACATACTCCCGCACCTGACTCTCGAGGACCTCGGACACGTCGTGCTGGCCTCGCGGCGCCTCAGGGAGATCGCGGAGCAGGTGGGAGGCCGTCCAACTGTGTACACTCGCAGCAGGATCTCCCGCGATTTCCTCGCAGCCCGTCCAACGACTCCGCGAACTGCACCGTGATTCCGCGTTGAATCAGTCGTCGCCATCGAACCCTGCTCGATGTGCTCGTACGTCGGTCGCGGCATTCGCCGCCTCGGGTGGCATCATCATCTGCGTGTGTGTGCTTGTCGACTTCATCGCAGGCGGACGCGGCGTGGGCCGGAGCGTTCGCGAAGAAGTTCGGCGGCAACGTCAACTCCGACGTCGTGCTCAAGCGCGCCGCCGAACTCGCCGGCGGTACGCACCCAGCATCACCGCCGCATGCAACATGGAATCTCAACTCAAATTGCATCCAACAAACACACCGGATTGCCGGCTCACCCCGGCTCCGCGCGACGGCACAAGCGCCCCCGTCGCGGCGCAGGGTGGCGGGCACTGTGCCGCGCCAGGCGCGACCGGCACATGGAGCAGAAAGCCATCGCGGACTCCCTACGCTCCCACGCGTGCCCGCCCTCGGACTCCGACGTGCGCTCGATGGCCGAGGCGGCCGGGGGCGGCCTCGCCGCGCACCTCCGCGCGAGCGACAGGGCCCTGAAGGCGTGCGCGGCGCCGACGGAGGTTCTGTTTTTGATCGACACGAGCAGCAGCGTGCAGAACGTCGACTTCAAGAACATGTGCTCCTTCGCGGCGGCGTCGATCCGGGCCGCAGCGTCCTCCGAGGTCGCGGTGTCGGTCGCGCTCTTCGACGAGTCCGTGCACTGGTGGCTCCTGCGCCAGCCTGCGACGGACGCGGCCGCCGACTTCGTCATGAAGATCGAGCGCCAGCACGGTGCGACGCCCCGCCGGGCGCCCGTTCTCGTCGACGGCTGCGCCAGCTGCCTCCCGCGCACCGAACCAGTGCTCCGAGACACAATGCGCGAACCTTTATTAGTGCTCTGCTCTTGCCAGGAGCGAAACGCTCGACTCTGTACCCTCAGCGGCCTCGACGCTTTGAACGCGCAGGCGGGACGGACATCCGCGGGGCGCTGGTCCAGGCCCGCGAGGTGCTGCAGGGGCGCCTTGTGCCCAAGTTGTGCACTCTCACCGACGACGACGACGACGGCGGCTCCGGAAACCATCCGTCCCTGGACTCGAGCCCCTCGACCTCCGAGGGCGGCTCGCCCGCGGGCACCCCCGCGTCCACGTCGCGCTTCAGCGCCGCGCAGGAGTCAGCGCCGCAGCTGCGGCACGTGGTCCTCATGTCGGACGGACAGGTGCACTACGTCAACGCGCAGAGCGTCCTGCACGCGGCCAAGGAGCTCGTCAAGGAGCTGCCGGGGACGAGCATCTTCACGATCGGTGCGCAGACCTAGCGCGCCCGCGTTTGAATCGCCTAAATTGCGCATGCGAGTCGCGGTACTGTCTGACCCTGAAGACTCACGAAACGCCCGCACGTGGTCCACGATACATCCGTGCAGGTGTCAGGCTGCAGACGTGCGTGGAAGCCGGGATCCTGGAGGACCTCGCACGCGTCTCCTCCTCGACGCAGGGGCTGAGCTCTCCGTTCGCGGAGGCCCAGCGCTTCCTGTCGCTCACAGGGAGCATTGCGAACGTCTGGTGACGGAAGGCGTCGAACGAGCGCGCGGCTGTCGCGAGGGAGATGGCTCCGTTCCTCGGCACCAGTTGTTGCCACAGTGGAAAGAGCCTGAGCGGGACCGACCGGCGGTCGGGATCGTGCTGCCTGCGCTGCACGAGGAGCTCGCGTCACACGTCCACGGATGCGCACTGCTGCCGTCGACAGGAGAGTTCAGGGTCACGGTGTAGCGCGAGCCGAATGTCAACATGTGAGCGACGCCCGCCCGCGCGCCCTCGTCACGACTCCGGCCCTGCGAGGCCTACGTGCTCGCAACGACCTTGGCGATCCTCTCCACCGCGACCTCGAGCGCCTTCTCGGAGCCCATCCACGCGAAGCACACGCGGAAGAACCCCGGCTCCATGGCGTGACACTCCCCCCCTGGCGTCAGGAGCAGCCGCTGCTCGACAAGCCGCCCCCACAGCTCCTGCTCGCCCGCCCACGTCTTCTCGCGGAGCCCCTTGCGCAGGTCGATCCAGCAGAACATCGCGGAGGAGCTGTCCGCGTGCGGGATGCCGTGCTTGTCCAGCGCCGCCGTCAGGGCTCCGTACGCGCCGGCGAGGGCCGCGTTGTTGGCCGCGAGGTACGCCTCGGTCCAGGCCTCGTCCTCGAGGAGGCACGCGAGCGCGTGCTGCGTGTGGTTGGACACCGCACAGAAGTAGCTTATGTTGGACAGGGCGTTGTGGATGGGCTGCGAACGAGAGATGAGGATGCCGCAGCGGAGCCCGCTCGCGCCGAAGTCCTTCGAGAAACCTGCGGGGAACAACAGCGGCGGGCTTCGAATGAGCGCGCGGGCGCCCACGTCCCGGCCTCGCCCACTACGGTGCTTGAGTGGCGTTCGCGAGCGTGTCACGCACCGTACAGCACGTGGATCAGGTTGTCCATCTTCTCGGCGACGTCCGGAGCACAGGACTGCCGCATGCTGTCCACGACGGCCGCGGCGCTCACGAAGGGCGCGTCGTCGTTGGCGCGGAAGCGCGAGTTGGCGTAGATCTCGTCGCACAGCAAGTGCACCTGCGCACGGAGGCAGAGCGCGGACCGCTCGTTCGAATCGAAGGCAGTCGACGCCGGGACGCGCGGGCACAATGACATGAAGCCCGGGGGGGGAGTCGTACGTTGCGCTCAGTGCACCACTCGATGATGGCCCGCAGCTGCGCCTCGGAGAACGTTCGGCCGAGGGGGTTCGAGGGGTTCGTGATGAGGATGTTTCGCACTCGCGAGCCCGCCGCCGTGGCCTCGTCCGCGGCCCTGGCGAGCTGCTCTTTGATGACGGAGGGTTCGACTTGGATCGAATCGTTCTGCGCGATGTCGTCCGACACCCACACGGGCTTCGGGATCGCTCCGGCCTTGACCTTGAGGTCGTTGTCGAAGGCGGGGTAGTACGGCGCGATGATCAGCGCCGTGTCGCCCGGGTCGCACGTCAGGAACACCAAGTTGTCGATGATCGCGCCGCAGCCCGCGGAGATGCACACGTCGTCCGCGGTCGCGGGGCGCGCGCACCCGGACAGGAAGGTGCGGTTCGCGAACGCCGAGACGGCCTCGCGGAGCTTCTCGGTGCCCTTCATGTTGTCGTAGCCCAGGGACGCGCTCGGGAGAGCGGGCACCGAATTCATCCTGCGATCGGTGTGTGTTCGGCGCGACGCGTCGTGAGTGGCGCCGTGCGGTCGAAGGCTACCCGCCGTCCGCGTGGCTTGCGAGGGGCAGGCGCCACGCCGCACCTTTCGGCGATCATGTTGCTCAGGAACTTGTTTTCAGCGACTGTCAGCGATATCCAGCCTTCCGAGTTCTTCTCGCTCCACAGGTTCGCCATAGACTGCATGAAGAGCCAGATTTCGGCGCGATTATGCATAATGATGTCGTTTGGACCGTCCCGGGGAGGGGAGAAGAGTCCGGGAGGAATCTACGACGGCTGCAGCGCGTGGAGCGCGCGTCACGGGTTGAAAAGCAGCGCGCCGTGAGGTATGGTGGATGAAGATGAGGGACAGCTGATGAAGGCTCCGTCTGAGCGCCTGTCGGGCTCCGGCCGTCGATGAGGTGAGATGATGGGCAAGCGCAATTGAGGCGCTCCAGGCGCAATGGGCCGGTGCCAATCCATCTCGTCGTATACTCCTGCCCCGTACAACATGCATCACGGGCGGCGCACCTCGAGAAAGATGTTCAGGTAGGACAGAGGCGGCTTGCTCGCCACGGCGCTGCGCGCCGAGAGCAGCGGCTGCTCAATCGGTGCCATGTCGCCCGCCGCGGTTGCTTGATCTGATCCGTCCACGCTAGTGGCGCTCACAGCGGTCAACGCGCGTCGGAATGCGTGAGCGGTATGCGCGCGCCGAGCGCGCTGTGCTACTGGAACGGAGCCACCCGGGACGGCGCGGAATCCACGCAGTTCTACTGGTCCTGGAAGCGCCATCGAACGCAACACGAGGCCGGACTGCGGCTCCGGGCAAGGCAATGGCGGGAGGGCCGCGGCGGCCCGGGACGGTCCGACCCAGTCAGTGCCAACACCAACACTCCCCAGCATTGAGTCAAGTCCCGGCCAGACAGACGAATCCCTGCGCACAGGTTCGGCGCGTCGAGCAGCCGCGCGCCTACGAACCCCCCCACGCGACCACTTGCGTGCGTGCGCCCACAACGACGAACACAACCACAGCATCGGCTCTTCCTCGCCAACAACCGCAAAGTAGCGATCGACCGCGGTCAACGCCCTGCACGCGCGTCACGCACCAGCCTCACAGCCCGCACGCGCTCACTGCTTCTTCGGCTTGGCCAGCGCGGCCTTCGCGAGCCCGACCAGCCCCCGCGCACGCACGCCCAAGTTGTACCCGTAAAACATCTTGATCAGCGACGACACGAAGTCGAACGCGCTGTCCGCGACGGGGTACTGCAGCGGCGGCGGAATCGTCGTCCGCATCAGCCACCCGACGCGGTCCTCGCACACCGCCTTGGGCACGCACAGGCCGCGCAGGCCCTCGATGCCCGCGAAGCGGTCGAAGCCGGAGTCCTTCACGCCGCCGAACGGCAGCGACTGGCACATGTACGTCGTCGCGAAGTCGTTGATCGACGACATGCCGGCCTCGAGGTTCTCCGCGATGCGCCGCGCACGCGCCTGGTCGCGCGAGAACACGGACGAGCCGAGGCCGAAGGGGCAGTCGTTCGCGAGCTCGACGGCCTCGTCGTCGTCGGAGAACGCGCACGCCACGAGCACGGGGCCGAAGACCTCCTCGGCCCAGATGCGCATCTCCGGAGTGACGCCGATGAGGACCGTGGGGGGGTAAAACATGCCCTTGGAGGCCCCGCCGCGCGGGAGGTTGCCGCCCGCGAAGCACTTGGCGCCCTTGGCGATCGCGTCGTCGACGAGCTCCTGGACCTTCTCCGCGAGGCCCGGGAGGCACATGGCGCCGCAGTCCACGACGCCGGCGCCGGTGGGCGGGCCCTGGCGGAGGCTCTTCGCGACCGCGGCGACGCGCTTCGCGAACTCCTCGATCAGGGACTCGTGCACGAAGAAACGCTCCGCGCCCGCGCAGTTCTGCGCACCAGACCACAACAACACAACGCGAGCAAGCTCAGCAACACGTGCGTCGCAGCCGCGTTCGACCAGGCAAGCGAGGCGTCGCCGAACCAAGGCACGCGGTCACGCAGCCTCGCAGCAGCACAGCTCCGGCCCGTCCGCGGGGACGCGCGCACCTGGCCGCACGACTGGAACGCTCCGCGCAGCGCGGTGGGCACGACCTCGTCGAGGCGCGCGTCGTCGCAGATGATGAACGCGTCCTTCCCGCCGAGCTCCAGCACGACGGGCGTGAGCGTGTCCGCGGCCGCCTGCATCACTTTCTTTCCCACCTCTGTGGAGCCCACAAAAATGACCTTGTCGCATCCGCCCGTGACGACCGCGTTCCCGGCCTCCGCGTACCCCGTCACGATCTGCACGAGGTCCTTCGGCGCGCCGGCCGCCTCCAGCGCCGCGTCGATGATGCGCTTGTAGTAGGCCACCGACCACGACGCGTGCTCCGACACCTTGATCACGATCGCGTTCCCGGCGAACAGCGCGGCGGTCAGCGGGTTGAACACGTTGTGGAACGGGTAGTTGAACGGCACGATCGCGCCGACCACGCCGACGGGGACGTACTCCACGCGCGCCGACTTGTAAAACATCATCGCGCCGGCGGGGCGGCGCTCGGGACGCAGGTACTGCTCGCCCTCCTCCGCGAGCCAGCGCAGCTTCTCGCACGTCACGAGGACTTCGCCGAACGCCGCGTCGACCAGCGGCTTCCCGGAGTCCCGGGCCGCCACGCGGCAAATCTCGCGCTGGTGGTCGATGATGTACCTGCGGGAGGGGGGGGTGAGTGTCACGGAGGGAGGATTGTTTGAGGGGATCTGGCAGCGTCCGTGGCGAGGCGGGGGCGTGTGCGTCGTTGTATTTAGGCGTGTGAAAAGTGGTGGCAGGTGCTCACTTGAGGATGATGCGCATGAGCATGCGTCGCTGGGCGAAGGAGGAGGTCTCCCACTCCTCCTGGGCCGCGCGCGCCTTGTCGATGAGGCGCACGACCTTGCTGCGCGTCATCGCGGGCTGGTATCCCAGGAAGTACATTGTCGCGGGGTCGTAGCAGGGCACCTTGCCCTTCACGTCGTGCTTCGCGGGCACGTACTGCTCCGCGTCGATGTTCTCCTCCTCCTCGTCTGCGCGCAGCCGGAACGGAAGCGGCGTGAGGCGGCCGCGCGCGCGGAAAGCAGCGAGAGTGGTTGAGGCGGGCGCGGGCCGCACGCGCTGCAGGCGGTGCGACGACGCCCTCGGCGATCTGCGCGTCGAGAAGTCAGCGACCGCTCGACGGCTTCTCTGCCCGCATCCCGCGCGCCCTGAGGCTCCACGCGCCGTTCAGCACACCATGGCCTGAGGGCGGGTGCGAGAGGTGGCGACGCGGAGCGGTGCGTTTCGTTGCATGGCCGGAGACTCCAAGCTCACCTGGCGTCATCGGAACATCGAGCGTCGGGATGTTGGGCGTCAGGAGCCACGAAACAGCCACGTACACCAGCGCCGCCGCCAAGGCGACCTTGACGACGAGGTACACGTCGAGAGAGCGAAGCTCCTCCGGCACGGCAGGAAGCTTGGCGATCACGTCGCCGATCGTGATGGTCGACATCTCGGCTGAATCCACCCAGGCCTCGAGGGACCTGCGCCCCACTCAAGCTGCCCTTCTGCCTCCGCCCTGCTGCGGCTCGAGGTCCAACCCGGCGGCCGTGCGACGTCTATGTCGCCGCAAGAAGCTGGCATATCCGCGCCGCGCCCGCAGCTCTCGTTGCCGCGCCGGTCCGGCCGCCCGGGGCCGTCCCCACCTGCGTCGTGTCATCCCTATGAAGCGGGGCTGTGCGACGGGGGTGCGGAAGCTGATGGCCGCGGCGACGTCGCGCGGCAGCGGCACTTCGAACGGGCAAGCTGCGATCACGCTTGACCCGAGGCGGAGCGGCGCCAGCGCGGCGTGTGCGTGACGCGGGACGTTGTCCAGAGCTTGGTGCCGGGGGAGCACGGGTCCGGAGCGTGCATGCCGGGGGAGGGTGAAGGAGGATCGTCGAAGATTGCGTCGCTGTTCGAGAGGCTGGTCTCCGCGAAGATGGCGGCGGGCGGGACGGACGTCACTGCTGGGATGGTGGACGTCACCTCCACGATCGGTGCGCGCTGGGCCCGCGCCTGAGACCTGCCGCAAGCGCGCCTCGTCGTCTTGGCTGCAGCGTGAGCCGTGCGGCGCTCTTCTGCGAGCACCGACTTCTGTGTGACGGACGACGTTTGCTTGTGCTGCAGACGCCGCGTGCGCCGCGATGGAGCCGGCCGAGATGGTTCACGTCGAGGACTTCAGTCTCAGCCACGCGATGTCTGCGCTCGAGATCGGATGCAAGAAGATGGACCTTGGATTGATCGAACAGGACGAGAAAGACCAGAGCCCACTCAAGCTCGTCGCGGGCGGCGCAGCGCCCTCCAACCTGTCCCCCGAGCAGGTGCGCGGCTCGCTCAGCTCGTTGCGGAACCGCTCAGCGGCGTCCGTGAAGCTTTCGCGGTGCGCCGGAGCGCGCGCTCTCCCTCGCAAGCTAGGCCTACAGCCCCTCGCGCTGCTTCTGTGCGGGCTGCAGGTCGTCGGCGTGATGAACGGGCTCCTGCGCGCGTACGCCACGTACCAGACGGGGCAGTCCCAGGCGCAGACGGTCGCGTGCTCGCTGTACCTGGCGTGCCCGGGTGAGGCAGGCTCCACGCCGTGCCTCGACGCCTTCTGCGCCGCGCTCGCGAACGCCATCGACAAGACCATCAACATCTGCATCGACGGCAACGTCGCGATGGACGACGAGGTCCAGATCCGCGACACCTCCGCGGGCCAGGTCAAGCCTGCCTGCTCCTCGGAGAGAGCACGCACCATGGTCGCCGCCGCCGAGAAGCAGGCCGGCGCCAAAGGCTGCCCGGTGCAGCGCCAGATCGCCCGCCGCCTCACCTTCGTCCGCGAGCTCCTCAGCGCGCTCGAGCACGGCCACAAGGCCACCCGCAAGTCGTTGCGCGAGGCCGCGCGGCATGCCGACCGCGCCGGCGCCGCGCTGGCGGCCATCGCCGAAGAAGACCCGCCCGCGCCGCCCGCCCAGGACGCGTCGCCGGCCGCCGACGGCGACCTCGGCGTCGGCTTCGTCCCCGACCTCGTCCCCCGCCACAAGTTGCCACTCCCGCGTCAGGTCAACATCCTGACGTGGCAGGGCGCCCTCGAGGAGCTGCGGCGGCTGCTCGAGGCGCTGCGCCTCGCGTGCACCGTCGCGAACGTGGACCGCTGGGACAGCTTGCGCGAGCTCTTATTCCGCGTGTCACGGCTGGGACCCACGCCACCAATTCCACGCTCCGTTCTGCATCTAGCGGCAGGTGCGCGTCGCGTCCCGCTGCACGGAGCGTCGCGCGCGATGCGGGGAAGCCTGCTTGGCGAATGCAACTCCGCGACGCGCGCGCGTGTGTTCGTTGCAGTGCCGAAGACGCAGCCAGCAGGGCACGCGCCCTCGCAGCAGCCGGACCGCTCCGCCGCGCCGTACCAGGCGTGCGCGCGGCTGTACCTCGAGGGCATGGGCCTCCCGGAGTCCGCGGGCTCCAACCCGGCGTTCACGGAGCTGCTGGACCGCGCAGAGACGACGCTGCGCACGCACGTGCAGATTCTGTGCCTGCAGCGGACGTGGTCGCAGCGGAAGCTCCGGCGGTACCTGGACGACTGGCGCCTGCTGTACGAGGAGGCCGAGAAGGCGGACGCGAGCGGGGCCATGGGGCGGCTGCTGTCGGAGGGGAAAGCTGCAGGGCAGTGGGACCTGAGGGGGCAGGCCGGCGGGCAGCGGCCGGTGTGCTGCTGGGTCGAGCGCGAGGCGAGCCTGACGATGGCAGAGCACCTCCTCGCCGGCCTGGAGTGCGAGCTGTATGGCCAGGTGCGGCACCGCAGCACGCGTTAACGCCCCGCACCCTGCTCCGTCCGCTGCGGCGGAACGGGGCTGCGTCTGCGGGTCTCGCGTCTTCCAGGCTCAGCGCCGTTGGTTCGTGCGACGGTGCGAGTGCAGAGGGAGTTTCAGATGGTGTACTGGTATCTGGACCGGCTGCTGACTATCGGGGTGCAGAATTCGCGCGCGCTGCACGACCGGCACGCGCTCCTCGCCGGAAAGAAGACGCCCCAGGCCGCGGCGGCGACCGCCGCTTCGATCCGCGACCTCTGCATCCTCGAAGCCCGGCAGTCGCTGTGCTCCTGCATGACGCGCATGTGCGCTGCGCTGCGCCTCTGCGGCCTCCTGCCGCCGGCCTTCGAGGGGCCCTTCAACAGGTAAGCCCCGCGACGCGCCGCACTGCCACGGTGCCTTCTCGGCACGTCCGTGGCTCGGTCGCACGCTCGAGTCATCATCCGCGGCGGGTTCCTGGCCGCGGCGCGCGTGTCCATGTTGATCGCTGCGCTGTGTGCTCGTGCGTCGCAGCGAGGAGCAGTGGTTCGACCAGCGCTTCATGTCGTTCCACTTCGTGCCCCGGCCGGAGCCGCTCGCGTACGCGGATTACCTCGCGAGCACCGACACAGCAAACGTGTCGCCAGTGCAAATGATCACGTACACGATGGACAACTTCACGAGCGCCGGGCGCGTGCTCCAGGTGGTCAAGGCCAACCCCGGCAACGCGCCCGCGCTGCCCGAGGACGTCGAGCGGAGCGTGGACGGGATGGTGCGCGTGGTGCAGCAAAACCTGCTGGCGTGCAAGCTGCTGCTGGGTCTGGTGAGCGCGGGGACGCCGCCGAGGGAGCGCGGCATGGTGGCGGAGCTCAAGCTCACCGGGGTGCACCCTCACTTCCCCGTGCTGTCGCTGTCGAGCTCGAAGAAGGGGAAAAAGTGAGGCGATGTGTGTGATTCGAGGAAGGAAGACTGGCGTTCAACGCTTTGGAGATGTGCCGCCTGGGCGCGGAGTATCGAACGAGGGGTGTCGGCGGCTCGCGCGCTGGGACGATCGTCGCCCGGGAGGCCTGCGCGGACCTCATGTCTGTCATGGGGTTCCGTGCCCGACCGGGTGGGCCGGGGTTTTGGGGGGCCGCAGCCGCGCGCCACGCGCACGCAGCAACGCGCCGCATCTGTTCAGGATGACGGGGTCGTGCAAGCGGGCGCCAGTGGTGCGCAGCCCGCAAATCAGGCCCAGGGCCGCCCCAGCGGGCGCGAGGCCTCCGGGGCTGCACGGGCGCGCACCCGGCCTCCACTCCCGGCACCTGCCCGCGTGCCAGCTGAGGAGACACGCGCAGCAGCGGCGGACGGAGGCCGCGGCCGAGGCTGCGAGCGCGGGGCTGGCTGATGCAGACGAGCAGATGCGCTTCGGGCCGCCGCGTCGCACGCCGGAGAAGACCGCGATCGTCGGGGGCGGGCCCGCGGGGCTGGCGACCGCGATCATGCTCGCTCGGAGGGGCTGGAAGAACATCACGGTGAGTGAGAGCGACGCTGGGGCGCCCGCTTTGCTGTGCTCCCCCAGCGCGTTTAGGCCCCCTGCATGCCGACGTACGTGGTCCTACCTACGTTTCCGCGCGCGCCCTGGGGCGCGATGGTGATCAGCTTCGCATCTGAGCGAAGAGGAACGCTGCGGCACGGAGCGCACGCGCGCACACACCACCCTAACCCGCAATGCTCTCCCCGTCCCGCTGCAGGTCTACGACCGCCTGGAGGCTCCGCCGAAGCCCGGCGCGAAGGTGTGGGGCAACGCGGACCGCAGCTACAACCTCGGCATCAACGGTCGCGGCCAGAAAGCCCTCAAGGTGCGCGCTCCCCTCTCGCACCACTGCACCTCGTTTTCCGCCCTCCGCCAGCCCCCACGAGCTGAACAGCCCCGCACACCGCATGTCACGTGCGACGAGTACCGTTTTCCGGCGCAGGGTCTGGACGCGCTCGACTCAATACTCCCCTGGGCCGCACCGATCACCGGACGCATGGACTGGGACGACCAGGGGCGCACAAACCTGCGCGAGGCGAGCAACAAGACGACGACCACCGTCGTCATCCAGCGCGACAGGCTCGTCGCGTGCCTCCTGCAGGAGATCCACCAGAAGTACCGCGCCGCCGTGACCGTGCAACACGGCGTCGAGTGCGTGGGCGCGGACTGGTCCACCGCGGCGACGCCCGCGGGCCTCCCGCGCTCCACGGCGGTCCGCACCGCGCCCGTCATGCTCGCGGTCGCGCCCGTCGCGGCGCTGCGGTCCGAGGAGGACCTGCAGGGCGAGATGATTGGCGTTGACGTCGACCTCATGGTGGCCGCGGACGGCGTGCGGAGCTCCGTGGTGGAGGCGCTGTCGCGCGCGCCGGACTGCGAGATCCGGTGGAAGGCGTACAAGGAGAGCAACACGCGCGTGTACAAGACGGTGGGCCTGACGATTCCTGACTCATGGCGGAAGGACCTCAACTACTCGGCGAACGCGCTCGGGGGCAAGGGCATCACGCTCGAGGCGCTGCCGACCGTGGAGGGCAACCTCGTCGGGCTGCTGCTGTTCAAGCCGGAGAACGAGCGGATGGCGCAGGTTCAGACGGAGGACGACGCACGCGCGCTGTTCGAGGAGTGCTTCCCGGACTTCCTGCCGCTCGTCAAGCCGGGGGAGTTCAAGGCGCTCGCAGGTGCGTGTGGGCTGCGCCTGGCTGCGAGGTGCGCGCGGCGTGGAACGCGACAGCTGAAATCATGACGTGCGGTGCGCTGGTTCGTCTCGATTGATTGCAGAGCGCCCGATCTGCCGGTTCCCCGGGTTCCAGTACGCGGGGCCAGCGCTGCACTGGGGCGCGAGCGCGGTGCTGGTCGGGGACTCGGTGCACACCGTGAAGCCTTATTTTGGGGTGGGCGTGAACTCGGCGTTCGAGGACGTCGCCACGCTCGAGGATTGCCTCGACAAGGCCTCGGACGACCCGAAGCGCGCGCTCGAGCTGTACTCGCGGAGACACGCCCCGAACGCCAGGGCCCTCGTGGTGCGTGCCGACCCTGCGCTGCGCTGCACGCCGCCACGCATTGCACAGCGCACCCGCGCGTCTCGCTTGCGCAGACCCGTCGCTGAGCGCACGCACATCCTGTTCGGAGCGCAGGAGATGTCCCGGGACCTCGACCGCGGCTTCTTCCGGTTCGTGTTGCCGCTCATTTTGGACGGCATGTTCCACAGCTTCGCTCCGGACTTCTTCGCGCCGAACACCATCCGCATGCTGCAGAAGGACGACTGGTCGTTCGCGGCGATCCAGCAGCGCAAGCGGCGCGACCGCATGGTCCAGTGCGGCGTGCTCTTCTCCGTCCTGGCAGCCGTGCTGTTCGCGCTGCGCACCGCAATCAGCACGGCATGGAGCGCGGTCTGCGCGGCGCTGCCGGCCGCCGCCGGTGCGCTTTGAGACCCCCGAGCCGCTGCACGCCCCGCGCGCGCGCGTCCAACGACCTGGGCGTGTTTGCTGGTCGTCAGCTGACCCAGGCATCCCTTGTGCAGCTACGCGCATCTTCTTTTTTCCCCGCGGACAACTCCCTCACAGTCTCGCCGCGATCCGCGACGCAGCGCCGCGCTAGCGACTGCCTGTGACGCTGAACGACCGTCGTCGTCGTCGCCCCTACCCACTCGCCCTATTCCACCAAGGGAACTCCACTCAACATTCCAGGTCTATTAAACCTCCACGTTCTTCATTCCCTTCCACGCGGTGGTGTCCAGGCGCTTGACCATCGCGCGGACCTGCTTCCCCGGGCCCAGCTCGTACATCTCCGTCTTCCGCTCCCCCAGCAGATACCGCACAGAGTCTTCCCACATCACCGGCTGCACCACCTGCCGCCTCAGCAGCGCACGGATCTCCTCCGCGGACTCGAACGGCCTCCCCGTCACGTTCGATATCACGGGGATCCGTGGCATCTCGACGGCCACGCCCTCGAGCGCGCCAGCGATCGCCTCGGACGCCCGCGCCATCAGCGACGTGTGGAAGGCTCCCGCGACCGCCAGCATCTGCGTCTTGAGCGCGCCCTGGCCGTCCGCGAGCTGCTTCGCCACCTCCAACGCCCTGGTGTGGCCGGAAATCACGCGGCCCTGCGGGAACAGGCGGTTGGTGACCTCGCAGACGACGCCGTCGCCGACCTGCGCGCGGGCGTCCGCGGCCACGCGCTCCACGACGTCGTCGGTGAGCCCGGTGACCGAGAGCATCCCGTGGGGCTCGCCCGCCGCGGCCGCCTCGGCCATCGCGGCCGCGCGTGCCGCCACGACCCTCAGCGCATCCGTGAAGCTCATCGCGCCCGCGAACACAAGCGCGGGGTACTCGCCCACGCTCAGCCCGGCGACGGCGGCGCAGTGCTTGACCGTGCGCGGGTCCTCGGCGCGGAGCTTCTCGACCGCGGCCAGCGCCGCGACCAGCAACGCGGGCTGCGCGTGCTCCGTCGCGTCGAGCTTCGCCTTCGGTCCGTTGAGGCAAACGTCGAGGAGATCGTAGCCGAGGACCGCGTGCGCCTTGTCGAGCATGGCACGCACCGCCGGGAGGTCCTGCGAGCGGAATGGGGGAGGGAGAGGTGTTTTTGGTCACAATACGGTAACAACTGATTGCGCGTGGTTGCAGTTGCGGGCTTGTGTTGCGGTGGCTTGCGGGCACGGCGCACCTGGACCTCCTTGAGCATGCCCACCGCCTGCGATCCCTGTCCGGGGAAGAGGAAGCAGACCGGCGAGGTCGCAACGTCAACAAAGTCCTCGCCACGCGCCAGCGCCAGGCGACGCAGGCGGCGCTGCGACTTGCGCGCCGCCTTGGCTGCCGCCTCGCGCTCGTTCCGGACCGCCTCCGGGTACGCGGGCACGAAGTCGCGGTCCCAGGACGCCACCACGTCAGGGCCGTAGTCATACAAGGCCCAGAAGTCACCGATGTCCTTGTGCGGCTCGCGGGCCTTGGGCGTCGCGGCGTACCGCTTTTCCAGCTCGAGGAGCCTGTCGCGCATGAAGTCCTCCGCGAGCTCGTGGGGCCGCTTCCGGCCAGGGTCGAGGTAGGGGTCGTAGTCGTCCGTGAGGATCGACGGGTCGGCCCCCCGGGACTGCAGCGTCGGGTTCGGGGAGAGTACGCCGTGTGGCCGCGAGAAACGGCGCTCGTTGCGCTGGGACGGATGATTTGGGGCCGTGAGTCTCACCAGAAGATACTCGTACATCTCCGGGCCGCCGGGGTAGTGCGCGACGATCGCCGCGCGGTGCAGGGGCGTGTACCCGCGCGTGTAGTCCCGCTGGTTTACCTCCGCGCCGTTGTTCAGCAGGTGGTGGACCTGGAAGGCGCAGAACCGGAGGCGAAGTGCTCAGAGTTCGAAAGTATCGAGGGAGCCCGCACGGGGCGCTGACGTCCTCGATCGCGCGTCTCGGGCGTCGCGAAGCGGCGTTACATTCCTTGCAGAGCGAGCGAGCGGCAAAGATGGCCGCGAACGCGGCTACGCGCTCGTGTGCGCGCGTTCGTTCTGTCCAACGTTGCGCAGATCGCACGCCTCGCCGCTGCCACGCAACGAGCGGCTCCAGCGCGCGGCGCACAGGGGCGCACCATATCGAGCTGCGCGTAGGTGACGGCGAAATGCACCGGTGCGCCGCCGCCCTCGTCCTGTGTGATATAGTAGCAGTCGACCGACATAATGCGCCGCAGCATGTCCGGGTCGCCGAGCCGGGCGCAGGAGTAGAACGCGAAGGGATCGTAGCGCGTGCGGGGGTGGTACCGGCCCGTGCCGGACATGTCACGCGGCATCTTGTCGCCTGCGAAGCAACGACGTGTTCCAAGCGGCGGGCGGACGTCTTCGCGCGGGGGCTGCGAGCGCGGTCTCTGGCGCGTGGTCTCGCGTGGAGGTCTCGCGCGAGAATTGCCCGCCCGCGCCGTGCCGGCGGCCCCAGTAGGGGGGACACGACACTGCCCCGGGGGCATCGTTGTCTCCGATGGGGCTGCTCTGCCCGACATGGCGTCAAGCACGGCCGTGAGCGCCCCCACGGACGCAGTAGCTCTCAGGCGAGCTCCGCAGCGCTTGAACGATGCCGGCAAGTTGTGTGGCCAGCGGGGCGCCCCAGACGCTGCTGCGCCGCAGCCCGTGCGCTCGCCGAGTCCGCTGCCAGGCGCTGCGGGACCGGTCGTCTTCCGCTCGCGATGAAGCACATCTGAACAGCGCCCTGAGCGGCCTGTCGCGGGAGAGGGTGGTCGGATTTGTCGCGGGGGCGGCCTTGAGCCTGCTTTGCCTAGGGTCATCCTCTCCGGCGTCCATCGCGGCGAACGATCCGGCCAAGGAGGGCACCCTGAACGACCCCAACCGCTGCGAGATCTCCGCGCTGGACAAGTTCGCCTCGATGAGGGCGTCGTTCTCCGCGGAGGCCGGCTCGGGGCAGGTCAACGAAATCCTAGTCGATGTCTCAGGGTGCACGAACTTCGCTGGCAAGGTGCGCCGCCCACTAGCTGCGACGTGGCCATACCCGGCACGTGCGGGCTCGCGGGCGCTGCGGGGGTCCGTTTACGGGGGCTGAACGCTGCTTGTGTGCGCTGCAATGTGCTTTGCGCGACGTAGCGGCGACCGTGCGCGCGGCCGAGGTCTGCAGGACGTGAGCGGGAAGGTGCTGTCGGGGATCAACATGGAGGACGCGTCGTTCAAGGGCGCGAAGCTCGTCGGTTGCGAGATGAGCCGCACCAAGGCCAACCGCGCAGATCTCTCCGGGGCCGACCTGACCGACGTCAACGCGTACGGCGCGACCTTCGACGGCGCGGACCTGAGGTGCGCGCGCGCGGGCGTCGCCGGAGCAGCCCGATACCGTCGCGGCGGCCATCAAGTTGCGCGACGCGGCAACGCGCTGTGTTTTGTCGTTGCAGGGGGGTGTCGTTCGAGAACGCGATCCTGAGCGGCGCGACGTTCGGAAAGGACCGGCAGTCCGGGCAGTGGGCGAACATGGAGGGCGCGCAGTTCGAGGGGGCGCTGCTGTCGAGCAGCGACGTCCAGCGGGTGTGTCTCAACCCGACCCTGACTAAGGAGCAGCGCAAGTACGAGCTGGGGTGCAGGAACTGAGCCGCACGCGGGCGCTGGGCGGAGCGGCGCCGGTGTGAGAGACTGGTGCGCCAGCGCGCCGCCGAAATACGACAACAACAGCAACGGTGCATCTGTAACGTGATTGGTGGCGTGTTCGTGGGAAGTGGCTGTCGCGCGATGCTCAGGGGCGGTACAGGGCCTGCATGAACGGGACAGGGGCCGACGAGCGCGCGCGGGGCGCAGCCGGCGTGCCGCAGCGCAGCTGATGTCAGCTACTGGCCAGCAGGACGGTTGGGGGAATCCGGCGCGCACCCGCGCGCCTGTGGCGAGCAGGCGGCCGCACTTGGCGCGCGGGTGCTGCCTGCGCCGCGGTGCAGCTCTCCGCCCGCCTGGCAGGGCCACACGAGACGGCCTGGGGGTGTGAGCCGAGCGAATCTGGTCGCCGCCGGGCGACGAGTGCGCGCGTGGTGGGCCGCCCGCGATGTTTTCCTGAGTCGTGTTGAACCACCAGCGAGCCATGTTCTCCCGTGCCCTCGTCCCGCGCCCGGTCGCCCTGGTCCGCCCGGCACCTCGCAGGTACGGCACTCCGCGCGGCCACGTGCGACCGAACGCACGCGAACAGGCGGTCCATATACCCACGACCTCCGCGTGAGCGGACATCGCCAATGTGCGATGCCTGTGGCGGCACAGCAGCCGTTTTCGCCCGGTCGCGTTTCTCGCCGCCTCGTGCGCCCGGATATCGCACAGCGCGGGATTTCGCCACCGCGATGCGTTGTTGAGAAGTCTCCCAACCCCAAACGCGCCGCGAGCCGCCGCACAGCCCCCGCGCGTGCCGTGGCCGCACCTCACCCGAGCGCTCAGCCACTCCAGACGTTTCCACCCGCGCCAACGGCCCGCCCACGTCTCCCGCCACACGCCGCACGCGCTCGCCCGCTCCCCTCCGTCCCGCACGACCCGCTGCGCGCGACTCCAGCACCGCACCGCGGCCCGCACCCACCAGCATCCTCTCTCTGCGATACCGCGCCGCAGGGCCGGCACCGTGCGCGCGCAGCGCCGCGCGGTCGCCGTGCGCGCCATGCTCGCGACGGAGGGCGTCCCGGAGGACATGTACCCCAACCCGAACTTCGTCAAGGCCACCCTCGCCGCCTTCCCGGAGAAGGCTGTTGCCACAATCGAGGAGTCTAGGGTGAGCCCGCCGCCGCCCCGCCCGTGCCGCGCAGCGCCGCGCCCCCGCAGCGCCGCCACGTGCATCCCCGCGCCTCGGCCTCGGCCGGCACCGCTGCCGGAACGCGGCCCGCCCGGCAGCGCGCGCAATCGATGGAGTTGCGGCATCTAGCCGCGCTGCTCCGTCGCGGACCGTGCGGCATTGCGCCGTTTCGCGCGCTCCGTGCGTCATTTGGAGGTGTATTGAGGTTGCGACGGCGCGGTTTGTCTCGGTGCGTCCCGCAGGCTCTGTGGGAGCAGGGTGGGTACTACATCCTGGACGTTCGGTCGGACTTTGCGTACGACCAGGGCAAGGTCAAGGGCGAGCGCGTGGTCCACGTGCCGCGCAACCTGTGCAAGACCCGCTGGGACTCGGCGACCAAGTCGCGCGCGTACGACTACACCCCCGTTGCGGACTGGAAGGACAAGGTCTCCAAGGCGATCCCCGACAAGAAGGCGAAGATCCTGGTGATGTGCGCGGACGGGCGCACGAACGCGATCGACGCGCTCGAGGACCTCGACGCGCTCGGCTACTCGTGCATCGTGGGCATGAAGGGCGGCTACGGCGCGTACTCGTTTGTGTTTGACAACAAGGGCGCGCGCCGCGTGCACGGAGAGTACAAGGAGAACTACTCGCACGGCGCGGACACCGCGGGCATCCACGCGTCGGGCGCCGGGTTCGCGAAGATGGACCCGAAGGAGGCCGTGCTCATCATCCACTAAAAGGGGGGTGTGCGAATCGCGGATAGGAGGGTATAATCGGAGGCCGCGGGGTGCTGGGGCGAGGGGGATATAGGGCAGGGAGCGGGAGATATAGTCCAGCGCCGCCGGCTGTGTAAGACGACGACTCGGCGACGCGCCGCGGCGTGACACGTTCACACATCGCGCCGCAGACCTGGCCTCTGCGGGGCCGCCCGGAGGCGTCGCGTCCGTGCCGCGGCGATCAGTCTGCCTTGTTCTCTGCGTCCGACTGCGTGGCGCGGTCTCCGGCCCCGTCGGCGCCCTCCTTCGGGCTGGCGTCGCCCTTGGATGGCGCGAGGCGGTCCGTTTTCGCCTTCTGGTCTTCCAGCGCCGCCGTCCTGCTCTCGACGGCCGCCTTGATCCACGCCTTCTCCTGCGCCTTCCGCTTGTCGTTGACCCTGTCGACGCACCGCTGCAGCGCCAACCGGCTGAACGCCTGCAACCAACAACACACAAGAACATCAACGCGGTGAGCGGAACAGAGGGGGGTTTTGCACCAGACGCTCGCACAGCCACGTCCCGCCTGGAACGAGGAGGCAGGCGCGCGGGCACGTACCGCAGACAGTCCGCCGCCCAGGAGCGCGGGCCCGAGGTTTCCGTGCGTGACGACGGCCGTCGTGAGCAGCACCACGCTGCCGTAGATGCTGCGCGCGCCGCGCAGCAGCTGGAAGGTCGCCATGCGCCGCGCCGTCTCCCGCGCGAGCTTCTGCAGCAGTCCGCGCACCTCGGCTCCACGCCGCGCAGAGCTGCGCCCCTTGCGCGCCGGGAGCGGCTTCAGACCCCCCCTGACCTCGGTCGCCGGGCCTTCCCCGCCCGGCGACGCTTTCGACGCTAGATCTGTCGCCTTCGCGCTCGCGGCCGCGGCGTCGGCCGTCCCGTCGTCTCCCTTGGACTCCTGCGCGCGCTGTTTGGCGGCGACGCGTTCGATGTCCTTCTTGGTGATTCCCGGCTCGTCCGGGCCCGACTCTCGCTTCTCAAGCTGCGCCATCTCCTTCTCCAGGTTGCCCGGGAGCACCCTCGGCGGCGCCCGGAACGCCTGCGGCCGCGACAACGACGAAGCATGCACATGAGACGGGGTTGAGAAAGAACGGCTTGCAGGCCGCCGCGTCAAGCACATGCCATCTCCTGATATTTTTCATGCGTACCTCGACGTATTTCACGATGCGCAGCGCGTTGACGGCGATGTACGACGAGATGACCTGCACGGCGGCAAACGTCAGGTACCCCGGCGCGATCTCGCCGTTCTTGCCCGGCGCGATGGCGTACATGTAGGTCTTTCCGTCCGCCAGGACGCTCGAGTACGCGTCGCGGAGCTGCTCCACGGTCGCGAAGTACCCGGGATCGAGCAGGAAGTCGTTGGGCAGGCCCGGGACGGCCGACAGCAGCGTCTGGACCTTGAACGGGATGTCATCTGCGTTTTCCATAAAGTCCTGCACCAGCAACGCGGGCCCCACGGCCGTCGCGAGCAGCAGCGCCGCCTGCGCCACGCCCTGCGCTGCGCCCAACCCCACCAACGCCCACTCCGGGGGCCGCTCCGTCGCGGGGTCGTACATCACGGCCGCCCGCTGCCGCTGGTACAGCCAGAGACCCGCCTGCAGCGTCGACGGCGACGCATCCGTCAGTCCGGACGCGAGCGGCGGCGACACAATCGTCACCGAGTTCGGATCTCCCTGTTTCTCTCTGTCCTCGGCCCCGTCCGACGCCGATCCCTCCTCCGCGCCGTCGCCACCCTCGGCCTCCTCGGCGTCCTTCACTGGCCGCAGGATCGTCAGGCCGTTGCTCAGCTCCTCCTTGACGAACTTGGCGTCGGGGGACGGCGCAACGATGGCGTCCTTGCCGTCCGTCGGGGACCAGTCCGGGAGGAGGAGCACGCTGTCGAGGAGCATGATGGCGCCCGCCGCGTACAGGGCCAGCCGGAGGGCCTCCTCGTCCAGGTGCACGAGACCAGGAAAGCGGCCCCCACACAACCATAAAAGAGCGACTGCCGCGCAACCCTTGAGACCTGCGGGGGAGGTTGCCGGGGCGCCCGAGTGGGGCGCGGGGGGCTGCACGCGCGGCTGCGGGGGCGCTGAGGGCTTGTTGACGGGCGTCGCGGCGGGGGGGGACCGGAGAGGGAGCGGCTACGGCGGTGGGGGGGCGGCCTACCCTGGGCGACGAGCACGGCGCCGGCGGGGTTCTGCCACGGGATGAGTGGGAGATCCCAGTCTTCCGCTGGGACCATGTTGGGCGGCAAATCCTTCCTGCTGATCTGCTTCGCGCGCCTCCTTCCCGGGTCACCATCCTGGCCGGTCGTCTTCTCCGCGCCCGATTTCATCTCGGTTTTGGTCGCTTCCTTCTCTTCCACCTTCTTAGTCTCCTCCTGCGTGCCGCTCTCCGGTTCTTCGACGCCGAGCATGGCCTCCAGCGCGTCCGTTGTCTTCTTCCTCTTTGACGCGCCGCACGCGACGCCGCGGCAGCCGCAGGCCGCGCCCGCACCGCCCGCATCGATCGAGGGAGCTCCTCTGCTCTGCCTTCCGGGCACTCGGGCACGCCCGGTGAGCGAGCGCCGGCATCGAGCGTGTATGTACACCTCTCCTCCAACAGGCCGTGCCCGGGCACAGGGCGCCGCGGCCCGCATCCTCCTAGCGTCTGGGACGCGGATATTCAGCCAAGCGTTCCGTCTGCGCAATGAAACACCGAGTGCGACGCGTCCAGAACAGGCCCAGGCCCAGGTTCACCAGTGTGTGGCAGACGACCACCGGCGCGGCGCCAGGGGGGTCAGACGTGTCCAAACTATCGTGCGCGAGCGCAGGTGACGCTGCAGCTATGGCGCGCGCCGCGCCGCGACCGCGGCCCATGAGCCGGCCGCAGCCGTGGCACTTGACGTATGCCGTGTTGAGGGCTCTTCGCGGTGCCCTGGGCCGCGAGGAGGTGGGTGCATGACGGGAGCGCCCGGGAGCGGCGCCGCCACTTAGCTGGGCTTCGGGTCGCACGCGGGATTCGTGCAGCCGCGGCGTGGGTAGCGCGTCGGGCGAGGTGTGGTGAGCAGAGGATGCAGTTGGGGCCATGAGCGCGGGGGGACAGTTCGGCGGGTCTCGCGGCGTGCCGAGCAAAGCGCCGGAGAAGGGCATTTTCCCGCTCGACCACTTCGGGGAGTGCAAGTGCGGGACGACCCGACGCGCGGACTTACCTTGCTGCGTGCTTGGCATGCGTGCCAGCGCTCTGCCTCGCGTGTGCGACTGCCTGACGCCCCCCCTCGAGCGAACGCGGCGTGGTAGGTCACGCGTGATTGCCAAGATGCGCTCCGCCCGTTGCCGTGTGTGCAGGGAAGTGGCGAAGGCCTACACTGCCTGTCTAAAGCAGAGCAAAGGTGACGCTGGAGTGTGCCGTGAGCTGAGCAAGAAGTACTTCGAGTGCAGGTAAGTCCAACCGGACCTGTTGGCGCCATTGTATCTTCCAGGACGCGCACGCCCTGACCGTGAGGCGCGGGGCACACTTGCTGCACTAGGCTCCACGCGGAATCCTGGCCACGTTGCGCCCCATCTGCTCCTCATGCGGCGAGGACGCGCCGCACATCGAGCTTGCAGGATGAGCAGCGGGTTGATGGAGAAGCAGGAGCTCGCGGAGCTTGGGTTTTATGGGAGAGAGACTGAGGAGGCACCAGTGCGCACTGACTCGGCGTCTGGGCAGAAGGGGTACCGGGGCTTCGTTGCTGGCACCATGCGGGCGCGGAGAGGCAAGCTGAACGAAGAAGAAGACCGATAGCTCAGGCCATCTGGACGGTTGTAAACCATCTGCAATGCGAAGCCTTTGATCCAACGCCGCCCCCGCCCGACTCGCACAAGAACGCGCATGATGCAGGCAGCACGGCCGCGCTTCCGTCGCTTCCGAATCCGTCACAACGTCCCACGAGCCACCCCAACAGCGTGCCGTGACGCGGCTGTGCACCTACAGCAGCAGCAGCGCCGCCGCGGCGAGCGCGCTCGCTGCGGCTGCGCCCGCGGAGAGCGCCGCGGCGCCACCCGCCGACTCCTCGAGGAACGGGTAGAACGCGTCCGAGGGGAGTCTCGGTAGGAAGGAGGGGCGTTTCTTGGCGCGCTCCACGGGGTCGCCCTGCTCGCGCGCGAAGAAGGTCACCGAGTTCGTCAGGACGAACGGCTTGCTCGCGGCCGCGTCCGCGAGGCCGTCCGGCCACCGCCACGCCCCCGTGATGAACCGCGCACGCGCCAGCTGCGCCACGCGCTGGGGGTTGTCGATCTGGCCGATCTGCGCGGTGAGGACCTCGACGTCGAGGCCGGTGACGACGTTCGAGCACGTGAGGTCGCTCTCCGACCACGTCATCGGCGTCAGGTCCGACACGGACTCCACAGACACCTGCACCCAGTCCGCCGCCACGCTTGGGTCCGAGTCTCCGTAAATGCCGATGAAGATGTCCCGCCCGGAGAACGTCAGGTTCGCCGACCCTGCGCACACATCGAGCCCCGAGTCGAGGCGTTTCAGTTCGTTCCAGGCCGCGAAGCAGCAGCAGCAGCAGCACGCTGCCGCACTGTGCTTGACGCCGCGTCACGGACTCAACGGGCAGCGAGGTTCGGCGGCACGTACCCGACGCTGGCGCGAAGATGCCGTTGAGGAGCTGGAGCGTCAGCGGCAGCGCGCCGGACTGGCAGAAGGTGCGCAGCTCCGCAAGCGTGTACTGCTGCGCACACGACGACGCTAGGTCGGACGCGAAGCTCGCGGTGGCCCGGAAGCCGCCTGCGGTACACTGCCCGTCCGCGCCGGCCTGCGGGAGCTCGAGCTCGGTCAGGGCGCTGAGCGTGGCGTCGCTGGGAGTGAGCGTAGAGGCGCGCAGGGGGAGGCCCTCGACGTAGCCGACGTTGCGGGTGCCCGAGGTGCGCCGCGCGCCGGCGGTGATCTCCGACGCCTGCCGCCACGTCACCTGCGGCGCGGGGACGCGGTGCGCGGCGCGGTGTGAGCGCGAGGGCATTCGAGGCACTTCGCAGAGCGTCCAAATCTCGGATTCTCGAACTCCAGTTGCTGAAGGAGCCGTGGTTGTTGAGCGGGGCACGCGCGTCGCACCTGGACCTCGAACGGCGCCACCGTGTCGAGCGCGACGTCCGCCGTCACGACCTCGGCCGTCACCGCGGAAATCGCCTGCCCGGGCAGGTCGTACGTGACCGTCACGTTTGCCGCCACCACAACCCCCGTGCACGTCGACCCGGCCACCGCCGGCGCCGGCGCCGTCGTCGCCGCCGCGCCCGTCGCCGCCGTGAACGCGCCCGTCGCCAGGTCGACGGAACCGAGGTTCGCGAACGTCGCTCGCACGAACGTGGACGCCGCCGCCGTCGACCCAAGCATGAGGAGGTCGTACCGCGCGGCGCGGAAGAGCGACGAGGCGTCCGTGCACGTGGCGGCCGTGACGCGGTTGACGCACGTCAGGTCGCGGTCCTGCACGCCGTCCAGCCGCGGGAAATTGACCCCGAAGCCGACGGGACGCAGCGCGAGGCACTCGCCCGACAGGCCCGGTTCCGGCACCGCGAAGACGTTGCCGGCGGAGAAGCGCAGCGTGCCGGTCGTGCCGTCGCTGTAGGCTGCGGGGACCGCGGACCCGGCGACGTAGGAGGTCGCGAGCCCGCCTGACGCCGTTACTGGATTCCAGGTCGACTCCCCCACCGCGGAGCGCGACGTCGACAGGTCGGACTCGGACGCCGCGCCCGGGTCGAGGAAGAACCGCCCGAGCGCGGGGTTGTTGGTGTCGACCACGCAGAGCAGCCGGTCCAGGAACCCGTCGCTTGCGAGCGTTTTGCTGATCTGCATCGCAACGCGCACGGACGGACGCACCGGGCCTTGTGCGCGCGGCCTCGCGTTCCCGGGTACCTCCTCGCGGGGCGTGCGCGGGCGCGCGAGCAGCGGTGCGATGAGCAACGCAATTTGGTGTGGAAGCGTACTGTGATAATGGAGGAGGAGGATGGCAGGTTGACGGAGTGCACGGAGGCGTCGTCGACGCAGTACTCGATGGAGGGGAACGCGGTGCCCTCCGCGAGTGGGTCCGGAAAGAGCGTCGCCTTCTGTTCGTCCGTGAGAGCGCAGTCCGTGTCGCAGAAGCAGTTCACGTCGCACGCCCTGCGCGCAGCGGGCCGCGCCGCGAACGCGCGTGAGCCGCGCTCGGGGGTATCTCGAGCAGGGTGTGGCGCGATGGGAGCGTGAGTGAGCGGCGGAGCAGTGCGGGGGCGGGCAGCGCTGCTCCTGCAGGTGGGCGACACCGCGTCGCCTCGCGCCGCGGGCCTCGCGGCAGCAGGGCATCGAGCGAGCCGGGTTTTGCGCTTGGGATAGAGCGAGCGTTCGTGCGCGTCCGCTTCAGGGCTGGTTCGGGGCCCGAGCTCAGCGCGGCGGGTTTCCCTCCAAGGTGAGCAGGCCTTGGACAAACGCGCCCAGCGCGCACGCATTCGACCGGCAGCGCTCCGGTCTGGGCCAGGACATCACGACATGGACCGGTCGCCGCGCACTCGCGCGTTCGGACGCGGGGTTGCGTAGCCTGCTGGGCGCAGCGGCCGCAACGTTTGGCTTGAAGTCCCCGCCCGACTTGCCTGTCCGTGAGGTCGCAAATGCAGCGGTCGCTGATCGTGACCGCGGTGCTCACGGGCGCGGCCGGCGCCGACGTCGCCGCTGGCGCTGTCGTGGCGGCCGAAGTCGCTGCAGGAGCGGTGGTGTTCGGCGCTGCAGTGGCGTTCTGAGCCAGCACCACCCAGACGCGGCTCGCCAGCAGGGCGACGCAAAGCAGGGCCCAGGGGCCCCGCCCCCGGACTATCATCCTATCTAGCGTCTATGGAAGCGCCCGCCGTGGCACGCTGGCCCCGCGGGCGCCCGCACGGACCGGAAACCGTCCCAGCAAACAGCACAAGTCGCGAAATACCCCTCTCCGACGTCGCACAGGCGTCTTCTAGCACGCGAAACGACGCTACGCTCTCTATCTCGGCTCTCTGCGTGGCATTTCTGCCACAGCACGCCCGCAGCGCCCGCCAATCCACCGCCCAACCGCACGACTGACGACGTCAGACGCGCCACGCGTCCGACGCGCGCGGCGCCCCGCCAGCAGCGCTCGCGGACGCACCCGCGCACCGCGCCGAGGCGCCGCTTCGATCGCGGCGTCGCAACACCGCCCGCCGCGTCGCGCAACCGCAGCCCTCGCTGCGTACGCACGGCCGCCCCAGCACGACCAACAGGCACGCCGCCGCACGCACGCCCCCGGCCGCCGCACGCGCAGGGCGCCCTCGCACGCACCACTGGCGGCCCCACCACTGCGCCCCCGCCCCTCGCGCCCCGGCACGCCCACAATCTCACACACTCACGGCGCAGCGCGGCGCCGGGCCTACACGCGCTCGCCGGGGAGGTTGCCGCCGAAGAAGGGGTGCATTTCCGCGACCACGTCCTTGTACCCCACCGTGTCTCCGTCGTCCTTCAGGAACTTAAACACCTCCCCCGTCATGGGGGCCTCCACGGGCCAGAACGTCCCGAGCTGCTCGACGAACCCGACGATCGTGCCCTGCTTCACCTCCTGCCCCACGTCCACCGAGTTGCCGTTGCCCACGCGCTTCCCGCGCGCGTAGTACCCGCGCCGGAAGATGCCCACCTTGGGCGCCTCCACCGACACGACGCTCGCGTCCTCCTCGTCGTCCGACAGCGAGCTCGTGGAGGCCTCGGCGGGCGCCGGGGACGGCGCGGGGGCCTCGGCGGGCGCCGGGGCGGCGGCGGCGACCGGGGTCTCGGGCACGGCGCCACTGGAGCGCTTGATCGTCATCTTGAAGCCCTTCATCTCGAGGCCGAGCTCGAGGAACTCCGTCTCGTTGCACATGAGGTCCATCATCGCGTTGATCTGCGGGTCGCGCGGCGCGGGCGCGCGGTGAGGGGCGGTGCAGGGGGGGAGGCGGGGGGCGGGATGGGCGCGGTGGGGGGGCCGGGGGCGCGAGGCGCGGGGAATCGGAGAAGGAATAGATAAGGAGGTCGCTGTGGTGGGGAGCGCGAGGGTATCGGCGGGCCGCTGAGGCAGGTCCCCCGCCTGCGGTGTCGGCGCTGGGTGCAGGTCGCATTTCGGTGTGGGGCGCGAAGGGGCAGGTGTCGGGCCCAGGATGGCGTGGGGAATGGCGCGGTGGTCGATGCAGGCGCGTGACGCGGCCGTGCGCTCCGTGTGTTCACGCTGGGCCGCGTGATCAGGGCTGGCGACGCCATGAAGTGCGGAAAGTTGCGGCGTGGCCGGCGATGGAGCGCGCCGCTGAGGCGCCAGCGGTTCCGGGGGTGATCGATGGGGCGCAGGCAGCGTGGGCGTGTGCGGCGGAGGCCCGGGAGGCGCTGCGGGGCGGGATGTCGAACCTCTTCACCAGTGAGGCCCTCCGCCTCGGCTTCCACCTTGGTCTCGACGTCCATCTCGGACGCGGCCCGGGCAACCATCCTATGAGCAGCCCTGCGCGCCGCGGGGCGGGCGGGGGCGGCCTGAGCGCACGGCGCTCGAGCGCCAGCACGAACCGCGAACATCATCGCCGGAGTCGGTCACGGGGAACGCCAAGCGAGGTGCGGCGGATTCGCGCGGGGATTCGGCGGTCTCGCGGCCGGGCCGCCGCGGCAACGAAAGCGCGCCCGTGCCGCACGGCGCGCCCCCCGCCATGAGTCTGTCGGTCATGCGGTCGAGAGAGCCGCTGCTGGCCCCTGCGGGCTCACGGCGTCCCGTCCGCCGCGCTGCTTGCACTGTCTGTGAGTGGAGTTCGCCTGACACCGCTTTCCTCCTCGCTGAAAGTCCTGGCCAAGATGCTACAAGCCGTTTCTGCTCTGCGCAACTCCAAGGTGCGTGCGCAGCCAGCGCAGGACGTCCACGCAATCGTTTCACCGCCCCCCACGTCGTGTCAGATCATATCCATGCCCGCACGCGTCTCATATCCTCCGAAACGCGCCACAGCATCTCAATTTCGAGCCAAAGTGCCTCACAGCACATCACCGCGCGTCTGCTCTCTCTTGATCGACGATCTCCTCCATCGTGGCCAAAGGGTCGCCAGCTCAGCTACTCAACGCACGAGCACGCGCAACGCCAGCATCGTCCCTCAATCCCCCGCGCCTTATGTAATGCAACCACCACCCAGATGTTTCGCTCCCCCCGTCGCCCAGCCCGCACCCGGCGCCCACCCAATCGCACCCCACGGTCCCCAGATCTACGCCCTCCCCCCGCGCAGGCGCTCGCGCCGCTGGCGTGCCGCGCGGCGTCCACGGCGGCCCCGAAGCTGATGACCGCCACGCTCTCGTGCGAGGGCGAGCGCGCGACGACCACCGCGAGCAAGGACGGCAAGACGTGGCTCGTGGACGAGCCCAAGAAGCTGGGCGGCCGCGACGAGGGCCCCTCGCCCCTCGCGACCTTCCTGTCGGGTCTGTTGGGCTGCGAACAATTCACGGCCTTCGTGGTGGCCAAGGAGATGGGCATCAAGTTCGAGAAGTGCTCGTGGTCGGCCTCGGCGCCGTTCGACATCGCGGCGCACATGGGGAAGCCCGGGCACGACTACGCGGGCTTCACGGAGATCAAGGTTGAGGGCAAGGTGCATGAGACGGACGCGACGGACGAGCAGCTGGCGGAGCTGGCGGCCAAGGTGGAGAAGCGGTGCATTCTGGCCGCGACGCTGCACAAGACGGGCATCCCGATGAGCTGCGTGCTCACCAAGGCATGACGCGTGGCCACGCAGCAACGCAGGCGCGGGCGGGGGAGTTGCGGTGCCGCAGTCCGCGCTGCACGGCGCGGTGCCGCGCACTCGTTGCGCGCGGGTATTCGTCCGGCGGACGCGCGGCCGGACCTGGCAGATGTAACACAGGCTTTTCGGCCGAAAGAAAGCTCACGGCCTTTCGGCCGTGTGGCGAGCGCACACGGCCGCGACTGCAACGAGTTGTCCAGCTGCGTCGCCAGCGCGCGCTGTCTTGCTACCGCTTCGCCGGCGCATCGAAGCCCCCGTCGTCCCGCGCCCGCTTCCCCAGCGCCCCGCCCTCCGGCGCGTGCGCCCCCGCCGCGCCCCCGGCCTCCTGCCAGCCCGAACCCTGAGGACCCCACAAACAGATTCGAGAGTCCTCCCCCCCCGTCAGACACGTCCCCGGGCCGTCGATCGGCCACAGCACGGACCGCACCACGCCCGCGTGCCCGCCCGCGAGCACCGCGCCCGGCGCGTCCACCGCCACAGCGGTGCCCTCCCGGAGCACGGGGAGGAAGGCCACCTCGCCCGACGCCGTCCCCGCGATGAGCCAGAGCTTGCTTGTCGGCGAGTCGTAGTGGCAGCCGATCACGAAGCCGGCCTCCGGCATCGTCTGCGCCATCGGCGACGCGGCCAGCGCGGCGGTGGCCGCCTCGCGAGCGTCGTCGTGCTTCGCCTCCTGCGCCCCGTCGACGTCCGCTTCGTCGTCCGTGCGGCTCGCGGCCCGCCAGTCCCACAGATGGAGGCTCTCGGTGCAGGACCGGCACCACAGAGACTCCCCCTCCGCGCCGTAGAAGCCAAAGTCCCCCACCGCTGTCATGAGGTTCAGACACGCGCGGAAGTCGTCGTCCTCGCTCAGGGACCTCGAGAGGTCGAACACGCACAAGAGACCTGCGAACAGCGACGAATCAGTCCCTTTGAGACCCCCCCCGGTCCCACACGGTAGAACCACCAAGCGTCAGACCGGGTTCGGTCCGTCACGCGCGCCGCATCGAAGCGAGGCAGTGCCCGGGCCCGCGCGCACCGTCCTCGCTGCCCGTCACGAGCCAGCCGTCGTCCTGCGGGTGGAACGCGAGCTGCGTGACGTCCTCCGCATGCGAGTCGTCAAAGCACGCTGCGCGCTTGCCCCTCCGCCGGTCCCAGATCAGAACCTCGCCGTTGCCGCCCCCGGCCACGAGCTGCCCGCCTCTGCCCACCGCGAAGCTCCACAGCGGCTGCCCTGCGCCAGGACGAGGCGCCGCGGGCGACGGTGTTGTGTCGACGGGACACTTGTGGTCGCGAAAGCATCAAGTGACGCGGCGATGCGGGCCGCGAGGCGCACCTGGCTGGCCGGCGAAGCGCTCTGCCTGCTTGCCGCTTCGGAGGTCCCACGACCGGACGGTGCCGTCGCAAGACGACGAGAAGAGGAGGTGGGGCTCAGTCGGCGACGCAAAGCCCTGCAGCGGACAGACGCAGGGGCTGCGGGCGCGTTTGACGGCCGATGACGTACCGGAGAAGATGACAGCGCATACACAGGGCTGTATCTCGCGCTGCGGCCGCCACGCCGCCCGTGCACCAGCACGGCGACAGCCTTGCTGCCCCGCCGCGCGGTATTCCGACATGTCACGGCCGTTTCTCGGCTATGACATCGCTACTACAGCAGTGCGCGAGAGGTTTATCGCATGTTCGAGCCGCTGCGACCACAGGCCGCACCTGGGAAGAGATGCGCCCCTGGTGCCCCGAGAGCGTGCCCGCGTGCGCGAGCCTGCCGCCTCCGGCCGAGTACAGCTTGATGCGGTTGTTCGACAGGGACGCAGCAGCGGTGACCGCGCCCCCGGCGTCGCGCGTCATGGCCATCCCGAGGACGTAGCACTGGCTGCGGTCCTCCGCATCTGCTCGCAGCGCCGCGTTCATGTCCAGCGACGACGCCGGGCGGCCGCCCCGCGGCGCGTCGTCCTCCATCTCCCCCGCCTCGCGACCCCGTCCCGCGCCCGAACCGCCCACAGCCACCCCGCGCAGGCCCCGGACACTGCGTACGTGCACGCCGGCGCCCCGCGACGCTTCTCCGCTACAATGCGCGTCTCGCCGCCCGCGCCAGGATGTACTCGAGGGCCCGAGGCACGCACGTACTCGATAGCCGGGGCGCGCCAACGCCAGTCTCTGCCGTGGGGGAGTCGGCAAAAGGCGATATGAATCATAATGATGAAAATGTCGCTTTCCCTCGACTTTTTTCACGTCATTTTTCTCACACGACGAAAAAGCCGCGTCGCCCCGCGACGCGCCGCCGCTCCCGCTCCGCCAGCCCGCCGGACAACACTCCGCGCGCGCACGCGGGCCCCGCAGCGACGCCGCGTGCATCCGATGATCGCACGTCGCCCCCCACACACACACAGAGCAGCCTGGCGCCTCACACCGCCAGAACGCAGCTCGACCGTTGCGCGCAGCCGCCCGCGCCTTCCCGGTTGCGGGCGCGCCACTCATCTAGGGAGCCCGGGCGCCGGCGTGGCCGGCCGCCCGTTGCGCAGCAGCAGGCGACAGGTGCGCACACCCCATGGCGATCAACTGCCAGCAATCGAGGTGGCGGAAACGGCTCCACCTGCCATGTAGGTGGGGGGAGCATACGCGCTTCTCGTGCATCACGGAGCGAGGAGGCGCCGTCGCCGCAACGGTTCAACCGTCGCGGCGCGAGGAGCGCGTGTCGGACCGGACGAGCGTCCGTGCTGACGGCGCAGTGGTTGCGGCGGGGCGCTCATGGCGGGGCCGGCGCGGCCACAAGGCATCAGAACCGCTCGGTGTGAAGCTCCTGGCAGCAGCCCACGGACGTGTTCAACAGGTGAGCGGCGTTCGAGACCCGCGCGGTGCTGGCCGCCAGCTTTTTTGGCCAGGCGCGGCTCGCGGGCGCGTCCCTGCGCGAGACGCGCGCGCGTCGGGAAGGCCCGTGGTCGCGTCTGTGGCCGGAAGCGCCTCTTGCTAATTGCTGGCGCGCGGGAAGCTGCACGCGGGGTCGCAGCCTCTGTGTGGCCACAGCATGTGGCCTTGACCGCCGGCCCGTCCTCTTGGCCTGCCCTGAACGGCGGCCGACCCCCCTGACTGCTCGCGCAGATATCCAAGATGACCCTGCAAGGCGAGGTGTCCACCGCGGCACCCACGGCGCCGCAAGGTGAGCGCTTTCTCCTCGAGCCCGCTACCAGCGCCCCGCCGTCGCCGTCTGGCCGGCCCCCCGCCCTCGAGTCCGGCACACCGGCCTCGCGCCGATCCAACTCGATCGCGTGGGGCGCAAGGGCGCCGCACGAGCGTTCTCGGCGGCTTGCGAGCCGTTCGCTCGGTCCGATGCGCGGCTTTTGCGCATCCGCGCGATGCGTGCGGACTCTCGCGCCGCGTGGTCGACGCATTTGATCTTGCGTTCCCGCTTCACCTCGCCAACGGCCCGTCGATGGCGCCCACGCGCCAATCCGCGAAGGGGCGCCCCGCTCACCTCTCGAGCCCGCTGCCGGCGCAGCGACGCCATCTTGCCGCGCGATCTTCCGCCCGGGCCTTCTCCAATCCCCCTGCTACGCTTACCCGCACTCGCCGCGCCTCACCACCGCCGCACCTCCCCGCGCCGGCCTCTCGTCGTATCTACCACTGTTTCCGCCCTCACGGCGCGCGCCCCACGACCACGCAAAAAATCCCCCGACCGCCCACCCCGCCCCTCGCTCACCCGATCAACACGCGCCACCCCTCCCCTGCCGCACATTCCCCCCCCGCGCGCCATGCACCCACATCCCTCGTCAGCACCGCCCACCACGTTGCGCCCGTCCCGCCCCTGCGCCGCAGAGGCGCCCGCGCCGCGCAAGCCCAGCGTGCGCCGCGCCAAGCCCGAGGTGTACATCCCCCGGGACGTCCAGATGGCCGCGATGGACCCCAAGCTGTCGGGCTCCCTGTCGAGCGTGGTGGAGAACGCGAGCAAGCGCTGGTTCTACGAGGCCGCCGAGGAGGCGTACCGCGGCGACGTGAAGATGCAGGCGCTCCTCGGACAGATGCTCAAGGTGCGCGCCGCGCCCGGCCCGGGGCCGCCGCGACGACGAGCGCGCCGCGACGCGAGCGCCTGTGCTCACTGCGACCCGCCGGCTGGTGCGCGCAGGAGGGGTACGGCGGTCCCCAGGACGAGGAGCTCGGGCAGCAGTGGGCGGACAAGGCCCGGTCCCGCGGCTACCGCATGAAGGGGGTCTATTGCGAGATCTAAGGGGTGTCTGCGCCTGCAAACCCTTGGAGATCGAACCCCCCCCTTTCCTGCTGCGCCCGAGCGGTCTCCGATTTTCCACGCGGCGCCGCGGCGACGCCTACACAGGCGCGCCGCGCGCTGCCGCACAGGAGCCGCCCGCGACCACGCGGCGCGAGTCTTTGTGGCACTCGAGGCCTTTCCCGCCCCACGTGTTTCCAGGACGCGCGCTGCGCACGACGACGCCCTCCCCCGCTTCACCTTGACGCCCTGATCACCGAGAACCCCCCCACCGGGGCCCACTTGCGCGCCCGGTCGACCTGCACGCTCACAGCGTCATTAGCGTCCGCGGACTCATCTCGTCCGCCACGCGGCGCCCGCCGTGGCTCCCTTCTGCGTGCACAACGGACGCCCTCTGCGCACGTCACGGCCCGCGCTGGCGGTGACAGCAGCCAGGCACAACTGCGGCTTCTTGCTGCCTGGCTGCTAGCACGCGGCCCCCCCCACCTGGACCTATTCGCAACGCCGTCCAGATGTCTCGTGGACGGGCAATCTGGATCATCGTGCCCGTCCGCTCCCCGCCGCTTTCCATTCCCCCCCAGCGCGCAATGTCGCCATCAACACCCCCCCCAACCAATCTATACAGCCGCGGGTACGTCTGAGCGGCCTGCAGCCGCCCTTCTCTTTCCCGCCTTGCAGCCCTTTGATCCAATGCCGCCTCCGGGGGCCTGCACCACTACCACCTCCACCACCACTGCCCCAGGCCTCTGTCAGCTCGTCCGGAGTCGAGGGGGCCTTTGGCCGCACTGAGCACGTGCTGCCACAACCAACCTACCGCGAGCGCTCCTGTCCCTGTGCTTGGACGGAGCTGGCTCTCTCGACACCCACTCAGTTACACACACGCGCGAGGCGAGACCCCGCATGTCAGAGGACCGGCCGCCGCCTTGCCGGCCCCGTGCCATTGTAACCAGAGCCGCGTACGTCTCAATACTTCCGTGTCATCGTGCCCGAGACTGCACTAGCGAAGAGGTATAACTCGCACAGTGTTGATGTTGTGCTTCACGGAGCAAAGAAGCTGGCGCACTGTGGGCCCTGCCCCCCGCGCATCGCCCCCCGCGCACGAGCTCTCTCCGCGCGGCGCCCATGAGCCAGCCGCCGCGGCTGCACGCTCCGCCCGTGCATCGCAGTCTTGACGTCGCGCCCCCCAAGCACCGTGCTACCGCGCACACGTCCTTCGTCGCTTCACACAGTCGCGCAGGGCGCCGAGCTCCCCTCGCTCCCTCGCTTCCGCGCCCCCCTCGCCCCGCGGCGCCCTCAACCGCTCCCCTGCGCCTCCGCACCACCCCCCTCGCCGCCCGCCTCCTCCGCCGCCGCCGCAGCCGCCGCCTCCTCCTCCGCCTTGATCTCCGCGATCGCGTCCTCGTCGCCAGCCTCCGCAGCCCGACGCCGCTCCTCGTGGTAGTCGTCCTCGGCCTGCGCGCGCCCAACCCCCCACACCAGTAACACGGTCAGGACGCCGCTGCACGAGGACGCGCGCGCGCCCACCGCGGCCGCCGCGCAACACCCGCACCTGCAGCATCGGCTTGTAGTAGTTCGGGTTGGCCTCCATGCACTCCTTGAGGGCTACCGTCGGTTCAATGCACTTTTCGACAAAGTCATCTCCGGAGTCCCTCCCCGCGTCCACGCACTTGCTCCAGGCCTGCGTTGGCATAGCTTGGGTGTGCCGGGGCCGTGTGATCCCGGGGAGCGTTCTGGGCGGCGGGGGCGCGTCGGAGAGGGCGGTGGAGTGGGAGAGGGTGTGGCCGTGCGTGCGGGCGGTGGCGACGCACCACGAACGTGTCCTTGCACGGGCCGCCCTTCATGAACTTGCAGAAGCCGCACGTCTCCTCCTCTTCGTCGTCGTCGTCGTCGCCCGCGCCATCGCCGGCTGGCGCTTCCGCACTGCTGCTGTGTGCTACAGGGGCCGCATCCGACCCGGTCGCACCGCCGTTTCCAGCGCTGCCTGCGCGACCATAACAAAGGTGGCCGGGTCGGACTACGATGTGCTAAATATATCTCAGAAAGCGCCGCAATTCCCATGCGAAGACCCCTCGGCACCGTCGGGAGGCCCGCGGCCGCGCGCACAGCACCGTCGGCGCCGTGTGACGGCGCGAGCGGAGACGCTACACCATCAAGAGGCGGGGGCGCGGCGCGATCCGTCTGTGATTGCTTCGGGCTTGAGTTGCGTCGCCGGCACGCACCTGCGTCCAGTTTCGCCGCCGCTTCCTCGGCCATCTTCCGCGCCTGAACCTCCTGCTCCTGGTCCCCCGGCGTATACGTCTCTGCGGAAGCGCCTGCCGCTGCAGGTCGGGGATACCAACGCCGCGGCGACGTGTCATCGCGCCCGCAACAGCAGTGGCCGCACCGCCACGCTCACTGGGCCCGCTCCGCGCGCCTCCGAGGCCGCGGAACGCGAAACAGGCTCGCCGCACCTGTCGACTGCTCCGCGCCCATGCCCTCTCCCGCTATCTCGCACGGCCCCGCCACCTACCGCGCTGTTTGCCCCAAAAGCAGCACCTCACCACACACCGCCCGGCCGCACGCACCACACGATCGCTCCACGCAACACGCTCTCAATCCCGCAACCACCGCCCGCCCCGCGCACCGCCCCCGATCAGCCCCCCGGAACGAGCGCCATTCTGCGAAACACCCCCTCACACTCCCCCTGCGCATTCCCGTCCCTCAGACACCAGGGCGAGCCGGCGCGTTCTCTCGGTCTCACGGAGCTAGACAGCCCTGGGGGACTCGACGAGGTCCCCCGGCTCCCCGCCGTCCGCGGCCCCCTCGCCCCCGCGCCACTGCCGCGCCACTGACCGCACCGCGTCCCCCCACCCGCGCACGACGTCCGCGTGGTTCAGCCAAATGTCCACGCTCCCCATCACCAGCTCCGCCATGATCAGCACCACGATCGCGATCTCCGCCAGGTTCGTCGTGCGCTGCGCGCTGATCTGAATCAGATGCTTGGCGTTCTCCTCCACAATGTGCATCTTCTGCCGCATCGCGCTGAGTCGTTCCTTCATCTCCAGGTCCCGCCGCATGCTGTGCCACAGGTGGTCGTACCGCTCCTCGCGCCACGCGGGGTCGAGCCTGCGCGAGAGGCACGCGGTAGGGGATGTCGAGTCCGCTCAGGCCCCGCGGGCGCGCCGTGCTGGCATGGCTGGACGGTGGGGGCGCGCGCTTGACGCGGCGCAGCGTAGCGCAGCGCGTGGCGGCGCTTCGCACCTGTCCAGGATCCCGATCTGGGACACGATGCCGAGCGTGAGCAGATTCGCGTTCGCGAGCATGCGCAGCATGTCCGAGTCGTTGTGCAGCGTCCTCCCGCGGTGCGCCACTTCGCGGTTCACCTGCTCGAACCGCCGGAGCCGCGCGTCGATCTCCCGGGAGTAATGATCCATGGCGACACTCTGCCCGATCGCGAGGCCGACGACGCGCACAGTGTCCGTGTCGAGGCCGCGCAGCTGCAGCACGTTGTCGCGGATCGCGCCCTGCGTCGACTCGTGCAGCGCCTTTGGCCGCAGTACGGCGGTGTAGCTTTCCCAGAGGTGGCCGCCCGCGGCGGCCGCGTACGGATGCGCCTCGAAGTTCCCGGCGCCGAACGTGCGGAGGCCGTCGCGGTCGCCGTCGCCCCGCCACGGATGCACGCTTCCGCGATCGGGAATCGATATTTCAGAAAGCACGCCAAGCTCCATGGCGCGCAGCCCCGACGCGCGCTGCCCGCGCGGGTAGCCCGCTGGGATCTCGACGCCCGGGTAGTCCTGCGTGGGGTGATCCCGGGTGTCCCCGGGAGCGAGGGCGCCGGGGCCGGCCGCGCTGTGGTCGCTGCGCGCCACGGTGGTTGTTTGACTCCCCCCCCACGGCCGCCAGAGGGACGCGGTGGTGCGCCGCGCTGCGTCGGTCATGAAGTCGACGACGCGGCCGGGCAGCGAGCGGGTCACGTCGGCGGTGCCCAGGAGCGACTTGTCGGCGTGCCGCGTCAGGGAGGACATCCAGTCCTGCACACCCCGGGGGGGGTCCAGTCGTCCAGTCAGACGCAGGTACATCAACGGCAGGGGAGACGCGAAATCATGTTCCGGGCTTGGGCGGGTCGTGCATGCCGGAGAGACGGCCCCAGGGCGGCGCGTGTTGCTCTGAAGGCAGGAGACGTCGGACGTGTGGCGCAGGGGTCGCACCGAGACCTCGGACGGCGTGAGGTTGAAGAAGACCGCGACGCCGAAGTTCAGCGCGAACACGAAGCTGTCGGTCGGGGCGTCGCGGCCCGGCGCAGCGGGCTCCGGGCTCCCGTGCAGCGCCACGCCTGCGGGGTTGGCCGACCCCGAGGCTATCGACGGGTCGTCGCCGACGTGCTCGAACAGCATGCCCTCCTTGAAGTACCGCACCTTCCAGTGCTGCGCAGAGCAGGACGCGCCGGAGAAACCACGAAGTTCAAAAACCAATCGCAAAACAGTTATAGTTATACTTATAATTATAGTGGTGTGGAACTGGTGTGTGGCACAGCGCAGGCGGGGGCGTCCGCAGCTCACCCGCAGGTACAGCCGCCGCATCTCGTCCTGTAGGAAGGCCTCCGTGTCGAGCGCGTATCCGACCGGAAACGCAACGATGTCGAAGGAGCCAGGCAGACGCAACGTGCTGTGGCGGCTCGCAGCGACCCCGGCTGACGTGGCCGCGGCCCGCCTGGGCCCCCACGGCGTGGCCGAGCCGCTCGGGGCCGCATCGCGGCGCGCGGGCGACGCCGGGCCGTGGCGGGAGGAGACGGACCGGCCTGGGAGTGTTGTGTGCCAGCCTGAGGGAAAGGGTGGCGCGTATTGCAGGGCGCACGGGCCGCTGCAGCCCGGTGCCGTGCGTCTGTTGCACTCAGTGGTGCTGAGGGTAGGCGCCTGACGGTGGGACTCGTCTGTCGCTGCGCGTCGAGAGAGAAATGCGGCGGGAAGGCTCTGGGTGTGCGCAGAGGTGTTCGGCCCCAGTTGGGGGGCCTATTGGGGCGTGCTGGACGACTGCGTCGTTCTCGGCGGCGTCAGATCGTAGTCGATGACGCGCGAGCAATTTGAGGCGGTAGAACGACGGAATTGGGCGTGAAAACGCCCCCGTACCTGCGGGCGGAGCGAGCCGTGGCAGGACGTGCAGTGCTCGCCCGTCATGGCGCCCGGTCTGCGCGATGCAGGAGTCTACTAGTCTCCAAGCGTCCCGAAGGCCGCGGGAGCGACGGCTCATCGTCCGCGTCGGGCTGCGGCTCCCTTTTGGTGCTATGTGTGCCGAGGGCGCGGTGTCTGCGCTCGCTGCGGCGATGCGGATCACGTCCGTCGCGTCCAGGCCACGCACAACGACTGGTGACCCGCTGCGAGGAGCCAGGGAGATGTTCGGCGCTCACGCGGCCGCGTGCTGACGTGGTGCGTCTGGTGATGCTGATGTAAGGTCTGTCGGGCAGGTGGGGTGATGGGCGACGTGCGGCTGCAGCATGTGCGACTTCGTATCGGGCTGCTGAGAGTTTGGACTGAGTCTTTTTTCGGCCGTGGAAGGCAGCCAGACCCACTTTGCCACAAGAACTGCCTGGGGCGCGCTGAGCGTGGAGTGAAACGGAAGCGTGGCGACAGCGCGAGTGCTGCATAGGGAATCATCGGGCCTGGGCGACACCCTGTCCCGTGACGGCGCACGGCTCGACGCCTGGCGGCCCGAGTGCTTGCCGCAACTTGCTCATGGCGCTGCTGAGCCCAAATGGTGCAGCTTGAACAGAACGACGGTGCCGTTGCGTAGTTCCTGATTCGAACTCGTCGGGTTCGCGCCGAAGCGCCGCGTGTGTCCCAATGAAGCGCTCCGGCCGCAACGCAAAGAAGACAAGGGACCAGGGCGACTCGCGCACGACACAACGCGTTTCCAAGCGCGCGAAGGTACGCAGAGAGCGCATTCGATGCCCTCTTTCCACTCAAGCTTCGCGGAAAGCACAGGTCGCGCGGCCCGCTCAGCAGGGCGCCGTTTTCTTTCTGTCATGGCACCACCATCTTCCGGCGCACGCTCGTCAGCGCCTCTCCGTGTCCGCCGACGTCGCAGAGGAGCGTGCAGACAGTCGAGGACTCGGACAACGAGAACGAGCCCACGGAGCCGCAGACCCCGGGCGAGCCCTCGTCTGTTTTGGATGACCTACAAACCATCCTGCGCTGCCCCGTGCGCCGCGCGCTCCGCTCTGGCCTCAACGAAACGACGACCAGGCAGGAGGCCGCCCAGCTCGTCGACCTGATGCAGCGGGCGTCCCCCGCGGACACGCAGGGCCGCGTGGCGCTTTGCAACGTCCTTATTGCTACCAAAACCACCGATGTGGCGAGCAGCGTCATCGAGGAGGGCGTGCTCGAGGCGCTGCACGAGTGGCTGCTCGAGTCGCAGAACCCGTTCAACGCCGCGGTCATCGAGCGCGTCCTGCGGTGTCTCGCTACGCTGCCGTTGGACCAGGTGAGCGCAGTTCAGCGAGCGTGCCGCTGGTGGGGCGCCGCCGAGGCCGGTCGATCGCGTGCACCGCGGTGCGCGATGCTCCGCGCTCGCGGCATGGGGGGTGTGTTATGAGGTATGAAAGTTTGGCAAGTGTTGTTTTGCCGGGTCGCGTTGCCGCAGGCGGAGCGGAAGCCGAGCGAGAAGCTGCGGGACACGTTGAAGGGCTTCGCGGAGAGCACCGAGAAGGACGCGGAGCCGCTCAGGGCCGCGGCGGAGGCCGCAGCCCGGTGCGTTGCCGCCGCTCTTACGGAGCCCGAGCCGCCGAAGCCCGAGCCGCGGTCCGCGCTCCCGACGGGGCGCGAGATCGAGGAGATCGTGCAGCACTCGCCACGGAAGAAGGCGCGCCCGGACCCGGCGCGGCCGAGCGCCCCCGCGCAGACAGGGCGCGGGTGGGCAGACGCGTTCACGTCGGCGGTGTTCGGGCGCCGCCGCCAGCAGGCGGTGAAGACGAGCCAGCGCGAGAAGGAGGAGGCCGAGAAGCGCGAGCGGGAGGAGCACGCGCGGCGCCTCAGCGAGATGGCCGGGCGGTGCGACGGCGACGGCGGGGAGTGGACCGCGCCGCAGCTGTTGCCTGCAGCGGTGCAGCCGTTCGAAGGGTGCGCTCCCCGGCCTACGAGACGCGAATGGATATCTGAGTCGCTTTTCTATATATATGTATGTTGTATTAAATGAAAATGCGTGTTTTTGTTTTTGTTTTTCCTCACGGCTTCCATCTGTCTTGCGACGACCGACGCAGCCCACCCGCTTGCATTTTGCACCGCACGCAGGGACGCGAATCAGCCGGGTCTCGAGAGCGTGGCGTGCGGCCTGCGGCACATGCAGGAGCGCATCAACGCCCTGCGCGCCAGCAGCGCGTCGTGCCCGGAGGACCCCGCGCGGCCGCAGGGGGCGCCCGAGCAGGGCGAGGACGGCAAGGCGCACGACCCCGTTGAGCCCGCGCTGTGGGACCGGGCGCCCCCCGCGGGGCGTTCAGCCAACGTTTCGGTTATACCCCCCTACCCCACTGACGTCAGGGAAAAGAGGCTGTTGGAGGAGAAGCAGCGGGAGGCGGAGCGGAAGGCGGAGGAGCTGCGCGCCAGCGTGAGGGCGGCGCGGGTCGAGCGCATGAGGGCCAAGGTCCTGGCCCAGAAAGACGAGTGAAGTTTCAGACCTGTTTTTCCGTCTCTTTTCGACCTGTTTCTTCCTTTGTACGGCGCGTGTGGCAGCGTGCCCCCCCCTGGACGCATCCACATCGCTGAGCACGACGACGCTCGCGCAAGGCTTCGCGTCAGCGACGAGTGCGCGTGCGTTCAACAGCGCAGCTCGCGCGAGCACCGCACAGCACACCAGTCGGGGCCTGTGAGTCGCACCGGCTCGCGCGCACCGCGCATGCAAAGCCTCACACAACTGCAGCGGAACCAGCACCCTTCACCGCCCCAGCGACCCTCAACGTCCCAACCAGCCCCACCGGAGCAACGTCGACAACCAAAAGCCTATACAACCGCCGCGCAGACTCCCCGCCGCCACCGTGTCGCCGCCGCGCTCAGGCCGTCGCAGCGCCTCCTCCGCGCTCGCCGCGGCGCCCCTCCGCGCTCATCTCGAACGACCTCTTGGCCAGCCACGCATGGTACGCCATCGAGTACAATACATAACCCAAAGCCGGCAGGAGCATCCACGCCGCGGGCTTGGACTCCGGCAGCACCATGGAGATCGTCCAGCACGTGCCGAAGGCGATGGCGGCGGACATGAGGCTCAGGAAGGCCGTGCTCCGCGACGCCAAAAATAGAGGGATGCGGACGCACATGCCGACGGAGATGGCGCCGATGGCGTAGATCTCGTACAGGAACCGCTCCGTTCCGCCGCCGGCGTGGATCAGGCAGAAGATCGCCGCGCCATTGCACGCGTGTGCGACGAGGTTCGCCACGGGAAGCAGCCCCGTGGGGAACACGCGCATCCACCGCGGACGCTGCCCCGCGACGTCAGTGAGGCTCTTCGCCCACCGAGGCGCGAGACGCTTCGTGAGTTCGCCCACGATGAGCGCCGCGAGGACGGGCGCGGCCATGCAGGCGCCCAGGAAGGCGAGCTCGTTCGAGTTGAGGTTCCCAAGGGCGGCCCGCACGGCGCTGGCGGCCTCCGGGGCGGCGTCCCCGGCGGTCGATACGACTGGCTTCGCGCGCGTCGAGACGCGCCTGCGCGGAGGGCCTGCATCGGCGGTGGACGAGAGCCCATGAGAATTCCCAACCGAATTCCGATCACACTCTCGGATGCATACGGCCATGGACATGCGTCGAACAAATCGATACATCATGATAATTTTTCGCCGTCCCGGACCGCGCGGAACGGCTCGTGCAGCGTCGATCGCGTGCGCCTCACCGTTGATCAGACCATCATCGCTCTGGCCGTAGCGCTCGCGCGACGATCCCGCGACCACCTGCCTCGGTAGGGAGACCTGCGGGGCGACACGCTGCGAGGCGACCGTCCGGCCGCCCACCGGCGTCCGCGGCACCACCGAGATCCGGGCCAGCATAGTTGCGATTTTCTGCCGAACAAGAGACGACGGCAAGGATAGCGCGAACCTCCTGGCTCGCAAAAACTATCGAGGGCGCGAGACCGGACGCCGACATGACGTGGCCGCGCCAGACACCGCGAGCTGCGCCCGTCAGACAGAACAACTTGTTCTAAGGCCAGAGCGCGAATTACACCCCCGCGCGCGTCTCACGCTACGGGCCAGGCATGCTGAACGGCATGATGTTCGACTTCAGGAACTCAACGAACTCCTCGTCCCTCCGGCTCTCCTCCTCAGCCTGCGCCACCACCCCGCACGCAACCTTCCCCAGCGGCCGCCGCCGGCCCGAGGTGAGCCCCCCCGGGACCGCGTGGCCGTTCTCGAAGTCCAGGACGCGCGGCCGGACCGGCGTGTGGTGGATGTCCTCGTACGCAGCGCTCCCGCGCGAAGGGGGGGCAGCCGGTAGCTCGCGCCAGCGCAGGGCGGACGCCGGGCTCTCGCGGACGGACGCGGGCGGAAGCGGCGAGCACACGTCCATGGCGCAGACGTCCGGCGCCGCGGCGGCCTCGGCGGGGAGCTTGGAGATGTCCAGGTGGACCACGGAGGGTAACACAAGCGGCGTGTCCCTGCGATTGCACAACATGGCAAGTTCGGAGGTGCGGAAAGAATCAGCGTGCGCCGAGAAGCAGCGCGGGTGGCGTGACGGTGGGTTGCAGGCCCGTTTGTCGTCTGACGGGCGATCTGTGTCGGATCGAGGCGATTGAAGAGCGAAAGAGTCGTGTTTCAGTGTGGAAGTCACGCACCCGATTCCCTTGGCGATGCACGCCTTCTCCCGCCCGAGCAGGACGTCCTGCATAGCGCGGCCCCACAGCGCGGCGGCGAGGGGCGCCGCGAGCGGTCCCGGGCCCAGCAGCGCCGACGACGGCACGTGGAGTGCCTCGCGAGCCCGCTCCAGGATCGTGCCGGCCGTGGGCGCGCACGCGTCGGCGTCGCCGCGGCCCCCGCCGCAGCGCGACAGATACGCCGCTAGCGCGCCGACCATGTCCCTGCGCACGCAAGAAACGGCAAAGCGAGCCGATGAGCGCAGGCGGCGGCAGCGTGCAAGCATCGAGCCGAACCCGCACACTGCGACCTAGGAACGCAGATGGCGCGCTGGTCCCATGTCATTTGTCCGTGGCGCTTACCGTGGCGTCCAGTCACCGCAGCCGTCCCTGCCGTCCCAGGCGGGCACGTGCAGTTCCGCCACCGCGCGCGATGTGGCCGCCTGCGACTCGCGCGTCCACCAGCCCCGCGGCGGCAGCCCGTGCGGGCCCGCCATCGCCGCTGCGGCAGCGGCCGCGCTCACCTCCGCCGCCGGCCAGCCCGCCCGCGCAGCCGCAGACCGCCCAGCAGCACCCACGGCGTCGGCCAGCGCATCCACGAACGCCCTGTACGTCGCTACCCACGCGCCGGGCCCCTGCGCCGCAGGCGCCAGCGTCGTCACGTGCGCCGCCGCGCCGGCCGCGGCGCGGGCCGCCGCCTCGCGCAGCGTCACGCATTGTATGTCGTGCTGCCGCGCCGACGCCTTTGCGAGCCACGTCACCGCCTCCGCGAGCCGCCACTGCGCGAGCGTCGGCACGCCCGCACCCACGTCCGCCACGGACGTGACGGCCACGCCGGCGCTGATCGCCATCGCTGTCTCGTTGCCGTAAAAGTCCCCCGCGGGACTCACGAAGGATACGGGCAGCGCGTCGCCGGCGGACGCGGCGCGGGCGCGCCACTGCAGGACGGCCTCGATGTCGCGCCGCGCGGGCCCGGCGCCCGCGGGCGACGGCGCGCCGTCACCCTCCCCGGGGAGAATAAACAACACCCCCGAGCACCCTGACAACGGGCCGCCCGCGGTGTCGCCGCCCGGCGCCGCCGCGAGCAGGTCGCTCCACGACACCACGCGCACCGAGATCGCGAGCCGTCGCCCCCGCGCGCCGCCCGCGTGCGGAGGCTCGCAGTCCCCGCACCACGTGCCAAGCACGGACGCCCCCTCGGGCGCCACGTCTAGCGGCGGAGCCTCGAGCCGCCCCGCGAGGATCTGGCGCACCCACAGCGCGAACATCGAGGCGTGCGGGGTCGCGCCGTCCGGTACGGCGACCGCCACGGTCCACGCAAGCGGCGACGTCGCCGGCGACCGCGCCCACAGCACGGGCCCGACCAGCAGCGGCAGGTCGAGCGGCTCCCACGACCCCACGCGCGCCAGCGCGTGCCGCGCCCGCGGCGCGGCCTCCGGGCTGCCGATGCGCGCCGCCTTCGGAGGCCCTGGTTGCGCCGTCGGCGTCAGTGCTGTGTCCGGAGTGGCGGCGCGCTCGTCCTCCCTCCCGCGCTTCCCCGCCGCGACCGCCACGCTGTGCGCCTGCCGGCGCAGCGCCGCGGCGTACGACAGCGGGCGGGCCACGAACGCAGACGTGTTCACCGCGCACGCACGCAGCGCTTTCGCGCGCTGCTCCGCCGCGCGCCGCGCCTCCCGCTGCGCCCGCGCCCGCCGCTGCCACATCGCTATCCGCAGCATCAGCACCGCGCGCCGCTGCTTCTCCCTCCGAGCCGCCTCCTTCCGCAGCCTCTCTTCTTCTGCGCGTCGCCGCGCTTCCTCCTCCGCGCGCCTCCGAGCCTCCTCCGCGCGCCTCCGAGCCTCCTCCGCACGCTGGCGCTCCGCCTCCGCGCGCGCCGCCTCCTCCGCGAGCCTCCGCTGCTCCGCAGCCACCCTCGCGCGCTCCGCCGCCTCCCGCGCCTGTCGCTCTCGCTCCGCCCGCTCTGCCGCCGCGCGGCGCTCCTGCTCCTGCCGCACGCGCTCCGCCTCCCGAGCGGCATCCTCAGCCTCGCGCTGCCGCCGCGCAGCGGCCTCCTGCTCCCTCCGCGCCGCCTCAAGCACACGCCGACGCTCCAAAGCCGCCTCCTCGGCCTCCGCCCGCAGCCGCTCGAGCCGCCGCTGCTCCTCCTGCTGCCGCGCAGCCTCACGCTTCGCGTCTGCGTCGGCCGCCGCGCCCGCCGGCGTCGAGCCGGGCCATGCGGTCGGCGAGGGTTCCAGAGAGCCGCGCGTCGATGTCGGCTGGCCGAACGCTCCCGCCCCGGAACCCCCCGACGGGCGGCCTGCCTGAAAACCCTGCTGCGCTGCACTCCCTAACGCCTTCGCGGGTGCGGGCGCCCTCGGCGCGGGTGCCGGCAGCGCGAGCCCCGCGCCGCTGACGGGCTCCCCGCCGCCGCCGTCGCCGTGGCGAATCAGCTTGCTGTACCCCGCGGCGCGCAAGCGCGCCGTCAGCGCGTGGCAGCGCGCCGGCGTCAGCGTGCCCCACGCCTGCCTGTCCAACTGCCATCCCTTGCCAGGCACGACCCGCCCCGCGGCGTCCACACCCAGCCCAGCGGCCTGGCACGCTGCCGCGGCCTCGCCCTCGCCGTTCAGCCGCAGCAGCGCCGCGAGCTCCGCGAGCCCCGGCCCCGGAACCCCCTTCTGGCAGCCTTTGAACAGCCTCTCAAGCTGCCGCCGCCGCTGCTCCTTCCAATGGATGCTCGCCATGCACGCCAGCACGAGCGGCGTGCCCGGATCGACAGCGGCGGCGATCGCAGCGTAGTACCGCTGCTGCTGCTGCAGCCGCAGGAGCCGGAGCGCCGCGGACACGCGGGCGTCGCGCAGAAGGTCCGGCGGGAGTTGCGCGAGGTATTGTCGCGGGTTGATGGACGGGAGGAGCAGGCGGTAGGCCCAGAACTCTGCCTCGTTGCGCGGAACGACGCCCGCGGCGCGCGCGGACGCGTACAGGTCGAACAGCTTGGTGAGCGCGCCCTCGAGCTGCTGTGCGTTGGTGCCTTCAGAGAAGCCGTCGAAGTTCGAGAAAGTGGCTTTGCTGTCGAGCAGCTCGTGGTGGCAGAGGGCGTGGAAGCGGACGTGCTCCTCCCACAGCGCGAGCGTGAACGCCCCGCGCGCGCCCTGCATCTCCATGTCCTGGCGCATCCCGCGCATGCGATCCCATGCGTAGTTCATTGCGTCGGACACGGGCACGTCTGCGCGGTCGATGAGGCGCAGGAGGTGGTCCTGCGTGCGGAGGATGGTCTGGCGGGACCGCAGGACGGCCCGGGACTCCGCGGGCGAGAGGTCGCGGGCGAAGTCACGCGTGAAGGTGCGGACCATGAGGCGGGCCGGGTCCGCCGCCTCGAGCGGGTGCGGCGGCTGGGACTCGCGGACGAGCGCGGGGCACATATCCTCGCACGTCCCCTGCGGAGCGGCGAGCGGGCGCGGCAGGCGGCTCGCGTACGATGCGATCTACGTATATCATTATCACTACCCATGCACGCATCGTGTATCTACACGAGGCGACGTCGCTGAGACGCGTCCCGACGCCAGCGCGAGCGCGCACGTGGCAGCAGGCGGCAAGGGGTGGCAGCGATGGCAGCGCAAGCGTGGGTGTGTTGCCGTTGGCTGCGCACCTCCATGCCCCCCTGCGAGTCCCCGCCTCTCTCGTCCTCCCAGTCCGCCATGCCCCAGCTCGACCGGCTCCCTCCGTCCACCGCAGCGCCCTGCGCGGGCCCTGCGCCCGCAGCGACCGTGTCGCCCACACCGCGCGCAAACCCGCCCGCTGCGTCCTGCCGCGCGCCTGCGCCCCCCAACGCACCGGCTCCCCGCCCCGCAGCGTGCATCATCTTTCCGAACCCGCCGTGCGCCGCGGCGCGCGCCTCGAGCTTCGCCCTCGCAAGGTCCGTTGCCGTCTTCCCCGGCGAACCCGTAACCTTCGGCCCTGACGCGAGCCCAGCACCGCCGCCGCCGTCCGCGCCCGCAGCCGCTCTGTCCAGCTGCGTCGCGCCAGAGATCGAGGACCCGAAGCTGAACGACGACGAGCCGCCAGGCGCCGGTACAGCGCCGAAACCTGCCACGTTCGCTTGCGGGGCGTCGCGCGCCGCCGCCGCGAACGGAGCAGCGCCCGGCGAGAGCTTCGGCTGCGTGAACCCCGGCGGCGACGACGGCGCCGCCTGCGCACCGAACACCCCCCCCGGGGCTTGCGACGACCCCCCCGCCGTGAACGCCGTGGCCGCCGCCGCGGGCTGCGACGCAGGACGAGTCGCGAACCCGCCCGTCGCGAAGGCGCTCGGTCCGGCCGAGAACCCGCCCGCGCCGGCGAACCCGGTCGCATCGCCCCGTTTGATGGCCGCTGTCGTCGGTGGCTTGCTCGCCGCGTCGCCGAACGCCGAGCCGTCGAAGCCGGGCGGACTGCCCACAGCCCCGAAGCCCGCTCCAGCCCCCGCAGCAGCCTTGCCGAACCCCCCGGCGCCGGCACCATGTCCGCCTGCCCCGCCAAACACCCCCCCGGCTCCAAACCCACTGCCGCCCGCTGTGAAGCCGCTCGCGCCGCCCAGCGCCCCCTGCTGCGCGCCCTGCGCCTGCGCTGCGGTCCCGCCCTGCGCGCCTGCTCCCTTCTGCTTCTGCTGCGCCTCTCGCTGCGGTTGTTGTCGCTGCTGTTGCTGCGATTGCGACAGCAGCGCGGCGGCCAGCCCGCCCCCGTGGGTCTTCACGTCGCCCTCGCCGACGGCGTGGAACCTGCCCAGACTGCCCGCGCCGGCCGCCGCGTCGCCCCCCGCCTGCGCCCCGCCCTTGGTTACTTGCCGCTGCGCTGTCTTTGGCCTTTGAGCGCCGCCGCGGCCCCTGCCGGCCCCGCCGATGGGAGTGCCGCCCACCACGATGCCCCTGCCAGCGCCGCGGCCACCGCGCCCGCCCCTGCCGGCGGCCCCGCGCCCGCCAGGCGCCTTGGCGCTCTGAGTTGGCTTGGCAGCAGCGGGCGTTCCCTCCGCAGCCGCGGCCGCCGCGGCCGCTGCCTGTGTCACGGAACGCTGAGTCGTGAGCTGGTTCTTCGCGCCCCTTCCAGCGAGGCCCCCGCGCGCGCGCCTGCACGGAGGGGCGCCAAGTGCACAGCAACGTCTGCGATGGCGGGATGAGGGCACTAGGGGACGAAACACCGCCTTGACGTGCCCGTCCGCTGTTGAACATGAACTCAGCGAGGGATCCAGCGCATGGAACCGCGGCGAGGGGCCCGGAGGGGCGAGGTTTTCGCGTTGAAGCTGAGGGAGCAGGAAGCACCATTCGGACAGGAGGCCACAGTCATGCAGCGGTGTTCAGGGCTCCTCGCCTGCCGAACAGCCTCTCCTTCGTTCTCTGCGCCTGCTTGCGCAGGTCCTTGCCGCCCTGCCCCGCGTCCTCCATCGGAACGCCAGTTCAACCAACGCCTCCCCCTGCTCCGCACGGGCCGCCCCGACGCACGAACGGACTGTCTCGGGCGGAACCTATTCCCGCGGCCTGTCCGCCGGCATGCCGCCACGCCTCCGCGGTCCGTGCGCGCCTGGCCTGCTGCTCCAGCACCCCTCTAGTGACCCACGTCACGGCGGCGAGAAGGACTCGTGGATACCGTTACGCTCGCCTCGCGCTGACCACGGCCGGCGTGACCGCGGAGCCACGTGCCGGAGGCTGTGGAGCGCCGTGTCGGACACCTCCGGGACGATGCTGGGTACTCGGGAGGAGTGTTTTCAAGCAGGCCGCCCGCCCGCGCGCCCAAGTCCGCTCGCCCGCTCCGCACTGCTGCAGACAGTCGTGAGCAACCGCACGCCGGCGAAAGACGCGTTGTGCGGCGGAGGATCGCTGGGCACGCGCCATCCTGTGCTGACGGCCTAGGGGGTCGCACCGAGGGGCGTGTGGGCGCCGTTCGTTCCGCGGCGCAGCAGTAGCGGCACGTACCAGTGGGATCATGGTCCGCGCGTCGTTGGCGCGGCGCCTGTTCGGTGTCGGGCAGGCAGCGCGGCATCAGTTCCCTGAAGTAGGGAACGACGGCTACATATTCCAGTACGTGACTGACGGCGGTTCTACCGCTTGAAACCACGCGAATGCGTTGATTTCTTGCTTGAAATGGACGGGTCTGAGCTTGTCTTGCGTCATGCGTGCAGAGGGCGCGATGTGGTCTCTGTGGACGCACCGTGCGCTGCCCCCGTGTCCAGCGCCTCACTCCGCGGCTCCCGCGCGACGCGCGCAGGTTTGCCTCGCAGAAAGCCCTGAGCGGCTGGTCCACGTACACGGACCGCGAGGCCTTCGGCGGCGGCTCAACTGCCTCGATTGAGCACGTCGGCGGCGCCGCCGCGGGCCAAGCGCTGCCAAACAGCCAGCCAACCTCCCAGCCCGCGCCGACGGACGCCGTTGCCGAGGCCGGCGACAGCGTGTCGGGCTTCATGCGCTTCTCGGGCGTCTTCTCCACGGAAATCCCCCCCACAGGTATTACAAACACACCCCCTACACCCCCCCGCACGCCCCGCCCCGCCGCATCGCGCTCACCGCCTCGTCGCCCATCGTCCGCCGCAGCGCTGGACCGCGGCGTGACGCGTTCCGGCATCGCGTTGTGCGCGTGGCGCGTTCCCAACTCAGACATGGTGCTGGACCTCACCACGAAGAGCGAGACGGCGTACGGGTCGCTGGTGTTCCGCCTGCGCGGCGACGGGAAGCCGTACAACGTCATCGCGCGGACGCGGTCGAGCTTCATGCTGCGGGGCGACGACTTCTCGGAAGCACACCGGTGGGTGGCGCCGTTGCTGCCGCAGCCGGGGGAGGGCGGCGCGGGCGGGGCGGCCGAGGAGGGCGACGGCGGCCTCGGGAGCCTGGGACGGCGGAAGCCGATGTTCCAGCACCAGAGGGAGGGCTGGACGGATGTGGTGGTGCCTCTGAGCAGCTTCGTTATGCACTCCCCTCACGTACGACACACCCCCCGAAATCCCTCGCTGCCCGACGAAGCCGGCTGACGGCGTTTCCGTCCGCTGTGCGGCCGAGAGGCCCGATGGTTCGAACGAAGCCGCGGAAGATATTGGTTTCTCAACTCGCGGTGAGCGCGGAACTCTTGCGCGCGTTGCGCAGGGGCGGGAGGTCGTGGGCCAGGAGGACGGCACGCTGCACGACTGCAAGGACAAGATCCTGTCGCTCGGCATCTGCGTGGCCCCCGTCGACCACGCCGCAGGGCCGTTCTCTCTGGACGTGGCTTCCATTCGCGTGACGAGCGAAGGGATCGGCGCGTGGGGGCTTCCGGAGGAAGAGGCGAGGAGACAGCGGACGTTCCGGTCCATGGGCTTGTAAGCGCGAGCTGCGCGCGCGTCACCGGCTCCATGCAAGGCAAGCGTCGTGCTGTTTGCCGCTGTGCGTGCAGCGTGCGTAGGACAAGCTCAACGGCGCCAGCGTCCTGTTCGGCACCGGCGCCTCAGTGGCAGCCCCTGTCCTGGCTGAAATCCGACCCCTAAAGCACGTGGGACACAAGACGAAAGCGCATTTATTTAGAATTCAATATCTGAAGTTCGTCACACATCTGCCGATCTCATGCGATGGGGGCGCAGCGCAAGCGCACGCGCCGCGCGTTCGTTCGGTTATCGCAGAGCCATGGACACGAGAATGTACACGTTCCACAGGGAGTGCAGGAGAATAGGGGCCAGTATGTTTCTGCTGTGAAGGAACAACGCTCCCATCATCGACCCAAGCGCGAGCAGCGGCAGGAACCTCTGAAGATTGAAGTGCGCCATCGCGAACACCGCGCTCGACACGATCACCGCCGGCAGGCGCGGCATCGACCGCGTCAGGGACGGCAGCAAGAACCCGCGAAACATTATTTCTTCCCACAGCGGCGCGCACACCGCCATGATGACGAAATACAGCACCTGCGTCGCACAGAGATCCCGGGGCACGGAACGTCGACGGGCCTCGGCGGGCGGTGCAGGCAGAGGCGGGGGAGTCAGTGGGCAGGGGGCGGGGGGGTCTTTCGGGACGCACCGTCGTGGTGGGGTCGCCGGACGTGAGGCTCTCCGAGAGGGACTGCGTGAGGTGGTCGCCCTCGACGGGGAAGAGCGCCTGTCCGAGCTGCGCGAGCCCGTCGACCGCCGGGAATAGCAGGGCGGCGGCGAGGGCGTGCAGCGTCCAGGGGCCTGGGCGCCACTTCGCGGGGAACCACCCGGCCTTGATCGGACGGTACTCGCGGAGGTGCAGAAACAGAATGCCGACGGTCGTGATGCACTGCACGGCGTCGAGGTAGAAAAACCTGACAGCGTGCTGGCGGTGGAGGACCTCCACGGGCAGGTCCGGGTCCAGCGGGGGCAGGCCCATGATGGGGGAGCCGATGAGGCCGAACGCCAGCACCCAGAAGATCAGAACGCTGCACGGCGGAAAGCCAGGCCGGGGCGTGGCGTGACTCAGATGCCAGATGCTATGTTCGCAGTTGTCGCCGCGAGGTGGGACCCCGCGGGTGGTGTCGACGGTGCGCGGGCGAGGAGGGCCGGCGTTCTTCGATGCGGGCTGGGTGGTGTTGGCTGACACGTGCGGAATGAGCGGTGGCCGCGGGGTTGGGTTTGTACCTGATGACTGTTCCCATGCCCCACGGGACGTGCCATCTCTCCTTCTCCGGGATGGCGCCGAAGCACCAGTCCAGGATCCGCTGTATACGCGCCCGAACGCCCCGCTGCACGCCCCCCGCGCGCGATGTGCCGCTCACAGACCACGCCCACACCCCCCCTGCGGTGCATGGCGGGAAACGAACACGTTTCGCGCCACGGGCAGAGGCTGACTGCACCAGTCATCCTGCGCGGAGCCATCTCAGCGCGTCTTTCGCGCCGCAGCGGCGCCCGCGCACGCGTTCAGTCCAAGCAGATAGCCGACAGCCGGGCGCAGCGAACAGGGCGCGCACGCAGCCCGCACGCCGCGACATGACGGTAAAAAGCGAGCCCGTGCCGCACTGCCGGCCGCCGGGGCAGCAGGTGCCGAGCTCACCGTCTCCGGCGCCCGCCCACAGCCATGATGGCCCCCAATTCGGCTCCTCCTCGTCCCTGGCCTCCTCATGCGAGTCCTGCCCGCTCCCCGCCGCACGGCCGTTCAGTTCATCCGCCCCAGAGTCGCGCGGGGCGGGCCTCCGACGTTTCCAACGCAGGAGCGGAGGGCCTCCAAACTGCCTCTCGAAATGCGGGCCACGGGCCGAGGGGTGCGACACACCCGGCCGTGCGTCGTGGCGGAGAAGGGGATGGCGCTGGTATCTATTCCGGGCGCCCGGCACGACGGCCGGGGCACCGCAGCACCGTTTTAGCGCAGGTGAGCTGCGCAGGGCGGCCCCCGGCACCGCCGGACGGCTCGTGGCCGCGGGGACGGCCCCCGCGGACATGCCCTGGCGCTACAACTAGGTGGATTCTAACACCTGCGATGAGGAACGCCAGCTCTGAACCAGCAGCCGCCCCTGCCGAGGCAGATTTCAGCTGGCGTGAGGCTCGTTCCAGCTGCGTGGGATCCTCACGCGCTAGCGTCGCTCGTGAGGGGCGGCGAACGCATCTGCTGCTGGGTGCCTGCTCGCCCAGGCCAAGTTGCCGCGCACTCGGGCTAGCACGGCGCTGTTTCATACGGGCCACCTCAGGGGGGGACATCGCCTCCACTGCCTCCCTGCGAGGGCCGGCCGCGCGCTCGTTGCGTCCCCCTCGCGTGTCTGCCACCTCGTTCTCACGTGCGCGCTCCGCACGCCCTGGTTCGTCCCGTGCGCGGCCTGCACTGCGGACAAAGCTTGAGGTCACAAAGCACGCTCGCCTGCTCTTGCTGTCCGACAGAGCACCTCAGTCACCGCCGCGAGCGGCCGCATACCAAGTAGAGAGCTTGCTTGTTCGACGCAGTGCTCTGCACCGCGAAAGGGCCTTCGAAAGCCGTGGTTGGTGCTGGCGCGCAACTGCACGACGCGCTGTGGCCACTGCCGCCGCCCAGGCCGGCGTTCCAGGCCAGGCGGCGATGACCGGCAAGCTCATCTCCGTCGGTCCGCTGCAGGCGCGCCCTCACGTCGCACGATGCCCCGCGCAGCACGTCATACACATCGCTTGTGTCTTCTCGCCCGCACGGGCCGCGGGTCTGGCAGACACGATACGAACTGGTCGCGTCGTTGCAGAGGAAGGCTCTATCGTTGTTCAGGGAGGCTTTGCGGTCCGCGAGGTCCCAGGAGCCGGAGACTCGGGACAACTTGGTGGCACTGATCAGAAGGAGGATGCGTGAGGGAGCCGCGATCCCTCGAACGGACTTCCAGCGGATAGAATATCACCTCAGGCACGTCGTTGCCCAGCAGCGCCGCGAGGACGGACGCGTGGCTCGTTTCGGCGCAAATCACACCCTGCGCTGTTGCTCCCTGATCCGCGCAGGACGTCCGAGAAGCAGATAGCCACGTACCTGCGCCCGGGCAAGGAGATCGAGATCAAGAGCGTGTCCCAAGTGTCCCCGCGAGCGCCGTGAGCGCCGCCCGCAGCTAGCATGCATCCAATAGTGAAACAGCTCTGAAGGCACACGCGTCGTGGTCACACCCATCAGCGCGCACGCAACGCAGCCCGCACACGCAGAACCGCGCTGCTATTCGCCGTCGCCGTCGCCGTCGCCGTCGCCGTCGCCGTCAACACCCCCCTTTCGCACCCCCGCGTCGCCCCCCCCCGCGCGGACGATCGACCGCAGCACGACCTTGCACGGCAGCACGCCGTCGACGCGCACGATCTGCACCGCCGCCTCCAGCGCCGCTTGCAAGGTCGAACCAAACAACCCCCCCCCTCCACCACGCCGTACGCGACTGGGTTCCGTAGAACGGGCGCCCAGGACTCCGCATCGAAGCGCGCAGGCGCGCCGTGCCGGTCTTCCAGCGCGTGGCAGAAGCAGCAGCACACTGTCCGGACCGCGGCGGCCGGGACGACGACGCCCAGTTGCGCTGGCGTGTCGCTGGCCGTGTGCGGGTCCGCGAGAGGCGCCGCGAGCGTGCGCCCGGCGTTCCCCGCGAGCTGCAGCGGCGGCGCGTCGAGCGCGGCGACGAGGACGCGCATCGCCGACGCGTCGCCCGGGCGCCGTTGTTCCGGCAGAGGTGGATACGCGGGTCTGCGTTGCTCGCGAGTCTTGTTTTCGTGTCTCAAAGTGCCGTCTTCGAGACCCTCGGCGCGAGCTGCCTCCGCGAGCGAGCACCCGCGCCGCTCGACGCTGTGCAGCATGCGCCGCGCGACCGCGCCTGCAGCGAGCCACCCCGCACACCCCCCCGGTGCCACGCGCAGCACAGCGCTTTCGGTCGCGTCACCGCGATGAACGTGCGGCTCGCAGGCCGCGTCGCAGGCGCGGTGGACAGCGACGAGGCAGCGCCGCACGTGCGAGGCGTAGAGCTTGCAGGATGCGTCGGAGGGGCCGCGAAGCAGCAGCGTGCGCTCGCCGCGCCCGAGGGTGACGCGCACGAGGCGTGTGCGGCCCGCCTGGAGCTGCTCGACAGCGGACGCCGTGAAGGGCGCGAAGCTCTCCAACGCAGCTCGCGTGGCCACGGACACCGGCAGGACGCCTGCGGGGTGCAGCGATCGAAGTTGCGTCCTCAAACGAGGTCTCAGATTGAACAAAAGGCCTTTGATTGACTGGTGAGCAGCGCTGACTTGTTCGCGAAGGGCTCCGCGCGCTCACCGGCAGCGGCCGCCACGCGCTGCACGTCCGCGTCGTCCAACGCGTCGTACACGGCGATCCCTGCCGCGAGGCACGCTTGCGCCGCGATGTCGCTGATTGGTTGTGCGCACAACACGACGTCCACACGGTTCCGTGCCAGCGCCGCGACCTTGCGTTCAACCTGCTCGCGCTGCCAGCGCTGCGCAGCAGCGACGCCGGCCTCGTCCTCGACCCGCACAGCCCCTTTCACCCCCCCCCGGCTGTCGGTCAGACTGCTGTCAAGCCCGTCCGCGATCGGCACGACCCGCGCGGGCGCCACCCGCATCGGCATCGCAGGCAGCCTCAGCGTCGCCTCCGCGACGACGCCCTCCGCGACCGACGACTGCAGGAGCGTTCCGCCGCCGACCACGGCCATCGGTGGCGTCGCCGCGGCGGCGCGGATCGCGGTGCGCGCCCCCGCAGCGTCCCGCGACGCCATGGCGCCGACGACGACGCCGATGAGCGCCGCCAGGTGCGCGGAGAGGGCTTTGCCGAGGTGTCCTGCGAGCTGCGTGTGAACGAGCGCGCGCACAGCTGCGGTGGTGTCTCCTGCCGGGACATCGCGGCACGCGGGGGCCACGACGGCCGCCTCGAGCGCCGCTGCTATCGAAGGGAGGGAGTGCAGGGAGCGGAGCGTTTCGAGCAGGCGCTGGCGCTCCAGCGTCGCGTTTGGCGACGACACGCTGTTCCTGACCTGTGGGGCGGGGCGGCGGGCGCGGAGGCGCCGGCGTGAGCGCCTAGGAGTGATTGCGCGCTCGTGGTGACGCGTGGGCTTTGTTTTTCGCGGGGGGGTGTTCCGGGAGGAGGACTGCGAGCCAGAAACGAGGCTGGGGGTGTGTGGACGGTCACCTGACGTATGGCTGCGGCGGTGGCGAGAAGGAAGGCGCCCGCGCCGTCGCCCTGGGTGTGGGCGTGCCGGAGCGCCGCCTCGCGGAGGGCCTGCGCGGCGCCATGCCGGGCGGGGAGGCACTCTAAGATGATGTGTGGGCTCGTTGTCACGAAGGACTGCCCGGCGTCGTTGGAGACGAGCTGGTCGAGGCCGACGGGCCCGTAGCTGTCCCTGCGGTCGATACGGAGCGGCGGAAACGCGTTTGGGGGTCTGACATGCGCGGCATTTCGTGCACGCAGTGAAACCAGTTTTCTCAGACACGTTGGGCCCGCGAACACGCGGCATGACGAGGTCGTCGATGCAGCGCGGGCGCCTGTGAGGCCGCACCGAACTGTGCTCGCGATGGCCGCTGCGATCCTGGAATGAACGGCCGTGCAAGTGCTCTCAAAGCCCGGGCCTGGAGCTTGGCTCATTCCTTCCAGCCTGTCTCTCTTCCTGACTCATCGCAGACAGCTCAGCGCGTCGTGACCTTCGCCACAAGTGCGCACGCTGAGGGCCTGCCGTGTGAGTTCGCGCCCCGGCCGCCGCACGCTGCGTGTGGCGCGGAGACTCCAGGGGGCTGTGGTGTGACAGCTCTAGCGACTCTTGACGTGGGCACTTCAGGGCTGGCTGCTGCGCGACGCAGCCACTCGAATCATGCCAAGGCCTGGAAGCAGCGCGCGTCGTAGTTGAGTGCTAATTGACGCGGGACAGGCGAGAGGAAGCAGCCCGGCGCTACAACCGCGCGCAGCGACCCCGTAGTCCCTCCGCCGCGGTCACAATGGACGCGGCGGAGAGGCAGCTGATTCTAGGGGGCGAGGCGGCCGCTCTGATCGCGACAATGCGTCAGAACGAGCGCTGGGATGCCGCTGGTATGGAGGTTGACCCCCTCCTGGGCGATTTGCAGCGGCTCCGGCGCGAGGCGTACCGCTCCGACGACGCCTGGCGCGCGGAACCGTACCGCTGCTTCGCACCCTTCATCGAGGTGGGTCCCACGGCGGCCTCACACGCGTCTGCCGCTCTCTCTGCCATCAGGCCAGCCTGGGTCGATTGCGCGGGCGCCACGCGCCGGAGCAGCCCTCCGACGACGCCGCGGACCGGCGTGCGAGTTCCGTACCGCGGTCCGCTGCGCCGCGCTGCTGCGCGGCCGACGCACACGCCGCGTCGCGCCGGCCCGCGGCGAAGCACGCGCACAGCAGCCCGGGCCAGGCGCCCGTGCGTGCCTGCGGGGCGCTCACCGCGCTCGAGTGCGCGCAACCGAAGCTGCGAGCCCCGGACTACCTTGCAGGTCGTGCGGGCAGCGGAGGCGAACAGCGTGATCACTGCGGTGGCGCTCAGAGCAGTGGAGAAGCTCCTTTCGTTCGAGTTCATCGACGTTCAGGTGAGATCCGGGGTTTTTCACGTCTTGTCCGCACGGAGAACGATCTGTTCTGCTCCGGCTGCGTGCTGCGCGGCGGTGCAGCGGCGCGGAGGGGACGTGAGGTCGCTCCAGCGCTTTGGTTTCTGCTCCGCCGCGTGCAGCTGCCTGTGGCGTCCGACGCGATCACGGAAGTGGTCCGCGGGATCATGGAGTGCAAGTTCGAGAGCACGGGGCGGTCGGACGACGAAAACATCCTCATGCGGATGCTGCAGGCGCTGCAAGCTTGCGTGCGCTGCCAAGCCGGGGCCACCCTGTCCGACGAGGGCCTGCTCCTGGTCCTCAGGGTACGCCCACGCCTTCCCCTGCACCTATTTCATCACGCGAGCGAAAAACCCCGCTCCGGTCCGACGCATGCTGCGCCTGTGCAGCGCCAACACGCCTCATGGTGCTTCCCCGCCTCCCGCCGCGCAGACCTGCCACCAGCTCGGCATGAACTCCGTGAACGAGTCCGACATCCTCAAGCACAGCTGCCGTCAAATCCTCTTCGAGATCGTGTCCGAGGTACGGCAGCCAGGCGCCCCACTCTAGCCCTACAGCTCCACGTCGCCCCAGACCTCAGACGCCCGCACTCCACCGCGACTCCCCCTCCGCAGGTCTTCTCACGAATCGCCATGGGCGCGAAGGCCCCCTCCCACGCCCTGGGGCCCCTCGGCTTCCTCCTAGCCCTCTGCGAACCCCCTCCGCCTACCGCCGGGGGCGTGCAATCGCCCGCCGCGGAGGAGACGGCGCTGCTGGCGCTCGAGCTGCTCGACACCGCGCTCAAGCTCGGCGGCGCCGCGCTCGCCCGCGACCAGGAGGTCGTCGCCTGGGTCCTGGGACCCCTGTTCTCGAAAATCGTGCAAGTCGCGACACAGCCCGAACCCTCCTTCCTGGTGAGCCGCGCCCGGCCCCGACGCACCGTGCGCGCCACGAAGCACACGCGCGCGCCCCGGCAATCCTCCCCACGCCGCCACGGAGCCGCGCGCAGCTGCGTACGCACCCACGTGTGTTCACGCCGTCACGCGCCTTCTGTGCGCCCGCAGGCGTGGGTGTGCAGCATGGCGCTGACGCTCTACATCCACCTGGGCCACACCGCGCTGCTGTACCTCGACACGCTCCTCCGCGGCGTGTTGCTGCCGATCGCGCGCGGGGAGAGCGCGGCGTCGCAGGCTGCGCAGGAGGCCGCGCTCGAGGGCGTCCTGGACCTGCTCCACCAGCCGTGCTTCGCCACCGACATCTTCGCGTCCCTCGACTGCCGGTGCGCCACAAGACACCCCCGTCCCGCGCAGCACACAGCACAAAACACCCCCTCCTGCTCCCCGCGACGCAGCGGAGCGCCCGCGGGGCTGTCCTGCGCGCCCCGCGGCGAGTACGTCAGACATGTGCTAGGCGTTCAATTGAAGTCGAGTTTTCGTGTCTTCCGTTGCAGGATTGAGCGCTCGAACCTCTTTGAGCAGATCTGCCTGCTTCTCGCCGACGTGTCGCACCCGGTGGGCTCCAAGCCGCTCGGGCCGATCCAGCTGCTCGCCGTCGAGGGCCTCTTCGCCATCCTCGGCACGCTCGAGGCGTGCGCAGAGGACGGCGCCGAGGCGTCGGCGTCGTTCGGCAAGCGGGTGCCCCTGATCGGGCGACTCATGCTGGAGCGCGAGCGCGCGGCGGCGGACGGCGCCGGCGGCGACGGTGCGTCGGCGGACGCGAACGGGGCGGGCGGGGGCGGCGCGGAGGCGCAGGCGGGGGCGGACGGGGCCGGGGACGCGCTCGGCGGCGCAGGGGAGTGGGGCGGGGAGTACGTGGACGTGTGGGGGGTGTTGAACCGCGACGAGCTGGTGTCGGTGGCGACGCTCGGGCGGTCGGCGGGCGAGGAGGCGGCTCCGGGGCCGAACGCGGACGCGGGAATGGAGGATCTGCTTTTAGGATGTTTGCTGGAAAAACACATCAAGAACATACTGCAGGTGGCGGCGGAGCACTTCAACAAGAGCCCGAAGCAGGGCCTCAAGTACCTGCAGAGCGTCAAGCTGCTCCCGCGGACGGGCGACGGCGAGGGCCCGGAAGCAATCCCGCCCGCGAAAGTCGCGGTGTTCCTGCGCAAGTCCCTCGGGCTGGACCAGCACCAGGTCGGGCTGCAGGTCGGCGGCGCGAAGCCGCACCAGCAGGAGCTCCTGCGGCACTTCGTCGCGCTGTGCGACTTCCGCGGCCTCGGCGTCGACGACGCGTTGCGCTTCTTCTTCGACAACTTCAACCCCGGCGGCGAGGCGCAGGTGCTCGACCGCGTGCTCAAGGCCTTCGGGGAGCACTACTTCGCGCTGAACGGGCGCAGCGAGGAGCGCCCGGACGCGATGCTGGTCTCCGCGGAGCAGACGAGCGACCTGGCGTACTTCATGACGGTTCTCAACAGCATCCACCACAGCGCGAACCCCTCGGTGAAGAAGATGTCGCGCGGGGACTTCGTGAACGTGATGCGCGGGACCACCGCGGGCGACCAGTACACTACGGAGTACCTCGAGGGGATTTACGACTCCGTGGCGGCGCACGCGATCCGCTCGACGGCCGACATGCCCGAGGACGCGCGCGCGCTGACGTTCTCGCAGCTGATCCAGGTCCGCCAGGAGGCGCGCTCGCTCCGCGGCAAGATGCTGCACACGGAGCCGCCGGCGTGCCCGTTCCTGGACCTGCTGCTGAACTGCGCGTGGGGCCCCGCGCTCGCGTCGATGATCGTCGTGCTCGACTCCGAGGTCGACGGCTCCGCGGTCGAGAAGGCGCTCACGGGCGTGCGCCTCATCGTGCGCGTCGCCACGCACTTCAATCTCATGGAAGCAGTCGACGCAGCGGTGACCTCGCTGTGCCGGCTGACGTCGATCCTGGACCCGCGCGACGCTGCGTGCATCGTGAAGTACGGCACGGACACGTCGATGCAGCGCGTCGTCGAGACCGTGTTCGATTTGGTGCATGCGTACGGCGACCACCTGGACGTGTCGTGGGGGCCCGTGGTCGCGCTGATCCTCAAGCTGGAGCGCGCCGGGATCGTGCAGCTCGGGGACGTGTGCAACAGCGCGATGGAGGACGGCGCGGACGCCGCGGAGCGGCCTGCGGCGCCGCCGCAGGGCGCGGACGACGGCAGCGCGGACGACGGCGACGGCGACGGCGCGAGCGCCGGCGAGAAGCTGCTGCCGACGGGCGCGCCGCTCCACAAGGACGACTCCACGGGCTCCGGGTTCATGCGGTCGTTCCAGAGCCTGTTCACCGGCCGCGACGACACGTCGGCGCTGCTGTCCAGCAAAGAGGGGCAGCGGGCGCGCGCCGCGGCGCTGCAGTCCGCGGCGCGCCTGCGGCTCGGCGAGCTGCTCGCGGACTCCAAGTTCCTCACGCGCGGCTCGCTCGCGGCGCTGTGCCAGGCGCTCCTCGCAGCCTCGGGCATCCAGGGCCGCGGCGACGGCATGGCGCCGCAGGGGCGCAAGGCGGCGGCGGCGTCGTTCGGGTCGGCGGTCGCGGCGCTGCAGATCCTCATCGCGGTCGCGCTGCGGAACCGCGACCGCGTGCAGGTCGTCTGGCCGCACCTGCAAGCCTTTCTGGAGGGGGCCTTGCGCCCGGCCGACGGCGGCGACGGGAGCGTGGTGGCGTCGGGCGGGGACGGGGCGCGGCTGCTGCTGTCGCGCGCGGTGTGCGGGGCGCTGCAGATATGCCGGCGGCTCCTGTGCTACAAGGAGGGGTCGGAAAAATACCTGACGTCAGCGCTGCACTCTCTCCTGCATATGGACCCGCGGGACGCGTGGGACCAGGCGCACGCCATCGCCAGCGAGCTCTCGCTGCTCCTCCGGACGTCCGCGCGCCACATCCGCTCCCCGAACGTGCGTCGCCCGTACATGTGCAACTGCTCGCCGCGCCTGCTTGCGTGGGTCTCCGCAGGGGGGGACTTTTGGGGTGGATGGGCGTGAGCGTGAGACAGGGGCGCGGTTGTGGTGTGTGCAGGCGTGGAAGCCGATCCAGGTGCTGCTGAACGCCACCGCGCGGCACCCGCAGGCGGGGCCTGTGGTGTGCCACGCACTGGCGGTGCTGCTGTCGTCGTCCGCGGACGAGGCGGCGCGCATCGCGACGCCGATGCCGCTCGCGGGCTTCCAGAGCCTGCTGGCCGTCGTGACGGCCATGATGGACTCCGCGGACAGCACGGAAGAGGTGCGTGCTGCGCAACAGATCAATCAGATGCACACAACACACACACATTCGAGAAATCCTGTTTGGGATTTTTTTTTTGGGGGGGGAGACGCGAAACCCCACACACCCGTTTCTCCGTCGCGCAGGCCGAGACGGCGCTCGCGCTCCTGCAGGACGCGGGCCTGTGGCTCTGTCGCAACGGGCGCTCCCAGGTGGCGTCAGGGGAGGGGTTTGCCGCCGACACCCCCCCCTCGGAGCGCGAGGGCGCGCTGCAGCACGGCTTCGGCGCCCTCATGGGCGTCGTCACGGACCTCTGCCGCGCCCCCGACCACCGCGTCAGGGAGGGGGCTGTTAAGATTCTCCTCGAGCTGACAGCAGCGGCGGGGGAGTTGAGCCTCGGCGGCGGCGCGTGGGTCGACATCCTCCAGGGCCACGTCCTCCCGCTTCTCGAGCACCTGCTCGCGTCGCAGCGCGCGCTCCCGGACGGCACGCGCCTGCTGCGCGCCGGCGTCACGGCGCTGTCGCGCGCGGTGCTGCACGAGCTCGGCCCGCTGGCGAACGACCCGGGCTTCCCCGCGGTGTGGTCGCGCGCGCTCACGCTGATGGAGTCGTGCATGAGCCTCGATTCCGAGGAGGTGTCCGAGGCGGTGCCGGAGACCCTGCGCAACATGCTGGTGGTCATGGTGCGCCCGCCGCCCCGATCGCATTGCGTCGCACGGAGCGCCCCTCTGCCTGATTGCTCGTTGCGGATGGGACAGAACGGTACGAGGGACAAAACAGACATATGGATAGATAGACAGACATACGGATAGACGGAACTGTTTTTCGTGTGCTGTTCGATGCAGGCGAGGAGTCAGGTCCTGACGCCGCAGTGGAAGGAGGCGCAGTCCGGGCGCGACATGTGGGGCCTCACGTGGCGGCTGGCGCGCTCGGTGTCGCAGTCGCTGACGCCAGAACTCATCTTGCAGACCTGACGCAGCTCTGGCGCACGAACCGCACGGTCGCGCAGCCGCGGGGCATGTGAGGCACGCCGCGACGCAGCAGCTTCTGCCGCGACCGCGTCCGCGCGACGGCGCAATACCCCCCCCCGGGATGTGATGCACAGGGGCGCGTTTCCACTTCGCTGCGGCCCGGGCGGGGCGGAGGGCACTTGCGGGCTGTCCGTCTACGCTGCGCGACGCCAGCGCTGCCCGGAACGCGTCGCCACGCGCGTGCATGCTCCTGGGCGTCGCCCACCACGTCACCGGCAGCATCATGCGAGGGTGCGCGGCGAGCGCACGCGCCCCCGTGGCGCCCGTGGCGCTCCACCGATGCGTAGCTAGCCACCGCGTGCCCGCGCCGCGGACTCCGGCGCTGCGCGCCGCGCGCGCGCCTGGGACGGAGCGACGGTGGTGCGCGGCAGCGGCCCAGGGCGACAACGGCGCGGACAACTTCACGGTGACGACGCCGCTGTACTACGTGAATGCTTCTCCGCACATGGGCAGCGCGTACCCGACGATGGCGGCGGACGCCATCGCGCGGTTCCACCGTCTGACGGGAAAGCAGGTGCGCACCACGAGTGCCTTCACCCCCGCACTGCGCGGCATCGCGCGGAGCGCGGCGGCTAGGAGCGGCCGCGATGCCCTGGTGGGCCCTCGAGGTCCTTGTTCCGCGCGGAAGCTGCGTGACGTGCGGCCGCGGGCCCGGGAAAAGGGAGGGCTAGGTGTTGCAGGCCGCAGACTGGCTTTCGTGGGTGTTTTTGTGCGCGATGTGCGGGATGTGGGGCTGAGTGGGTGGTGCTCGCCTCGCACGCAGGTCAAGTTTATCACTGGGACGGACGAGCACGGCGAGAAGATTGCGCAGGCGGCGGAAGCGCAGGGGCTGACCCCACAAGAGCACTGCGACGGCGTTGTGTCGTCGTACAAGTCGCTCTGGGGCAGCCTCGACATCCAGTACGACTCCTTCATTCGTACCACGGACCCCCTGCACGAAACGGTGCGCACACCTCCCGCGTCCGAGGCGCCGCGCCACCCAACTCGCCCCTCACCCTCTCTTTCGCCCCGCGAACCCGTCGTCCGACCACGCACGGCACTCCACGGACCAGCCAACCCCAAATCCCCACCGCCCGGCACGCCGCGCCACCTCTCCGGCCCGCAGGTCGTCAAGCAGGCCCTGGAACGTGCTTGGGAAAAGGGGGACATATACAAGGCGAGCTACGAGGGCTTCTACTGCGTCGGGTGCGAGGAGTACAAGGACGAGGGCGACCTCGCGGACGGCAACGTGTGCCCCACGCACCGCACGCCCTGCCAGCACCGCTCCGAGGAGAATTACTTCTTCAAGCTCAGTGCCTATCAAAACGAGATTGAGGCCCTCGTCTCCACCCCGGGCTTCGTCATGCCCGAGTCCCGCCGCAACGAGGTCATGGGCTGGGTCCGCGACGGCCTCCGCGACTTCTCCGTCTCCCGCGCCAACGTCGAGTGGGGCATTCCCGTGCCGCGGGACCCCGACCAGACGGTGTACGTGTGGTTCGATGCGCTGAACGGGTACATTTCCGGGCTGTTCCAGGGGTCCGGGGAGGCGCCGAGCCTCGAGGGCGCGGCGGCGCAGGGCTGGCCGGCGTCGCTGCACCTCATCGGGAAGGACATCCTCCGCTTTCACGCGATTTACTGGCCAGCGATGCTGCTGTCGGCCGGCATGGAGCCTCCGCAGGCGGTGTTCGGGCACGGGTTCCTGACCAAGGACGGGCTGAAGATGGGCAAGTCGCTCGGGAACGTGCTCGACCCCGTCGCGCTCGTGGAGGCCTACGGGGCTGACGCAGTTCGGTATTACTTTCTGAAAGAAGTTCCTTTTGGGTCGGACGGGGACTTCAGCGAGGAGCGCTTCCGGTACATCGTGAACGCGGACCTCGCGAACGGTATTGGGAACCTTCTGAACCGGAGCTTGAACCTCGTGAAGAAGAACTGCGACGCGAAAGCGCCGATGGCTGCTGCGGAGGTGCCAGAGGGGCACCCGATGCGCGAGGCCGTGGCGGCCGGCGCGGCGGAGGCGCGCCGGGCGTACGCGGAGATGGAGTTCGGCAAGGCGCTGAACGCCGTCATGGGCATCGTCTACAAGGTCCGTTCGCACGGGGCCGCATTGCGTCGTCGTCGCGTGTCATGCTCCCCGCGGGCGGCGCGGCGCCACGCGCCGCGCCCTCTCGCACGGAGGACGCCGTCCGCACATCATCTTCTTTTATCACGTGCGACAAATATCAGCACAAGCGTGTGCGGGCTCCTTGTTCCTGTTCCGCCAAACTTGAACTCGGCTTTCACGTGCCGCGTCGTCGCAGGGCAACGCGTACATCGACGAGAAGGCCCCGTGGACGGCGCTGAAGAAGGGCACCGAGGAGGAGGCCGAGGAGGCGCGCGGCGTCCTCCTCAGCATCTTGGAGGCTCTTCGCGTGGTGTCGGTGCTGCTCAGCCCCGTCACGCCGACCCTCTCGTCGCGCATGGCCGAGCAGCTCGCGCTGCCGGCGCTCGAGGGCGGCCCGGGCGGCGCCGCGGGCGTGTGGGACGAGGCGGTGCTGTACGGCGGGCCGCAGGGAATCAAGGCCGGCCATGAATTCCCAAAGCCAAAACCAGTCTTCGCGCGCCTCGAAGGAGACATGGTCACCGAGCCGGCCGCGACGCCCGCGGCGGCCGGGGCGTAGGCGCCTCGGCGTCCGTGACGTCGCAGGACTTTGTAACACGAGCGAATCGGATCGCGCGGCGCAAAGATCTCGCTGGTGTCGCGGAGGCTCGCTGATGCCAGCCGCCGGGCTGGATGGGGCCGTATCGAGGGGCAACGAGTTGCGCGTCGCTGCAGGGCTCTCCGTGGCCACGCGCGAGGCGTTTCGACGCACCCTGGGCAGCGTGGCGGCGATTGCGCAGTTGGGGTTCGGCAGCACGCAACGCATCGGCCCTGACGCGGCGAGCCGAGCGGTTTGGTTTTGAGGGCTTACATCGTTCGTGTGTCATCTTCAGGCGCGACCGTGCGCCGACGGTCACGCCTGCGTCAGGGGCGCCAACCCTGATCAATAGTGTTGTACTGAGGGGAGGAGCAACTCGGGGATGTCCCGCGGCGGTTGCCACTCCCTCTCGCTCGTTGATTCGCTGAGGAAGCCGGGGAAGCGGTCGAAGGCAACGATCGTCGCCGCACACGCACGGCCGCCGGCTGCGGGGGGTGCTGGGACTGACTCCCGGTGCTGACGAGGAGGGGGGGGCTGGGTTGCTCTGGGGTACTGTTAGGGGGACAACGGGGAGGAAAAGTGTAGGTGTCGGGAAGCAAGCGGGGCGTGGAAAAGGTCGAGGTGCGCTGCTCGCTGCTGTGTGCAGGAGTGCTAGTAGGCTGGCGGCCCACTGTGGCCAGTTGGGGGCAGGAGGGGGGTGAGAGGGTGGGAGCCGAGGTCTGGCCGCTCCCGGCGAGGCGTACGCGCGCAGGTGCCGCGTGTTAGGTCAGAGTGTGTTGGCGTTGAAATATCAGTTATTGAGAGGATCCCACCCAGGATTCCTCGAGTGTCGTGGGCTGGCCACGCGGCGGGCGGGCCGGGGGTGCGGCGGACGTGCGAGCGTCCGCGCGTGGTGCGCAGGTGTGCGCCAAGGGGCGTGTGGGTGAGGCATAAGGGGTTCGTGGTGTCCCCAGGGGGCTGTACGCTTTCGAGGGCAACGGGACGACGCACAGCGCGTCTTACGAGCAATCTGAGCGAACGAGGAGGCTGGAGCGAGACGTAGGACGCGCAGACGACGGTGCCGCAGTGCTGCCAGCGCCAGCGCCGCACGCAGGCAGCGCTGAGCGCCGAGCTGCCTGCACCGGTCCCGAGCGCCCAGAAAGGAACTCGAGCCTGCGCATGATCAGGGGTCGGGGTCGGGTATAAGGCCCCGGGCGCTGAACTGGGGTCCTGGAACATTCGGGGGGTCTACGGGCCGGAGGGCGGGGGTCGGAACAGGGAAACGTGAGAACAGGACAGGGAACGGTGCGGCGGGGACGTGCTGGCGCGTGCGGTCGTTGCCGGGTGCGATGCCGGCTTCACCGTCGCCGGCGCAGCCCCTGGGTGGGGTCCGTGCAGCCTCCTCCGTCCGGGCGCGCCGCGGTCGAACTACCGCAGGAAGGCGGCCTGCACAGCTGTCTCAGGCCCGGGCGCCTGGCGCGCGTGCGTGTCCGACAGGGAGCGCCGCTTCCGCCCTAGGTCCTTGGAGAGGGGGGGGTCAGGGGGGGGGTTGCAGCTGGCAGCGCCGCGTTCGTGCGGGCGACGCGGGGTCCGGACGGCCGTCGGCGCGGCCTCGGGCGGCGCGCGGGCGAGGTCGTGGCCTCTGGGACGCGTGGGTGCGTGCAGCTGCTAGGAGTAGTCGACTAAGGTTCGAGGAATCAAGGATGTTCTGGATGCCCCGAGCATATTCTTTCTCTTGTTGTATATTCCTGGGCCCGCGGCCGCAACGGCGGCTGCCGCGCGCTCCGACGAGGCGGCGCGCGCGCCCGACTGCTGACGCGGCCGTCGCCGGCGCCACGCCGCCGGAAGCCGCCCAGGCCACACGCGGCGACCGCCAGCGGCTCAAGGCGTGTGGGCTGCGCGCGCACCCTCGCGCCGCGCTCGAGGCGCCTCTGGCGTGGGTGTCGGCGCCGGGGCGCGCAGCCAACGCGGAGAGGCGGCGGGGGCGCGCCTCGGGCGGGGGCGCGCGGGCCGCAGCCGCGGTGCGGCGCGAACGACCCTGGGCTGCGTCACCAGGCTCGGTGGCGGCCCAGGCGGTCGAAGCCCGTGGAATCGCCCAGCTCGCGTTCTGAGCAGAAGAGGTGGCCGTGGGAGGCGCGCCGTGGGGCGTGCGGGTTCCCCGCGTGCAGCTGGAGCGCCTCTGTCGTCATGAACGTAGGCGGGTGGTGCCCAGAAACCTCCCGCGACGCTGTGGAGGCCGGGGGGTTCGTTGCGCGGCGGAAGGCCGGTCGAGGCAAGCGTTCATGGGGCCTCGCGGGGTCGTGCCGCGCCGAGACGCTCTCGTCGCCCCGCTGCGCGGACGACTCTGTCATCGGCCTGGAAGCCACCGCGACGCCGAGGACGTCCTGCGCGGCGAACCGCATGGGCGTGGTCTGCGTCTTGCGTTGCGGTTCCTTCGCGCCGTCGTCGTCGTCGAGCTCGAAGTGGAACATGAGCTCCTCCTCGGGCTGGGAGGCAGTGTGCCTCAGAGTGGGCTCGCGGCGCTCCCCCGGGGTCACCACATGGAAGCGCCGACCCGTGAGGGTGGTGGTAGTCGACTGACAGAAGCGCGACACCATCGGGTGCCCGCTGGCAGGCGGCTGCCGAGGCAGAGCCGCCAATCCCCTGAGGAGCCTGTTTTGTTTCTGCGACGCGCCTGCGAGCGAGGGGGTCGAACGCGGGAACCCGGGTGAGCCGCGCGGCAGAATCGAAGTAAGCACGCCGGTGCGCGCCACGGTGGGCGCGCGAACGCGTCGACGCGCCCGCCGCGCGGGGCGCGAGCGTCGCTGCCACCGAACTGCTCTAGCCGCGCACCTGGCAGGCCTTCGTGCTTGCACGAACCGCGGACGCGCTACCGTGAGCGATCAGAGGGCGAGCGGCCTGCCTCGTGGCGGCCATGAGGCCCGGGCGGCCCGGGGACGGCGGCACTCTAGCTGGTCTGTCCCAGCCTGGTCGGACTGCTAGGCCGCAGCCTGCGGGGCCGCCCGGGCAACAAGCCCCGCGAGCGCGCGCTGCACGGCCCTCTTTGTTCCGGGACGGGTGGGCAAGATGCCGTCGCAGAAGACTGCGAAGGTAGGCCGCCTGGTCCCTTGTGTGCCCAAGGCGCGCTGCCGCGGTGGGGACGGCGCTGGCGCCTCCGCCGAGCGGCGTGGCGGTCTGGAACGACGCTCGTTGTCCGTTCACGGCGCGCCGCGTGCGCTGAGGCCCGCCGCGCGCACGCGGGCGGGCGGGGGCCTGCTTCGGCTGGGCGGCCCGCCGCGTGGTCGCGCGGCGACGGGCCGGGGTTTCCGGCGCCGGTCGTACGCACGCGTGAATGAGCCGCGCAGGCGCGCGCGCTTCCCGCGTGGCCGCCTGGGTTGACGCCTTCTCGCTCATGTGCACGTTCGTTCGCGCAGATCAAGAAGACCCTGGCCCGCAAGGCCAGGCAGAACCGCCCCATCCCTTACTGGATTCGGTTCAGGACGGGCAACACGATACGCTACAACGCCAAGCGGAGGTACGCGCCGCTCGGCAGCTGCCGGACTGCCACGACCCTCCTCCTGCTCTCCACAGGGCGCCCGTGCGCCGTCCGGCCCCGCCGCCTCCCACGTTGATTCGCCTTCCCCCATCCAAGCGCGGCGGCACCGGCATTGCGCCGCCCCTGCGACCACCACGGCGCTCTGAAGCACGTTTGCGCTTGCTTCGGCGCCCACATCGTCCACCATGCCCCCCTCGCGTGCTCGCCGTCCCCTCCTGCACCCTCATCCATGTGCCCTACGCCCGGGCCGGCGGTTCCGCCGTAAGCGGCGCCCCCGGAGACGCAACCCACAGCAGCCGCCCAGCGCCACCTCTCGCCATGCTGCGCCCCGCGACGTGGCGACCCGCGCGGCGCGCCCACCGCGCAAGCCGTCTCCCGTTCCGCTGCCACTGCGCTCCGTGGGCCAGCCCGGACCCCAGACCTCCACACGTCGCGAGGTCACTGTGTGCACTTGCCTCACGGCTGCACTCCGTCTCTGTCCGTTGCAGGCACTGGAGGCGCACCAAGCTGGGCCTGTAAGCACGTCTTGCACATAAAGACGTTGCTATGCAAGGCTCGGACGTGGGGACCGCCCGGGGCGGACCACAGCGGCTGGTGTGCGTGGCCGAAGCCACGACTCGCGTGCCCGCGCCATGGGCCGGGCCCGCGGCGCTGCGGCTCGGTCGCAGCGAGCCGACACTCATATAGGCGCATGTCTGTGACAGCGGTGCCAGCCGTCCACGTCCGCGACGCGGGGGGCTCTCCTCCTGGCCCAGAGCTCCAACCAGCACGGCACCCGTGCGCCTGTCGCAACCTTCGCACCGGCCAGGAACACAGCATGGCCGAGAGCGACTCTCAAAGCGTCCGCGTCGCCCCGCTCGCGTTCGCCACGGCGGGAACGCCTCAGGGTGTGCGGGTGGTCAATTACTACTCTGTGTGGTGCGCGACATCAGCAGAGGCTTGCTCGCGCTCTCGACCGCGGCTCCGCGCCCGGCGCCGCAGCCGCGCGGCCAGACCGGCCTACGACGCCGCCGTTGCGTTACGAGCTACTCACAGACCTGAAACCTAGTCTAATCTTGCAAACAAAGTCGCATCTTAGATCGAGCCGCGCACGTCGCCGTCCCAGCCCGCGACGCCGTCCAGCGACGCCTGCGCGCTCCCCGCCGCGGTGCTGCCCGCGCCCGTGATGCCCAGTACCTCCGGGTCGGACAGCACGGCCTGTGCCTGGCCCGTCGCCGCACCCTGCGCCAGCGCCGCGCCCGCCGCCTGCCACACCGCCGCTCCCACCAGTCCCTGCACGGCGCTCGTGCCGAGCGCGCCCTGCGAGCACCGGGCGCGCGCAGCGGTCTCAGCGATTGCCAACCCACGCACCTTGACCAGACACATTGTCGTCCGAAGAGGAACGCGGTTCGAGGATTCTCGATGCCGCGCGCGGCGAATGTCCGGGTCTGATCGCACAACAACACGCGGGGTGCGCACCGTGACGGCCGCGCCACCCGCCTGCATCGCGGACCCGACCACCGCGCGCGCCAGCGCGTCCGTCAGCGCCGCCGCAGCCGCGCTGAACGGCCGCACGGGCGCCCAGTCGTCGTCCGCGCCCTCCAGCAGCGGGCTCGCGCCCGCGGACGCCCCGCCGCCCGACAGCGCCTGCAGCGGGCTCATCTTCCCGCGCGACACCTCCATCACGCGCACGCGCTCGTCCGCGCCGATCCCGGCCATCGCCTTGGCCACGGCGACCGCCTTGTTGACGCCGCCGAGGCCGTCCACCAGCCCGCGCTCCAGCGCGTCGGAGCCGGTCCAGACGCGCCCCTGCGCGTACTCCTGCATCTTCTCCGGCTCCATGCCGCGCGACGCCGCGGCCTTGTTGCGGAACGACTCGTACGCGTGCTGAGCCTCGCGGTCGAACTGCTCGTTCTCGTCCTCCGTCAGCGGGCGCTCCTCACCCAGGAAGTTTGCGTACCTGCGCACGTCGTGGGCATGCGCGGCGTCGCACGGGCGCCGCTCCCGCGCCGTGTGCGTGCGCGGGCGTGGCGGGCGGGACGGAGGCGCACCTGCCGCGCGAGATGGTCTCCTTGGCGTAGCCGACGCGGTTGTAGAGCTCCTGGAGCGAGAATTTCCCCGTGACGACGCCGATGGAGCCCGTTATCGTCAGGGGCTCGCACACGATCTTGCGGCACGCCATCGACATGTAGTACCCGCCGCTCGCGGCCACGTCCGCCATGGACGCCACGACGGGCTTCTTCTTGGCGGTCTGCTGGATCTCATACCACATGAGGTCTGACGCCAGCGCCGACCCCCCGGGGGAGTCGACGCGGAGCACGATCGCGGCGACGCGCTTGTCCTTGCGCAGCGCGCGCATCTTGCGGATCACGGGGCCGGAGTTGATCTGCCCGGCCTGCTCCTCGTCGCCCGTCCCGGTGATCGCACCGGCGGCGCGCACTACGGCAATGACCTTCCGGCCGCCCTCCGTGCCGAAGGTCGACGGGTCGACGCGGGCGTACTTCCGGAAGCCGACCTTCGGGATGCCCTTGCCCTTGGCGACCTTGGTCTTGACGTCCTCGCCGAGCTTCTCCGCGATGACCTTAGTCAGGTCGGTCTCATACTTGAGGTCCGTCAGCCACCCCTCCTCCTGGAGCGTCTCCATCTCGTACACGCCGCGGTCGAGCAGCTCGCGCGCCTCCTCCCTGCACGCACCGCCCACACAAACCACAACGACATCATCCCACCACGTCCACAAACAATTCCAACAAAAAACATTCGAGATTCCAAGATCCACAGTTCGCGCGCCCCCCGGCTCCGGCGCGCGCCGCGCAAGCGATGCAGCGCGGGCGGCGGGGCGCTTACGCAGTCTTTCCGCGCGCCTCGGCGATCGATTCGCAGAAGTGATAGTAGATGGCGTCGAGCAGCGCGGTGAGCTGCTCCCGCTGCGGCTCCGACATGTCCTTGCGCAGGAACTGGTCGCCCGCGGACTTGTACTTGCCGATGCGGCGGACCTCGGGCTGCACGCCCGCCTTCTCGAGCGCGCCGCGCAGGAAGGTGCCCGCTACCTTGACGCCGCGCAGAGAGAGCGAGGCGGACGGCGGGGCGTAGATCTCGTTGCACCCGCACGCGAGGTAGTACTCCTTCTCGCCGCCGAGCTCCATGTACGCCAGCGAGAACTTGCCGCTCTTGTTGAAGTGCGCCAGGTGCCGCCGCAGCTCCTGAACATCAACGACAGTGTTTGTTTTGGTTCTTCTCGTCGTATTTGTGTGTGGTTCTTGGTTTCTTAGTTATGAACAGGACAGCCGCGTGAGTCTAATGCGAGGGAAGCACGCAGCGAGCGAGCGGAGAGACGCGCGCGGCCCCGCGCCGCACTCGCTGCTGTTGCGAGTGGCGGCGGGTTGTTGTTCGGCAGTTGCGAGGAATGGCACGGCGCCGGTGGGCTTGGGCGCGGGCTGCGTACCTGCAGCTTGCCCCAGCCCGCCGCGACGGGCTCGATCTTGATCGCGACGCCGGCGACGCGGGGGTCGACGGCGGCGTTGCGCAGCGCCTGGCAGATGGCCGGGACGGACATCGACTCCCCGCGGAACGGCGAGCCGGACTTCACGTCGCCGATGTCGCCAGAGATCTTCAGCGTGAGCACCGAGCCCTGCGGCGCAGCACCGGCAGCACGGAGCGCGAGTGAGCATGCTGAAGAGAACGGGGCCGTGCGTGACGACGCGGCGGCGCAGGTGCCTCCGCTCGGTCGCAACGAACGCTGCGTACCTTCTTGAAGCGCCTCCAGGGGCGCGCGAAGAGGAGCTTCGCGGAGGTCGCGAGCTTCTGCAGGTCGGAGGGCTCGACGTAGGGAACCTCGTCCTCGAGCGCGAACGCCGCCTCAACCGCCTCCGCGATCTTCTTCTCCTGCGGGGCTCGCAGAGGAGAGTGCGGGCGCTCAGCCGGGCGCGGCCGTGACGCCCGGGCGCGCCGCCAGAGGCGCGTGTGAGGACCGCCAAGTGGCCTCTTTTGGCTGTAGCGCGCTGAAACGCGGGATTTCGGCACATTGCGCGCACGAAGTAATCGGATTATCGCTCTGTGGGTGCGGCGCGCTCGCTTCGCTCGCGAAAACGCGATCGGATTCGCGCAGCAGACGCGACGGTGAGGTGGTCGCGCAGGCGCCCAGGGACGAGCAGTGGCCGCGCACCTCGTCGGTCATCGGCTTCTCCGCGCCGTTCGACGTGGCCTTCTCGGCGTCAGCCGCCGTGGCGACGCTGCCGTTCGTCCCCTCGGGCTCCGTCGCGTTCGCGCCCCACCCACGCCCCACGCGCCCGCCACCTCCACTCAACCGCGAGCGCAGGTGCTGCGTCCGCGCGACCATCGGCCTGCGGGATCCGGCGCGATCGTGGCGAACGGCGTCGTGAGCCGGAAACGGAGCCCCGTCGACAGCACCACGCAACACACGCCGCTGCCGCTGCAGCCAACCATCAGGGCAACGCCGCCCACGCGCAGCCCCGGGGCCGAAACCGGCGCTTGCGGACACGAAGCGCTCCAAGACTATCTGACGTCGGTCTCAGACGGGCGCGGCGCGGGCAGGAGGAGTCAGGGCGACGTGCAGGGCTGGTGTTGCTGTGAGCGGCCCACCTTGAGAGGGCGCGTCCCGGGCTGCCGGGGGCACGCGCGCGCGCCACGGCGCTCGCGGGCGTCCGCGGGACCGCGGCCGGCGCGGTCGTTGCGGCGGCGTTCATTCTGCCGCAGCGCTGGGTCCACACGCGCACGACGTGCAGGGACGACGTAGCCACAGGTGCTGGAGTCGACGCTGTGACTGACTGCGGCGTCCGTTCGGCTCAGAGCTCTGCACGGACGGAGATTTCGGCCTGGAGGAACCGAGGAATGTGCGTGCGGGCGGGCGCGCGGCGCGTGCATGTCGCTGCGGCGTCGGAGAGGAGACTCCCTGTGTGTGCTTAGGTAAGCCCCCTGCGCGTCAGCAGCGCAGTCTGACGCGACGCCGCGCGCGCCGCGGGCCGCGAAAATGCCGGGGCGGCGCGTGCGTCGCGCGCGGTACGTGCGCCGTCCTCTATTTGACCGCGGAAAGCCGAGCGAGTCGGTGAGTTGTAGTTGTGGCTTCTTTCCATCGCGACGGGCTGCGGGGCTTGCGCTGTCATACCGCTGCTCCGCGCAGGGCGTGGCGTGAGCTGTCGCTGCGTGCGGGCGCTGCGTGCGCGTCCTGGATCCGTCCCCGGCGAGCGTATGGCATCCGGGCAACCGGCGCGGAGTGGGTCGGCGGCCGCGAGTGAGGGCGTTCGGCGGGAGTTTGAGGAGGCGAAGCGGCACACGGAGGAGGTGCTGGACCCGCAGGTCCGGCAGTGCTACCGCGTCGAGCAGAAGATCGCGTCGCGGCTGCAGCGAGCGCAGGAGCTGCAGGGGGAAGCAGGTGGGCGCCCGGGCCGCAGGCCGGCCGCCTCGCGGCGATATAGCGCCGTCGCGACGGAGACACGCGCAGCAGCGATGCGCTCGCAGCCTCTTCTCGACCTGGCCTATCGCGGTCCCTTCACTCTTCGCTATCACATTCCAGAGTCTGTTTTTCACTTCATTGCTCGCGAGGCCGTCCAACCGGCCTCACGGTGCCATCTCCTGCTTCCTCAGCGTGCAATCATGGCGTCAGCGATCGTACTTCGCGGCTCCGGGGTGTCCGCAGGCCGCAAGCTCAGTTCGTGGGTAGCCGTAACTGAGAGCCTCCACGACGGCGTCAAGGCCATCGGCGACGCCGACATGTTCACCAAGCACATCGAGCGCGAACTCAAGTGCTTCTCCTACGTCCTAGCCGAGGCCAACCGCGAAGCCCAGGAAGCAGCGCGCCAGCGCGCCGAAAAGAGCACGTAACACAAACATCAGCCGCGCGCCCCGCACCGCACCGCGCCATGCAGCGCGTCAGGCACCTCGCGTGCAAATACGCCCTGGCCGCCCCTGCGGCGCGCCGCGCCGCCCGGATCCCCACCGCACCGGCCCGTGTCACCATCACAACCAACACGGCGCACCCAGCGCAGCGCCGCGCCCCGGGCGGGCTGCGGCGGTGGCGGCAGCGCGCCGCCGTGGTCCTCGCCGCCGCGCCGGGCACGTCCGCGGCCCCGAGCGGCGGCACCGGTGGCCTCGCGAAGGGCGACGTCATCGAAGTCGTCTGCACCGAGGTGGCGTCGACGGGGGCGGGGGTGTGCCGCGCGGACGCCGACGGGCTCGTTGTGTTCTGCCGCGGCGCGCTGCCGGGGGAGCGCCTCACCGCGCGCATCGTGCGGCGGAAGAAGACCTTCGCGGAGGTGCGCCCGTGCCCCTCATGCAGATACGACGTTGCAAGCACGCTCAGTGCGAGTTGAAGCGAACTTGTTTGTTTCTGGCCGCGCAACTGGGGACGAAGGCGCATGTTGTATGATACATTGGTGTCGTGTGCGAAGCTATGTCGCACCGAGCCAGTCCTCGAGCGATGCGCGCATTAGTATGCGATGAGCCACACCGTTTCGCTCGAGGGCTGTCGGCACGCAGTAGTACAAGCTCGCGTACGGCGCCAACGCATCACAACGTGCGTTTCCGTCTCTCTCCTGGAACAGCTGCGCAAGAGCCGGGTCAACACCCCCCCCCCCTGCACGCCTTTCTGTCCACGCAGGCAACCAAAGTGGCGTCGCTGGCGCCGCCCGCGAACGCAGCGGTTCCGGCGTGCCCGCACTACGGCCCCTGCGGCGGCTGCTCGCAGCAGGCGATCACCTACGCCGCCCAGCTCGCGCTCAAGCACGGCACCGTGTCAGACGCTCTGCTGCGCATCGCGCGCCTCCCCGCGGCGCACGTGGACGCGGCGCTGCGGCCGATCGTCGGGTCGGACCCCCCTCTGCGGTACCGCAACAAGGTGGAGTACAGCTTCAGCCACCAGGCGTGGGACGGCGCGGAAGACTCCCCCCCCGCGCCACGCGCGGCGCTGGCGTTCGGCCTGCACCGCCCCGGCAGCGCGACGGAGGTCCTGCCGATCGACGACTGCCACCTGGCCACGGAGGATGCCGCCGCGATCCTGCGCACGGTCGGCGACGCGGCGGCGCGGCGCGGCCTCGTCGCGCACGACCCTCGCAGCCCCTCGGCGTGCGCGCTGCGGCACGCCGTCGTGCGGCGCGGCACCGCAGCGTCGAACCAGGCGGCGGAGTACCTCGTCGCGATCGCGGGCGACGCGGGGCGCGGCGGCGCGGCGGCGCTCGCGCGGGCCCTGGACGGAGTCGCCGCGGAGCTGGCTGACGCACATGGGCCGACAGCAGGGGGGGGGTTGGTCGGGGTGGTCGCCGTGGACGTTCCCGGGCGGCACGCGTCGCGGCGGCGCGCGGCGGGGGAGCGCGTGGTGTGGGGGCGCGGGTGGATTGAGGAGACCCTGTGTGGGTTATGGTTTCGCATATCTCCGAGCAGTTTCTTCCAAGTGAATACCGCGCAGGCCGAGCGGCTGTACGCGCTCGTCCGGGACGGCGCGGAGCTGCGACGTGCGCCCCTGCCCCGCGCCGCCTCGCGCGACGCACACCGCAAGAACTATGCACAAAAAAAGATAACAAGATAATAAGATAATAAGCAATTCAGACATGAATGAATGATATCAAGATGACACTGCCCCCTTTCTTGGCCATGACAGCTCAGAAGTCGCGCACCCGTGCGTCCTGGTGTTCGCAGCCGAGGACGTGGTGCTGGACCTGTACTGCGGCACGGGGACAATCGGGCTCACCCTGGCGGCGCGCGTGCGGGAGGTTCACGGCGTGGAGGTCTCGGCTCCCGCCGTCCGCGACGCCCGCGCCAACGCCGCCCGCAACGGCATCGAGAACGCGACCTTCCACGAGGGCGACGTTGCCGGCCTCGAGCCCAGCAGCGCTCTCAGCGGAAAGCTCCCGCGCCCGGACGTCGTCGTCGTCGACCCGGCGCGAGCGGGCCTGGCGCCCGAAGTGCGCGCGTACCTGAAGACGTGCGGCGCCCGGCGCCTCGTGTATGTGTCCTGCGACCCCGCCACGTGGGCACGGGACATTGCAGATCTCTGTGGGCTGCAGCGGGGCGACGTCGACGCGGACGTGGCGCCGCAGGGGCCGTACCGGCTGGTCAGCGCGACGCCGGTCGATATGTTCCCGCAGACGGCGCACGTCGAGACCGTCGCTGTGCTTGACCGCGATGGGGCGTGCAAGGTGTGAGGGACGCTCGGGGTGTGATGGCACGCCGTGCTTGTGAGACGTGCGGCTGTGGAGGCTGGTGGACAGATGAGGGGAGTGGCGGTGGTAAGGGAGCGGCGCGGGGGCTGTGGAAGGCTGAGGGGGGGGGGGAGGTGCAGACTTTCAGTGAGATCCATGGTCATCCGCCCGCCCGCGCCGTTCCGGTTTCTCCGCGGACCGGTTGTTGAATCCTGGAGCATGCGCATACCATCGGCTTGCCGTTGGGGCCGGATCTGGCGGGCTATGCGACTGTCGAGGACCAAAAAACACAAATGAACACACCTAGGTGCCGAGCACGTGCAGTGACGCGCATGGTCGAAGTCGGCAGGCCTCGCATCTCCTGCAGTCCGTGCAGTGGCGCGCAGGTGCGCGGACGGGCCAGGACCGTCCGCACCCGGCGGCGGACGAGCGCGGAGGACGCATGCATTCTGGACCACGGTCCACGCCGTTCCGCAGCCCTCCGCGACGGCCCGCCGTCCCCACGCCCCCCCTCCGCGGACCACCAGCCTCCCGCAACCAGGAAGTAGCAGGGCGCGGCCACGTGGCGAGGCCGTTCGCAGCAAGGGCCCGTATGCAGCCGCCAGCGCACGGACGGGGCCCAGGCGCGTCGCTGGGCCGTCTGCGCAGCTCTGCTTCCAGCACGGCGCTTTGCGCGGCAGCACGAAGCGCGCAGCAGCCATGGCGGCGGTCCAGGCTGCTAGACAGTGTTGCTTGTGTTCTTCTCACATTGCAGCTAGGCCGCCACTGTAGTCCTGGACGCGCTGGCGGTCGTGGAAGGTCTGCTTCGGCGCGCGGCGCGCCGGAGGCTTGCGATCATGGGTCTCATGCGAATAGCAACAGCGTGTGGCGAAGGAGGGACCTTCGCCGTTATATGCAGAACCGAGAGCACGCGAATCGCGCCACGTGTCTCTCGGGTTGGTTGGTTCATGTACGCGGGGGGGGAAGAGGGGGAGGAGGGGGGAGAGGGAGAGGTCGTGGGGGTGTCTTTTCACGTCAGCTGGAGACAAAAACAGCTGAAGGTAAAAGTAGGGCTCCGGCCGCGCGCGGGGCGCGCAGGCCGGCCAGCGCACCGACGCGGAGACCGGCGTGCGTGCGCGCGCACGTTCGCTCGCGCAGAGGCGCCTCCCGCGCTCGGACGCGACTCAGGAGGGGGACTTGTGGGGGGAGTTGATATTTAGGATTTGCCGCGCTCTGCTGTCTTTCTGCGCCTCGGCGCCCCACCGCGGTCCCCGCGCCGCCGCGGCACGCGCCGGGCCGGTCCGGCCGCCGCGCCTCACTCCGGCTTCGGTTTCGGCGCCTCAGAGGGGATCCGCAGCGCCTGGATGCCCAGCTCCCCGCAAATCTCCCCGACGACGTTCAGGACGTAGTGCAGGTACACGCCGATGACGAGGGTGTTCAGGCACACCGCGAGCAGCATCGGGTCCATGAAGCTCGCGTACCGGTTTGCCACGCCGACCCCGAGGAGCGCTAGCGACGGCCAGTCCGGGGCGTAGTTCTGCTTCGTCATGTGCGCCATGATCATGCGCGTGGCCTGCAGCGCGTACAGCACGCCGAACGTCGCCTCCACCGTCCGCGCCATCCCCGGGACGTCCATCGGCGCCGTCTGGTAGAGCCAGCCCAGCACAAACATGAGCGCGAGGGGCGCGAGGTGCAGGGCGGCGGCGCGGGCGCCGAGGCGCTTGTCGCCGCGCTCGTGCTCGGGGATCTCCGCGGCGGGGTCGTCGCGCAGGACGATGTTGGCCATCTGCGCGACGATGATGACGCAGCAAATGGCAAACGCGAAGGACAGGAAGCAGGTCTTGAGATCGGCGCTCTCGGGGGGGGTCACGCCGAGGAGCTGCGCGAGGCGCACGAGGCCGAGGCGGTCTGCGGGGGCACGGGGGGCGGAGCGGGGCGGCGTGAGGCCGCGGCGCGGGCGGTCTCGGCGTCGCGGTGGATCGGGAGTCGAGGATTCTCGACTGCTCGTGCGTGCGTCGGGACGACTACGGACCTTTCATCTCGATGCGCCACACCTGCGGCCCGAGCGTCGCGCTGACGGTGTGGACCGCGACGAGCGCGTAGTTCGCCTCGGTGATCCCGAAGAGGTAGTTCCCGTACACCATGAGCCCTGTGTGATACTCCCCCCAGTGCGCCAACACCCACGGCACCATCACGCCCAGCGTCGCGCCCACGGACACCCACGTGTGGCCCGAGGAGATGGAGCACGCGGCCATCGAGAGGCTGAAGTACACCGCGAGCGCGTCGCAGCCGTGGTCGAACAGCTGCCCGAGCGGGGACGACGTCCCCGTGCGACGTGCTTGCTTCCCGTCCAGGCAGTCCATGTGGAGGTAGAAGAAGGCGCAGCCCGCGGAGAGCCAGTAGACCCACGTGGGCGCGACGCCTGCGTGGCGGGGGGGCGCCGGGGGGGCGCGGTGGGGCCGGGGCAGCGACGTGGGGACTGCGGGAAGCGAGGAAGGGTAGCTGCGGGGCGTGCGGGCGCTGCGGGTGTCCGCGGCGCGGGCGGAGTCGGCGGGGGGCTGGGCGTGGGAGCGGGCGCGGCGCGCGGGCGCGGGGAGCGCGCGCGCGGCGTGGGGCGCGGCGTAAGTGTGGGCGTGTGCCTTGGACGCACCTTGCATCTCCGGGAGGTACCACGAGGACACGCTGTAGGCGATCATGAGGCTGAAGAGGCCGAGCAGCGTGATGAGGTTCGGCGCCATCCACCGGGGGAGCATCTCCACGGCGCCTGCGGCGTCGGGGGCCAACATGAGAGCTGCTAAGCGCGAGGGCTTTGCGGGCTGCGGGCGCACGCAGGTGCCCGCTGCGATCGAGGCCGCGAGGCAGGGACGTGGGCGACGCCGGCGCGCCGCACGGCGAGCCTGGCGCCCCGTGCACCGCCGCGGCGCGAGAGCCGCGTGCTGTCAGCGCAAGAAGCGCACAAGTCGCGGCATACTGGCTTCCTGACGGCCCGGGGCGGGGCGTGCGGCGTGCACGCGGCCGTGGTGGGCGCGGGAGGAGGGAGGGCGGGCGGTTCCGGAGTGCGGAAGTGCGCGTGTGGCGCGGCGTCGCGCGTGGTGCGATGCAGGCCAGAATACCGTCGCGGCGCGGGGCGCGGCGGCCGACGGCGCGTCGAGCGCGCGGGAGCGCATGATGAAGTTCTGAACGTGTGGCTCGGGGCGCCGCGCGCGCCGCGCCGCGCCGCGCGACGACGCAGCGCGGGGCGGCCCCCGCATGCGCAGTTCGGCCGCACTCACCGTTCCAGAGCGGGTTGTGGAGCTCGTCCATCCACGTCGTGCCCGCTGACTTGTAGCGGTAGTTCCGCAGGCCCCGCAGGGCCCGACCGGACAGGTACGGCATCGCACCAGAAGCCTGCTCTCGCCCAGCGAGCTTCGAACGCGCCGCCTGTGCCGTCTGCTACGCGGTCCTTGTATCGGCGCGACGTGGCGGGCTGCGCGAATATCCCACGCGCAGCCGCCCGGCTCGCGCATTGAGACGCGCAGCTCGGCCCGGGGGACGTCCTTACTCAGAGGGCGGAGACGGACACGGCACCAGTCGTTCGCTCGCACCGCAGGGCCGATTGGGACCCCGGCGCTGGTGCGCGCGCCATGCGCACTGGCAGGCGGACCGTTCCGTTCGCGCGCGAATGCAACGCGGGCAGGGCCGCAGGGAGGTGCAGCGGACTGGTGCTGGCGACCCGCCGGCTGGGCGGGGGAGCGGGGGAAAATGGCGGGCGGGAACTTCGACGAACTGATAGCCAAGTACCTGAAGGCCACTGGGCACCATGACATCGCGACGGCGAGTGCCTGGCCCCTGCGACGCTCCTGGTATCTGATCATATATGATCGAGCGCACCGTCTTGCATGGTTGATAACGTGGACTCGCGCGCCGCGTCCGGTGCGTGCAGACGTGGCTGCACAAGCTCAAGGCGGACAGCGGGGGGGGGAGTGGGAGTGCGAGGCAGAAGGAGGAGGTTGTGCGGACACAACAAGAGCTGCAGGTTCTGCTGAGCTCGCGCCCGCGGCCACGTGAGTAGCACCGCCACACGAACGATCACGATACGAACATGGCGCGGCGTGGCCCGTATCTCGCGGCGAAAGGCACAGGACGCGATGCTGCGTGCTGTTGCTCCTGCGTACAAACGAGGCCACGACAACGGGCCGCGGCGTCGCCGCGGCGATATCTCAAGACCAGACCCTCAAACACCTACGGAGTGTCCTCCTCCGCGCCCGCCAGCGGCGCGGCAGGCCCGCATCTGCCGTTCTCAGCGCTGCAGCACCACTTGCTTCCTCTGCCGCAGGCTACGCGTCAGAGGAGTACCCGAACGCGTTCGCGAAGCTCGCGGACTGGGTGGACAACTCGCTGGAGATCTTCCGCTACGAGCTCAGCCTCATCCTCTACCCTCTCCTCGTGCATTCGTACCTGAAGCTCCTAGCCCGCGGGGACGAACAGCGCGCTTCAGCGCTCATGGACCGCTTCTCTTCCAGGTCCGCCTCCACACCACACACACGCCCTCCGTCCTGCGCGCCCGCGGAGTCCCCGGCCGCCTCGCCGCGCCCCAGCGCAAGCACAAAGGCCTTGCGCTGGCGCACGCTCCACACAGCCGACGACGGGTGCGCGCCCGCGCAGGTTCCTCGAGGTCGGCGGGCTGCCGTGTCGCCAGCGCGCCGGCGAGATCGCGGCGCTGCGCGAGGTCACCAAGAGCCAGCAGATACCGGGCTCGCACGTGTGTTCCAAGATCCTCCAGTCCCGGCACCGCGTGAGCATGTCGGCGACGTCCAAGGACCTCCTGATGAATTTCCTCGCCGAGGCGGGCCTCGCGCCGCTCCTGGCGATCGTGAACGACCACCTCGCCCTCGACAGCCACAGAGCGGAGCCGCTACAGCTGCACGACGACCGCAACGTACGCCACCGCAGCCCGCGACGCCGAACGCAAGCGCCGTGTCCAGGCGGCGCTGTGGCCAGCGCCAGAGAGAGCGCACCGTCTTGCCGGAACGAGCGACGCGTCCGCTGCGACAGTGTCGTGTGCTTTGAGTGAGTGTTTGTTGTTGGATGTGGGCGCGTTGTTGTGCAGTACGACAGGACGCTGGCGCCGGACCTGGAGGACGTGGGCAGCAACGCGGGCACGGTCAACCGCTCCGCGGTGACGGTGGGGGTGTTGGAGGGGGGGTATGAGCACTTGTTGTGCAAGAAGCTTGAAGAAGAGGGGAAGCGGGAACTGAAGCTCAAGGCCGAGCAGCAGAAGCAGGACGGGAAGGCGCCGAAGAGCAAGGACAAGGGCAGCGCCGCCGCGGCCGAGGCGCGCGTGGTGCGCGACGCTCGAACTAGAGCCATCCAAGGCACCGGTGAGCTCTCTCTCTCTCAATCCTCACTGTGCGAGCACTCAGCGCGCACATGGACGGTGGCGCCCTCTCGGCGCGCTCCGCGAGCCCCGCCCCGCGCTCCACCGTGCTGACGCGTCCGGCGCTGCGTGCGTGCGACGGTGCGAGGCGTTGCGGTGCCGTGAGTACGCAGTGGAGCCTCCCGAGGGGATCAAGGCGTTGATGGACTGTCAGGACCCCGACGTGACGGAGGCGGTCGTGGGGATGATGCGCAAGCGGCAGGCGGTCGGCCCGGACAGCCTGCCGTCGTGTCTGATCTCTACCTTTTTCAATACCGCCAACAGTCTGAATTGCTGCAAGTGCACTCCTGACGCAACGCTGATCGCCGCGGGGTTCGACGACAGCAGCGTCCGGCTGTACGACGTCCGTGCCGAGGTGCGCATCGGCGCCGTTGCCCGCCACGGCGTCGCCGCGCACCGCTAGACACGAGCCCTCGTCTCACGTTGTGCCGCAACCCCCTCCACGTGCGCGCAGCGGCCGCCGCTGACCGAGGCCGCGCGGGCCGCGGGCGAGGAGGACCCGGGCGAGGGTCCGCGGTGGCAGAACATGTGGTGCCACTCCGGGCCCGTATACGGCGTCGACTTTCTCCCCGACGCGTCCGGGCGGAAGTTCCTGCTCTCCGCGTCCGGGGACGGCACGGTGCGGTTCTGGTCCGAGGAGATCAAGGGCTCCCTCGTCACCTACCTCGGCCACATGCTCCCCGTCTGGGACGTCGCCGCGTGCCCGTACGGTTACTACTTCGCCACCGGCGGCGCGGATCGGTCGGCGCGGCTCTACTGCACGGACCGCAAGCACGACGTGCGGCTCTTCGCGGGGCACCAGGCGGACGTGGGCTGCGTGGCGTGGCACCCAGCGTGCCACGTCGTCGCGACGGGGAGCGCGGACCGCACGGTGCGGCTGTGGTCGGTTGACTCAGGGAGCTGCGTCAGGGTGCTGACGGGGTTCAAGTCGGGCATCGCGTCGCTGGCGTTCTCCGGGGACGGAACGCAGGTGGCCGCCGGCACGCTGGACGGCAGCATTATGGTGTGGGACATTCGCGCCGCGCGCGCGCTTGGGACGATTGATGCCCACCGCGGGGCTGTGTGGGCGCTGGCTGGGAGCCACGGGCCGGGGCCGGGGCTGTGGGCGTCCGGCGGCGCGGACTGCACGGTGCGGCTGTGGAGGGATCCTGGGTCGGGGGCGCGGCTGGCGGGGGCGGGGGAGGATGCTGCGGGGCGGGCGTCGTGGCACGTGCGGAAGTGGCGGACGCGGGCGACGCACGTGTACGACCTGTCGTACACGTACGGGAACTTGCTGCTCGCGGCGGGGGCGCTGCAGCTGCCGCGAGAGAGTGGGCACGTGTCGTAGGAGTGTGACGCCGGGCGAGCGGGCGCGGTGGCGGTGCGCGGCGCTGAGCTGGAGCGCCGTGCGTGTGGGGCGTCGGCCGGACCAGCGTGGCGGAGGGTGGGCTGGAACGGGAGCCGTGGGTGGGGGGAGTCGCGCTGTCAGACAGACGAAGGGCGGGGGGACTATTTGTTTGTGCCCCCCATTGTCGGTGGTGCGGTTCGGCAGGGGCGGCGTTGCGCGAGCGGGTGGCGGGACTGGTCAGTTGGTGCGCGGCGCGGAGGCAGCCTGCGCGAACGATCCACGAGCGCTCCCCGCGCCAGACGCAAGACGCGTCATTGCATCGCGGTGCCGGGCGCTCTCAGCGTCGACGCGATGTCCGTTTTGTTCTCCTCGGGCCATGTCTAAGTAGACGATCTGATGGCGTGTGTGTTGGCGCCGAAAGCGCGCCCTTTAGGACTCGATCGGCGACCCCTGATTGCACCCTCACCTCCCCGCAGCGTTTCCTCGCGCGCTTCCTTTCCGAAGGCCAGCGCATCGAGACGAAGGCTTCGTCCGTGCCTTTTGTCGTCAGTCCTGTCCGTAGACACCCCCTGGAAGCGCGTCAGCGTGCGCTGCGGCGCGGTTCGTGACTGGTACCAGGTCCTAGGCGTCGCCCGCAGCGCCACAACGAAGGACATCAAAGCTAGATACCGGCGACTTGCGCGCAGATACCACCCAGACGTCGACCCGAGCGAGGAAGCCTCCAGGTGCGCCCTGCGCGGCCGTAGCCGCTCGGCACGTGCAACTCTTGGCGGCCCCTGCAACCAGCCCTCCTCCCGCGCGTGCAGGGTGTTTCGGGAACTCACGAACGCATACGAAGCCCTCATAGACGAGAAACTTCGCGCCGAGCTGGACGCACGGCTCCGAAACACATCCGCCACGAGAGACACGAAGGGAGAAGACCTCAAGGTTCGCCGCCCGCAACACACCCCCCCGCGCGCCCAACGCACCGCCACGCCGCACAGACGTCGCCACGGGCCACCGCAACGACGCGCCGCGTCCAACGGCGCCCCCCGGCCGCCCCGCTGCGCGCAGGTGTCGTTGACAGTCCCGTTCGCAAACTGCGTGACGGGCGGGCGGCAGGTGGTGTCGGCGCGCCGGCTCGCGCGGTGCTGGCAGTGCGACGGCCACGGAGCCGACGTCGGGGGCGCCGCGGACTGCACCGTGTGTCGCGGGAAGGGCGTCGTTGCTCGGTTTAAGCGCACGGGGGGTGCGACGGATGCGTCGGGCGGGGCGGGGGCGGGCCCGGAGCGCGTGGAGACGACCGGGAAGTGTCCGGCGTGCAACGGGCACGGCACGAAGGTCGTGCGCGTGTGCCCAGCGTGCCGCGGGGGCGGGCGCGCGGCGCGCATGGTCACGGTGCCGATACGGCTCCCGGCGGGGCTCGAAGACGGCGCGTGGCTGCGCGTCCGCGGGCAGGGCAACGAGGGCACGGGCGGGGGGCCGTCAGGGGACCTCCTCGTCAAGGTGCACCCTACTATTTACTATTTATTTATTTACTATTTACTATTTATTTACTATTTACTATTCACACGCACAAACACGAACGCACTACCAGCCACGAAATTGAATCCCCAACACATTGTTGTTGTTGACACATATTGTTTATTGTTGATCAATGAGAGGGAGTCGCGTTGGCCATGGCAGTGGCAATAAGAGGAAATCAATTTCATGAGTCCTGCGCCTGTCCCTCACCGCTGCGCGCCCCCGCGCCGCCGCTTGCAGCTGGTGATCGAGGCCGGCTCGGGCATGCGCCGGCGCGGGCTGGACGTCGTGTCCGACATGGAGGTGCCGCTGTGGGACGCGATGCTCGGAACGACGCAGATCGGGCACACGTGCCACGGGCCGTGCGCTGTGACGGTGCCGCCGGGGTGCCAGGACGGCCACGAGCTGCGCGTGCCCGGCGGCGGCGTGCGGCCGGCGGCGAGCCGCGGCGCCGTGCAGGGCAGCCACGTGTTCCGCGCGCGGCTTATACTCCCCCACCCTGATGACATGTCCGAGGAGGAGTTGGAGCTGCTGGAGGCGCTGCGGGGCGAGGGGGGGGAGTGTGCGGCTGTGGGGAGGGCTGAGGGCCGCGGCGAGGCGCGCGAGGAGTGAGAACGACCCAGGATGGTTGTTGTGAGTGGTGGATATGGAAGGAGGATTGGTGGTCCTTTTTGTGCGAGGGCTGGCGCTGGTGCGCTTCGCGACGCGGCCCCGCGGCTCTGGGCCCTTGCCGCGAACAACGAGTCTGGCGTGCGCCACGCGCGGCTCGTTTTTGACTCGCTGGATCACTCCCCCGGGGAGTGACGTGTTTTGCGACGCAACACCCCCGCGCTTGCTCAGGCGCAGGGCCGGCCGAGCCCGCGGCGAGTCTCGCGCACGAAGCACTTTGTCCTGCCACCCAGCCCCCGTTCAGCCGCCGTCCCAGCACGCCCCTGACGTCTGCAAACACACACACCACTGGTTGCGACTTTCTGTCTTTCGTTGGTGATTCGAACGGGTCCTGGAGCGACTCGGCAGCGGCGCGCCGCACCTCCGCCTGCGCTCATTCGCCGGCGGACGCGCGGCCCACCATCCGAGCAGAGCGACGAGCGGCTCACCATCAATCGAGAGAAACGATCTTTGCGTGATTCGTGACATGGGGTCTGGAGGGAGGTGACGCGATGCGGGTCAAGCTGCAGTTCGAAGGCCACTTCGTCGAGTGCGTCGACGTGGACGCGCGTCGCTGCTGGTGCGCGCCCCGCAACGCAGGGAGACAACCTGCCCTTGCACTTCGTCCCAAAACCCCGCGCGCTTTCGCCCTGCGCCTGTGCCGCTCGGCCTGCGTCCCCTCACAAGTGTTCACATGCGTTTGAGACCAGAAATACCTGGATTCGTGCCCACAGGCAGCAGCACGCAGCTCCTAAGCCAGCGCGGTGCGTGCGACGCGGGCGGCGCGCCTGCACACGCAGCCGTCCCGCGTTCCGACTGCGCGCCGTCACCGACGTTGCCGTGCAGTTTCGAGATCCCTGAGGGGGCGACCAAAGTGGCGGACCTGGGCGCGGCTATCCTCGAGACCTTCCAGCTGCCCACGCCATGCGTCTTGTGCCTCGACGACGGGTTCGCGCTGCTGCCGTTTCAATCTGTATCGATCGTGGGACGAGACGACATCCTCTCGGTCGCCCCGCGCGAGGGGGACCCGCCAAGCCCGCGAGTTGCCGGCCACAAACGCCCGCCGGCAGTTTCACCAGCCATCGAGCCCCCGTCGCGGCGGCGCAGAGCCTCCACAGCCGCCATCGAGGCCCGAGCGCACATCTTCGACAACAAACTGCAAGACGATGGCGATGCGGCGCAAAACGGCGCTCCATGCGCGCCGGAAAAGGCTGCGGGCCTGCCCTTGCAAAGCACCTCCGCCACCAGCACAACGACGTCGAGCGGCAGCACCAGCACGTCAACTCCGTCGTCCTCGATGGGCACGACCACGTCATCCTCCGCATCCAGCTCGGGAGGCTTGTCGTCGTCCAGCAACACAAGCACCAGCAGCAGCAGCAGCAGCAGCAGCAGCAGCAGCGACGATACGTCAACGCGCGGCGGATCCTCGGCCCCCATGGTACTGCAGGCCGTGCCCGCCGCAGCCGCCGCGCCAGGCAGCGCGCCGAGCGCACGGGCGTCCCGCAATGCGCGCCGCAAAGCCAAAGTGCGCATGTTGAAACGGCAGGGGCTGTGGAAGCCCGCCGCCGCACGGAACGACGCGCGGCGCGCCGCCCCCGCCGCAACCGCGCCGCAGTCTACGCCCGGGGCGCAGGACGCGGGCTCCGACCCCCTGCAGGTCACCGCATCGATGCCGCAACACAAGCGGCGGAACCGACGCCGCACGGGGCGCGAGGCCGGCCCGGGGACGCGCGTGGTCTTCGCCGGGGACGAGCCGGCCGAGCCGGCGCCGGAGGGGGACGCTGGGGCCGGGAGGGACCTGGCCAAGTGCCCGCCGCTTGAGGGAGGGTTACAGGTGGGCGATGTCGTGGCGTATCGGATCACGGAGATCCTACCGGGAGGGCCGAGCGTGTCGGAGCTGCGCGCGGGCCAGGTCGCGGAGATCGACGGCCCCGCGGCGATCACGCTCGAGCCGTGGCCGCCGGGGCGCGTCCCGGACTACGCTGCGCCACCTCAGGTATGACAAATAGACCCCCCGCCGCGCTCGCGCAGCATGGCGGCGCGCGTACTGCATGGAGCGTCGGCAGAGCGGATCGTGTGTCGTTGTTTGCAGGACGAGGACGACGAGGACGATGCGTATGTTGACGGTGCATGGCGCAACCTGGAGTGCTGCCCCTACGACGAGCACGGCACCCTGACCGTGTCGCCCGACTTCCTACAGGACCTGCGTCTCGTGCAGCGAGGCTCTGCGCCCGCGGCCGACGCGCCGGAGCAACACACCCCCCAGGACCCCCCCCCTGCGCACGAGCCGGCGGCGCCGGGCGCGCAGGTGCCGAGCGTCGTGTCGCCGGAGCTGCGCCGACGCACAGCGGAGCTCAGGGCGTCGCTCGACCTCCTCATCGCTCACGCAGCGACCACGCGCGTATGCGATGCGGACAAGGCCCCGCGCGGCGCGGGGTCGATTTCGGCGCTTGACGGCCTGCGCCGTGGGGATCGCGGTAGCCCGCCGCGTGACGCTGCGCGTGGTGCGGCGGCGGTGCCGGCCGGGGGCGGCGGGGCTGTTGGCGGGGCGGACGACGCGGTGGAGGAGGGCAGGGAGGGGTCTATTGCGGAGCGGCGGCCGGTGCGCGCGAGTGCTGTGCGCGCGGCGGCGGCGATCAGTGGCGGCACGCCGGCGCGGGCGCGGGCGCAGCGTGGGCGGCGAGGGGGGGTTGGGGGGGGTCTGAAGCCGCGACCGGGGGTGCGGCGGGCCGCGGTGGGCCCGCTGCTGAGCGCGCTGCGTAGGTCCGACAAGGCGGACGGGCTCTTCGAGTGATTGAAGAAAGCGAAGCGCGGAGCGCCAATCACGTGCACTGCGGCAGATGCAGACCTCAGTTCCTATCTTCTCACGCAATCATAATTATAAAAACGCCTTGTATTCACAGTTCGAGCCGACAGACCGCACGCGCACGACCGCGGCGAGCGGCACTCCGCTGGCCGCGCGGGCCCGGTCCGCGCATAGCTGCGGCACACGGCTCCGCACATGCAGCTTGCTCATCCTGCGTGCGGGTACTCCGCCGCGTCGTTGCTCTCGGCCACCCCTTTCCTTGGCCAATGCGACCTTCCGAAGGTCAAACCGAGTCGGTTAAACACGTTTCGTCACACTGATTGTCCATTACATTTCATTTAATCAAATCCGAGGAACGTCCAGTCTTTCTCGACCGCAAGGACGCCTGAGACGCCTTCGCCGGCCGCGCCCCCTCGTGCGCCTGCTCCCCGCCGCCCCCCTCCGACGCCGCTCCGCTCCCTCCGTCCTCGCGTTGCTCCCGTGCGCGGCGGGTTTGAAAATGTCTCACCACAAGATCCATCAGAAACGCGATGACGCGCAGGACGGGCGCGCCGATCGCCGCCAGGATCGCGTCCGACAGCGGCCCTGCACGTACCGCGGAGGCGCCCGGACCGACAGCGCGTCAGTCGGAGCGGCAACACGCACGAGTCATGTGGGGGGGGTAATGGACGTGCTGCTTGCTGCGGCCGGGCGCGCCGGTCGGCGGCGCACCTAGCGCCCGCGCGGAGATGCCGGCCTGGAGGTGGCCGAGGAGGGTGACGCCGAGGTCGGGAGTCGGCAGATGGTATTTCCCGGCAATTATGCCTCTCACGATGCACCGAGCCGTGGCCTCGGCCGAGTAGAAGCTGCCCTGGCTCGAGATGACGTGGCACTCCGGCGGCTTCGTCTTGTTCTCCTCCGCGAACCCCGGCGTGTCCGTATCCACCGGGTACGCCACACAAATGTCAACGCCCGTCCGTTGCCACTCGTTTCGCAAACAATCCGCCAGCCCGCGCACGGCCCACTTCGACGGCGCGTAGCTCGAGTACCCCGTGAATCCCATCAGGCCCATCGCGCTCGACACGACCACAACGGTGCCTGACCGCCTCTCCAGCATCCCGCCCGCCACTGCTTTGATTGCGTTGACCGTGCCTAGGAAGTTGAGCTTCATGGTGCGCTCGAACACGTCCACGTCCTGCTCGTGGAAGAACCCCGGCGTCGCGGAGCCCGCGCACGCAACGAGCACGTCCACGGGCCGCCCCGCGCGCTCAGCAAGTGCCGCCGCAGCGGCGGAGGCTGCTTCGCTCGACGTGACGTCCGCAGCGTGCGTCAGCACCGCCGCTCCCGCGCAACTCGGCCCTCCTCCCGCGATGATGTCGTCCAGCTCGGCCGCTGCCTCCCGCAGCTGCCCTTCGCGCCGGGCGACGATGGAGACAACAGCTGCGCCCTCGTGCAAAAACTGCTTGGCGAGGGCGAGTCCGATCCCGGACGACCCGCCCGTGATGAGGACATGCTTCCCGACGATGTTGCGGCGGCGTCGGAGCGCCCAGGCGAGCGCTGCGTCGACCAGCAGCGCGCCGGCGACGCCCGCGACGACCTTCCACCATAGCACTGTCATGAAACGGTCGCTCCGGCAGCGGGACGGCCGCAGCACGCGCTGGTGGCCGCAGGGGCGGCATGCGGACGACACGGCGGACGCTCCCCGCGCGCGCGGCCGGCAATGGCGGCCCGCAGGCCGCGGGGGGGGGGTCGGAAGCCGTTGCTCGGGAACAGAGTTATACGCGACTGCGTTTTGCGGCGTGGTCGGGGCGCGGCGTGCGCTGCAACGCCACTTGAGCGACGCAGGGTAGGCGGAGGCTTTCGCTCGGTGCCGATTTGAGCGTAGTTCGTGTCGCAATCGGCGCGGAGTGCCGGAAGTCCAGAGACCGGGCTCAGCGCACCCTCTGTGAGGGTGCTTGCGCAGCCAGGCCTGGCGCTTCATGACAAGGAGCCTCCGGCCGCGCCCCCTGACAAGCTCCGTCTCGTCGAGCGATAAGCTGTCTTCGCGGAAGTACCCCGGCGTGCAGAGCGCCGCTCTCAAGGGGGGCCAACCCATCGCCGCGAGCGCCCGCCTGAAGCCGCGGTCCAGGATGAACCCCGGCGACGGCAACGAGCCGCTCCTCGACGACCTCGAGGCCCGCATGCGGCGCCCACTCGACGGCGAGGGCGACCAGGCGGCCCCGCTCACCAGCAAGGACGAGGAAGACGACCACAAAAGCGACGTCCACGCCTCCGCAGCGCACCTCACGAACGCCATCGTCGGCGCAGGCATCATGGCGCTCCCGCGCGCCATCGCGGAGCTCGGCATCCTCCTCGGCGTCGCGTGCCTGATCGGCTGTATGGGCCTCGCAGTCTTCACGATCGAATCCATCGTCGTGACGGCCGCGAGGTCGAACTGCCTGACGTCGTACGGCGACCTCATCAAGACCCGCTTCGGCCCGCGCGGCGCAGCGTCGCTCCAGCTGTCCATCATCCTCAACAACTTCGGGGTTATGTGCATCTATCTGCTCATCATGAGGTGCGCCCTGGAAGCGGCGGACGGCGCCTCCTCGCGCCCCGCGAAGCGCCTTCCCGCCTCGCACTGATCTGAACGACCTCAGCGCAGTGCGAGCCGCCGGACATTCACGCGGAATTCGGCTGCAGCGGGCGCGAGGGGCTGCTGGCAAAAGTCCGCGGCGCCGGCTGCCCTGCGCTTGCTCGCGGCTGAAACGTCTGCGCTGCGCCCCTCCGTGACGATGTGCACCCGCCGCGATCGCCGCGTCCCTCGTTCGCGCGCGAAATTCGCGCCCACGGCCCGGTGGTGGCGGTTGGATGCGGCAGGCTGCCGCCCGGCCGCGCCCAGCGAGCTCCGACCACTCTCCGCGACCACAGCCGACCCACGCGCGCCCCCCTGACCCGCCACCGCGCGCCCCACGCCCGCAGCGACACCCTCGTGGGCTCCTGGGAGCTCCCCGGGGTCCTTCCGATCATCTACAAGACATCCCCGGGGTCTGTCTGGTGGATGACCAAGCCCGTCATCCTCCTCGTCGTCATCGTCGGCATCATCGCGCCCATGTGCTCCCTGCGCAGCCTCAAAAAGTGCGCAACCAACGCCCCCACTCATCACCGCTCCCCAGGCGCCGCACGCCCGACCGCGCCGCGCCGCAGCCGCCCGAACACCCCCACGCGCACCCCCCGCGCCCGCGCAGGCTCGCGCCCATCAGCATGGTCTCCGTCGCCATCTGCGCCTCGTTCGCACTCGTCGCGCTCTTCCTGGCCGGCAGCGCCGCGTCGCAGGGCAACCTCTCGCGCACGGCGCGCCTGTACCCCGACGCGCGCCTCCTCGGCCGCGACCCGCTCCAGATCACCGGCTCCATCCTCCGCATCCTCCCCATCATCATGACAGCCTACTGTTGCCACTATACGATCCACCCCGTGATGGCGCACCTGGAGGGCTTCTCGGTGCCGCGCATGAAGCGCGTCGTGCGCACCGCCGTGACCATCTGCGCGGGCCTCTACGTCACGGCCGGCGTGTCGGCCTATGCCATCTTCGGCGACACGACGCGCCCGGACGTCCTGGAGAACTTCACCGCCGGCTCGCTCGACCACATCGTGCCGTACGACGTCGCGCTCTTCTGCTCGACGCTCATCAAGGTCCTCTACGCCGGCAGCCTGATCGGGTCCTTCACGCTGATCATGTGGGCTCTGCGGCTCAACGCGTTCGAGATGGCGGGCGTGCCGGTCGCGCCCGGACAGGGCTGGAGGTGGCACGGCTCCGGCGCCGCGCTCCTCGCGGGCGCGTACGCCTGCGCGGTCTTTCTGCCCTCGATCTGGACGGCCCTGGAGCTGGTGGGGGCGACCGCTGTCGTGCTGATGTCCTTCCTGTGGCCCATGCTGCTGCTGCTGCGCGTGGAGGGCCCGACGCTCCGCATGCCCACGCGCGTCGCGGCGTACGCGGTGATCCTCGCGGGGCTGCTCGTGGCGGCGATCGGCACGGTGGGGGCTGTCAGGGACATGCGGAGTGGGGGGGGTGTGGCGGCGCACGCGCCGGTGCACCGCGGGCCGCCGGTGGACCCCGACAACGCGGCGGCTGGCGGCGCGACCGCGCAGCACGTGGTGCGCGGCCTGTGGGAGCTCGTGCGGCGGTGAGCGCGTCGGCGCGATCATGTTCATACTAGGGGGTGTGTTCCGCTGGGCCGCGGGGGGCGCGGACCAGACGGCGCGGCGCCCGCCTGAGATGTGACACTGCAAGGCGTGCGGCGGCTGAGAGGCTGGAGTTGCGAGTCGCGCTGCCTGCCACGCTTACCGCCAGCAGCGAGACCTCGCAACCAACGCATCGCGTGGGGGCGTCGCCGCTGCGACCCCGACCGGCCCGGACGGCAAGCACGCGCACAGCAGCATCCTCGGTGCCGATTTGCCGGTCCCTGCCGGCGCTCCCTGCTTGGTGCGGCGTCCAAGGCTGCCGCTGTGCCACCAGGCTGCCGCCGCGCCAGACTGGACCGGCTGGAAGCCCGGGGACGCGGCGCGACACGGCTTCGGGCTCTGCATCCGGGCTCACATGTGTATCCCGTGCGGCGCGGCCCGGGCGGCGCGGCCGCCGGCCCCGCGGCAGCTTACGCCACGAGCGTGCTGGCCGTGCTCGACTGGTACCGCCAGGTGGGCGGGAGCTTCTTGGTGCGCTTGTAGTACCGGGCGAGGCGGTGGATGCGGCTCTCGACGAGAATGAGGCGGAACTTCGTGTCCTTGTCGCGCCTGTTGCGCTCGAGGTGCTTGCGCATCGAGACCGCCTTCTTGATCATGAAGTACAGGTCCTCCGGGAGCTCGGGGGCCATGCCGCGCGACTTGAGGATGCGGAGCACCTTGTTGCCCGTCACGTTGGACACCAGCGGGATGCCGTGGGAGTCACGCAGGGCCACACCGATCTGCGACGGCGTCATGCCCTTCTTCGCGAACTTGCAGATGGTGTCAATGACCTGCGGGGACGGAGGACGGTGCGCGTGAGGCGGCCGCGAGGGCGGCGGGCGCTCGGAGGGAGCGGGGCGGGCGGTGCCTGCAGAAAGAGTGCAGGCTGCTGCCGGGGGTGCGGCGCTGGGGCGCGCGCAACGTGCGCCGCGCGGCCCGTCGGGATAGGAATGTGCGGAGAGCTCGCTGGGGGGCGCGAGGGCCGCCCGGAGGGCCGCAGCAGGCGCAGGAAACGGCCATCGGCCCGCCGGCCGAGCTCGTGCCTCGCGGCGTGCGGCTCGCTGCTCGAGAGCCCGGCGCGGCGAATGGCAATGAATGGAGGCGACGCGTGGCGGGGACTCACGTCCTCGGCCGAGGTCTTCAGCCACGACGGCGGAGTCCTACGGTACGGCATTGCCGAGGACGACATGCCCTTGCCCTTCGAGTGCATGCGCCCCATCTTGGCTGGTTGTCTTCTCCGAACCGCAAGCCTGCGCGGGAGTGAGGGAGCACGCGTCTGGCCCCGCGCGAACGAGCGACACAAGCGTAAGCAGCAGCCAAGCCCCCTCGGGCCGCGTGCGCACCTGCCGGATGAACAACCCACACAAGGGTGTGCGTGAAAGAGGCAGTGATCGGCCACGGGCGCTCGCAACGTTGGCCAGGCGCGCCTTGCGCAGCAGGGGTCTACCGTCGAACCCCCCTGTCCCCCGCCCGCAGCCCTTGCGTGCCGTCCAGCGCGCCCGCCGCACGGAAACAAATCCGCAGTGGCACGTCGCAACGTTTCAGCGCGGTATACGTGGGCGTCGACGCACCGGAAGGGCGCAGGAGGAGGTCGCTGGGCGCACCTATGTCCTCCCTCGTCATCACCGAGGACGGTCTCGGCCGGTTCTGCGTGAGTGCCCTCTCCATCGATCCCGTCCCGGCGGACCGCGCGTGCCGCGTGATTTCGCGCTGGAGCCGCGGCCTGGGCCCGAGGACGTATGCTGGGGCGCCCAGGCTTCTCAATGCGCTGTCCGTGCTTCTGGCTCCTGCAGTCCCTCGTTGGCGTCGCTGCCGTGCTTCTCGTGGCCGCATACCACTTCCTCACGGCCGATACGGACCCCAAGAAGGACTGAGGCGGACGCTGTCAGCGCTCAGCAGCAACTTGCACTCTCTCACGCCGCATCCGAGCGCCCCTCGACGGCCATCGCGGCGGGCGGAGCCGCCTGGCCACTCGTAGAGAAGTCACCGCTTCCGTTCCGTAGCGTACGGCCCGGCAGGCCGCGGGGGCGATGTCGTTCGTGGGGGGCAAGTTGAAGCTCAAGGGAGTCGAGGAGAAGAGGAAGAAAAAGAAGAAGTCGAAGAGCAAGGACAAGGAGAAGCAGCAGGTGCTCAAGGAGGAGCTCGAGGGGGTGCGCCGCCCGCCGCCGCCCTCGCGTCGCGTGGCGAACCGAACAGAAGTTGTTTTTGGGCACTTCTGGGCCGTTGGGGCACGGTATGCGCGGCGGGCCGGCGCGGATGGCTGCCCCGCACGGCCGCTCACGCCGCCGGCGCGCCCGGTCCCCGGTCTGCGCAGGCGGAGGCGAAGGGGGGGTCCCGGGGGGAGTCGGACGGCGGCGGGGACGAGGTGGACACGCGCACGGAGGCCGAGAAGCGATACGACGCCTACATGCGCAAACGCGAGCTCGAGCTGCTGCGGAAAAACGCCCTCAAAACCACAAAAGAGAAGGTGAGTGTCCGCTGTGTGTATACGCACGGCGTGTTTCTGTGCGCGCTGCGCGCTCTTGCGCGTTGTTCGTTTGCTGCTCCGACGCCGCGCGCGAGCCGCGCGAACGGCGCGCGGTGGCGTCTGCGTGCACCCAGCCAATGTCTGCCCGCCGGCTAGCACGTCGCGATGGGTCGGCGGGCCTGAGTATGCTGGAAGAGCAACACGGGCGCTCAGAAGGCGGGACGGCAGCCACTGACTGCCTTTTCGCAAGATTTGCGCCGAAATCCCCGCCTTTGATCGAGGCACGGCCGTCGGCGCGCGACTGTGTGTTGCTAGTGCCGCCGATCGCAATTGACAACCTGGCCGCGCCGGGCGATGCGGTGCAGGTGAACGAGTTCAACGAGAAGCTCGCGGCGCTGTCGGAGCACCACGACATCCCCAAGGTCGACGGGTCCTGGTAGCCAATCGGCGGCCCACTGGCCAGTGCGCTCACCTGCACACATGTAACAGCGTTCTGCGCTCCCCTTGCGTCGTCGGTGGGCCCCCTCACGGGCACACACGCAGACAGGGCCGCTGCTTTCGGTGGCTGTCGGCCGGGCCGGCAGAGCGGCGGGGGCGCAACGCCAGGTATATAACAACTTAAAGTGGTAGCAAGGGGGGTGTCATGCCTGTTGTTCCGCGTCAGTTCTCTCCAGGTCGCCCCCGTCCCTCTTCCTCATAGCTCTGGCCTGTTCCCTGGCTGGTTGCTTCGTTCGCGCGAGCGCATCTGACGACGGATGCGGCCTCACATTGCTTGTGTGCTAGGCTATATCGTGCACCGCCGGTCCCTGCCCCCGTTTCCTCGCGTCGTGCCACGCGCCTCCCAGCCGGAACACCCCCCTCCTGACTCCCCCCCTTGCCCAAGCCCTCAGATCCCGCCAAATCACCACCACGCCGCCGCCTCAGCCCCCCGCGCTGGCCGGCACCCCGCGCAGCCCGTCGCGCCCGATGACGAACTCGAGCTTCCTCGGCGGCAGCGTCGGCGAGAACAGCACGCTCATCTCCCGCCGCACGCTCGCGTCCCCGCCCGTGTCCGCCCCGAGGCCGCTCCGGAGCCGCGCCAGGAAGATGCGCTGGTTCACGCAGTTCGCCCACGCGAGGCCCAGCGCCGGCATGACGTCGCGCCCGGACGTCCGCAGCGCCCCGTGCGCCCCCTGCTGGTGCACACTCACCACATCCTCCACCTTGTCCGCCACCTGCGGCCGCAAACGAACGGGCTATTGCCATTGCAAACGCCGCGCCAACCTGGGGCCGACCCACGTGCACGCGCGAGGGAGGAGGGTGTGCGCTGGTGATATGTTTCTACTTACTTGGTTTGTGATGACGACGGCGAGGGCGAATTCGTCGGCGAAGCGTTTGAGGAGCGCGGCGGCCTCGAACATCTGCCGGGCGCGCCCGCCGACGTCGCCGGCGTCGTTCCCGTCGTCGCGGAACACCCCCGCGACTGAGTCAAGCACAATGAGTCGGACTGGGTAATCGGGGTCCTGGGGGTGTTCCAGCAGCCGCCGCGCCTGGTGCAGGCAGTGCAGGAGGTCGTCCGGGACGCCCAGCTCGTCTTGCACGAAGATCCGGTCCGCGGCGGGCCCGGCAGGCAGCGCGGCGCCCGCGCCGGTCGCCGCAGCGACGCTGGTCGCGCGCGCGAGCAAGCCCTCCGACATGGCCTCGAGCCGCCTGGAGAAGGGCTTCCCGGCCTCGGTGTAGAGGTACAGCGCGCTGCCGTGCAGGCCTCCGCAGGCGGCGGGCCACTGCACGGTGGTCATGAGTTGCAGGCACAGGTTGCTTTTGCCCGCAGTGGCTTCGCCGGCGAACTCCGTGACGACGCCGACGGGGACGCCCCCGCCGAGGAACTCGTCGATGAGCGCGCAGCCGGAGCTGAGCCGGGGCTTGGGGGCGCCCAGCGACCGCGCAGCGATCATCCCGCCATGAGGGTGCAGCGCTCCCGCCTGCTGGGCTCCAGGGCGGCGCGTGGGGAGCGCCCTCGCGTCCAGCTATGATTGATCCACCTCTACTATCCTGTTGTCTTGGCACGCCGTGGGGAATATGCGTCTGTGGGGCTGCACAGGCTCCGTGCGAGGTTGGTGGAGGCAACCCAGATATTGTCGTCGGTAGGAGCCTGGTGGTATTTGTTTGTGATGATTCGGACCGCAGTCGGTTGTGGGGATGTACTGGCACCGTGGCCGAAGGGAGCGGTCGCAATGGCGACGCTGCCTGGGGCCAATTAGCGGCGTACAACTGAGCGCGCATTGCTGGTCTTCCTGGCCAAGTCTGACACGGCTTCGGCGCTCGCAGGGCGCGATTGCCGGCGCGATGCCATGACAAAGTCGATCGCATCCAGTAAATTGTCGCGGGCGTCGTAGCTTCCACACGTCGGCAGAAAGCACAGTGTGCAACCCCCCGCTGTTGCTTGCGCTAGCGTGAGCGAGGGAAGCGCTACGATGGCAGGTCGTGCGAGCAAGCTGTATCAGCCCTACGATATCAAGGGGCACACCGCGCTGATTACGGGGGCGAGCTCGGGCATTGGCGAGGCGACAGCGCTGCGCTTGGCCGAGGCCGGGTGCAAAGTCATTCTGGTCGCGCGTCGAGCGGACCGCCTCGAAGCTCTCGCGAAGGTGCGGTTCATGTCAGGAGGAACCGCACGTGCACGTGCCACGTCGACTCACCGCATGAGCCGAATCAGGCCGTGAGCTTGAAGGTGATTTCTCCTCGCGGCGCCGCGAGGAGACACGCATTCGCGCCCCCACCGACATTTTCCTGCAGAGAATGAAAGAGGAGTTCGGCAACGGGGACGTCCACTGCGTCACGATGGACGTCCGCGACTCGGCAGCTGTGGACGCCCTGCCTACCCAGCTCCCAGCGCCCTTCGCGGACGTCGACATCCTCGTCAACAACGCCGGTGCGCACCACCGCATCGCCAACCCGCAGCACGATCCTCCTGCGCGCGGGCGCGCCCTCTCTATGCGAATCAACTCCGTCATAATGCAAACATCTGTACATAACACACCTACACGTTGTCATTGCGCGCTTGCGCAGGCCTCGCCCTCGGCACCGCGGGGGCGCACGAGCACGACATGGACCAGGTCCAGGTCATGCTCGACACGAACGTGTCGGCCTTGCTGCGCTTCACGCGCGCGTTCGCCCCGCAAATGGTCGCGCGCGACCGCGGGCACATCGTCAACGTGTCGAGCATCGCGGGGCACGAGGCGTACGCCGGGGGCGCGGGGTACTGCGCGTCGAAGTCTGCGGTGGACGCGTTCACGACGGCGGCGCGGCACGACCTCGTGGGGACGCGCGTGCGCGTCACGGCAGTGTCCCCCGGGGCGGTGGAGACGGAGTTCAGCGTGGTGCGGTTCGGGGGGGACAAAAGCAAGGCTGACGCGGTGTACGAGGGGATCGAGCCGCTGACGGGGCCGGACATCGCCGACAACATCATGTACAGTCTGACGCGGCCGGAGCACGTGCAGGTACGGAGCAAAGTGACACTTGATGGTTTGTGGAACAAAAAATGTACTGTTTGCTTGGTTGAGCATCGCGCGACACGGCCAACGGGCCCGCCAGTGCTGAAACATAACATAAACAACAAAGAGCACTGGGACATGCATCGAACGACAACAACGTTGTATTGACCTGCAGATCGCGGACGTGATCTGCTTCGCGACGTACCAGAGCAGCGCGAAGGGGCTCGCGCGCGTCCTGAAGAAGAACTGAGGAGGGCGCGCGCGCAACGCACGGAGCCGCCATCGCCGTTTGAGCTCCATCACGAGGCATCGCATGCTTCGCTGTGACACGCGATGCGACTCGTGGCCGGGCCGTGCGGTACACTCACTCGCTTCCGTCGCCGCGCAGCCGCGGCACGAACCTGCAGCTCTTCATCGCACTGCCACCTTATCCTATCCATCTGTTTCTACACATCCAAGAAAACCCTTATAACATTCAGCCCCTGACGTCAACGACCACCAGCAGCGCCACCCCCACCTCGCCTCACGCCTACATCGCGCCACGTCCCCACCGACGCGTCGCCTCACCGCTCCAGCAACATGATAGCCTCGCAGTGCTTCGTATGAGGAAAGAGGTCCACCGCGAGCGCACGCACGGGCCGGAACGCGTCGTACTCGCCCAGCGCCCGCGCCTTGTGTCCCGCCGCGCTGTGCGGCGTGCACAGCTCCACGCAGTTCGACGCCAGCGTCTCCGGGTTGCACGAGACGTACACCAGGCGGCGGATGTGGCGGCAGCCGAGGATCGCCCGCACGACGGACGGGTGCAGGCCGGGCCGAGGCGGGTCCACGATCGCCACGATGTCGCCCTCCTGGCAACCCCCCTCCTCGACCAGCCGCGGCAAAAGACCCCCCATCACGTCCTCGGCTTTCCCTGCGATCCACTCGCAGTTCTGCACGCCGTTCGTCCGGCTGTTGCGCCGCGCGTCCTCGACCGCCGACTCCGCGATGTCCACGCCGATCACTTTCTTGCACTGCGCCGCGACCGACAGCCCGATCGTGCCCGTGCCGCAGCACACGTCGAGCACGGTCGACCGCGCGCCGTGGCCGGCCCAGTCCCCCGCGATCCGGTACAGCACCGACGCTGCCGCAGCGTTGACCTGGAAGAACGCTCCCCACGAGATGCGGAACCTCAGTCCGCACAACACGTCTTCAATGCAGCCGGTGCCGGTCTCCGCGCTGTTGGCAGACGCCTGCGCCGCGGCGGCGTCGTCCGCGGGCCACGGCACCGCGGCGCCGCGGTCGTAGATCGCGAACGTCGTCGACGCGAGGTCTGCGGCGTTCGAGACGCCTGTATGATACTGAACCAAGAACGTCGTGAGCGGGAAACCGAGGGCCTCGCAGCCCGCGCGGACGTGCGCGCACAGGGCCTCGCAGGCGCGCTGCGTGGCCGCCGCGGAGGGGGACTGCTCCGGGTTGACTTGGACCAGCATCATGGCCTCGTCGACGACGGGGACGTCGCAGCCCGCGCCGCCGTCGCCGACGACGTCCTGAGGGGGTGTTTCCGCGCCCTCGCTGCGAGGGCGTCTCCGGCACGAGGGTGTTTGGGCGGTTGGTGGCACAGACACAGACGCGCGGCGACAGCGGTATCGTGAAAAAAGGAACGCGCGGGAAGACGAGAGATCCTATTTGTTGGCGACGCGCTCGCACCTTGGCTGCCACGCGTCCAGCGCGCCGCGCTCCGTCCGCCTCGCGACCTCCGACGTCCACGGATCCCCTTCCACGAGCCACTCCTGCCACCTCACGTCCTCCAGCCGCCCGCGCCCCACCCCCCCCGCCCCGCACGCATCCGCGTAGCTCTCCCCCGGCCGCGGCAGCACCGTCGCTCGACGCGCCTCCCTCACCTTCAGCTGCCGCCAGAACCCCGTGTGCGTCCGCTTATCCCACACCTTCAGCGGCCCCGCGCCCTCCCCGCCCGCCCCCTCGCAGCCCCGCCCCGCAGGCGACCGAACAAACTCCTGCACCATCGCCGCGCACTTCCGCACCAGCGCGCTCACGTGCGGGCACGCGTCCGCGCTGTCGACCGCGGTCCACCCGTCCACGAAGCTCCCGAGCAGGAACCCGACGCCGGGGGACCCGTCCCGCAGCGTCCCGATCGTCAACTCGTTGTTGTTACGATACCCGCATAGCACGGGGGACCGTACGATGCCCTCGAGGTCCAGCGCGCGCCCGGAGCGCGCCGCCCTCGCCTCGTGGACCCACGCGGCGGCCGCGCGCGCGGCCTCGGCGCGGGCGCGCGTCGCGGCGTCGGCCGAGCTGCCGTCGGCCAGGATTTGCTCCACGCGGCCGTGCGCCATGCCTGCGGCGTTGAGGGACTTCGCGACGCCCTGCGACGCGATCGGGCGTTGAGTGCGACGGTGCGCGGACGGCCGTGGAGGAGGTGCGTGCGTGCCGGGCCCGCGGGGCGATCTTGTATTGTGTCAAGCGTTTGGGTGGTCGTGGGAAAGGGGGAATGCCGAGTTGCGTTTTTGCGTACCGAGGTGAGGCGTTCCATGGCGCTCTCGACCTTGGCGCGCTTGAGGATGAGCTGCTGCGGGTACGGCATGGCCCACAGGGGGCAGACGGCGTCCCGAATGTCCTTGGTCAAGAAATCGGCTGTTCTGGCATCTAGCTTCTTCATGATTCGCCTCTGCGGCGCAGCACGGGCCCTCGGGGCGACGGCATCGGCCCCGCTCGATCGGCGCTAGCAAGGTCTTGGCCTGGACGAGCGCGCCTGTGGCAGCTCGTGGCAGGGACAGAACAACACAAGGTTGATTATGAAGTACAGTCTCACCTTCTTCCTGTTCGACGCAGGATCGTCTTGGCCCGCGTCGCGGCTCCGGGAAGGCTTGCGCTGGAACTCGGTCACGCTCACGTCGTCGAAGCCGTCCGCTGCCTTCACCTGCGTCGCGGGCGCGCAAAACACATGCTGCTCTCATCGCCGTCCTTGTTGCCAGGCTGCCGTGGATCGGGGAGCGCACATATGCGCGCATTGTCCGCCAGCAGTTCGCCCACCTTCTCGAGGGTCTTCTGCGCTGCTTCGAACGCGGCCTTGCTCTCGAACTGCACCGTCGCGATTTTCCAAGTCTGCTGCTTGGTGGCACTCAGTACGCCCCGCACGTCATGCTGTTCGAGGAACTTCTGCGCCCGCGGCGTGTTCCAGCTCTTCGGAAGCGGCCTCACGCATGCCGCGAACCCCTCTTGCGCCCCGCCGCCCCCCGGCGCGCCGCCCGCCTCCACGGCTGCGCTGCCCTGCTGCGCCCCCGCGCATGCGGTCTTCGCCACGTCTCCGCCTCCCGCCGCCGGTGAGTCGCTGCCGTTACCCGCCATCCCCGCCCGACACGGGCCTCTCCACGCCCGCACACGTCCTGTAGCTGTTGCAGCTGCTCCTGTTTCCACCTCCGCGAATCACAGCGCGAACCCGAATCACTTTGCCTCTTCGACGGACTCGGCCGCCCCACAACGACCCTCGGCACGTGCTCGCGCCGCGCAACGACGCCGCGCCGGTCTGTCGGGCCCAGGACGTCCCACTCCTCCCTTGGTCAAGTGCGCCCCGAGCGGGGCGGCTCCCGGGCTCACCGCGGCGCCGAGCGCGCCGCACGACGCACAGCCCCAGCAGCTCTTGCGGACAGCGGCAGAGTGGTCGGGCCGGGGACCTGATTGAGAAATAGCGTCAGAGCACAACAGGAACTCGTTTTGCGCGGCAGCGCGGTATTCTGCGTCCGCCATCGCTCGCGGGCGCTGCGCCGGCAGCCTAGGCGGTGGCTGCAGAGATGACGGCGGACCTGGAGCTGCCGTACTCTGTGGAGGACAGCCAGCTGGGCAAAGCTAGCCGTCAGCGCCGCGGTGTGGCGGGCGCCGGCGGGGCGCGCAGGCCGTACGGACGGCCGGAGGTCCGGGCGCCGGCGGTCGGGCCGGACGAGAACGAGGTCGTCGTTGAGGCGAACCGGGGTTCGGACGGCGGGCGGTCGCTGTTTGGGTCCTTGGCACGGCTTGGGAGCGTGGCTGGTGTGCGAAGGCTGGCTGCGTCGCTGACGAGCGGGGTGCGCATGCCCGCCCGGCCGCTGCGTGGCGCTCGGTGCCGCTTGCCTGTGCGGGCGCGGGGGCCGAATGTGCGGCGCGGCGGCGCGAGCCGGACAGTTGGCGCCACTGTTGGGCGTCCTGCGTGCCCTGGCGCGCGTGGGGGCGCCCCGCGGGGCTCGGCCGCCTGTGCTTGAACGGTGATTTTACAGCATTCGGTGCCGCCGGCCATCACGCGCGCAGGTGACGGGATTCATTGGCACGCGCCTGCTTGGACGTGGGCATCAGGAAAGGTCCGGACACGAGGAGCGCAGCGACGATCAAGGTGCGCGCCCCCGCCCGCGTCGAGAGCTAGCATCACGCGAGGCTGCCGCCGACCAGAGCACGCCGCCAGCCCGCCCTGCCGCCTCAGGAGGCCCGCTCTTCTGCACACCGCACTGGTTTTCCCTCTCACTGCCGCCCGACCACGCCCTATCTGTCGCCGCAGACGTCCCCGACGGCGACGACTCCGACCATGCAGCCCCGGCAGAGCTGCCATCCGCGCCGAGCGGCGGCGCCACGCTCTCCGCGGTCACCATCATGGGCCGCAAGGGTGCCTTCACGCACGCGGCGGACCGCGCCGGCGCCGACTCGGTCAAAAACGTACCCGCCGAGGTCGACGATCGCTTCGGCCGCACGCGCTCCTCGGGCCGCACCGGCGCCGACGCCCGGGGCGTCCCCAGCGGCTTCGTGGACACCTCCCCAGGACGCCGCCCCGGCCGCGCGTCGCCGCAGTTGGGCCGCGCCCGCGAGCCCGACGGCGGCGCGCAGGAGCCGCAGCAGAGCGTCGCGAAGCGCGTGCCCTTCGACGACCTCCTCGCGCTCCTAAATGAGTCCCCCGGGGATGTCTCGCACGCCCCCCCTGCGCTGCGCGGGCGGCGCTCGGGCGGGGCCGCGCTCCCGGCGCTCCCGGCGCCGCCCGGACGCGAGGCGGCGCCCGTGTCGCCCTGGGCGGGGCCGCAGTGGGCCACAGCGCAGCCACCGGCGCGCCCAGCGACGGAGGCGCGTCGTCGGTCGCCGCCGTTCGCGCCCACGCGGTCGCCGTTTGCGCCGGCGACGGGGGCGCGGATGCCGCCCGCCCGCGCGCCCGAGGAGCCGCCGCGGCCGGCGCCTGCGACGACCCCGGCGCAGCAACCGGGGGGACTGTTTAGGGGGGGTTTCCGCCCGATGGCGCGCGCCGCGCAGGCCCCCGCGGCGAACGGGGGGCCGGCCGTGTCGCGCGCCGGCGGGAGCGGCCTGCGCGGGCTGCGGTCGCTCAACGCGTCTGCGTCCGCGAAGCGCAAGCGCCCCGACGACGCGCCGGGGCAGCCGACCGGCCTCCGAGGCCTCGCGGCGAGGGGGGGTGTGTCGCAGACCCCCCTCGGGTCCGCTGCCGGCCTCAGAACACCCGCCGCGCGCACTCTCGGGGCCACGCCGGCGCCCGAGACGCGCCGCGCGACGGACACGGCCCAGAAGATCCTGCGAGCGCTCAACGAGATGGGTGACGGTGCCGGCGCCACTCCGTCGCGTGCCGGCGCGCCCGGGACCGCGCTCGCGACGCCTCGGCTGAACCTCGCGCCGTCGCTGGCGCGGGTCTCGCACCACGCCCCCGCCGCGGTCGCGCCGCCGCTGGAGACGCTTGACGACGACGGTGCAGAGGCGCAGGCGCCGTCCGCGAAGCGCGCGAGGGGGCTGGGCGGCGCGGTCGTGCCGGCCGGGCCGCGGCCAGGGCCTCTCGACGCCGCGGACGCCGCGGGGCGGGCAGTTGGGGCGCGGCCGCCGCCTGGAGTGTACTTTTCGTTTGGGTCGACGCCGGCGGTGCCTCCGTCGCCGCGGCTGGAGCCCGCGATGGCGCACGCGGCGGAGGTGGCGGCGGGAGAGGCGCGGAAGGGCCGGGAGGCGGCGGAGGCTGCGGAGCGCGAGCGGAAGCGGCAGCGGGACGAGGAGGAGAGGCCTCCGCCGGTCAAGGTGGGGGGGTCTCGATTCGCGGCGCCGAGCGACTCGGACGACTCGGTCGTGGTGATCAGCGACAGCGGCGACGAGGGGGACGCGGCGGCGCCACCCGGGACGCCCATGCAGGGCTGGCTGAGCAAGGCAAAGGACACCCCCCCTCCGCAGAAGCCGGCGGACGTGGCGCCGAAGCAGGCGGCCCCCGCGCCGGCGTTCGGCACCGCCGCGCCGCCGGCTCGCCGCGAGCCCGCGTTCAAGCCGCCCGCGGCCGCGTCCCCGGCGTCCGGGCGCGACGACGACGCGCCTCGTGTCCGGTTTGGCGGCGATCGCAGCAGCGCCGAGGACCGGGCGATCCGGGCCGCCGTCGGCGGCGTGGTCGCGGCGAGCGACGCCGGCGTCAAGTTCTCGTTCGGCGCGAAGCCTGCGGCGCCGCCCGCGGCGCTCGCGACCCCTGTTGCCGCCGCCAACGTCGTGGCCAAGGCCGCCGCCAGCAGCCCGCTGCCGGACTCCGACGACGAGGCCCCGGCGCCCGCGGCCACGGAGAAGAAGGAGCAGGAGAGCGAGGCGAAGGAGAAGCCCGCGGACAGCGCCGCGGCGCCGAAATTCGGAGCTCCGGCGCGGACCGCATGGACGCCGTTTCCACAGTCGCCCCCTGGGGGTTTCAAGTTCGGTCTCGGCGCGGGCGCGGCGCCGGCGGCGGGCGCGGAGAAGCAGGAGCGCGACGCGGCGGACAAGGCGAAGGAGCCCGCGAAGGAGCCCGCAGCGAGTCCCTCTGCGTTGTCTGCAAAAGCGCCGGCGTTTACGTTCGGGGCCAAGCCCGCCGAGGGGCAGAAGGACGGGGACGGCGACGGAGCGCAGCCTGCGCAGAAGCGGCCGGCGTTTGCGTTCGGGGCCGGCGGTGGCGCGGGGGCGTTTGGCGCCGCCAAGGACACGACCGACTCAGGGACAGGGGGGGGTCCCGCGGCGGCGTTCAAGCCGGCGAGCAGGTTCCAGTTCGGCGCAGCAGCGCCCTCGAGCGACAAGCCGGCGAGCTTCGGCGCACCTTCGGCGGCGCCCGATTCCACCAAGCCCGCCGAGAAGCCAGCTGGGGGGTTCCAGTTCGGCGCAGCATCGACGGGCGCAGCGGACAAGCCCGCGGGCCCGTTCACGTTCGGCGCGAAGCCCGCGGACGGTGCGGGGACGCCGGCGACAGGCACGGGCGTGAGATTCGGCTCGACGCCCATCGCCGGGGGGGGCGGCGCGCCCCCTGCGAGCGGGCCCGCGGGCGCCGCGAGCTCCACGCCCTTCGGCGCGCGGGGTGCCTCCGGGGACGCGGACAAGCAAGCCGCTTCTACGCCGGGCGTGGTGTTTGGCTCGAAACCTATCACCGGCACGTCGCCCAGTGAGAAGACCACCGAGGCCGCCGGCGCGAGCAAGCCCGCGTTCTCGTTCGGAGCCAAGACGACGCCGAGCGCCGCCGGCGAGGGCGGCGCCCAGGCGACGAAGTTCGCTTTCGGCAGCAAGCCTGCAGAGCAGGGGGGCGGGGCCGCGGACAAGCCCGCGAGCGGCTTCCAATTTGGCGCGAAGCCTGCTGAGCCGGCAAGCAGCAAGCCGGCGGACGCATCGGCGCCGTTCGCTTTCGGCGCCAAGCCAGCCGGCGACGCTGGCGGGGCGAAGAGCCCGTTCACGTTCGGGGCGCAGGCCTCCGCGGGCGGGGCGGACAAGCCGGCCAGCACGTTCACGTTTGGAGCTTCTGGGCAGCAGCAGCAGCCTGCAAGCGGGGGCATGGAGGGCGGAGACAAGCCGGCCTCGTCGCCGTTTGGTGCGAACGCAACGGGGGGCAGCGCGCCAGGGTTCGGGTTCGGCGCGGCGCAGGGTGCGGCGCCGGGCGGCGCCCCGAAGTCGCCGTTTACGTTCGGGGCCGGCGGTGCGGGGGGGGCGTCGCAGACTTCCCCCGGGTCGTCGCCGTTCCAGTTTGGCGGCAGCACCGCCGCTGCAGCGCCGGCCGGCACCGCGTCGGGCTTCCAGTTCGGGGCGACCGCGGCGCCGGGCGCGTCGTCGACCACGTTCACGTTTGGCGGCGCAGCGTCGACGCAGCCTGCGAGCAGCACGCCCTTTGGTGCGAGCACGGCGCCTGCGAGCTCCACGCCGTTCGGCGCCTCCGGCACCGCGCCAGGCACGCCCTTTGGTGCGACCACAGCAGCCGCGGGCTCCACGCCGTTCGGCGCCTCCGGCACCGCGCCGGGCACGCCCTTTGGTGCGACCACCGCAGCTGCGGGCTCCACACCGTTCGGGGCATCCGCCGCGCCGGGGAACCCGTTCGGAGGCTCCGGCAGTGCGGCGGGCGCGCCGTTCGGCGCGGCGCAGCCGTCGTCGGGGCCCGGCGGCGGCCCGTTCAACTTTGGCGGCGGCGGAGGTGCGACGGGCATGAACACAGCCCCGGGGACGTTCGGTGCGTCGGCCGGTGCGCCGCCTGCGTCCAGCGGCGGCTTCCAGGCCGGCGCGGCGTCGCAGCCGGGCGGGTTCGCAGCCGGGGGCACCGGCGGGGGGTCCGGCATGTTTGGTGCTGCCCCAGGCGGCACACCGTTCGGCGCGCAGCCGGCGCAGCCGTTCGGCGGGGGCCAGCAGGCGTTTGGCGCGCCGCAGTCGCAGCCCGCGTTCGGAGCCGCGCAGCCGGGTCAGAGCGCGCCGTTTGGCGGCGGAACGCAGCCAGGACTGGGCGGCGGGGGTGCGCCGCAAGGCGGGTTCGCGTTCGGGGGCTCGCAGCCGGGCGGCGGGGCTTTCCAGTTCGGCGCGGGCGCGGCGGCGGGGCAGCCGGGGCAGCCGGCGCCGAGCGGGACCTTTGGGGGGAGTGACGGCGGTATGAGTGTGGGCGCGGCTGGACGCCATGTCATAAAGGCGAAGCGGCGCGCGCGGCGGTGAGCTGCGGAGGCGCGCCGGTGCTGCGTTGCTTGTGATCGCGTGCGACGCACGAGGCAGAAGGAAGCCGCTGCGGGCGTTTGTGGCCACGTGACCGACGCTGAGAAAGCCTGTGCTTGCTGTGCTGTCTCGCTGGCTCCGACACCCACGCGACGGTACCTGTCTTCTTCGGCGGTCGAGGGGTCGACTGCGGGCTGTGCTGAGCAGGAGCCGAGCCCGCGGGGGTGTTTTTGGCGAGTCCCCCCCCTCACGTCAGTCCTGCTTGCGTCTGACGGCCAAGGCCGTGCGTGGGGCCGCCGGGCTGAACGCTGCGGCGGCAGGCGGCACGGTGCCATCCTGGCAGGATCATCCCGGCGAGGATTCCGGCGACGATGTTGCATGCAGTGCCGCGGCGGGCGCTGCCTGCCCTGGGGGCGACGGGCCGGACCGCGGGCGCCCTGATTCGGCGCCCTGGCTGCATGAGGACGGTCGTCACCGTGGATGCGGCGAACGCGTCGTGCGTGTCGTCGCCCGCAGGCGCGGAAACGCGCGCGAGGCGGGTGCTAGTGACGCTGGGTGGAGGTGCGCGCCCCGTGCGGTGCCACGCGACGGCGGAGAAGGCGAAGGGGAAGAGCGGAGGGGGCAAGAAGCAGAAGGAGAAGAAGCCGAACCCGCTGGTGCGTCGCGGCCGCGCTCTACCGCCCAGCTCTCCCCTACTCGTCTACGAAAAGCTGGTTTCCGCGACGCTCAAGGCCAGTCGTGGACACGACAACCCCCCGATGCCTTCCTCGTTCTATGATGCGTCCGCTGGAGGCAGCACCGGCTTGTTTAGACCCCCCTGGTATAACGTTTGGGCTGGCTCTGCCTCATCCAGAAGCCAGCGTCCTCGATTGTCGGGCTCGCAGGACAAGTACGAGGCCATCATCGGCATCGAGACGCATGTCCAGCTGCTGACGAAGACGAAGGCTTTCTGCTCGTGCCGCAACGAGTACGGCGCGCCGCCCAACTCGCACGTGTGCCCAGTCTGCATGGGCCACCCTGGTGCGCGCCCCCGCACGGATTGCGCCGGAAATCGAACAAGCCGCGACCGGCATGCCACACCCCTTATTATGACCGCCTCATTCCAGCCACACGTCCTCACCCTCCCGCGCTGTGCGCAACGCAGGCACGCTCCCCTCTTTGAGCGCCCAGGCGGTTGCGCTGGCCCTCCGTGCGGGCCTCGCGCTCGGTTCGGACATCGCGCGCCACTCCAAGTTCGACCGCAAGCAGTACTTCTACGCCGACCTCCCCAAGGGCTACCAGATCTCGCAATATGACGAGCCGCTGTGTTCTGGCGGCAGCGTGCAACTGCACATGCCGGACGGCAGCGGCGTGCGCGAGTTCTCCATCGAGCGCGCCCACCTCGAGGAGGACGCGGGGAAGCTCACGCACGGCGGCGGCGCCGAGGGCGCGGGCGGGGACCGCCTTGCGGGCTCGGAGCACTCTCTGGTGGACTACAATCGCGCCGGTGTGCCGCTGCTGGAGATCGTGAGCGGCCCGGACATGCGCAGCGGGCGCGAGGCGGCCGAGTACGGCTCGGAGCTGCGGCGCATGATGCGCTACCTCGGCGTCTCGGACGGCAACATGGCGGAAGGGTCGATGCGCTGCGACGTCAACGTGAGCGTGCGGCCGCGCGGGCAGGAGGCGTTCGGCACCAAGGTCGAGGTCAAGAACATGAACTCCTTCTCCGCGATGGCGGTGAGCGCCCCAGCTCTCTCTCTCTTGGAACATTGAGAACTAATTAACTAAGAATTGAGGATGCTAATTAGTGCGCCGCCCTGCCCGGTGACGTCCGGCCCGTCGCTCCGCCCCGTCGCGCCCGCAGAAGGCGATCGATTTCGAGATCGAGCGGCAGGTCGGCCTCCACGAGGAGGGCCGCGCCGCGGACATCGTCCAGGAGACGCGGTTGTGGGACGAAGGCAAATCCATGACCTACAGCATGCGCAAGAAGGAGGGCCTCGCGGACTACCGGTACTTCCCCGAGCCGGACCTGCCCCCGCTCGACGTGACCGACGACGACCTCGCGGCGGCGCAGGCGGCCATGGTGGAGCTCCCGCACGCGCGCCGCGAGCGCCTCCTCGCCGAGAAGATCGCGCTGAAGGCCGCGTGCACGATCACGGAGGACCTCGAGACGTGCGCGTACTTCGACGCGGCCGTGGCCGCCGGCGCGGACCCGAAGCAGGTGGCGAACTGGGTGGTAGGCGACCTCCAGGCTCACTGCAAGAACGAGCGTGTCGGCTTCGGGGACCTCCCGCTGACCCCCGCGCTGCTCGCGGAGCTCATCGCGCTGATCGACCGCGGCGTGATCAGCGGCAAGATCGCGAAGGAGGCGCTCCCGGACCTCCTGGCGGGCGGCGCCGGCGACGGCAGCGTCGAGGAGTACGTGCGCTCGAAGGACCTCGTGATGATATCGGACGAGGAGGGCATCAAGGCGGTGATCCGCGCGGCGATGGAGGCGAACCCGGGCCAGTTGGAGCAGTTCCGTGGCGGGAAAGATAAGCTGCAAGGGTTCTTTGTGGGCGCGTGTATGAAGGAGTCCGGGGGGAAGGTGGACCCGGCGATGCTGAACAAGCTGATCGGGCCGATGCTGCGCGGGGAGGTCGAGTGAGGCGCGGGCGGCGTGTGAGGAGCTCCGGCTGCGAGCGTGGCCTGCAATGTGTCTGCGTGCTGCGTGTGCAGTGTGGGTGTCAGAGGTGCGGGGGCGGTGGCGGGGCGGCGGTGCGCAGGGGGCATGGAGGCTGGTGAGGTGGCGGCGTGTGGGGTCGTTGGGGGGTGGGAAGTGGGCGGGGGGGGTTTAGGTTGCTTAGGTCAGCAGCTGCAGAGTCCGTCGGGGAGAGCGGCGCCATGATCGGGGTTCGGTCGCAGCGAGTACGCACATTGCAACGTTTACACTGTCATCTCGACCTGAGTGGCGGTATAAGGCCCCTTATTTCGCGTTTCGCGGCGCATTCGAGCCCCCTGTCGAGTGCCGCGCAGGCAGGTTGCTGAATTGCGTGCGAGGCGCATTGGAGCCATAAATTCCCGTTTTGAGGGTTCTCGCCTGCTCTAGTATCATTGTACATCCCGTTAGTACACCTAGTGGTCTCTCTTGGCGCCACATTTGCGGACAGCGGCTCGGAGGCACAATGCTGGGTCGGGCTCCCTTGTTGCGTCCAGCAACTCGCATTACGCGTGAGACGAATCGTTCGGCTCGGAATATACACCACGCCTTCCCGCGGCCGCATCTGCACGTTGCGATGCCTCGCGAACGCACAGGGCCCGGCGAACGCACAGGCGCCATCATGCGCGACTCCGGCGCGACGGTAGACGCGAACGCCGCATCGAACTCGCCTGCCCGGGAGCCTCCTTCAGGCTCGCTGCTGGGGGCAGTGTCCATGGTGACCGGTGCGGGCCCAGCTACAAACGGCGCCGCGTCCCCCCGCACACCGCACCACGCACGCCCCCCCGCCCTCGGTCGCCAAGGCCTAGGACGGCCCGTTCCGCGGCCCAGCAGCCCCACTGCGCCCTTATCAGTCCACGCGCACGATAATTCACCCTTCTCACGCACCGATTACCTCAGTCTGGGCACCCAGGAACCTAGGTGGACTTCTCACGCCGACGCAATTCGACGCAATGCGCCGCTGTTCGACAGATTCCGCGCTCCCGGGGCACCCCGCACGCCGCAATGCGCGCTTTGAACGCACCGTAACGCAAAACGGCTTTCGGCCCCCGTGCAGGTGCGACGATCGGCGCTGGAATGCTCGCACTCCCGACCGTGACCGCTCCGGCGGGGCTGTGTCCGTCCCTCGCGGTCCTCGGCGGCGCCTGGCTCATGCTCAGCCTGACGGCTCTCGCGATCGCCGAGGTGAACCTCGCCCTCCGGGAAAAGCGCGCCCAGGACATCGTGGCAGGACCCTCGACGGACCACATCGTGTCGATCTCCGAGATGGCCGCGGAGACGCTTGGATCCAGCGGCGCCTTCTGCGTCACGCTCGTCTACTGCGTCCTCGAAATCACCCTCCTCGTGGCCTATATTAACAAGGCAGGCAGCGTCCTGGAGAACGCCACCGGGGCGCCCGCGTGGGCGAGCGCGGCGGCCTTCACCGGCGTCCTCGGCACGCTCGTCGCGGCGGGCGGCACGGAGGCCACCGAGCGCGTCAACCGCCTCATGACGGCCGCGCTGCTGCTCGCGTTTGGCGGGATCATCTTCGAGCTGTCGACGAACGGGAACGCGCACTGGGACGCCGCGCTCTCCGTCGCGGACTGGTCCGCAGCGCCCGCGGCGCTCCCGATCGTCCTCCTGTCGCTGGTGTACCACGATCTGATTCCGGTGCTTGTTGCGTATCTCGGGGGGGACCGGGGACGGATCCGAACGTGCTTGGTGGCGGGCTCGCTCATCCCGCTCGCGATGTTTGCGTCGTGGGACGCCGTCGCGCTCGCGAGCGTCCCCGGGGCGCCGAGCGGGGCCGTCGTGGACCCGCTGGCGGCGCTGGCGGCGGGGGGCGCGGGCGCGGCGTGGCTCGGGCCGGTCCTGACGATGTTCTCGCTGCTGGCGATCGCGACGAGCTTCAGCTGCACCGCGCTCAGCACGGTGGAGTACGTCGCGGCGGAGCTGGCGCGGCTGCTCGCGCGGGGCGCTCGCGACGACGACGGAGGGGCGACACCGCCGCCGCCGCCGGAAAGGATCCGCCCGTGGGCGTTCCTGCTCGGTCTGGGGCCGCCCTGCCTGATCGCGGCGTCGCCGAACCCGGACATCTTCCTGGCAGCGGCGAACGTCGCGGGGGGGGTGTTTGACACAGCACTGTACGGAATTCTCCCCCCCCTGATGGCATACGGGCTGCGGCACTCGCCGGAGACGCCGGACGCGGTCGCGCCGATGGTGCCGGGGGGCCGGGCGGCGCTGGGGGGTGTTTTTGGGGCGTTTTTGTGCGTCGGGCTGTACCAGGCGATGGAGTCGGCGTCCGAGGTGGTGCCGGCGGCCGCCGGGCAGGCCGAGGCTGTGCCCATGCTGGCGGCGGCGGAGGGCACGAGCAGGGTCGCCGAGATCGGCAGTCAGCTCGTTTCAATCATTGGAGGACTGCAGTAACTTCGCTCTTTCCGCTGTTCGCAGCGAACAGCTGCAACACGCGGGCCGCGGTCGCTGAGACCCGACGCGCGTCCGCAAATCCTACGCTGCGCATAGTAGCAACTAGCTGCGCCGAGACCACGCGAAACGCAATACTCCCCCCCTTCCCACGACGTCACAACCACCAGCGCAGTGTTCTGGTCCCCGCCACGACACACACATCGCTACGCGCCGAAGCTGTGAGCCGGAAGATCGCCGCCGCCGCGCGCCGTCAGCGCGACGCCTCCTGCTTGTACGCCTGGTATTCGCGCGTCCAGTAAGCCTTTTCAATATCCTCCGGCCACTGGAAGTCCGGGTCTCTGCGGCGGTCGCGAACGGCCGGGACACTCAGGGGCCCGCGCGCCGAGCAGCACCCGCTCGGCGGAACGGCGCGCGCCGCGCCTGCGGGCTGCGGGCTGCACGCGCGCGGTGAGACGGCAGCGTTGACGCGGGGCGGGGGGACGCACTTGTAGGAGCGCCAGGTGAAGGAGTGGCAGTCGAGGCAGAGGCTCTCGGCCTCCCACATCTTGCGCAGCTTGCACCACGTCTGCATGAAGTGGTGCTCCTTCGTCCGCGTGCTGCCGCAGTTGGCGCACTCGGCAAGGTCGTCGTTGCGCTTCCACAGCTTGCTCCACTCCTCGACGGACATGATCTTGTACCCGTCGCCGACGGACGGATTGATCTCGACGGGGAGACCTGCGGGACGCGCGATCGGGGCCTCGCGCGCGGGCTGAGGGAAACGGTGGCGTGTGGGGGCGACGTACGAGGAGATGAGCCCAAAGCGCGCCGGTGGCGGCAGAGGGGAACTGCGGTGCACGGGAATCGAAAGGGGCTTAAATGAAACGATGACAGGCGGCGGGGACTCGCCCTCCATGACCTTCTTCCACTCCGTTCGGTGCACCTCGGCCTGTACAACAGGGCTCTCGAACCACGCGTCACGCGCAGCGCGGTCTCTTCGAGGCCACACGGGTGTCTTGCATCGTTTCAGACCTTGGGAGAATCGTTCACTTCAGTCTGGATCCCGGCCTGCGGGTCCAAATCCTCGAGATACTTCTTCGTGAAGTCTTGCTTCTTCGTTTCCGCCATCCTCGCTCTTCGTTCAGGGCCTGTTCGTGTCGCGGAGTCGCAATTCAACGAGATGTGGCCCGCGACGCCCGCCCCTGGCGGGCCTGTAGCGCGGACTCGACGCGCCGGGGGAGTGACACACCATGTGGAACACAAACGCAGCAAGGCGCGGTCCTACGGCGCACGAACCAATCGTTCGAGCCTCAGCACACCACGCTGGCAGCAAGGCCGAGCGGCGCAGGGCCTCTCAAGCACCGCGGCGCTTGCGTGCGCGTCAGCGTCGGACTGCACATTGACCTGCTTCTCTTGCGGTGCCTCACATCCCGGCCATGCCCATCATCATCATCTGGTACCCTTCCATGATCGGTTTGTCGTCCCGCACCGCTTCGAGGATCAACGCGAGGTCCGTCTCCTTGTCCAGGTGCCCCAGGTCCGACTGCGTGGGCACGATAAAAAAAAACACAGATGACAAATCAATCGTAAACGGTCCTGCCGTTGGATCACGCACGCTCGGCGTTCCGGCACGTCAGTCCGCCCTGGGACGCCAGACAGCGCCCGAGAGCGGAGGGTCGGGCAGCCAGCGAGCGAGCGACACGCCACCATTCGAGGATCCAGGTCTCACCAGCCACAGGAGGAGATGGAAGTCCTTGAGCCGCTGCTGGAAGGGCCCCTTGCGCTCGAGCGCGTTCCGCAGGTCCTGCTCGTGCGCCGTCGTGATGCGGTTCTCCACGGGGAACGACCCGTGCAGCGCCCCGCTGTGATTGGTAATCGGCACTGGCATCAAGAACCACTCAACATCCACCTCCCCCACGTCCTTCCCGCCCACGATCACCGGCGACGCGTCGTCCGGGTGCTGCGGATTCCGGAGCTCCATCAGGCTCGAGTCGTCCGGCGCCTTGGTCACCCAACCGTCGGCGACCAGCTTGGCCAGTTGCTCCGACGCTTGAAACGCCTCAAAGTGCACCTCCGGAGCGCCGCCCTCCTCGTCCGAGTACGACGACACCACCGCCGTGACCGCCTCCGGCCCGATCTCCGCCTGCCACGCCCCCATCTGCGCCACCTCGTCCGCGGACAGCACGTGGTCCTTGTCCGCAACGCCCGTGGCCTGCGAAAACACCCACCCGACGCGGCGCAGCCCGAGCGCGGCCGCGATCGCGTCCGCAGCGGCCTCCTGCGGCGTCCCGCGCTCCAGCTCGAGCGTCGTCTTCGTGCCCTTCTGCGGCGGCTCGTAAATCGCCTCGACCGTCACGGCGCCGGTCTCGGCGTCCACCGTCCCGTACAGCACGCCGCCGCGCTTGACGGAGAAGCCGAGGTACGACGAGACGTACGACTGGAACGCGTTCGCGGCCTGCGTGTCGAACGAGACGCCCGTGCACTTGGGCGCCTCCTGGCGCTCCACCCGCACCTGCCGCGCGACGAGATCGTTGACGGTCATCGATTGCCCGAAGGCTTTGCTGGCCTCGAGCGGGTTGGCCTTGCGGACGGCGCTCGCGTCGACCTGCCGCTCGAGGTCGTACCGCAGGTAGACCACGGTGCCGTTCGACACCCCCGCCTCGGTCAGACGCAGCGCGGCGTCAGACAGGTCCTTGAACTTCGCGGGCGACTCCCCCGTGCGCAGGAGCTCGCGGCTGAGGCTCAGGGTCTGCTCGTGGTACGGCACGCCGAGCTGCGCCTCGACGCGCTCGCGCAGCTGGCGGACGTTCGCGTCGTCGGGGACCTCGACGCGCTCCAGACCGTCCCTGCGTCGCGTCAGGGGGGGGTGTGCGGCGCGGGGTCGCGGCGTGGACGGCGTGAGGGCGGAATATGCGCGGAGAGGGGTGTCAGGCGCGTGTGCGCGGCGCCTGCACGGGCCGCGGGCGCCGAAACAGAGCGGCGTGGTGAGGACGCGGGCGCGCGGGGCGCGGCCGAGGGCGGGCGGGGGGGGCCGTGGGCGCGCAACGAGAGGGTATCGATGTGGTGGGACGCCGGGGCTGCGACGGGAGGTGCGGGCGAGGTGCTGGGGCCTTGCGGTGGCAGCGCGGTGTTCGTGCGGTAGGCCGGCATGTAGCGGTCGTGTCGTGCCTTGCGACGGCGCTAGGCGCCGGCTCTGGCTTGTAGATGCCAGGGAGCACGCGGACGGATCGAGAGGATTGCAGGAGCGACGGAGAACGGGGGAGTGAGAGCACGTCTTTCCGGTGCCTCGTCTCTGGTCACGTCGGACCGCGGCCGTACCTGGACCTGAGGCGAACGATCATCTTCCGACCGACGCAACTAGGCGCGAGGTACCTTGCGCGCGCGACGGAGCGCGCCGGGAGCCCTCAGCGCGTCCGTGAAACCCGATGAAGCGCACCACAAGGCAGATCTTCGGGTCTAATGTCCTGTGGAGTGCGTCCAACAACGTGTACGGTACCGCGCAGCGTGGAACAGGAACACTGCTTACGCTTGTGGCATTCGTGAGCCGAAGAGCGCGTCGACTCACCCCGAGGGGGTGTCCAACGGGTTTCCAAGCTTTCCAGGCTTCTACCGCGTGCCCGCAGGCCATGGGGCCTCGAGCTAGCCTGCCCCCGCACACGCCGCGACCTCACGCGCCAAAGCACCGCTCGCGATAGTCGTTACCGCGAACACGCGGCGCTGCAGTCCGCATTGCACGGAGAACAGCCCGGCGTTCAGGCGCGGTCTCCCGGCCATCCGCTGCAGTGTTCGGTAGCGCTAGCGGCGCCCCTGGCTCGAGCTATACGTGCCTCGCATACTCCGTGCCGCGCGCCTGCGGCTGCGCCGGTGTCGAGGATGGGGGCAGGGACGTGGGCAACTACCTTTTGCGTGGGCACCGTGGCGCTGCTTGCATCGGGCGCGCTCTCAGACGTCATCGTCACGGTGCGCTCCAGCTCACGCAAAACGCCCGGAACACGCGTCTCGCCGCTGCTGTGCGCCGGCGACGCGCCAGCTCTCTTGATGTCTCCCTCAAGCTCGCCTCGCCGCGCCTTTTCCTGCCGCAGGACGGCAGCCAAGGGCGCCCGGTCGCGATACTCCCCTCCGCACCGGCACAGTTCACTGCACCGAACGTTCGGTCGGTGCGCGGCGAGCTCGTACTTCCAGGTGCGCTCAACTCAGGGCGACGACACACCGCCCGGCCACACGGCCGGGCGCCCGCGTGTGCCCGCGGCCGCTCCTCCGCCGACTAGCACGCGCGCGCTCGCCCACCGCCGCGCTGTCCAGCTGCCACAGCACGCCCCCCAGAACGTACAGACCCCCTCGCGATGCCACTGCGTCACTCCGCGGCCCCGTGACGACGGAGCGCGCGCGCACCGGCCGCGGACCCCCGCTGCGGCGGCACACGCGCCCGCCTGCTGCACCATAACAGCAGAGGGCTTCCAAACGCACCTTACGCGATTCTGCTGCTCGCGCACATGCTGCTAGCCGTGTGGCGTCCTTGCAGCGGCCGCCTCGTCCGAAACGGCGATAGCGGCCATCGTGCCTGACGACAGCAGCGTCTGCGCGCAGATCGCTTTACTCCCCCCTCCCTGAGCGTGCGTGCAGAGCCCGCAGATGCATGCGACGTGATCGTGGGCCCCGCGGCGGTCGGCGCGGAGCCCTGGGTGGCGCTCGTCGAGCGCAGCGGGTGCACGTTCGAGACCAAGGCGCGCAACGTCGCGCAGGCCGGCGGCGCGGCGGTGGTGGTGTTCAACAACGAGCGGAGCGCGCATCTGCTCACCATGACCGCCGACGGACACGGAAACGTCGTGCCGCCCATCCCCGCGGTCTTCGTGTCGAAACAGGTGAGGCGATCGACACAGGAATCAACAGTCAGAGGGATTGACGAAAGAACGACAACAAAATAAAACAAACAAACATCTACGCACCAGCTTGAGGCCCAGCCCGAACCGACGCCTCGCAGGACACCTCCACATCCTCACACGGTCCCCGCGGGCCTGCCGCGCCGCGCCACCGCCCTGCGCCCGCACCGTCACACGACATGACGTGACCCGCCCACTCGATTGCAGTCCGGGATCGCGCTCAGAGAGCTGGCCGAGGACGCGCAGCCCGGCGCGCTCGAGGTCGAGGTCACGCAGCCCGGCGCGTTCGAGCAGGCCCTCGCGCTGCTCTTCCAGGCCCTCGCCGTCCTTGTTTCCATGGGCACCATCGCATCCGTGTGCTACCTGACCGGGCAGTACCGCGTCGCCCGGCGCCGCGGCCGCATCGTGACGCTGCGCACGGGCATGATGGGCCTGTCCCGCGCTGAAATCGACCAGCTCCCCCTCGTCGAGTTCGCGGGCGAGGGCGCCGACGCCGACGACGCCATGCTCGCACAACACCAACAGCCCCCCGGGCCTGACTCAGCGGGGCCGCTCGAGGACGCGCTGCTGCCGCAGCCGCGCAGCGAGGGCGCGTCGGGGTCGGCGTCGTCCGCGGAGAGCTGGGTGCTGCAGGAGCCGTGCGGCGGCGGCACGCGCGTGACGTGCGCCGTGTGCCTGGACGAGTACGTCCCGGGCGAGGCGCTGCGCGTGCTGCCGTGCACGCACCGGTTCCACCGCGGGTGCGTCGATGGGTGGCTCGGCACGCGGCCGCAGTGCCCCGTGTGCAAGATGCTGATTCGGGAAAATTTGGAGCAGCCGCGCCCCGCGCCGTCGCTGAGCGCGGTGGCCGCGTGGGTGCTCGCGGCGCTGCGGCGGGCTATCTGGCCGCCGGCGCGGCCGGGCGCGGACGCCGGCGGGCGGGCGGGGGGGACTGACGAAGAACAGCCCCCTGCGGAGGCGGGCGGGGGCGGCGGGTGACTTCGCGCGGCGAGCGGGAGGTGCACGTCGCTAGAATTACACATACGGCGCCGAACGCCGCTGCGTTGTGACGACCGCACGCGCCGGTGTCCGCGCGCTGCGCTTAGTAACGAAGGCCTGTTGCGACGAGCATGCTTGTAGGTCAGCGAAGTACAACCAAGAAACAAACGACCCAGAACCCGCCGCTCGTCGCCACATCGCCGTGGCGAGGCCTCTCGCGCACAGCTAGGCCTGTCCACTGCGCCCTGTCTGCTGTGTGAGTCTCGCCTGCCGTACCATTTCGGTCGCTCCGGCATCCTCGCGGTGAGGGTGCTCGTAGGTCAGCGAAGAACTACTGCCTATCCCACCCTCCTCTCGCCCCCGCATGCGTACACTTGGGGCGGGCTGCCCCGCGTGACCGCACGCGCCATTCGCGACGGCCGCCGGCTCACTTCCTGCCCTTCTTCGAGCCGAACAGGCCGAACCGCCGCTTCGAGCTCGTCTTCGACAGCTCCGACTGCGACGGCTCCTGCGACAGCGACTCCCCCCCTTGTGAGAACGAGCCCCCCCCCAGCGACCGCTGCCGCGAGTCCACGGGCGCCGGCGCCGCCTGCTCGATCGAGGACGCCGGCTCCGAGTCGTCCTCCGGGTACTGCAGTTGCCGCGCTGCGTCATCGAATTGCGGGGGTTGTGGCGCACGCTGGCCGGCGTCCGGCGCGCGGTCGACCCGCCGGCGCGAGCTGGCCGCGGGCGTGCCGGTCACAGCCTCGTACAGCTGGTCGATGCGCCGCTCGAAGTCCTTGCACCACTCGGAGAACCGTATCTTAAGGTTGCCGATCTCTGCAGTACAAGAGAGTTGCAGCAAGGGGGTTGGGGGTTGGAGGCGGGGCGGGGCTCCGGCCCTGGGCCCGGGGCCGGAGGTGCGCGCTGCGCGCGTGCGCAGAAGCCTGGCGGGGTGCGTGACGGCGGCGCGGCGTGGAGGGATGATGTGGGCTTGCCTGCGACGGTGTTGAAGCGCACGCCCGGCTTGATCGGCGTGCGCTTCGCGTGGACCTCCTCGATGAAGTTGAGGTCGTCCTCGAGCGTCTCCTGCCGCTTGGTCAGCTCCCCGGCGGCCTGGGTGGCCTCCTCCTGGTGCGGGTGATTGCTCACGCCCTCGGGACGCATCAACACGTCCTTCACCTCGACGAGGTAGTCCATGGTGGTCATGAAGTTCTCGATGCTGTCCATGATGTCGCCCTCGAACGCCTCCAGCATCTCGGCGCGCTCCTTGCGTTCGATCTGCAAAGCCATGCGAAGCTGCGCGTTCTCCTCCAAGGCGTTCTGGAGCTCCTGCCTCAGCGCCTCCTCAGCGACGTTCGCAGCCGCCTCGACCGCCGCGGGCACCGGAACGCGCGCGTGCTGCGCGCGGAGCGGCCGCCCCGGGCCCACACTGGGGCCGCTGTCGTCGTAGTACCCGTCGTCGGCCGGGGCCATCTGCCGCTCGTCTGCACAGAACAGGACAGCGCGAGAACGCAACGCTGTGAACGCGCCGCGGTAGAAGCCGGAAACGCGCAGCGCCGGGCGCAACCCCGGGCGGCAACACTCACCGTACGGGCGAGCCTCCATCGGGGGCGGGGGGCCCATGGGGTCGTACGGCCGCGCCATCTGATCCATACTCTCCATGCCCATGTTGTCGTAATCCTGCGAGGAGCAGCGCTCGCGGCGGAACCGGCGCCCCTTGTGAGCGTTGGAGCCCCGCGCCGCGTGACGCAGCGTCCGGGCTCCGCGCGCGGATGCGGTACGGGAGAGCGGTTGAGTACCTGCAGGATGACGTCCATCTGCTGTCCTCGGCCTCGGTCGCTCATGGCGCCCGGAGCCACTGTTTGTCTTGAGCAACTGGGCTACACGTCGCCCGCGGAAAAGGCTATCGCTGCGATGTCCTGCAGGCTCTCGCAGTTGGTCCGCTGCGCGACCCTGGCCGTTCGCGGCGGCCGTGAGGCCTCCCTGAGCGGCGCCCGAGAGGCTAGCAGGGGCAATGTGCCTCTGTGTGCGCAGCAGGCGGAGCTAGCTGCTTCCCCGGGGGGCGCAGGCTCGGCCCGAGATCCGTGGCAGTGCTGCCGCGGGCGCAACGCGCCGTGCCAGGCCACGCGCGCAGCGTGCGGGCGGAAAGACCCAGATGGACCAGGTGGACCGTCGCGGGCCGCTCCGTGCGAACCAAGTCCAGGTGCGGACACGCGCAGGCTCTCTCGACACCCCCAGACCACGGCGCGCTCTCGCACCAGCCGCGCGTGGCGCACACGCGTCTCCAGCGACCTGGTCCCTCGAACCGCACTCAACACCTGCGCTGCCGGGCTGGCCTGAAGCGAAACGCGGATCAACGGCACCGCGACGTGCAGGACACTGCCCTGCGCGCCCGGTCGCGCGCCCCGATGCGCCCGAGCGGCCCCCGCCTCGCCGCCCCACGCACACCACCACCTCGCGGTCGTACCACCCGCTCAGGCTGGCAGCCCGCCCGACGCGCGTGCCGCGCGGCGCGCACAGTGCGCGCCGGCCGGGCGCCAAGCTGTCACTAAGGCGCATCTTGCGTGGACTTCTGGCCGCTTGAGCCGCGTATCGCGCTCTGTGGCAGCAGCAAAAGGGAGAGCGTGCAGCGCAGGGGTCGGGGCGTGGTGCGCTGTGAAGCCTGGCGGGGGCGGGGAGGTTCTGGGAGGACAGGTGCCATGGCGGCGGCCGGTGCGGCCGAAGAGGCCGCGGTGTTGGCGGAGGCGAAGGCGCTGAAGGTGCGACCTGCAACACAGCCCGTTGGGCCCGCCGGGGCGCCGCTCCGGGCCGTTGTGGGCGCGAGGGGAGTCGTCGAGGGTACCCTTGGATGGTGACGGGTGAAGGGGCCGCTGCGATGCGGCGCTGCGCGCGCGGGAGGTGTTGGTCTGCAGAGCTGCCTGGGGTGCATGTTTGGGGGGTGTTCGGGCTTGCTGGCGCGTCAGCTGAAGCGGATACTGAGCGTCCTTGCGCTTATTGTGTAGGAAACGCTGATAATTGCATGGAAATGCGATTTCAAGCATGTTTCGGGCCGCGAGCCCGCGTCAAGTGTGGCGACGGGCCTGCGCCGCGCGCGCACGTCCCGCACGTCGCCGCTTCCCCCCGCGGCACCATTCCCGGCGCACCCGACGCGCGCAAGGCTCCCATCCGTGCGACGCAGGGCGCGCTGCGCCGCCGGCTGGCCGCGCTGGACTCGACGGAAGACACGGACGCTCGCGTCTTGCCGTCTCTCAACGCCGTGGAGCGCTTTTTCGCGTCGAAGAAGTACACCCGCGCGACCTTCGACGCCGTGAAGGCCCAGGTCCAGCTCCTGCTCTCCGGAAAGGCCGGCACGGCGCGCCTCTCCACCACGGGGCCCCGCGGGACCACCAACCGCGCGCCCATGACGTCCACGACGGGCAAGCGCCCGCAGGCCGTGCGCGCCTTCGTCGGCGCGAACAAGCCCTCGGGCGCCGCGGACCGCGCGAAGGACCTCGCGCAGGTGGCCGCGGCGCGCGCCAAGGCCCTCACGAAGCCGCGGCAAACGCTGCCGAACTACGGCTCGGTGAAGCACGGCGACGGCGCCGCGCCCCCGGCCAAGGGCCGCGCGTACGTTCCGCCGCCGCACCTCCTCCGGGAGCACCAGGACCGGCTGGCGCGCTCGCAGCAGCGCCGGTCGTTCGCGCCGGAGGACGCGCGCGAGATGCCGACGCACCTGATCGAGGTGGTGGCGCGCGCGCAGACGACGGGCTGGGGGCAGGTCTCGCGGCAGGAGCAGCTCGCGGCGGAGGCTGCGGAGCGGGCGCGGAAACAGGCCAAGTTGGAGCGGCAGCGGCAGCAGAAGCTGCTGCTGGACCGGCAGATGGAGGAGCAGAGCGAGGAGGCGCGGCGGGAGGCGGAGCGGCAGCGGGCGGAGGCGGCGGAGCTCGAGCGCAAGCTGCAGGCGGTGCGGGAGGCGGAGGAGGGGGAGTATAGGCAGAAGCTGGCCAAGATGGAGCGGACGCGGGGGCTCTTCGAGGAGCAGCTGCAGGAGCGGCGGCGGATCGAGGTGAGCGGGGGGTTGCGGCGCCGCGGTGCTTCGTGGCGACGTGCAGCGTGCGTGCGTGCGCGGGGGCGCGCTGCTGGCGCCGCGTCGCGTGTCTCGCTGTCGCTCTGGACCGGGCCGGGGCGTGCTTTGCTTGTGCCGTTCGATCGGGTGAGCGGCCTGCTGACGTCGTCATGTCGTGGGGTGTTACAAGTAGCAACTTGGTTGTGTGCGCAGGCGGAGGCGAACGAGCGGGAGATGTTCGACGGGTGGCTGGAGCACCAGGAGGCGCTGCGGCAGATCGCGGAGGACGCGGAGGCGAAGCGGTTGCGCAAGGTCGCCGCGCAGGCCGAGATGGAACAAACGCTGGCGGAGAACGCAGTGCGCTTGGAGGCGCGCAGGAAGGAGGAGGCGCGCGCGCGGGAGGAGGACGCGCGGCTGAACAAGGAGCACGCGAAGGTGCTCGCGGAGCGCGAGGCGCGGCAGCGCGCGGAGGTGGAGGCGCGCAAGAAGAAGGTTGAAGACGCGCTCGCGCGCGGAGGGGCGCAGCAGCTCGCGGCGGTGCGCACGGCGGCCCTCGCTCGCAGCGACCGCGTTGCCGATGGTTTGCCTTTCGCTGCGAGCCCGCGCGGCGCGGAGGCTGCGGTCGACGCCTCATGCCATTGCGTGGTCAGCTTGGCTCATGTGCGGCGCCTGCGCCGCCGCCGACCGCGTCAACCGCCCGGCCTGTGTGCGTTGAGGTTCGCAGTCGATGGAGGAGCGCGCGCGCGAGGACGCGGAGCGCGCCGCGGCGGAGCAGGCAGCGTACCAGCGGCGACAGGATGTGGACCGTGCCAAGCGGCGCCGCGACGAGCTGCGGCGCACCGCGGAGCAGCTGAACGCGCTGGACCGCATGATGGACCTGCAGCAGCGCGAGCGCGAGCGCGAGCGCCGCGAGAAGGCTGAGCTCGGTGCCAAGGAGCGCAGGGAGGCGGCAGAGCGCCGGCGGCGGGAGAAGGACGCGCGGCGGGAGAGGCGGCAGGCGCAGGCGGCGGACATCGAGCGGCAGAAGGCGGCGATGCGGGAGGAGGCGATGCGGCGGTTCGTGGACGCCAGCGACATGATGACGCCGCTGGAGATGAAGATCCACAAGAAGGTCATCACCGGCCAGAGCCGCGCGCTGTTTTGAGGCGCAGCTGGCGCATGTGAAGGAGAGAGACAGGGAGTGCGGGCGAGTGCGGTGAGACGTGGGGGGGTGATAGTGCTCGGGTCACAGGCCTGCCCCGAGCGACGGAGCGTGGTTCGAGAGCTGTGAAGAAAAAAGGAAGGAAAAACTACCCGCCGACGCGGAAGTGCCTTCGGTGTCCCGGTCCCTCGCGACCGGAGTGCTCTCTGCCAGCTTAGGCCGAGGGCACGAACTTGGTGGCAACGGCGAAGCCCTGCATCGCACAGAAGCACAACACACGTTCGTTCGCACCGCGGTTCGATCGCTGTGCGGCCGCGCCACACGATACATGACCTCATCAACCTCGCGGAGCTTCGCCTGTGCCACAGGGTGGTGACACACTTCATCCGATGACAGCCGCGACGTGTGACACGCCCCGGCCGGCTTCGGATGAAGGCGCCTCACCACCCGGTGACGCAGGCGAAGACACGATTCGGAAAGCTCGGGGGCGCGCGAGGCCGATCGACAGGCGCGAAGGGGGTATACTTACGTTGTTGACGGTGGGGTCCGCCAGGTGGTCGTTCAGGTTCTCGAGCGGGCCCTTGCCGGTCACGATGGCCTGCACGAAGAAGCCGAACATCGAGAACATGGCCAGGCGGCCGTTCTTGATCTCCTTGACCTTGAGCTCCGCGAACGTGTCCGGGTCGTCAGCCAGGCCCAGAGGGTCGAAGGCGCCGCCCGGGTGCAGGGCGTCGAGGCCCTCGCCGGCCGGGCCGCCGTTGACGCGGTAGCCCTCGACCAGGCCCATGAGCACGACCTGGCAGATCAGGATCGCGACGATCGACTGCGCGTGGATGAGCGAGGGGTTGCCGAGATAGTCGAGACCGCCCTCCTGGAAGATCTGCGCGCCGGCCTTGAACCACACGGCCTCGCCGAACTTGGTGCCGTTCTGGGCGAGCAGCTCCGGGGTCAGGCAGCCGAGCGCGCCGAGCATGGCCCAGCGCGCGTGGATGAGCTCGGCCTCGCGGTAGCGCGCGAACGTCTCGGGGTCCGCCGAGAGACCGGCCGTGTCCCAGCCGTAGTCGCCCGGGAACTCGCCGGTGAGGTAGTCCGGCGTGTTGTTCTCCGAGAAGGGGCCGAGCCACTTGACGCGGTCCGGGCCGTAGAACTCGGCCGCGGCACGGGTCACCTGACGGGAGCCCTGCAACGAGTTGGTGCCAGGGGGGGGATGGTGGGCGAGGGAGGGCCGCGAGGGGCGATGCGGGCGCGGGGCTGCGGTCTTCGCGGTGCGTGGGAGCCGGGCGGGCTGCGCGGGGGCGCGCGCGGCGGCGTGGGCCGCGTGACGCGGCGACGTGGGGGGGGGCAGGCACGATCTCAGCGACTGGCCCCGACCGGGGTCGTGGGCGCGTGGGCGCGCAAACACGCAGCGGTGGGGGCCGTGAGGGAATGTGAGGGGACCGGGAGCGGCGCGGGCGTGGGCACCGCGGCCCCGGTGGCGGAGATGTGGGCCTGGATACGATCGTGCTTCGGGGGGAGGGCATCGCGCGACGGCGCGCGCGCACGCGCTCTCGCGGGCGCTTCGCGCGAGAATGGAGAATGGTGGAAAGCGAGCGCGCGTTCGGTGGGCGCGGATGCGAGCGGGCGAGCCCGGGCGGCCCGGTCGAGCAGGTGCGCACCTTGCCCTGCACGGCCGAGACCTTCAGGGAGGAGCCGAGGAAAGACTTGGCGATGGCGGACATTTTTGCTTCTTCTTCTTCTCTTCTCGAAGTGTGCCGAGCAGCCCCGCCGTCCCGCCCCAAGAGCTGCCCGAGGCTGGGGACCTGTCCAGGGGGACTGCCCTGACTTCAGCCCGTTGCGGGCCAATCAGCGGACCCGAGGCGGATCTGCTTATCTCCGCTGGGTCCGCCTCGCCACTAACTGCCCCCGGATCGCGCTTCGAGGCCATCAGCGGCACTATTGCCGGCGTATCGCGGCATCGATTGCAATCCCTAACCAGCTGCACCAGCAGCCCGCCCCGACACGCACGCCCGCGTCGTGCGCGCCGGCGCGCCCGCGGACCCCGCGCGCGCCGGCGGCAGTGCAGATAGGAGGGAACCCGCCCGGACGCCGCGCCGTTTTCGTCACATCACTTTCGCCGTGTCATGGGGGTGCCGCGGCCGCCGTCCGCGCGCGTCGAGACGCGCCGAATCCGCTCGGCAGGCATGTCTGTCTCCTACAGAAGCGAATCCACGCCCGGCCACCGCGAATATGCAGCACCACGAGCGGTGGCTCTCAACACTGCCCCCTCTCCTGCAATTGGCCGCTCTCTGACCTCCGCGCCCAGCCCGCCTGCGCCTCGACGCACCTCCCCCAATCTGTGACGCGCCTCCACACATCTCAAAAAAGCTCATCGCAATGCCTGCGGCCGTCCCCGACCCCGTCCGATCCCGCACCACCGCACCCAAAACCCGCGCGGCGATGGCGCCTCGATCTCTCGTCCCGCGCGCCCCACCGCTCCGCACGACGCGCTCAATGGTTCCGCGCGCTCACGACGCAAGCCGGACGCGGCGCGCGCGGCGCCGCGGCCCCCCGGCGCCCGGAGCCCGCGCCCCCGCGCGCCCATCCCTGCACCAGCCACGAGTTCGTATCTGAGGGTGAAATCGCACTGGCTAGGCCAGGCAGCCGAATCGCCGCTGTCGCGGCCCCGCGGACGCCGCGCCCGCGCGCCCGCCGCTGCCCCCCGCGCCCCGACGCGTCCGCGCCGCAGTCAGCGAGCGCGCGCCGCCGCCGCGTGCCGGGCGGGCGCGCAACAACCTGCGACGTACGCCACCGCTTGCGACCACGTGGCGCCGCGGCCCGGCCACTTCCGGCGGCCTGCGCCGCCCCGCGGCCTCCGCAGCGCGTCGGACTCCACGGGCCGCCCCCGCCGCGCCACCGGCGCCTCGCGACGCACCCGCGATGTGCACGACAAGCCTAGTTGTTCGGCTGGTGCATTGCACGCCCGTGCGCCCGCGCCGCGCCGTTCGCGCCCCCGCGCTCCTCGCACAAGTGCACGCGGACCGCGACACGCGCAACTCTCACGCGTGCGGGCCCTCCACCGCCGTCGTCAGCGAGCAGCGCCACCCAGTCGACGAAAGATGTCGGTCAGCGACCACGACCCTGAGACGGCACGGCTGCTCCGCTGAATGTACCTCACAGCTGCGGCAGCGCGGCGGCGCGTCCTCGCCCGCGCGGGCGCCCCAATCAGAACACCCCCCCCCCGACTACGACTCCCCCAAATTGAGGCCAAACCCGAATCGGTGGTCCATGGAGCTGTGGTCGATCTCCGCGCTGAGCAGGAACGTCACGCCCGGCACCATGCGCTCCTCCACGAGCTGGTAGATCTTGCCCGTGCTATCCAGCCCGCCCCGCAGCCGCGCCTGTCGGAAGCGGTAGTCGTACCCGACAGTCGTTGTGAACTCGCGCCCAGCGATGGCGAGCATCTCGGTGCCCAAGTGCGCCTTCTCGCTGACCTTGCGCAGGTACGACGCCTGCATCACGCCCGTCGATCCCACCTGCGGCGACAAGGCGGCCAGCAGAGCTGCGCTGAGCACACGCACGCGTGGCGCATGCACGCGCTGCCTGCGCGCGTCCGGCGCGGCGCCGCGGCAGACGGACGCCGGACGTGCGGTAGCGCGTGCGTGCGTGCGTGTTTGCGTGTGTTCGTGTGTTTTTGCGCACCTGGAGGCACGCAGTGTTCTTGGCGTCCGCGTACTGCGCGGCGAAGCTCGCGCCCTGGATGCCGCGGTACGGCAGCGTGAAGACCTCCGCGCCGAGCACCCACTTGCCGGACACCTTGACCGCTGTCTGCCCCGACAGGAAGGACGCGAGGTGCCCGTCCGACGCGCCAAACTTGCCCGTCAGGTTCCACCACGGGCCCAGCACGTGCAGGTCGCCGTACACCGTCGTGTCGCCGTCGGGCGTGATCGACATCTGGACCAGCGGGTTCAGCCACGGCACGTAGTTCGCACTGCGGCGGCGCGGGGGAGTAAAACGGGAGGGGAGGTGTTATTCGCCGCGAACACGCCTCCTCTTGCCGCGGCCGAGCGGGGGCGGGGAGCGCGCGGGCTGGGCACGGCCGCGGAAGCGCGCCGCGCCGCGGGGCGTGCGCTGGCGTACCTGGCGCGGGCCTGCAGGCGGCCGTCGTGACCGACGTCGGCGCGGATGAACGCGTCATTGGAGCAGAGGATGGTGCCGAGGGAGTAGCCGGAGGTGGGGACGCGCATGTTCTGCGCGGCGGCGGGCAGGCCCTGGAGCGCTTGGGGGGGCGGCTTCTCGGAGCCTAGTGCGACCTGGTGCGATACGACGAACATGGGGTTGAGCTGCTTGCTGAGGCTGAATGATAGGCCGTCGAAGATCTCGGGCCGCAGCACGGTCTGGATTTCCCTGCGCGAGGCGCGGCGGTGGGCGCGCGGTTGGCCTGGGGTGGGAGCGAGGCAGCTGCGCGGCGTGGTGCTGCGCGGGGGTGCGAACGCGCCGCGAGGAGGCGCGCTGGGCGGCGTGGAGGCGTGGACGGCGCGTGCGGGCGCATCGGGGGCCGGTGAGGCGCGTGGGAGGGGGGAAAGGGGGCAGCTCACCGGCTGAGCTGCTCAAACGGCGGCGGGCCGCCTTGGTTCGCCTCCTGCGCCGGCGGCGCATCCTCCTGCTCCTTGTTCTGCACAGCGCGTGGGCGGGAACCGATCGTTCGCGCCCGCGCACGCCTCCAACCGCCCGCCCCTACAACCCATCTTCCAAAACGGCCCCGCACAGCGCGCAGCGCGCGGCGTTGAGGCGCGAATCAGGCGCACGGCGTAGCCCTTCGCATGAGGCATCCGCCACGAGACGTCCGCGCCAACTGGGCCCGCAAGGACGCTGCCCCGGCCGCCGAAGGGCAGTACCGCCAGGACTGCTTTTCGGGGCGCGCAGCCGCGCACGGAAGCGCCTGGGCCCCGCGTCCGCGCGGCGCGAGCTCGGGGAGACCGATATCTCGCGTACGGCGGCACAGCATCGGCCCGCCCGGCCCCACGGGCGGCGCACGGGCCTGTTCCAGCAGCTAGCGGAGCCCGGCAACGCCCCCCCGCGCACGGCGCGCGCAGAGCTGATTTCTGCGCCCCTGGCAGCGCGAACGAATGGATGCGCAGGCCGCTAGACAGGCGCGGCGCGATCGGCGAGGACGACGCAACGCCGGCGCCCCGGTGGCGCGTAATGCGCCCAGCGCAGCCCCTCTGGTGCTTCTGGGGACGCTCCCGGGCCCGCGAGGGCGGGAGCGGGGCGCGCGGCGCGTCTGGAGCCGGGATACGGAACGTTCATTCCGGGCGCACCTTGTCCTGGATGCTCGCGAAGGCCGCCTGCACCCCCGGCGAGAGCGGAGGCCCACCCATGGGCACCGCGCTCCCCCCCGAGTCCAGGTGGCTATATGTGAGCCCCATCTCCCCCTACGTCCGACCGCTCAACTGCGGCACGGCGCGCGTGCCGGGCCGCGCAAGTCCTGCCGGCGCGTGCGCGCGGCGCTGGCGGCCACTGACCCAAGGCAGAGGGTCCGAGGTCGGGCCCCGGGGTGCCGGCTTCGTTGGCCGTTCCGGCGCGCGCGCCGCGCATCCGCCTGTGGGGCAACGCTGAAGCTGCGAAATTCGCTAGGAAGCAGGTGCGGAAAGGCCCGGGGCGCGCGTCGCGGCCGACGCACGCGGTCGAAATGCGGCAACGAGCGTGGCTCGCGCTGCGAAATCGCGCAGGGCGCGCGCTCTGAGCGGCGAGCGTCGCGAATGAAGCGCCGCATTTGCATCCGGTCGGGACGTCGCCCGCGGGCGCGACGGCGCACAGACGGGCCGTGCACTTGCACGCACGGCTCCGTGCGTCCAGGCTGCACCGTTTCGCGCGCCCGCTCGCGACTCTCCCGTCCAGAATCCACAGGGCATGCTTGCGCAGCGCATTCTTCCGCCCGTGCCCCGGGGGCGCGTCCGCACGCGGCGTTGCGACGGTGCCTGTGCCCGGCTTGGCGTTTCCCGCGCCCTTCGAGCCCTCCGCGACGCGTCGTTCGCGGCATCTTTACGCACTCGCCCCCCTCGGAGGGCGACACGCAGCCACCTCGCGCCCCGCTGCCGCAGACCGGACATGCACCACCTCTGCCTCACTGACTACGCGCGCGCGCGCATCCCCAGCCGCTCCCCGGCCCCTGGCCCGCGACTGCGAGCATGTCCTTCCCGCCCGCCGCGCCGCCGCGCCGTTCACGGCCCCTCACGCCCGCCGTGCGCCCGCAGCAGCGCCGCTTCTTCCCAGCAGCCTCACCCCAGGCCGTCCCGCGCTCCGCTGTCGCGCAGGTGGCCCATGCGCGCCCTCTTCCTCTGCGCACTCGCCCTTCTGGGCCTGTGCGCGGCGGCCAACGCGTTCCACGTCTCCGAGGATGCCGTCATTTCGGCAGAGGCTGCGGGGGTGGCCGAGGCTGGGTTCCAGGGGAAAGGTGCGCCCCGGCTCCCCCGGGGGCGTTTCGCCGCGATCCCGCCTCCGCCCTGGATGCTCGCCGCGCGCTCGAAGCAGGCGCGCGCGGAACGCGCCCGCGCGCGGACGGGGCGCGGACGCGCGCGCCCCGGCCGGCTTTCTGTCCCACTGGAGCAAAAGAGCTCCGTCCCGCCGCGCCGCGCGCCGGCGACTGACGCGCGGCGCGCTCTTCGCTTTCCCCGCGCGAGCAGGTATCCAGCAGCGGTTCGGGCGGTACATGTGGACGTCCTGGGACGGCAACTGGCTCGTGGTTGCGTCTGGCGTCACCACGCGCCGCTCCGACGCGGGCCTGGACACCCAGGTCGAGTCCGGCGGCCTGTCCTACTTTAGATACAACGCCGTCTTCGCCAACCAGAGTGAGCCCCCCGCGCGCCACCCCGCACGCGCCGCCCCGTCCTTCGCCGCCCGCCCCCCCTCTGCGACGCGCCCCCGGCCCACGCCGCGCCCGTCCGCCGCGCCCGCCGCAGACGCCAACCCCTGGGAGTACAAGGGCATCATCACCCCGCGCCTCGCGCGCGACGACAAGCCCGCGCGCGGCTTGAGTGTGGAGGTGGGCTCGGTGAACGCCAACAACGGCATCACCGCGAAGTTCGCGTGGGAGGACGCCGCGACGTGCGCGCGCCTCGCGGGCGGCACGCTCGACAACCGCGCGCCGTTCTGGACCGACGCGACGGCGAACAACAACTTCAATTACCAGACGAACACTGGGTGCTTCGACTGGATCACGTCGTTCGCGATCAACGAGGACGGCACCGTGCTCGCGTACGGGTACTCCGCCGCGGGCGTGCTCGGCGCGCAGGCGGTCGCGTTCGCGACCGGCGCCTCGCAGACGCCGGACGGCAAGGCCAACGCCGGCGTCGTGTTTGTGTACGAGCGCGCGGCGAACGCGGAGACGTTCGCGCACGCCGTGACCGTCAAGTCGAACGTGCCGACGGACAACGGCAACTGCGGCGCGGTCGGGACCGTCGCGCTGTACGCGAAGACGCTCGTGATGGGCTGCCCCGGCGACGACACGCACAGCATCTTCGACAACACGCTCGCGACGGGCGCCTCGCAGAACGCCGCGATCGGCGCGGGCCGCGAGGACACGACCAAGATCCTCAACGTCGGCGCCGTGGACGTGTGGCGCAAGGAGGACGACAACAGCGAGTGGGAGCTGCGGTTCCGCATCCTGGAAGACGCCAAGCAGCGGTCGTCGGCGCGGCAGTTCGGGTCCTGGGTGGGCATCTGGGACGACGTGATCGTCGTGCGGCAGGGCGCCGCGGGCCCGAACGCGCGCTTCCTGGCCTACATGCAGGACGAGGAGAACTTTTTGCAACTCAAGGTGGTGCAGCGGCTGTGGCCGCACGCGAACGCGCTGGCCGCGCAGCCGACGCTCGAGCGCGAGGAGATCTCGTTCCGCGGCGCGGCGCTGTTCTTCTACTCGAGCGCGACGAGCACGGCGTACGTGTACGAGCGCACGCTGTCGCGCGACACGTGCGCAACGCCGACGGGCTACGACCTCCCGCAGAGCCCCGCGGGCGCGGCGGGCAACGCGGTGGCGAACTGCTACGCGTCGAACAACTGCTTCCTCGCCACGAACGTCCGCGGCGACAACGGCGCCGGCGCGGGCCTGCCCACGTCGCTCGCCTGGAACGGCGAGCACATTGTCATCGGCAACCCGAACAAGGACTACCGGTACCGCGACCCGCAGCTCAACTTCCTGCAGGACGTGACCTCGTCGATCACGGCCGCGAACGGCGCGAAGCTCACGGGCGCGATCTTCGACGCGGGCGAGGCGCACTACTTTGAGCGCCGCTTCAGCCAGGACTCGATCAACTACGTGGACGTCAACTTCATGGCCGCGAAGCTCTTCGGGAACGCGGACTACTCGCGCACGCCGCACCCGACCAACCTCCGCGTGCGCAACCAGGCCGACGCGTACTACGTGTACATCGGCCGCGTCCAGCCGAACCGCGCGCACTACTACACGCAGTGCGGGGCGTCCGTGGCCGTGGCGCGCGGGATCGTGAGCCTGGGCTGCCCCGTGCGGATGCGCAACGCGGCCGTGTACCCGCCGTACCTCGGCAACGCCAACCTGATCCCCGCGACGGACACGAACCGCGTGCTGATTCCGGGCGTGGAGGTCGACCCGACGGCCGCCGGGGCGCTGCTCGGCGTGCAGAACGACGGCTCCGGCGGGCTGAAGCCGTACAACCCGTACCGCTCCGCGGACAGCACGGACTTCCAGGACGTGCCGAGCCTGTCGTCGGGCACGCCGACGGTGTTTGCCGACGGCTTCGTGGCGGTGACCAACCTGCCGCAGAAGGCCGACGGGATCAAGTTCCAGCAGCGGACGTTCACGGACGCGTCGGACCTGCTGTTCGGCGACGAGCTCGCCATCGGGTTCGGCAGCGGGTGCCTGGCGAACGACGGCGACAACCTGCTGGTGGGCGCGCCGCTGGCGGACGACACGGGCATCACGAACGTCGGCAAGGGCGTCCTCGTGAACGGGCTGACCGGCGCGATCACGGGCAAGCTGTGCTCGAAGATGCCCATGGCCGGCATGCGCCTGGGCGGCCGGCGCGGCGGGTGCGCGCTGCGCGGCAACGTCGCGGCCATGGTCCTCGAGGCGTCGCAGGTCGAGCGCCCGAACCAGAATGGCGACACCGACGCGCTGAACAGCCAGGCCACGGGCGGCGCCGTCGACGTGTTCGAGGGCACCACGCACGTGGCGCGCGTCTTCCCGCCGAGCCCCAACCGCGACATGCAGTTCGGCGTGACCGGCGTGGCGCTCATGAACTTCCCGACCGTCACCAACGGCGCGACGACCACGGACACCATCCTGCTCGTGTCGGCCTCGCGCGACAACCACGTCCAGGACCAGAACGGCGCCGTGCACTTTGCCGACCCCAACTTCCGCGGCGACGCCGGCTCGATCTTCGCGTACCGCCGCGCCGTGGCGACCGACGGCACGGTGTCCTACCCGCTCTACTCGACGCTCCGCGCCACGGACACGTATGGCCTCCCCAACCAGTACAACACCATTGGCGGCAGCGCGCTGCAGGGCGTGAACGCCGCGCTGTGGAACACGTGGAGCACGACGTTCGGCGCGTTGGTCCTCGGGCAGCGGTTCTCGCGCAACGGCTTCGACGCGTCGTCGACGAGCAGCGGCGTCGTGGTCGTGCCGGACCCGTCGGCGGCGGCGTCGAACAACGCCCTGTTCTACGACTACAGCAAGGGCCCCGGGTGCAACGCGCCGGCGAGCCGCGGGCACACGGAGGCGCTCCCCGCGCTCCGGACGGACCTGCAGACGTGCGGGGAGGCCAAGCCGGGCGCCGCGTACGTGTTTGCGTGCAACAACGCGGGCTGCACGCAGGCCGCGCGCCTGTCCCCGCCGGCCGAGCTGATCCGCTTCGTGCAGGACGGCGGCACGGACGCGCGCAACCAGGTCATGCAGAAGACGGGCCGCTCCGCCTCGAACCCCTTCGGCGCGTTTGGCAACGACGGCAGCACCAGCCCTTACAACGAGAACCTCAACGCGGTGTACGGCCTGAACGCGGCGGTGTGCGACAACGGCGACATCGTCGTCGCGGGCAAGTACCCCACGTTCTCCAGCCCCAACCAGGGCGTCCTGTTTTACTACACCAAGTCGACGACCGCCAACGCGTGGACCTTTGCCTTCGACATCACGACGCGCGACACGGGCGTCACCTCCGGCACGGCGCTCGGCACGACGTACCTCGAGTGCTCGGGCAACTACGTGCACGCCTCGGGCCGCGACGGCCGCGACGTGCTCACGGCGCACTTTGTCTTTGAGGTCGACACCACGGCGCGCACGTACACGCAGACGGGGCGCTTCCCGCCGCCGACGGACGCCGCGGGCGTCACGTCGGAGATCCGCGTGTCGGGCCCGCGCGTGTACCGCGGCAACTCTGCGCTCAACGCCCTCACCGAGATCTCCTTCACCAACATCAACTCGCTGGCCGTCTTCCAGGACCGCCTCGCGACCGACCTCGTCACCGACGGGGAGTTCGCGGGCAACGACGACCCGTACCTGTGCGCGACGTGCGCGAACGGCGTCTCGCGCGCGTTCGGCGCCGTCGAGCGCATCGACCGCGCGTACGACGGGACGGCGTTCGCGCAGCCCGACGACACGGTGGACTGGCCGCAGGGCCGCGGGGCTGGTATCGCGGGCATCGTCATCGGCGTGCTCGTCGGCGCCGCGCTGCTCGCCACCACGATCTACCTGCTGGTGCAGGTGTCGCGTATCGACAAGGGCCTCGTGGGGGGCAAGTAGAAGGGGGAGGGGGGGGTTTTGACGTCGTGCGGAGAAAGACGTGCGACGTCGGACGAGGAGACACGGAGAACGCGCCGGCGGGGCGCGGATCGCGATCCGTGATGATACGGGGCGGAGGAGGGGGAGTGTGGGATTAGTTTTGCTCGGAGGGGGAGTATTGACGGGGGGGAAGAGGGGACTGCGGGGCGGGAGCGACGATGCAGTTGTGCATCTCGGCGGAATGGGCCCGGGGTGCGTGTACAGGTCCCGCGGGGACTCTCATGTGTGACCACGTGTTTCCGCCGCGTCGGGCCAGCGGCGCGTGCGTCCGCGCGCGCTCCGGTGCCGAGCGGTCGCACATCTGAGTGTCTGATGCGGCAGCGCGTGCGCCGCGGCTGTGCTCGTGCGCGGTGCGCTACGCATGCACAACCATCCACTTGCAGGCGCAGGCGCGCCGAAGCCCGAACACGTGCTGTCCCACGCGCGGGCTCTCCGCCGGTGTCGCTGCTGCTCGGCCACCCCACCCGCGGGTTAACGTGGACCCATTGCGAACGCTTTCTCGCTGTTATACTTCAGTAACAGACCCACTCGTCAGCTCCAGTCGGACTGAGGCGCCGGCGCGCCGGCACTGTGTCGGCGCGTCGCGGCGCGCCCCAGGCAGGTCGGCGTGTGCGTCTGAGCGACGATTGAGGCGGGCCCGAGAGGCTGAGAGACGGAGCAGCAGAGTGCCGTCGCTGGCAGCAAGTGGGGTCCAGGGGCGCGCGATGGGTGCGCAAGGAGCGGAGACGCTCTACGTGGGATGCTACGAGCGCTTCCTGTTCGGCCTCACGATAGGAAACATAGAGAATGGCGCGCCGGACTCGCTCGAGCGGCGCTTTGCTTTCCCAGCCCACCAGGGCTCGATCAAGGCGCTCGACGCCTGCGCAGGCTTCGCCGTGACCGGGGGCTCCGACGACCAAATACACCTGTACGAGACGAAAGGCGGCCGGGACCGCGACCTCGGGTTCCTCGTCAACCCAGCCGAGGGCGCAGTGACCTCGGTCGAGCTGTTCCGCCCAGTACGTCGCCCCCACCAACGCGCAACGACCCGCGCAACCCTCCACGGGCGCGTCTGCGGATCCGCTCTTCCATGAAGTGAACGCAGCGGCCGCGCCGAGGTTCCGCACGGACCGCTCACGGCTGCGCGCCGACGAGCTCCTGAGTGGCGCCGTCGCACCCCGCGTGTGCGCGGACGCGGCTCGGGCGGTCGAATACACGCCGGCGCCCCTGTGTTTCATGCAGCCGGGCAAGGTGAAACCGTCCCACATGCTCACGGGCTCCCAGGATGGCGCGATTGCTGTCTGGCAAGCGGGGGGCGACTGGCAGCACATGGCCACCCTGCGCGGCCACAAGAGCGACGTCAACGGCACCTCGATCCACCGCTCGGCTCGGGTCGCCATCTCCGTGTCACGCGACCGGCACCTCCGTCTCTGGGATCTCGTCAGGGTGAGCCTTTTATACCATGACTCATCTGTTGCCTGTTCCGAACGCCCTGCGGGCGCGCGCGCGCGCGCGCAGGCGTCTCCCCTCTCGAGCGTCGCGCTGGCTCGGTCGACGGCAAGTCACAACGCCCGTCGCGCCGGAACTCGAGAATCCGTGTCTGCAAAACCATCAGCTGTGTATTTGTACGTACCGGTCCCGCGCCCGGTGACCGCCGCGCAGGGGCGGTGCCAGTACACCAGCAAGCTCGAGGCGGAGGCAGACGCCGTGCGGTTCCTCCCCGCGGGGACGCGCTACGCCCTGCTGGCGGGCCCTGCGTTGACCCTGCAGGACGTGGAGGGCGAGGTGCTCGGCACGGCCGTCCACGGCACGCGCGTCACCGCCATGCAGTGCAACGAGGCCGTCGTCGTCATGGGCGGCGGCGACGGCACGATCAAGGTAGGTGCCGGGCGAACGCCCCCGAACATCCGCACACGCTCTTTGCTGCGCTTTTCTGCCTCCCCTGGCCTGCCGTGGGAGGCTTGGGCACGGTCGAGCTCGCCGGGCGTGCCTGCAATACTGCAGGTGTGGGACGTGCGGGCCGGGGCGGGATCGGCGGGCTCCGTGGTCGAGGGCGCGCACAAGACACGCATTCGAGGCATCGCGTTTCCAGGGGCGCTGTCTCCCAGCGAGCCGCCGCGCGTGGTCGCGTCGGGCTCCAGCGATGGCGTCGTGCGTCTGTGGGACCTGCGCAGCACCGCGGAGCCCCTCGCAGGTGCGCGCGCGATGTTTGCTGCGCAAGATGTAGTGCGCACCCCCGGGCCTTGCCGTGGGGATTCTGCGCACATATCCATGTCGGATATTCGCAGGTCTTGCTGGTTGTGGCGCTTGAAAGTCGAAACCGCGACGTGTGGGTCGCTGATCGGTCGCAGAGCACATGACGGGAGCGCGCATTACGTGCGTTGCGGCGGGCACCGGGGGGGCCAGTCTGGAGGAGTACGCGGAGGGTGAGAAGGAGCTGGTGCAGGAGGGTGCCGCAGCGGACGAGCCAGTCGAGGAGGAGAAGAGCCGTAACAAAAGGGAAACCAAGATTCGAAACGCAGAGTTGGAACCGAAGAACAAGAAGAAGAAGCGCGCGGGGGGCGCTGCGGAGCCGGCGGCGGTCGCACAGGAGCGGGAGGGGCGCGGCGGGAAGGCTGCGCGGGGCGCCGAGGCGGGCGCGCGCGGCGGCAAGGGCGGGGCGCAGCGTGAGCGCGAGGCGGTGTGGGGCGCGGAGCGCGTGCAGGGCGACAAGGGCGACTTGGTCGGGAAGATGGCCAAGAGCAAGCGGCGGAACATGAAGAAGCTCGCGCAGAAGAAGAAGGCGAAGGTGATGCGCGGCACGGACGACTAGCGCGGGTGCGACGCTGCAGGCTTCTGTGACGGACCCGTGGAGAGCGCGCCGCGGGGCGTCGTGTCCGTCGTGGCGGACTGGTGTGGGAAGCACCCTGCCGCGGGTCTGGTCTCTGTTTCCCGGGGGGGGGGTAGTTGGAACCCCCCCTAAGTTGCGCGGCAGTGCTTGTTGTTGCCGATCGCGCAAGCTGCGCGGTGCAGTCCTCGCGCGTTGCGATTTTCTGGATCTCTTTACACTCGATCTTGCTTGTGCGCAGAAGTACTCTGAAATAGACCTCGGGCGACGCGTGTCCGCGGCCATAGAACCGCTCCGTCACCATGATGCTTGCATCGCGGGCTGCGGTGCCGGTCGCGGCCTCTGCGCCCCGTGAGGCGTGTTCTGCGCCCCACCACAGTGCTCTTCGAGCTAGCTCGTCCGGTTTTAGAGACCGACGCGCCCGCGTGGCGACGCCGCGCGCACCCGTAGCGCAGCCCACACGGCGCCCGTGCCGCGCGCAAGGAGCGGCCAGTGCGACGGCTGCGGTCGCGCAGCTGCCCCATGGCATCGCAGGCTTCCTGCTCGCCGACCCCATCGGACAAGGAGTCCTCTCTCTCGCCGGTCTCGTCGCAGCGATGGCCGCAGTTGGCGCTGCCGACGCCGTGGCCGCTCCGAAGACCGCTCGCTCCGCCAGCAAGGTGCGCGCAGCCGTTCGCGGACGGCAACCCGCGGTCATCACGCTCCGCAGACCTGCACGTCTCTCGCCTAGCCCCACGAACGCACACATACCTGCCGCAGCTCCACATGGCGCATGCTGTCCGCAGGAGGCCCCGAAGTCCCCCGCGGCGCTGCTGAAGGGCATCCTGGCGCGCGCATCGCGGGTTTCCACCGTCGTGAACGCCGTCGCCGCCCCGCTCAGGATCCATTTGCTGGTCCTGGCCCTGGTCAAGGTATCCCGCACTTCCGTCCTATCATACCACCAAACACCCCTCTTCTTGCCCTGACTGTCTTGTTCATACACAGATATAGCCTCGACTTGCTCGAATTTCCGATTAAAATCACACGTCGCGCCGGAATGCGACGGCCCGCCTCTTGCGGTGTTCCCCCGCGCGCAGGCGGTGGAGGTGGCGACGGGCGGCCTCGAGCGCGCGGTCTCGGGCGCCTCCGCCGTCGGCCTTACGATTCCTCCCCCCACGGACCCCACCCTCCAGCTCATCCTCTCCTCCATCTCGACGTCCTTTGCCAAAGCCTGCGCGTCGCTCGCGACCCTCAGCAAGGTCTCGGGCATCACGATGACCGCCTGGGCGATGCTGCGCTGGCGGGACGCCGCGCTCGTCGTCGTCGACAAGGCCCTGCAGGCCAGCGCCGAGTCGGACAGCGATGAGGGGACTCCCGAGGCAGAAACGGCGGAACTGGCGCTCGGCATCGTCAACGCCGCGGGCCTGCTCGGCTGGGTCGTGTGCGGGTGGGCGCTGCTCGGCGTGCTCGCCGCCGTGGGCATCGACATCCGCCCGTTCCTGGCCCTCACAGGCGTGTCAGGTGCGTGTCTGACTTTAAACAGCTCTAGGGGGGAGTATTGGCCGCCGCGCACGTGGAGCGCGGGGCGCGCGCGCGGTGTGGTGCGAGCAGCGCCGGGTTGAGCGTCGTTGAGCGCTGCTTGGTTCGTCGTTGAGCCGGCAGTCTGTTTTCCATGGTTGGCGTTGCAGGCCTCGTGGCTGGGTTCGCGGCGCAGTCGTTCATCGGGAACATCCTGGCCGGCGCGACGATCTTCCTCTCGCGGCCGTTCGCGGTCGGGGAGCGCATCGAGCTGCGGACGTCGACGGGCAGCACGCTGGTGCTGTCGGGCGTGGTGACGCGCGTGCAGCCCACGCGCGTGACGGTGCGCAACGACGAGGGGCTGCGCGTCACGGTGCCGAACAAGTCGGTGCTGGACTGCATGGTCGTGCACAAGGGCGCGGGCGGGCGCGTGCAGAAGGCCTGAGCAATATACAATGTACAAAATATATGAGAAGGGGTTGTTTTGTGTGCGCAGACTGTGAGACAGGTTCGAGTGGAACTGACAGCACACAACGCGTCGGTTAGCGGGTCCAGGCGACGCGTGGGACGCCCAGCATCGCCGTCGTACTTGATGCTGTGTCAAGTTGAGGGGGGTGTCCTGCACGGCTGTCAGCGCCGCAGGCGCACAAGGGCGAGCGGTTGCTCCGCGGGACATGAATCAGTGAAGCCGGACCTGCTTCCTGTCGATGAAGAGGCGTAGAAGGGGGGCAAAAGACGGCGTGGCGCTCGTACGCCAACTCTGTTGAACGACTCATCGGACGCCCTTTTGAAGGCAGAGCGGACAGCTTGCTTGACCTCGAGAGCATTGTCTACTACAGACCATCCGACTCCGGTAGCCGTAGACGCCTGCGAGGCCCGTGCGGCTGCGGGGCGCGCCAGTCACTGCTGTGTAGCTAGGATTCGCCATTTTGCGGGGGCGAGAGGGGCTGGGACGACGATGAGTGCGGCGGAAGAGGGCCTCGCGACGACGGTGCCGGACCTCGCTGCCACCAACGGCGCAACGCCCGCAAAGGCGAAGCAGCATGGTCCTTCGCCAGAGGCTCTCATGCCCGTGCGGCGTGTAGACAACGCGCACGAGTTCCCCATGGTGCGCACGATGTGCCAGACCGCTCGCTGTACATGTTTGCGCCCCGCATGACTGTCCTCGGCGTCCCGAGCCAACGGTGGGCCACGCTTTGTGCACAGATTCCTGTGCCCGTTCTCGAGCGCTACGTGGCTGCATACCATGCTGTGAGTGCCGCAACGCGAAGCACGATACCACTTGGTTCCACGCTCCGACGCCCGACTAGCGCACTGATGTACGTCGAACATGAAGGCGCTCAACGGCTCTCGGTTGATTATGAATTCTCGAGTCCGTTTCCCACGCCGACCTTGCAGCACTCGACCCCGAAACGCCTGGCGCCGATTCTCACTCCAATCAAGCCCACCGCCTCGACGGCATCCTCCGCTGCGGGCCCCGAGCCGCGCGTCTCGCGGCCCGCCAAGCACGCCCACCAGCGGCGCTCCTCTGGCGCCGCGTCCGGTCTAGCGGCGAGCGACACGCACCCCGAGGACGAAATACAGCCCGCAGAGGACCTATCCGGGCACGAGGACTCCGTGTCGACAATGTCCGAGCCAGTAGGCCCCGGCTCCGTGGTGCACCTGCACATCCTCATGCCGACCGCGGGCGCCGCGTCGGGGCCCGAAGTGTTCACGTTCACGTACGAGGAGTTCCTCGGGATGACAATCGAGGACCTGATGGCCCACGTCTCGCTCTTCCTCCCCAACAGGCACCGCGGCGCGCCCCTCGATTTGGAGGTAGGAGAGCGAGGCTCTGCGGGGGGATTCGGCGACGTGCTGGCAGGGCAGAGCAGCGGCGTCGCGGACAACGTACACTCGGAGCTGGAGCGGCGCCTCATGCTCGCTTCCGCCGCAGAGGGCGCCGCGCGCACGGGGGAGGTGGGTGCGCGCGCTGCGGGCGGCGCCAAGCCGAAGGAGGGCAAAGTGAAGAAGGCTGGGCTGTTCGGGCGTGCCAAGGGCAAGGCGCGGGTGGCGGACGCGCGGGAGGCAGCTGCTCCGGGCGGGCCGAAGGACGTGCAGTGGCTGCGGGCGCGGCCCGGAGCGAAGCTTTCGCGCATTCCTGCACTGCAGGAGCGGCTGCTGAAGATGAAACTGAAGCACGGCGCGTGAGAGGACGCTGTGCGTGTGCGGGATCACAGACTCGCTGCACCGCTGCGCTGCAACTATCATTGTTGGAGTAATGGATCTTGTGACTATATATGCGTCGTGCGGAGGCTGCGAACCGTGTCGACGCTCGAAGCGACGAGCCGCGCTGCTTCGGCCGCCGGGGGGCTACGTGCAGAAGCCGTGCAGGAAGCCGCAGGCGTACGTCGGTAGCAGGCAGTCCCCCCGGCGTCCCGACAGGGGCTGACGCAGCGGGCTGGCCAGCACGCTCCGGGACCGCGCCCCGGTGGCATCCGCGTACTCCAGCAGCGCGCGCATCGCGCCCCCGCGCGCCGCCGCGCCCTCGAAAGCCGGGAACCCGGCCCAGGGCGCGAACCCGGCGACGCCGAGTGCAGCCCTCGCACTCGCGTCCGCAGCCTCCTCGGAAAAGTCGAAAAACAAGCACGGCGTGCCCGCAGGCACGAGACCGCCCGCCAGGCTCCGCAGGGTCGCCACCCACGACGGCGACGCAGCGAGGCCCGCGTTGAGACCCACCACGACAGCGGGGCTCGCCGCGCCACGCGCCGCCTCGAGCGCGCCGCGCGCATCGTGCGCCTCCGCCGCGTGGAAGAACACCTTGAGCTCCGTCGCCCCAGCATCGCGCTCGACGCCGCCGTCCGGATCCGCGACGTAGAGGCGGGCGACTCGCTGGCGATGGCCGGGGGCTGTTGTTCGACCCCCCCCCGGGGCTGCCACCGTCTCTCGCAGCGTCAGACAGCTGCCCTCGAGCGCACGTGGCACCTCCGGACCGACCATGTGCACCGCGATCGACCGCCGCTCCGGCCTCGCCGCGCCGCAGCCGCCAACACGGCCCGACGTGAATTGCAAAAGGTCAAACAGCTCCCACAGGGCCACGGCGGCCGAGCACTCCCACGACGCCCCGAGCGCAAGGACCACGAGCGGGCGCCCGAGGTCCTCGGCGACGCCCGGCGCGACGCTGACAGCGAGCGCGATCGCGGCGACCCAGTGCAACGCCACCGCCGCGCAGCTCGACGCCGGCAGAGAACGCTGCGCGTAGAACGCTTCCCACGACAGATCCCGCAGCTGCGTACCCCGCAGATCGCTTTGGGGGGGGCCGTCGAGCTCTGGCAGACCGACAAGCGCCCCAATACTCCCCTGCTCCCACGCAGCAGCTTCGGCCGCGATGCGCGCCCGGGCGCCCGCGACGTGCGCGGCGGGGTTCAGCTGCGCAGCCACCCACGGACATACGCCGTCAGGCCCGTCGAACAGCCCCGCCACGGCCCCGGCCAGCGTCGCAGCCCCCTGGTCGACGGCCTGCGTTGTCGCGGCTGCCCAAGGCAGGCCCGGGAAGGCCCGCAGCGCGTGCGTGCGCGCGAGCTGCGCAGCCATGCGCTCGCACGCGCCGGCGTCGTGCGGCCGCCCGGGCCCGCAGTGCGCGTCCGCGTGCGCTCTGCAGCAGAACACCAGCGCTCTGCAGCCCGCGCAAAACGCCGGGGGCTCCGCGGCGCGCCCGCCGCAGTGCGCGCACTCGAAGCGCCCCATGCGAAGCACGCACGGCCGCTGGGCCGCGGCTGTGCAGACCGGCTGCGTTGACGGCGCGTCGAGGCGGTTGGATGGATCGCTATCGGGGCTGGGTGTCGCTGCTCTTCGAGGGACCCCCGCCGCTCCCGGCGCGGTACCGTTCGAGCTCCGCCTTCAGCTCGCGCACCTCCGCCTCCGACTTCTCCCGCAACGCCTTCTCCTGCACCGCTCAGCCTCGAACACACACTCAAAATAACCCATGATTCCATATTAGAAACAAAAGACATCGTTTCCGCAACTGTTACGCCCTGCACGGCCCTGCTCTTCCGCGACCGGGCGGGCCGCGCGCGCACCTTCTCGAGGCCCTCCCGGAACTGCCGTTCTTGTCGTTCCCGCACCGTCTCGTACTGCTTCGTCGCCTTGCGGGTGTCGGGCGCGTAGAACGCGCAGTTGGTCGAGGTCGGGTAGTGCTCGCAGCAGTGGATGAGCTTGTTGATCTCCAGCTCGCACCGCGACTCCTGGAAGTCGTTGCCCTGGAGGCACCTCTGCGGGCGCCGCGGAGCAAACGCGCCGTGAGACGTGCCGTCACCAAGGAGCGAGCGGCTCGTTTCGGCCGGGAACGCGCTTGATGCTGCGCTGCTGGCCAGGACCGTCGCCTCGTTGACGCAACGGAAGTGTTGCGGGCGACGCGGGTCGGTCGTCCGGCCGGGACGCCCGGCGCTGCCGATGCCCTGTGTGGCTCAGGCATCTACGCGGTGGGGCGTGGGGGGGGGCGCGCGTGCAGAAGTCGACGCAGATCCGTCTAGCGCCAAGATGTTGCCTTCTCTGGGGGGCGTCGGCGCGCAGGGCAGAGGCGCGCGTCGCCCGCGGTGGGCGGCAGAGGGGCTCGGCAGGGTTGCTCGCGGGGGGCGCTGGCGGACGCACCTGGAGCTCGCACGCCCTGCGCTGGCACGGTTCGACCAGGAGGTCTGCGCGCGGCATTGGTGCACTCAGGCGCGGAGGGGCCCGAGCGGGCCGCGACGGAAATCACCGCCCAGTGCGCCCGGTGCGTGTTCAGCGCCTGTGCGTGCACGAGCGCGAGATCTCCTTGCGCCGCGAGCGCACGCAAGGCCGGTATTACTCGTGTGTCGCATCCGCTTCGCCCTGCAAGGCCTGAACGCGCTCACAGCGTGCGGGAGATCTCTTGCGCTGAGGTCCCCCCGCCTTTCCAGAGGCCGTTGGCTGGCCTGCCGTGCCCGCATCGCCAATCGACGGCGCCCAGGTGTAGAGGGTGGAAAGGAAGGGGCGGTCCGGCAGCTGCGCGACGTTCGGGTGTGGCGGGAACGCAGGGGCGGGCGGGTGCCTGGCGCGTACGGAAGGACAGGCCCCCTGCGGGGCTGTGCGGCATCATGGACGCAGAGAAGATGCTGCAGCCGCCGGAGAACGGCGTGCCCCCGCTCACGACGTTCCAGGCGAGCCCCCGCCTGCATCCGACCCGGCCACCTCGCGCGCAGCGGTGCACGCGCGACGCTCGAGCTCGCTCGAGAGGTCCTGTCATGCACGGTGATTCAGGGCAGCAGCCCCTGGAATATCAAGCTGATCTTCGCTTCGAGGACGACAAACGAGCTCCCTGGACCCACAGCATTCAGTCCGGGCTCGCCCCGTCTTCTCTCGAGCGTCCACCGCGCGGATTCCCTGCGCGACGCGCCCCTCGACTCCCCGCCACGACGCAGGCGCCGCGGTACATCGAGAAGGTCAACAAGCTGCTCGGCCAGCTCGCCCAGGACCCGTCGTCTCCGCGTCCCCCGTGGGACGCAGAGAGCCTCCCGGGGCTCCTGCACTCCCTCGTCCGGTTCATGGACCGACACCTCGGCGCCAAGGCCCCGCAGGAGGACCGCGTGATCCCGAAGATCGCCTGGTCGAACTTTCTCGACACATCTGAGGGCGGGTCCGTCATGCTCATGGCACCCATCCTCGCCAAGGCGCTCAGCCCGCCCCCGAACGGCGAGGGCCTCGACCTCGACATGCCGCAGAACAAGGAGCGCGGCCTGAATCTCGTCAAAGAGGTCCGCTCGCCGCATCGCGCGCCCCTCCCCTGTTGCCGTCGTACACCTCCTGCGGCCTCGCGCTCGCCGGCGCGCCCGCCCCGCCAGCGGCGACGCTCCGCCGCGCCCACGAGTCTCCGCAGATCCGCCAGCTTTTGATCGAAAGACGCCGGATCAGGGCCCAAGCGATTGGCTTCGAGGCGCGCGTGCCCGCCAAGACGAAACGCGAGCTCGAGGATAAGATCCAGTACCTCGGCGCCGTCGTCGTCCCCGCCGGCAGCAAGGGCTGCTCGCACCTGCTCTGCCCCGAGCCGGACAACGCCATCCCGCCCACGGGGGTCGCCACGCGCGAGACGCCGGGCGACGGAGAGGCGCGCATCCACCACAAGGGCCTCCCGGACTCGTACGACCGCTGGGTGCCGGAGGACGTCGCGCCGCAGCGCGAGAACACGTCCTCGACCGGCCGGCTCCCGCTCAAGATCCGTGTTTCGTGGGTGACACAATCCTTCTATTATAACGAGTGGCTCAATCCTCTGGACTTCCTGGTCGCCGACATGGTCGTGCCGGAGCCCGCCGAGCCGCCGCGCGCCGCGGACGCCGCGAAGGACGCGCCGGGCGCCACCGCGGGGCAGGCCAAGGACGCCGCTGCACCGGGCGCTGTTGCAAAGGAGGCTCCCGTGCAGCAGCCGACGCAGGAGCTGCAGGACCTCGTGGGCGAGGCGCTGGCCGAGGTGGGATACGCGGACCGGCCGACCAGGACGCGCCACGACGCGCCCTCCGTGCCGGAGGCTGCGCTGGTGGTCAGCCTGAGTCAGGGGCAGCAGCGGGGGGTGCCCGAGGGGATCCTGCACCCGGTCCTGGCGGCGGGGCTCGCGACGGAGGTGCCGGCGGCGAAGCGGCGGCGAACGGACGCGCAGCCGGCGCCGGATGCCGCGGGACGCCCCCTGCTGCCCAGCGGAGCGCAGCACCCCCTGGGGGAGGTCCGGGTGCGCGGGGGGGGGGTGTTTATGGTCCCGGCGTTCGCGTCGTGGTACCGGCGGGGCGAGGTGTCTGAGATCGAGCGGCAGGGCCTTCCGGAGTTCTTCAGCGGGCTGTCTGCGTCGAAGGACGAGCAGACATATATACAACATAGGGATACGATGATTTCTAGATATATCGAGGGCCTGCGCGCGGGGCGGCCGCTGATATCGTTCGCGGACGCCAAGGCGGGCCTCGAGGGCGACGACGGCGGCAAGCTTCGCGTTTTCCGCTTCCTGGAGCGCTGGTCTCTGATCAACACCCCCCCGGCCAGCCCGAGCGGGGCCGCGCCGGTCGGGTGCTCGACGGCGGTCCCGCCGGTGCCGGAGCCGCGCGGGTACCCGCAGTCGCTCTCGACGAACGGGCTGGACGCGATTCTGCGGCCGACGGGCCTCTCGAGCACGCAAGTTGTGGCGGCACTGACGTCAGCCGCGGGCGACCACGCCGCGGCCGCGAGCGGGCTCACGACGGTCCTCGCGGGTCCAGACATCGAGCCCTTCCTCCGCGCGCCCGGGTACGTCGCTCCGGAGCGCCGGTGCGCGGCGACGGGCGCGAAGTGCGGCACCGTACGCTACCGCAGCACCAAGTACGCGGACTGCGACCTGACGCCCGGGGCGTACGAGACGGGCCTGTTCCCGACGGGCACGAGCTCGGCGGACTTCGTGCGCGTCGAGCGGCGCGCGGGGCGCGAGGTCGAGGATGGGGAGGACGCCGACGGCGAGACGGCGGAGTGGTCGCACACCGAGATCCTGCAGCTGCTGGAGGGCGTGGAGAAGTTCGGGGACGATTGGGGGAGGGTCGCGGCGCACGTGGGGACGAAGAACATGTTCGAGTGCGTCCACAAGTTCCTGCGACTGCCAATTGAGGAATTAGTAACTCACGAGGCGCTGCACCTGGTGACCGTGGAGACGGCGGCGGCGCGGCGGGCGGCGGTCGCGACGGGCGAGGACGGCGCGGCGGCCGCGGAGCCGCACGTGTCGGCGGCGGCCGAGGCCGCTGCGCGGGACCCGTTGTCGGCGCTGCCGTTTGCGTCGGCCCCCAACCCCGTGATGGCGATGGTGAACTTCCTCGCGCTGCTGATCGGGCCGAAGATCGCGGCGGCCGCCGCGGCGCGCGCGCTGGCGGTGCTGGCCGAGGAGGCGGAGGGCGCGGAGGCCAGCGGCGACGCTGGCGCAGTGGCCAATGGCGGGAACGCGGCGGGCGGGGGTGCCGCCGGTGCGGCGCCGCGGATCCCCCCGAAAGCGGAGGTGCGGGCGATGGCGGCGGGGCTCGCGGCGGCGGCGGCGCGGGCGAAGATGATGGCGGACAGCGAGGAGATTGAGATGCGCAGACTGACGATGCACGCGGCGGAGGGCGTGTGCAAGCGGGCCGAGCTCAAGGCGAAGATCCTGGAGGACCTGGACGGGCTGGTGGCGGCGGAGGTGGACGCGCTGGCGCAGAAGCGTAGGGAGCTGCTCAAGGAGCGGGCCGCCGTGCAGGCCCAGAGCAAGCAGGGGCAGGGTGGTAGGCAGGCGGGGGCGCGGCAGACGTGACGGGCGTGGCGTCGCGGGGGTGGGGGAGGTTGTGGGCTGCAGGGGTTTGGCTGGAGGGAGGGGGGCTGAGGCGCAAGGGGGGAGTCGAACTGCATGTCGGACCGCCCGCCCGGGGCGGCTCGCGGTCGCGACGTTGCTCGGCGATGCGCTGTGGGCGTGCGAGAGCTGTGAGAGACCAGCGACTGGCGACGGAAGGTCTAAGAGCGCACTCCTGCTGGTGAGAGCTACGTCCAGCATGCCTCGCGCGGGCGCCGCGTGCGCGGACCCGCGCGCGACGCTCTCAATTGGCGCTCACGCGTCGGTGCTTGCGCTCCAGTGAGATCCGCGCGCCCTGCGGGCCCGAGTCGCGGAGGACTGGGCCCGTGGGGCGCGGGCAGGCTGAGAGGCGCTGGTCGGGATACGGCTGCTTCCGCCTGCGCGTGTGTGCGAGTATTCTTGCGTCGCTCTCGACTGCGATCTCTCAGTGATGCAGTGCGCTGTTCGAATATCGCTTCGGCCGCCACGGCACAGCCGCGTGAAACCGCCCCGCTGCTGCATCAACGCCTTTCGCGTCCGCCGCGACCTGAGAGGGCCCCTATACGTACGGTACGATACAGCGGAATGGGCACTCCCTACGTACGTCCTATGGGCGGTGCGTGCAGGCGCGAACTGGGGTGCGTGCAGGCGCGACAATGCCGTTCGGTGACTACCGCTTCGACGGCGATGCGAGGCCTGAGGCCGCCCCGGAGCCGTCCGAGGCGGAAAAGTGGGCGCGGTGCCTGTCTGAGTGGCACGGAATCAGCGAGTATTACCGAATCGCGAAGCAGGACGTGGTGGACAATGGAGTTTTGTCGTATTGGGACATCGAGATGGCCCTGAGCAGCCCCGAGGTGCGTGCCGTTGGCGCCCACGTGAGGATGCCAAACAGCAGAGATGTCCCGCTTGTCCCGGCCGCGGCGACGTCGCGCCCTCCCTTCCACCTTCTCCGCTGCGCAGACCGTCATCGAGCGCATCATTCGAGGCGTGGACACGGCCTCCATTATCTCGGGTCTGTTTCTGAGTGCAACCATCCCGCTGCTCATCGAGTCGCCCGACACCATCGCGTCCCTCCCCGAGGACGACTCCTGGAGGAGCGTGTTCACGGCCACGCTGTGCGGCAGCGTCATCGTCCACGTCCTGGTGATCAGCTTCGGCTTCATGTTCGTCTATGCCTTGACTGCCTGCCAACGCGAGGTCGACTGGATGGTGCGTGGCGCCCCTGAATTCATGCGCTCGCAACGGTTCCGTGCCCGGAGCGGCGCTGACTTGAGCGCACTTCTCCTGGCTTGCAACCCTTCAGCTCGAATCCCGCCATATCCTGCTCCTCGTCCCACAGTTCTTCCTGCGCAAGTACGGGTGGATGACGAGCACGATCTACGGGCTGCACGCGGTGGGCAACCTCCTGCTCGCCGTCGCCACCGGCGCAGCGATGACGCAGGCCTACAGCGAGACCGCCGGCGTCATCTTTCTCATCGCCTCCTTCATCCTCTGCGGCGTCATCCCGCTGGCGTGTGGCAAACCGTTCATGCGGGCCGCGGGCGGCGTGCGGCGCAACAAGACGGACGAGTCCCGGCTGTCTGTATTCCTGCTCGAGAACTACCTGCGGCCGCTCGCGGAGGATGAGGAGAAGCACGCCATGAAGGCGGTGCAGGGCATGATGGACACGCTCGCGAGAACGTCCCCGGAACTGAAGCACCTGTGCCTGGGCGAAGTGCCCGTCAAGTCCTGAGCACGTGTCCGCGGCTGCAAACGCCTCAAATGACTCGAAAGAGGCCTCACATGCACCCGCTGTGTGTCTCGGAGCTTCTGTGATCCGCTACGCACGCACGGTCAGACCGTGAGCGGCGCGTCCTGCGACCCGCGAAGCAGCACCCTCTCCACCGCGGCCCGGGCCGCCGCCTCCCCGCACACCCCCCCTCCGCTATCCAGGTACAAGCACCCTATCACCGCCTCAAACGCGTCCGACAGAGCCTTCGGAATCCGAACTCCCCCCTCCCGGCCCTCTTCCGCAGCCTCCTCCCCGCCGTCCTCGTCGGCGTCCATCGCTGACTCCCCCCGCCGATCCCCGTCGCCCTCAAACTCCCCCCCCTCTCGCGCTTCTACTTTCGCACCCGCGTCGCCCCCGGATCCGGCGGACCCCGCCGGCCTCAAGTGACCCTGCGCCTCCTCCATGGCAACATCTCCGTCCTGCTCGACCTGCGCCGCGTCCTGCGCGCCGTTCCCGGCGCGCTCGTTGCGCCGCGCCTCCGCCTCGCTAGCCTGCGTCTCACGCACCGTCCGGACGGCAGCCGCCCCGCTGCAGCAGAGCGCGACGCCTCGCGGGCTCCTGGCGCCGCGCTCCGCCTGCGCCATGTAGTCCTGGAGCGCGGCGACGTCGTCCGCGAGGCCAGGCATGCAGTGGCGCAGGAACCGGTGCAGGCCTAGCTTGATGGCGAGGAGGCCGACGTTGGAGTTGCGGACGAGGAGCGACCGGGCCTGCGTGAGGACGCCGGGGGGCGCCTCGGGGAACTCGCGGACGAGCGCGATGGAAACGGCCCAGTCGAGAATGGCGTCGCCGATGAACTCCAGGCGCTGGTTGTTCTGAAGGGGCTGCAGGAATCATCGGGAAAGCGTCGAACCAGCTCGAGTGTGAGTGTGGGCATGCATGGGTGTGGGTCTGGCAGTGCCAGAAGCAGCCAACATCAACAAAACGGTGTATGTTGAGGACAGTGAATAGCAACGTCATGTTTTAGACTCCCTCGGGCCTGCGTGGCGAGGCAGGAGCACCAGCCATGGCGTGAGGCGCACGCACGTACCATCGATGCGTGCGTGAGGGCCTGTCCCAGCAGGGCGACGTCCCGGAATTCGTAGCCCAACACCGGGCCCAGGTGCGCCGCTGCAGCCCGCCCAAGGTTCGCCAACTGATTCGTCGGCTCCGGATCGGCGTCCCCGTGGCCGACGTCGCGCGGGAGCACCGACGGCTCGGGCAGGCCCGCGATGCGGCGCAGGAGGGGGGAGTATCCCTCTGGGACGTACTGACAGAAGTACTCATCCTCGAGGGCCGTTGTTGAAGGTTTCCCGAGGGTCTTGGGCTCGACGGGAGCCTGCGCGGCCTCCGGGGCGTCGGCGACGATCCCCAGGGCGAGCAGGAGGGTGTCGGCAGCGGCCATCCCCCCTGCAAAGTAGCATGCTCCCACGAAAGCCTCGCACACGTCGGCGACGACCTTGCCCTTCAGCGTGCGGGTGGAAGAGCGGCCCTCGGCCTGCGGCGGGAGCGCGCCACGGTGGAGCGGTGTGGGACTGGTGGGTGCGAGAAGCGCCATCGAGTTGCGCTGCGCATCTGCAGCGGATCGCTCCTGGTGGTGCTGGCGCTTCCGAGGTGGCCCATGTCCAGGAGGTCGACGACCGCTGTCTTGTGTTGTGCGATCGGATGTAGTGCGAGACAAGACAAGACAGCGGTGCTCCCTCTTCTGGACATGGAACACCACGGCAGCGCCAGCACCAGCAGCGACGATCCGCGCGGTGCCCAAGGCAAGGAACAGTCGACGCACGTGCTGGAACGGGGGTGCACGGATCCTGACCTCGTTCTCATCGGAGCGCGTCGGCTTCCACGCCGCGTTGTCTCCGAGGGCCTCGTAGCGGAGGAACTTGTCCAGTCCGTGCTCTACCATCCGGTCAAACAGCTGGTCGTTGCACGTCACCTGGTGCACGGTGACCGACAGCGTGGCCTCGTGCGCGAACGGGTTCTTCCAATACACGTCGACGCAGCACCTGAACTTCAAGTATACGTCCCCGACAAACTCCAGCCTGCGGTGCGCCACACGCAACCAGCGGATCAGAGCACGGCACTGCCCGTGGACGCAAACGAGTGTAAGTGGCAGTGTGCTGCTCGCGCCTTTCGAAGTCCGGCTCCTTGCTCGCGCGATGCGTGATGGCTTGCAGGGCCCCGGCGCGGTCAAGATTGAACTGAGAGTCCCCCCTGAGCGATTCCGCGAAGCCCTCTGCGACCCCGGCGTCGATTCCCGCGCCGTGTCCGCGGTCGCGCATCACCGCCACGATCGCGTCGCGGGCGTCGTCGGCCAGCGTTGCCGCGCGAACCTGCCACAGCGCCGAGGGCAAGACGCGCCACACCTCGTACCACAGCACGTCGTCCGAGACCTTGTACACAAGCTCAGGGACCAGCTTGACCGAGGTGCGGCGGCGCGCCTCGCGCACCGACGGCCGTGCGCGCTCCTGCAGCACCAGAGCGTTCACGTGGTGGAGGCGGCCGCGGCGGCCGATCGGGTGGCCCGCGAGGAGCGTGTGCTGGTCGTTGATAGAAAGGCGCACAAGCAGCTCCTTCTTGTCGTCGCCGAGGGTCTCTTTCAGCTGGAAATGCTCGAGGAACGTGCGTTGGTTGCGGGCCGCTGATTCTTGCCCTGTCGTCGGCGCCGCGCTCGTGGCCTGGACGTCCGACAGCTTGTCGAGGAGCCGCACGGTCGTATCGCCCTGCACGACGTACAAGATCTGCCCCCCACTCTCGTCGCCGTCTTCGTGGTAGTGCGCAACAACGCAGCGCGACAGACCAGAGTTGTCGTCGCAGCCCGAACGCCCCCCGCCGTCGTCGCCGGTCGCGGCCGCGGCGCCGTCCGCGCCCCCGCCGTCCCCTAGGATCGCGGACAGGTTCGTCACCGCCGCCCGCATCTCCTCCACGTCGAACAAAACACCCCCAGGGGAGTCCGAGTCGGCGGCCCGCGTGATGGCGGCGGTCACGACCCACGGCGCGCGGCCGTCCGCGAGGTTCGCGAGGACTTGCGCGGGCGGAGTCCCCGCGGCGGCGCCACTGAGGTCGGAAGCGAACACAACAGAGTGGAAGGCGAGGCACTGCTGCCAAACGTGCTCCGACACGGCGTTCGTTCGCTCGCACACCTCCGCGAACGTCCCGCAGCGGACGAGGCGGAAGCGGCGCAGCGACGTCTTGTGTCGGTGTACCGTCAGGCGCATCTCAATATCAATACTCCCTCTCTCGTCAAGCTTGGTTGGGAAGACGAAGGCCGTCCGCAGGAGCCCGTCGAGCGTGAGCCGCAGACGGAACTCCGCAGCGCCTGCGTCGCCCGCCACGGAAGTCTCGAGCGGCTGATCGGGCTCCAGCCGGTAGACATGCACGCTGTCGGCGGCCGACAAGTCCCCGGCCTCGAGGCGCACGCGGAGGGGCTCCGGGAGGCTGAGCACGCTCGGCACAGCCTCGTCGGCAATGTCCGTCTGCAGGTTGTGCTGCCTCATCCGCCGCGCCTCCTCTCGTCGGTGCACAACCACGATAGGACGAAGATGGTCGTCGAGCTCCCGGACGGCGTGGAGCTTCCGCACGGCCTCGAGCGCGGCGGCGGCCTTGCCTGCGCGCTTCGATGGGCGCGGCGGGCCGAGCACGAAACGCACCGGAGCGGGGCAGGACGATGGCAGGAGTATCGACCACCGCCATTCCTGAGGGACCTCGCCCTCTGCGGCGCCCAAGGCGTCCGGCGCAAACAGCGGCACGCTCGCGCAGCCCTCCGACGCGACAGCCGTCGCGTACTCGTTCAGCAGCTCCAGCGCCGACACCGCGTCGATCATCGCCCCCGTCGACGGAATGCGCAGCACGTCCGTCCCGCTCGCGCAGGCCTCGCCCTCGGCCCGGCCCGACGCCGTGGGGCTCTCCGCTGGATCCTCCGCCGTCTCGATGAGGCAGTGCTCCGGCGCGAGCTTGTCCATCCATGCTGTGACCTCCGCCGTCAAGCTCGCGTGTTGCATCTCGAACGCCTCGAGGCGGTCCCGCACCGCGGAGCCCTCGGCCGCGAGGATGTACATCACGGCGCCGCGGCGCCGGCAGCGGCCGCGGCGCTGGATCAGGCTCTTCGGCTGCGACGGCAAGTCGAAACAAATCGCGAGCGAACACTGCGGTACGTCGAGGCCCTCCTCTGCCACGTCAGTGGCCAGGAGGAGGCTGGCGGAGCCGGGGCGCGTCGAGGCGTCGCGGAAGCTGCGCAGGGCGCGGTGCTGCGCCTGCACGGACATGCTGTAGGAGTCAATAGACCCCCCGACGATGGCAAAGATGCTGACGTCTGCAGATGGGTCGTCGCCGAAGACTGCCTTGAAGATGTCGCAGAGGGCGCGCGTGAGGAGGCGAAGCTGGACGAAGACGATGCCGGCGCTGGACTCGGTGGCGTTGACGCTCGAGACGTGTCGCTGGACGAGCTCTAAGACAGTGAACAGTTTGTCGGAAACCATCGGGAAATCTCGATCGTTCGTCTCGGCCCATGGTCGTTCCCCGGCGCGCAGGCCGCTTCGGAGGGTCGGGGTGAGGTACGCGCAGACGGCTCTGGCCATGTCGTGCACCGCCCGCGCAACGTGAGGGAACCGTGCGCGTGTTCCACGTGCAGACTCCCCATCGGCGTCTGCGGCCGCGCGCTTCGGGCCGGCGACGGCGCGCGCGACCTCTGCGGTCGTGATCGACGCCCCGCACTCGACGATGCCGTCCTCGGGCCGCGGCGTCGTGCGCAGGCCGAGGATCTTGGCAATCAACGCCCGAAGGTTGTCGTTGAGCTTTTGCGTGGCTTTCAGCGCGCCGGGCTCGACCGCGGCGCGGTCGGCGTCGCTCAGCTGCGCCACGAGAGCGGCGAAGAGCTCCAGCAGCCCGACGGAGGCCGCGAGGTCGTCGTCTGCCAGCAAGTCCATGGCATCGCCAAACGGACCGTGGGACACCTCATCGATGCGCCGCTTCGCCTCCTCCACGTCGACTAGGCCGGATCCGCCCGGCACGACCGCGCAGTCGGCTCTGTCGCGGGTCTGCACGCGGGATAGCGCGATCGAGAGCGCGTGGAACGCGGCCAGGATGCCGGAGGACTCAAGGATGGCGACACACTGCAGGGTGCCGCGCTCGAGGCGCTGGCACCACCCGCGCGTGGTGTTGCGCGGGTCGGCGAGGCTGAGAGGGAGGTGGTCGAGGGCCTCGCGGACGTCCGGCTGCCCCCGGGCCGTGCGGAGGCACACGGCTGCTTTCCGGAGGAGGGTTGCGTGGCGAAAGCGCATGTGCGCGGCGGCGATGAGCGGCGCCGCCTGCGTGGGAAGGAACACCGTGATGCCGCCGTCCATGTTGACCACGGTGTCCACGACGCCCCCCAGGACAGCCTGCGTCCTCTGCGACCACATAAACAACCCAAGGAACTCCAAGTCGTATTTCGGTGTCTAACTTTGCACACCGCGTGGCAGCGTCGACCTCGGGCTTGCGCTCGATGTGCGTCACGCGCGCGCACCTGGTCCATGAACAGCTCGGGGCCGACGACCCTTGACTCAGGCTTGTAGGACACCCACTCTTGCCGGGCCGTGATGACGCGGTCCTGGAGGTCCAGGTGCGCGGACTGCAGGGTCGCACACCTCACGTGCACCGACCGTGAGAGCCCGGGCGCGCAGCATCGGTCGAGCGGGCGACGGGCCCGAACGGAGCGTAGACGCAAGAGGGGTGTGTTCTTGCCTGAGGGACGATGAGGCGGCAGTCGACGAGGTCCTCGAGGTCTCTGACGGCTTTCCGGATCCCGTCGACCGTCTTCACGCGGCTCTTGATCGGGCTCGCCGTCATGCAGAACGCGTGCGGGACGCATAGAGCGCGCTGCATCTCAGCGACGTCGCCGCTCGCGCGCGCCTCCGCGACCCTAGCCGCGCGGATCTCCTTCGCGACGCGGAATATTCGCGCCATCGGGTGGTTGCCCTGCGCGTGGTGCGCCTCGTCAACGACCAGTAGCGCGATCTGATGCTCGCCAAGCCGCTGCTCCGCCAGAGCGCGCCTGAGCACCTGCACGCGCGAGCGGCGGAGCCCGGACGCAGCGCAGCTCGTCAAATCATCTCGGCGTCGCGGCTCGCAGCGCAGCGCAGGTGCGTGGGGCTGCGCGGGCCGCAGCTACGCCGTTACCGTTAACAGGACGCGCGAGTGAGCACGTCGCGGGCTGACGTCATGCCGGCACTCGGACCACTCCGAACGCTCGGGGCGACCCTTGCCGGGCCGATGTGGCACGTGATGGCGCGGCGAGTGCGGGCGTTCGAGTGATGACATAGGCATGACGATCATGATGCGCGGCACACACCTCCGGGACGACGACGAGGACGTCGAGCTTCTCCACCGCCTCGTTCCAGTCGTCCCGGGACCAGGAGTCGATCTGCGGGACGGGATCTGGCGGGGCGATTGCGTGGAGCCGCCGAGAGCTGAGTTTTGTGCCTAGGAATCGTGTCGCCGCAAGTTCATAATTAAAGTATCATGTCTACGAGTCAATGATCATGGGTCTAAAAGGAGGCGGGTGACCCGTCCCCGCTCGTTCGGACCTGTACGTTCTGAGACGACCTCGTGTCCCCAGTGAACGTCCCAACCGCCATGCTCGTGCTTTGTCGGATCACCCGCGCCTGCAACGCGGTGAACGGGGACCGGCCACATCGCAGCCCAACCATCGACGTCTCCCGCCGCCTTCCCCGCGCCCCACCCGCAGCGAGGCACACGGCAACATGCGGGTCCAACCTGCTGCTCCGCGAGGATCTTCTTCTCGCCCGCAACGAAGACCACGACGCGGTGCGGTGCGACATTCGTCCCCTGCAGCCACCCCTCTAGCTTGGCGTGCTCCATGAGCATGATGCTGATCAGGGTCTTCCCCGAGCCGGTCGGCAGGAACGCGATCAGCCGCTCCCGCTTCGCCCGCGCGAAAATCTCGAGCTGATAAGGATGCGGCTTCATCGCAACGACTATGTCTCAGCAACAGTCGCGGCCGCGTGCAGCGCCGCGGCGGTGGCCAGCGGGCCTGTGCGACGTCCCCCCGGCGAAGGTGCCTCGACTGGCGGCGATGGCGTTGGCGGAGACGCTTTGATAGGGCGAGCGCTGGTCGTGCGCGCGTCATGTGTCATACTCACACAGAGTGCGCCCGTGCACCGCGGCTCCGGGGTGAACGTGGCCGGGGCGGAGCCCCACGGGTACATTCCTGCCGGGGGACCGTCAGGAGGACGGATGTGGAGCCGGGTCGGCGCCTCATCTCCGGAAACAAACGTATAGTCACACAGGCAAGTTCCTGCCCCCGCAGCTGCTCGATCCCGTCGCGAGGCGGACGGCGCGCGCGTCAACGGGCGACCCGGTAGCGCACGGTCACGTTGTCGCACCTTGGCTCGGCGAGCCCCCTCGCTTCGCGCGAAATACTTCCTCGAGGGAATCGCAGTGAGCCACGGTGCTCTCACGCCGCATCCTTGCCCTTCGAGGCAGACGCATGCCGCTTCACCAGTAATCTAACGAGCGTCGGTGCCGCGCCGAGCAGGGATGCGCGGACACGCCCGTCGCGGTGGTGGTCGGGGCGGTGGTGGAGGCCGTGACGACCGCGGGTGCGTCGCCGCCCCTTCGAACGCGCCTCCATTGAAAAAACTCACACTCGACATCGACGTGCCGCGCTCCGGGCCCGCCAGCACCGCCCGTCGACGGGCTGCGAGGCGGCACGGCAAAGGTCGTTCGTGACACACAATCCTCCCGCTCGCTGCCCCCCCCGCACCGCAGCTACGGCGGCGGCTATGGAGGCGACCGCGGCGGCGGCTACGACCGCGGCGGCGGCTACGACCGCGGCGGCGGCTACGATCGCGGAGGGGGCCGTGGGTACGATCGCGGCGGGGGCCGTGGGTACGATCGCGGCGGCAGAGGACGCGGCTACGACCGCGGGGGCGGCTACGACCGCGGGGGCCGCGGGCGGGGCGGCCGCGGCGGTCGCGGGGGCCCGGGGGGCCGCAACCCGCACATGGGCGAGAACGGCGAGCTCCAGACGCGGTACCGACAGGAACTGTCGCGGATGGCGCGGGCCGTACAGGCCGTGCTGACCCCTGACGTGGGCACGATCAAGCAGCGGCTGACCGCGCCGCCCGCGCGGCCGGAGCTGCCGGCGCCGGGCGCGTTCGGGACGCTCGGCATGGTGGTGCCGCAGCAGGCGGGGACGGTGGTGGCGAACCTGTTTACGCTCGGCGACAAGCTGCGGCTCCCGGGGACGATCTACCTGTACCACGTCCACGTCTACGGTGCGCGCGTGTGTGTGCGTGTGTGTGCGTGTGTGGATCGGGGACTGTTCGGCGCTTGCAGGCGTGGTTTGATTTGATCGATAGTTGTTCAATCGAGTTTGAGTTTTCGTGGTGTTTGTTTGTTTGTTTGCAGCGTGGAAGACGCGTGAGAACACGTGGAGCGACGACCTCGCCCCGCAGGACCTCTCCAAGGAGGAGGCCTTCACGCTCCTCACGCGGCTCAAGCGGGAAGTCGCCCAGCAGCTTCCCAACTGCCACGTGTCGTACGACGGCCGCACCCGGCTGCAGGTGAGGCGGGGTCTCGCGGCAGACTCACTCACACTGCTCACGCCCGCGCCCGCGCTCCCGCACCCGCCCAGCCCCCTCCCCATGGACACAGCGCCGTTTGCGTTTCCGCGAGCGAGTCGCAGGCCACCGAGCGGCTCCCTGCGAGCCTGCTCAAGCGCGAGGAGAACGTGGGGCGGTCCAAGGTCCGCATCGACATCGACGAGGTGGGCAGGTCGCACCCGCCGGCGACGCAGGCGGAGTGGATGGACCTGCCGCTCGATGAGGCGCTCATGAGCCTCCAGGCGCTCGACATCGCGCTGGTGAACTTCGCGTCGTGGGAGCAGAGCAAGGCGAAGCCGAAGTGGGTCATGTCCGGGCGCAACCTCTTCCTCGCCTCGGTGCGCCGCCCGCGCCGCCTGCGCGGCCCAGGCCGCCCCCGCGCACCCCGCAACATCGGCACTGCTTCTGTTCACGCCTCCTGCTCGCGCGCGCTTTCCTGACGCCGTGCCGCTGACGTCGTTCCGCAGGAGTCCGGCAACGACCTCGGGGACGGCGCCGAGGCGCTCGTCGGCTGGCACGCCTCGATGCGCGTCACCAAGCGCGGGCTCGCGCTGCTGTGCGACCTCAGCGCGTGCGCCTTCCTGGCCTCGGGCAACATGGTCGAGCTCTTCTGCTCGCTCGTCGGGTGCCCGCCGAACGACCTCGCGCGGCAGCTCTCGCGCGACCGCCGCGCCAGCCTGCGCGTCGAGGCCGCCATCAAGGGCCGGAAGGTCATCATCGAGCACGGGACGAAGAGCAACACCAAGGTGCACATGACGCGCAAGGCGCGCGGGCTCGGGCCCTCCGCGGATAGCTACAAGTTCCGCGACGACCAGGGCCGGCAGTGGAACGTGACCGAGTACTGGCGCGACAAGCACGGCGTGGTGCTCAAGTTCCCGGGGCTGCCGTGCGTGAACTTCGCGGGCCCGAAGAAGGACCCCGTGCTGTATCCGGCCGAGCTCATCTGGATGCCGCCGGGCCAGAAGGCGGGGGGCCTCTCTGGGGATCAGACGGCGATGATGATTCGGTCGGCGTCCAAGCCGCCGAACGACCGCCTGCAGCACACGCTCGCGCGCAACAGCGCGCTGCACGCGATCACCGAGGACCCGGACGCGCGCGCGCTGGGGGTGTCTGACATCTCGAAGACCCCCCTCACGGTGACGTCGCGGGTGCTCCCGGCGCCGGAGATCAAGTACCGCGAGTCCACGCTCAACGTCGGGATGGCGGGCGCGTGGAACGCCAAGGGCGCGAAGCTCTTCGAGACCCCCGGTGCGCAGCACGCCAGCCCCGACAACACCACGTGAAGAAAACACCCCCCCCCCTCCTCCCCCACCAACGCCGATCCCGCACGACCCCCGGGGCCTCGCGTCCGACGAAGCAAGCCATGTGCCAGACGCAAAACATCCTTCGTTCTGCGCCTCCGTTCGCGCAGGGCTCGAGGTGTGGTTCGACGTGGTGGTCATGGCGCACAATGTGCGGTTCGAGCAGAGCAAGGACTTCGCGCGCACGCTCGCGCAGATGTCGACGAGCATGGGCCTCAACATGCGCGTCGGCGAGATCATCGAGGCCATAGGCTCGCCAAAGGATCAGATCATAGATATGGTGCAGGGCTTCGCGGACAAGCGGCTGCGCGAGAAGGCGCACAGGACGGACTTCTTCGTCCTCTTCATTCTCGGTAACCTGCCGAACGAGTACAACTGCATCAAGACCGCCGCGGACGGCCACGGGCTCGTCACGCAGGCCATGCTGTCTCGCCACGCGCAGCGCCCCAGCCCGCAGTACGCCGCAAACCTGGTGCTGAAGATCAACGCGAAGCTCGGCGGGCTCGTGTCGACGCTCGCGCCCGTCGGCGCCGCGCCGCACGGGGGCGCCCCGGCGCCGGCGCAGCTGTCGTGGATCTTCGACAACCCCGTCATGGTGATGGGCGTCGACGTGACGCACGCCGAGCCGGGCTCGACGCGCCCCTCCGTCGCCGCGGTCGTCGCGTCGATGAACGGCCGCCTCCCCGGGCAGTACGCGGCGGAGCTGCGCCGCCAGGCGCTCAAGACCAGCGGCGAGCGCGAGATCGTTCAGGAGCTCCAGGACGCCACGGAGAGCCTGCTGCGGGCGTTCATGCGGCGCAAGACGTCCAGCGGCGCGGAGCAGGGGCAGCCGTGGTGCATCGTGGTGTACCGCGACGGCGTGTCGGACGGCCAGCTGCGCGCTGTCCTGCAGTATGAGCTCCCGGCCCTGCAGGAAGCGTGCGCGAACGTGTGCAAGAACCCCGTGCGCATCGTGCTGCTCGTCGCGCAGAAGCGGCACCACCTGCGGCTGTACTTCTGTCCGCCCGGGGGGCAGGGCGGGGCGCCGCAGCAGGCGGTGAACCCGTGTCCGGGACTCGTCGCGGACACCGAGTGCTGCTCGAGCCACGTGTCGGACTTCTTCCTGTGCTCGCACGCGGCGATCCAGGGCACCTCGCGCCCGACGCGGTACACGGTGGCGTTCGACGAGGTTGGGCTGACGGCGGACGAGGTACAACTGATGACGTACTGGATCTGCTTCCTGTACTGCCGGGCGACGAGGTCGGTGTCGCTGGCCACGCCGGCGTACTACGCGCACCACTGCGCGACCAGGTGGGTCCGCCCCGCGCCGTGCACGTGCTTGGGAGCGGGTGTGCGGGTGTGGTGGGGGTGTTGACGTGCTGACGGGCGTGCGTGCGTGCGTCGGTGTGCCTGCAGGGGCCGCGTGTGGCTGTCGGAGTACCCGGACATGTCGAATGAGGACATGGCTAAGCGCTGTGCCAAGTGGGCGGACGCGGACAACGGCATGTTCTTTGTCTGACTGACTCCTGCTTCAGACACCCCCTCTTCCCCTTCCCGACGCGCTCGGGCGAGCGTTTGTACATTTCGTCGCCTCAGGCGACACGCGCGGGGCCAGCGAGCACGTCTCGCCTCATCTGCATGACCTTGCGGCCGCAACAACACCTTGTTTGTCAATTGGCACTTGCAAACAACACCCAGGAGGATCTGGCGCTTCCGCGCGCCAAGCAGGACGCGTTTGCGGTTACATCACAGCACGGCGCACGTGTGACCCGCCGTCGCACCGCAGCTCGCGTGAGGCGAGCTGTCACGTATTTCGCGCCGCCGGCCACAGGACCTGACGTGCGTGTGACGACCATATCGTTTCCTGCGTTGGTGTATCGACTACTTCCTTCACGTCAGCTGTCCCCCACATGCACCCCTGCCTGCCCGCTCGTAGCGTTCTTCAACGCGTCTTCGAGCTGCGTAGCCGCGTCTGCGACCACCTCCGCGATTACCGAGGCCGTCTCCGCGTCAAACTCCTCCCCGAGCCGCGTGGCGCCTGCCTGCTCTAGCACCTGGTACACAGCGCCGATCATGGCGTACGGAACCTCGACCTGCAGCGGTGCGTCACCGACACCGTAACAGTCTGACTTTCGAACGCTGCGGCCGTTTGTCGTCAAAGATTGACCGGAAATCGTTGCTCCACGGCGCGAGTGCTCTATGCACGAACCTCAATGCGCTTCTTCGGGCGCGCGTACGCCGCTTTGCCGCGCTCCCGGGCGTCCCGCAAGACCTCCCGCGCAGCGCCGCCGTACGCCCTCGCCAGGCCGCCGGTGCCCAGCTTCGTGCCTGCAAAGCGAGCCGCGGCGACGCACACCGAATCAGCGGCAGCGCCGGCCGCCGTCGCCACGTGCCCTCCCGCGAGACACGTCCCAATTTGAAAGAAAGACTAAGAATAAACACTTGCCTCCGTAGTACCGCGTGACCATGACGCACACGTCCGACATGCCCTCGCCCTCGATCGCGGACAGCATGGGCCGCCCAGCGGTCCCGCCGGGCTCGCCGTCGTCGCTGCTGCGATAGTCCAGGCCCCGTGCACCGATGCGCCACGCGAAGCAGTTGTGCGACGCCGACGGGTCGGACGCCTCCTCTACGCGCGCGAGCGCTTCGTCGCCTGAGGACACTGGCCACGCGAACGCCACGAACCGCGACTTCTTGGCCTCCGTCTCCGCACCGTGAGGCTCTCTGATGGTCCAGTAACCGCCGTCTGAGCCGTCCGTCGCGCCCTCTCCCGCCGCATCCTCGCCACCGCTTGCATGCGTCCGCGTGGTCTTGCTGCGCCGCCGATCCGTCAGCGCGCGGCTGCGCGGCGGCACGGAGCGCAGAGCAGCCCACGTCGTGGTCGCGCGCAGCGGGCGCCGGGAGAGCGCGTGATTGGAACCGGGCGCGCGGAGGACCGAGAGACTGATGTGACGTGCGCAGCGAGCGACCGTCGCCATGGTGCGAGAGCGCAGAGTCTGGCCCAAGGCCGTGGGGGACCGCCGTCAGTTTCCGAGTCGCTTCCGTGCGCGGCGTGCGGTGAGATGCAGCTCAAACGCCGGCCTTGCGACGGAGGAGAGTACGAGCACGCCACACGCATCGGCCGCAAACCGCCCGCGGGCTCTGTCGGAAGCCTGGGTGCCAGTACCCCCGCCATGTGTCTGTCGCGCACGGAACGGCTGCACCGTGGGGTTCGGGGACAAGTCGTCCGATATGCGGGCTCGCATGCCATCACACATGCCGTGAGTGCCAATTTTCGGCCCGGTTCCCCGCTGGAGACGTGCTGCCGCGGCGGTCCAGCCTGGGGCGAGCCCTCCTCCTCGTGTCACCGACAGTGGCCTGGCCACCGCCGCCGGAGACGATCGCCGGGTCTCGACAGTCCACGCAGAGGCGTGGAGGCAGGCACTTCGACGCCGAGTCGCACCGTGGGCGTGGATTCCCCACTGAAGGCATCCAAGGGGGGGTGGGAATTTCGAACCCGGAGTCGACGGGCGCGCCTCGTTTTGCCACTCCGGACCTCGTTTTGCCACTCCGTACTCTGTGGATGGGGGAGGCAGGGGTGGTTGCCCCCGCGACGGCGTGTGCCGACAGCCATCCCCACGCCTGGTCTGGCCCCAGGGAGAGGCCCTACCTGGCGGGCGCCCTGAGGGCCCCGTCATGGGTTTGCGACGCCGCGAGAATATCGCACTCGTCTTGCAGACGCCGAATTCGATCGAACGCGCAGCGCAAGGCGGGGTTGCTACGTGCGCCGAGCGTTGACGTTTCTGCGCCTCCAGCGCGCGCGCATTGGGCGGTGTCCCCGTCTCTGGCGCTGCACGTGAGGTTCGCGCGGCTTTGGCAGCACGTTCTGCGGGCTCTACGTCTGGGCGGAGGCAGGCCGGGGTCCAGGGATGCCGGCGGCGCCAACGGAGCGGACTGCGTGGTTGCACTGGCCCTGTGCGTCTGCACGCTGCCGGCGGCGATGACCTCGGAGCCGCTGGCTGTAGAAATCGCACGGAACTGTTCAGGGAGCATGTCTACCACGTCTTCGGCGGGGCGCGCGGCGCCCGCGTGGGACTTGAAGGGGCCGCTGCGATTCACGCTCTCCACGCTCAACCTGCGCAGCGTCATGGACAGGTGCGCCCGGACCCGCCGTCAGCAGATCTACAGCAGCTGCGTGGCGCGCCCTATCTGCGCGTTGGGCCTCTTCGCAACGTCGAACGAGCGTTTGTGTTGTCTCCCTCCAGATGGTCGGAACGGCGGCCCTTGCTGCGCGACACGGTGCGCCGGACAAACGCCCACGTCCACTGCTTCCAAGAGGTTCTCACGGCGTCGTTCGGACAGGACACGCACCTTCTCGGGCACGGATTCAGCTCGCACGGTTGCACCGCAGCTCTGGACAACGTGCGCGCCATGGGAAGGTCCGCCGCATCCCCGCGACTCACCGCAGCCAGGTCTTCTCCTCTAGAACACCGCGCCCCAACGCATTCCGTCCCTCCCCTCCCACGCCGCCGCGTGTCCCTCCTCGTCTCCGTTGCCGCAACCACCGCTCTCGCCGTCGCCGGGGCCCCTCGAACCGCCCGCGCGCCCCACGCACCGTGTCACACGTTCGCTCCCCGCAGAGTGGGCGCGTGCTACGCGTGGGTCGTGGACCGCTGTGCGAGCTTCCCGCCCACCCGCTCCATCATGCATGCTCTCCCCGGCGCCGTGGAGTCGGCGCGCGAGCGCTGGGGCTGCGGGGGCTCCTTCATGACGCTCCTCAAGGACCTCACCGTCCTCCCGTTCTACGGGAACTCGATCTGCACGCGCCAGAGCGCCGCGCACGTCCACCGCCACGAAGTGCTGCGTCTCGGTCGCTTCCGGTCTGCGCAACGGGCGCTCGTGGTCGTGGACGGTGCCGCCGTCGTGGCCGCGGACAGCGCGCACAGCAGCGCCGCCGCGCGCCGGTCCGGCGGCGCAGGGAACAGTAGCGGGCGCGAGGGCGCGCGGGCGGCGACGGCGGCCCCGCGGCAGCCGTCGGCGACGCGCGAGGAAAGCGGGGAGGCGCGGCGGGGGAGCGGCGCGTCCGCGGACGCGGACGGGCGGCACAGCGGGCAAGTGGCGGTGTGGGTGGTGAACGCGCACTTGGATCATGAGAACGAGCGATACCGGGAGCGGCAGGCCGCGAAGGTGCTGCGGTGGATGGAGGGCGTCGAGGACGAGGCGGCGGGGGTCGTGATCGCAGGGGACTTCAACGCGCGGCCCACCGAGGCCATGCACAAGGTGGGGGGTGTGTTGACCCGGGGCCGTCGTGTCGCGGGATCGGTGGCGATGCTGCCGCGGACCACGTGACCGGCGGCACCTGGGCGTGCTGTGCGCGGCGGGGTGGGGCGTGCTTGTCCGTGGTGGTTGGTGGAATCGACCGGAAGTCGAGAAAGAAGGACTCGTTTTGCCTCTCTGCGTGCAGCTGCTGCTCAGGAACGGGTACCGGTCGGCGTACGCGGCGCGGCATGGGAAGGAGCCGGAGCGGACGTGGCCGTCGGGCATCCGCGCGCCGCTGGCTGACACAGGGGACCCGGAGTGTGTGGACTACATCTACTACCGCCCCTGTCAGGGGTACGCCGTGCGCGTGACGGACGCGGAGCTCACGGGGACGGAGCACGACCGCGCCGACGACGGGCTGTACCCGACGGACCACTACGGCATCGTAGCGAAGCTGGAGGTGTCTCCCCTGCGCGGGTTTGCACAGGGCGCGCTGGCGGACGTGACGGAGCGCGTGCGGGCCATGGTCGGCCAGCGCGGGGGGTTCTCCGAGGAGGTCGTCGTGGACGTGCCGGAGGACGCGGCGGGCGCGAGCGGGGGCGGCGGGCAGTGATGGCATGCAACGCACGTAGATGGGGGTGGCGCGGGGTGTCTGGACGACAGGTCTGGGAAGCTTCATAAATTCATATATCTGGGCAACGGATTCTGTGTTCATCGTGCGAGCAGGACTGCAGGGGGCGTACATAAAGCGGGGCAGCTGGCCGCAACTCCAGCAACAGCTGCCGATTCACACCTCACCTCACCTCATGTGACGCAGGCGCGTCTCGCAACGCCTTGCAGCCCGCCCACACGCCCACGCCGCTCGCTACGCCCGGCTGGCCTTGCGCAGCGCGCCCGTCGTGGTGCCGAGCACGCCCATGTCCTCCCGAGGCGCCCGCGCATGCGGCACCGAGCTCCGCGGCTGCCGCGGCCCCCGCAGCACCTCGTGCGGCCCCACCGCCCTGCGTCCGTGCTGCGGCGGGCTCGTATCTCGCACGGGCGACGACGTTCCCCCTAGAGACATCCCGACCAATGCGTCCATCATTTCCGCCTCTCCTGTCTCTTGCGACGCCCCCCCGCGCTGCACCGTCGTCGCCACGTGTCCCCCCAGGTTCCACGGCGCGCTGCCGACCGGCCCGAGCGAGAGGTGCCGCGAGTAGGCCCGCTCGACGCTTGCGGCGCCGCCGTTGCTGTCGAGAGGGGGGGCCTCCACGTGGCTCGGCGCGGACCGCCGCGCGTCGAGCGCGGGTGACGGCGGCGCGCCGGCGGCGTCGACCGCCGCCAGCGCCGTCGTCGTGCGGGGGAGATATGTGTTGCTGTCCAGCGTCAGGTCCAGGCCTGACGTCGGCGCCGGGGAGGCCTCCTTCGGCGCCGTGCTGCGCCGGCCCTGCCGCGGAGCCTTCGCAGCGGTGTTCACGGCGCGCCGCGAGGGCCCCGGCGGCGAGATGGCGCCTGCGGGGTACGGCGGCATGACGTGCGGCGTTCCCGACCCCATCTGGAGGCCGGAGATGGCGAGGTCCGGCGTGGGCTGCTGGGTGCCTGCCGTGTATCGTTTCGAGAGGTCCGAGCGCGTTCTGCTCGCGACGGGGCGCTTGCCCGTGCCGCCGGCGCGCTGCTGCGCTTGCTCGACACGCTGTTGTGCGCGGCGCTGCGCGGCGCGCGCCGCCGCTTCCGCGTCGCGCCCGCCCGTCGGCGACCCCGGGCTCGGCGCCACGCGCTCCTCCGCCGGCTGCTCTGCACACCCACACAGCCGCACATTTGCAACCAGTGTTTCATATCTGCGGACGTGCACCAACCAATGCGCGTGGCGAGGCCGCGGGGAAAGGGCGCGATGCGTACCGGCATTCCCTGGCTTGTCAATGACCATGAAGGGGTGCTGCATGTGCGTTCCCGTGCGGAAACACTCCCGGCACAGGTCGTAGGAATTGCACACGCAACAGCGGTATCGCGGTCCCGTGATGTGCGTGTCGCGCCCGCACGAGGTTCCGTGGCACGCCACGCCATAGTGCACCGCCTCGTCGCGCGCGCGGCCCTCCCGCGGCTGCCGCTCGAACCGGGGGGGCGTCCAGTCGAACTCCCCCCACTTTTGCCGACACAGCGGACAGGACGTCTCCTCCTTCCCCGTCGACCGCTGGTGGTCGACCCACACGCGCATGCACCGCCCGTGCACGCGCCGCCCGCAGCTGAATCGGCAGTGCACGAGCGACGCGAGCGACGCCGTCGACATGTCTTCGTAGCAAATAGCGCACACCTCCCCCTCCGCGACCTCCCGCGGCGCGACCTGGCCCGGCGGCACGGACGCGTCGGTCACGCCGCTCTGGGACCGCACGAGGACGGCGTTCGGGGCGCCCGCGGGCCGCTGCAGCGCCTCGGAGCACCTGCGTGAAGCGAGGGCCGCGCGTGGTGTGCGCCTGCGCGGTTCCTGCGCGCTGGCGACGCCGCGGGGTCGTCCGGTGCATGGCATATCAGCCTGCGTGGCGCGCTGGACGCTACGCGTGCCGGCAGCTCGTGGTACGTCGAGCGGGGGTTGGCAACAAGAGGCGGGCGGCGGCGTTGGTGCGGGGCGTGCGGTGGGCTCGCGGTGGGTGCGCGTGCCTGAGGACTTCGTCGAGCTCGCGGTCCATGAGCGAGCGCTGCCAGACGAGCGGGTTCGAGCGCGGCACGCGCAAAACCTTTGTTAGAACAAACAGAGTGTGAAAACACAGCTCTGGGGACGGGCCTGCGCCGCTCACGGGCGGGCTGCAGGAGCACGTCATGGCAGCTCCGACGGAGACGCGGAACTTCCGCGGTTGCCGCGTGTGCGGGTCCGGAGGCGCGTCCGCATCCGCCACGACGAACGCAGTTGGCCCCGCGCGCTGCACGAGGAACATCGTGCGCGCCGACAGCTGCGCGATGAGCTGCGAAACGATCTGCGGATCACGGAACCGGCCCGGACGGCGCGTCAGAGCCCCGCGTCACGCGACGGCGGGGCATGTTGTGCAGCACAGGTTCATGAGTCGCGCCGTGCCGCAATCGCGCTCACGTCCGCTTTGGGCCCGCGGACAGTTCGACCATCGCATGAGGCATCCGCAGGAGCGGGCAGGTAGGACTGGGAGGCGCGGAGCGCGGCGTCGGCGCGGAGAGCGCTTGATTCGCGAGCAGTGGTGATGCTGTGCGGCCCCGTCGCCCGCGGGCGGGCGCCGGCGCCGCGGTTCGGGCGAGTGGCTCACCGCCGGTGGCTTGGAGCGCCAGGGCGCCATTCGTTCCGACATCGCGCCCGCCTGCGACGCCCGCGCGGGGCGCGGGCCCAGTCCCCAAGTTGGGAGCAGCAACTAATGCGGAATCCCCCCGACCTGCACGCCCAGCTTGCGGCCGCGGCGATCGCGGCGGGACGTGCTGCTTGCAAAGCGCCGGCGCCTGGCGCCGCCTCGGCGCCTTAGCACCGCAGGGGGGCTGACGCACTGCGTCAGGGGCAACACCTATGGGAAAGACCTCCCGGGGGGGTCAGAAGGGGGTTCTTGGGTCCGCCTGGGAGCGGCGCCGGTGCCAGTGAAGTGCTGCGGACCCGTCTCTGCCTCGTGTCGCGTTGTTTGTGTCGTGGCGACCACGCAGCGGCCGCTTGGCTAGCGCTCTGTTAGGCAGGAGTGCCCACCTCCCGCGACCGGCGCTCGCGGAGCGGCCGGGCGATGCCGGCCTGCCTGGGGCCGAGCAGAGTGTGCGGCGTGGGAAGCGGCCAGGCGGCGGCGTCCACCGCGCCTGCGGCCGAGCATGTGCCAGCGCGCCTAGCAGGCTGCCGTCCTGCTCTTGTGGAGTTCGTCTCGCAAGTCCGACATCGCGCCCGATGAGCGACAACCAGTTCCTGAAGTTCGCGTGCGGCGCCCCGGGCGACGCACCGACGGCGCGCACGCCCCCCCCGCGGCAGCGCAAGCGGCCGCGCGCCTCTTCCGACGACGACGACGCGGCGGCAGACCCTCCGAAGGGCGTGCCAGCGCGGCTCGGGGACGGGCACCCCCTTCGCTGCATCGTCGTCGGCCACAACCCGAGCGCCGAGGCGTGGCGCCAGGGCCACTATTACGCACACAAGTCCAATCGCATGTGGCCGATCCTGAAGGAAACCGGCATCGCTCCGCCGCACATTCGAGGCGCAGTCGACGACGAGCTCATGCCCGCGGACGCAGGTGCGACGTGCCCGCCAGCCGCCTGGGCCGTTCGCAGCACTGATGCACTGCGCACATGTTGCCCGCCTGCCGCGTTCTCCAGGGGGAGTTGTTTTCGCTCGGGGAGGCCAGTCCGTGCCGCTGATGTGGCGGTGCGTGCAGGGGTGGGCTTCGTTGACGTCGGCACGGGCCACCCGGGGACTGACAGCCGGAAGTTCGACGTCAGGGACTTCGCGGCGTGGTCGGGGGTGTTTTACGGGCGGCTGCGGGACCACGCCGCGGCGGCGCAGGCGTGGATGGAGCGGGAGCGCGGGTGTGCGTGCGGGCGCTGCGGCGCACCGTGCGTGGTGGCGTTCAGCGGCAAGCGGCAATTCGTGGAGCTGTACAACGCCACGCGGCCGCCCGGGACCAAGCAGCTGAACGGCGCGACGGTCCCGCTCGGGGAGAACCTCAGCAGGTGGGCGGCTGACACCCGGCGCACGTGTCTTGCGTTTTCTGCACACACCTGCTTATGTTTTGCTCAGTTGTCTTGTGTTTTTTGGAAGTATGCTTGGTGCCGCGGTGCATGTACGGTGGAGCCCACTCCGTGCACGTCCGCGGTTGCTGCAGATCGCTGCTGCCGGGCGGGTGGCCGCTCACGTCGGACACCGAGGTGTGGGTCATGACGTCGACGTCGGGCGCGTCAGCGCTGGGAAACGAGGCCAGAATCACGCCGTGGCGCAAGCTCGCGGCCCGGTTGGACGAGCAGCCATGGCCGCGCGTCGCGCGGTGCAAGGACGGGGCGCGGGCTGCCGAATGACGTCAGTTGACACGGAGATCGCTTTCACGACGAGAGGTGCCTCGCAAGTGGCCGTGCTGCAAGACGGCGCTCTCGCGCGGTCCGAACCACCCCGCCCGGGCCCGTGCAGGTGCGCGGCTGCGCGAGCACTGCCGACTCAGGCCGCCTGAGGTGGCTGCCAGAGAGCGGCGAGGCGTGACGTGACGTGCACCATCCGCTGCGATTGTGCAGGGCTGGCCGGGACGAGCCAGGGCTCGCGTGGCGCGGGCTCCGACGCACGCGCGCAGGGACGAGGCCGAAGCGCGGCATCGGCGCGGGAAGGGGTCGGTCTGACATCCGGGATGTGATTTTTTCTTCTTGGCGCTTTATTGGCCCGGCGCGGAGCGTGCCGCGACGTCGGCGTGTCCTAGGCTAGACGTTGCGGTCGTGCGTTCCGCCGGGGTGGCGGCGAGCGGCCTGCAGCCATGGGTTGTGTGTCGGGCAAGCCCAGCAAGGAGGAGGAGGCGCGGGAGCGGCGAGATAGGGAGGTTCTGGCGCCCCCTGAGCGCGGTGACGAGTGTCACTTTCACATTCAGCGGGAACCGCGGGGGAACCGATTCAAGGTACGCGGACACGCGCGCCCGCTGGTAGAGCCAAGTTGCGTGGAGCGGGGCCCCAGCGTTGTGGCGCGGCGATCCCCGGCGCTGCAGTGCTCGTTGACATGAACATGTCGTTGGGTACTTGGTGAGCTGTGAAGCCGTCTCAAGCGGCGAGTGTGCGCTGCGTGGGGGCCATCGGGTGGCTGGAAGACTCTTGGCGCCTTTCCGCGCTCCTGGCCACGCAGTTCCTGAAGGGCGGCGGCGACTTCAACGGTGATCCAAGAACCTACCCGCTGTGGCTGAAGTGCGAGCGGGAGGGCGAATTCGGCCAGAACGAGAGGTGAGAACACTCGTGCCGTGCCGCTCTGTCGTTGCGGCCCCAGCGCGCCCCCTACACGGAGCATTCCTGCTGACAACACAGCCATTCCACGACATGAGCAGTTGCACTCGCCGCCACCACGGGCCCCCGCCCTGCTCAGCTGCTACCCGCACATGTGCGACCCCGTCGACGTCGAGCTCTGGCACACCCCCGCGCACTCACAGACTCTGCACGGTCGCAGGTTCGCGCTGCGGACGCTCGGGGACCGAGAGGAGGACGGCGGGGACGGGCGCGGCGGCGAGCTGCTGTTCCGGGCCGTCGTCGTGGAGCCCCCCACGTACAGGTACGACAACGTGAGCAGCCTCGATGTTGTTCCCGGGAGAGACAGCTGGTCCGAGGACGAGGCCGACGCGGCGCCACAGCCGCCGAAGAACCTCGACGGCAAGACGGACCACATGGGAATCACGCGGAGGGCGTGCTGGAAGATGTCGTGCAAAGGTGCGCCTTGAAATTGAACAACCTGTTTCTAGGGCTTGTCAGGTCAGACTGGCTTGGAAGACAGGCGTGCACGAGAGGACGTGGTGCACGCACACGGCGGGACAGGCCGAGGCTCGAGCGCGTCTCTCGCTCGGAGCCTAGTCCGCGGCTCTCCACATCGCGCCGCGCAGCGCGACGTTGCAGCCCGGCAGGAACGTTGTTGGGAGATGAGCGCAGGCGGTCGGCCCGTGCGGTGCAGTGGAGATCAAGGAGCCCGAGGAGAAGCCGGGCGGCAAGAAGGTGGAGTGGATATACCAGTCTGACGAGGAGTCCGACCGCAAGGACCTGAGCCGCATGAACACAGGTGGGTGGGTGGTTACCGCGTTTCGAGCGCGCCGCGCGTCCAGTGCGTCGCGCAGCCTACGTTGACCCCGCCCGGCGTGTCGCCACGCTCCGTCCGCCTCTCTGCCCCCAGTCCGACAGCCCAGCCTGGTCCTCCACTACCAGCGGTTGCCACACTCGTCTGTTGAATGTGCGCCACCGCACCGTTGTGCACTTTCGCGGCACGGGGCCACCTGTGCGCTCCGAGGCTACACCCACACGACGCCTTGCACGCGCAGCCATCCTTTCCGGCCCCCCCGCGCGTCGGACTCGCAAAACAAGCACCGTAGCCTGCAATTCATGTCAGTCTGCCCTTCCCGGTCGAGACCGACCGCAATCTTCCCCCCGGCCCCGCAGCTGCGACCCTATCTGTCGAGGCCTGGGGCCGCGCCAAGCGCGACGACGTCACGTTCATCGGGAAGGACGATTTCTTTATCAAGGAGGAGCGCGCGCGTGCCCGTCTCGGCCCCCTCCGCCGCCGCATCGACGGCTACAAGTGCACGCTCGCCGTGATCCCGCCGCAGCTGCGATCGGCGCACAGCAGCGGCCCGCCGCCGGAGTGGCTCGCGGCGTCCCGCGCGTCGCGCAGGAGCCGTCGTATGGCGTCGCGCAACTCCAAGGGCAGCGCAGACGACGGCGACTCGGAACGGTCGCGGTACGGGCGCCCGAAAAGGACGCGCAGCCGGTTCGCTAGCACGAACATGCGCGGCGCGTCGTTCTCGTCGACTGGGCCGGCGGGGCACAGCATCCGCGAGGGTGCAGGAGGAGGCCCGCGTGCGAGCTCGCGGTCGCGCGCGGAGAGCGGGCTGGACGAGGCGGAGGTCGTGGTGGACTCGCGCGAGGTGGCGCGGATGGCGCGGGACTCCCGGAAGGCGGCGCGCGAAAAGGCTACGGAACGGATGCCAGTGAAAGTGCGGGGAGACTGGGAGGGGTCGACGGCGGCGGAGCTGGCCGGGAGGGAGACGAGGTTCGAGTGCAGCTTGTTCAAGGCGCAGGTAGGTGCCCGGAACGGTCCGAGCGGGACGCGCGGGGCGGTCTGAGCCGCAGGTGGTATAACATGTGTTGTGCTGCGCGTGACGTGGTATACAGGCGACGCAGGACGGGATGGACGCGCGCACGCGGCGGGCGGACGTGCTCGTGCGGCCGTCGAACAAGTACAAGCCCACGCTCGGCGGGATGGCCGCGCTTCTGTGCTCCGTGATGGTGGCTCCCGCCGACGTGGCAGCAAAGGTGGAGCCGCCGTTTCCGGACGTGCGCCAGGTGGAGGCGACGTACGAGGGGGCGACGGGGAAGTGGCTGGACAGGGACGAGGAGGAGAGCCCCGACGAATAGGCCCGAGGGGGGGGCTTTTGATGACGTGTTTCTCACGAACGTGTTTGTTGCCATCTGCCGAGGACGAATGTGGAGGTGTCGGGCGACGTGCTGTCCCCTTCTCGGCCGTGAGCTGCTGAGGCGGAGTCGGACGTCGGCCAGCACTCGATGGACAACCACGGCGCTGGACCAGGGACGAACCAAAAATCTTTAGTACTCACGTGCTTTTTTCAAATATGGGTGCGGCGCCGCGGCCTCGGGCGCCAGGAGGCCAGCGTCTTTCTGCTCTGCGCGCGCTCCGATCAGGAGTCCTTCGCGGGTCGGTCAAACCGAAACGAGCGCCTGTCGCCCCTCGTCGCGTGAGCTTTTGTTGATGTCTTGATGTCGGTGCCAGGCGCGGTGGTGTGCGGGGAAGCGCCGTCGTGGCGCGAGGGGAGCCTGCGTGCGTTGCTCTGTTCGCGGCTGGGCGAGCCTGCGCGGCCCCGGCGCGTGTCGGACAGGACGAGGGGGATGTATAAGGGCTTACGGGCCTGCGTGGAGCTCATGGCAGCTTGCTGGCGGGGGGGGGCGGCAGTTCGGTTCGTGGCTGCGCGACAGTGGAGAGACGGAGGGAGACATCTGGAGCGTAGGGGAGGCGGCGCCATGGAGGCCATCGTGCTGTGCGTAGACAACAGCGAGTGGACGCGCAATGGAGATTATGCTCCCTGCCGCTGGCAGGCGCAGGCGGACGCAATTAACTTTCTCGCGGCCGCCAAGGTGGACAGCCACCCCGAGACTACCGTGGGGGTGCTGACGCTGGGCGGGAAGAGCCCGCAAATCACGGTGACGCCCACTCAGGTGCGAGGAGCTCTAGCGTCGCACGCCCGTGCGCTGCGCTCGCGGCGGCATTCGCTGGTGTGGCCCGCGGAGCCGCTTGTTGCGATATTGAGCGGCGACCCGGACGTCTCGGAAACGAACGTGACGCTCCTGCGCGGCGCGCAGGACCTCGGAAAGATCCTGAACTCCATTTACGAGACGAAGATCGAGGGGGAGCTGCATGTCTCGACCGGGATCCAGATCGCACAGCTCGCGCTGAAGCACCGCGAGAACAAAAACCAGCGGCAACGCATCATGCTCTTCTGCGGAAGCCCAATTACCGAGGACAAGGTGCTTCACAGCGACCCACGCCCTCCCACGCCCCTCCCGCGCCCCCGCACCGCACCACGGCTACTCACTGCCCTCCATAGCGCGCCCTCCCATGGCCAAACGTCCCCCAACGCGCCCACGCGCCCCCCCGCGGAGGCCTTGGACCGCGTTCTGGAGTCCGGTCCACCGCGGCCCAGCCGCCGCAGGCCGCGACGTGGAACGATGCCCTCCGATTCCACCGTATCCTGAATCTGCACCGGCGCCGCTTCGTCGGCGCGGAGCCCTCCGGCGCGCGGCGCGGTGCTGCCCGTACTGGAGCTCTTAGCACTTGGACGTCTTGCGGCTCGCGCAGGAGACGCTGGCCAAGATCGGCAAGAAGCTCAAGAAGAACAACGTCGCAGTCGACATCGTGGCCTTCGGAGAGGACAACACGGAGGCTCTGGAGGCCTTCCACGGGGCAGTGAACAACGACAACTCCGTGCTCATCAAGGCGCGCCCCAGCGCCGACACCGCCGCGCACCGCCCGCTCCAGCCCCGCCACGGCCCTCTCCTTCGCCCGGTCCGCGCACGGCGCGCCCCCGCGTCGTCCCTGCGCGCCCGCTGCGACACGTACGCCCTCCAACGTGCTTTCGTGTCCTCCTGCGTCTGCAGGTGCCGCCGGGGAAGAACATGGACGACTACGTCATCTCGGGGCTCATCCACGGCGCCCAGATGGGCGAGGACGGCCCCGCGGCGGGCGGCGGGGCCGCGGGCGGCGGCGGCGGTGGCGGCGGCGGCGACGACTTTGCAGAGTACGGGGGCGTGAACCCCAACCTCGACCCCGAGCTCGCGATGGTCATGCGCATGTCGCTCGAAGAGGAGCGGCAGCGGCAGGCGGCCGCCGAGGCCGCAGCGGCCGCCGCCTCAGGCGGTCAGGGCGACGCCGCGACGCCTGCGCAGGCGCCCGCCGGGGCCGCTGCTACGCCCGCGGCGCCGGCACCGGCCGCGGGCGGCGGCGCAATGGACCTGGACGGGCTCGACGAGGACGCGCTGCTCGAGCAGGCGCTTGCGATGTCGCTGGAGGAGGCAGGAGGTGGCGGCGGTGGCGGTGGCGGTGGCGGTGGCGCGCCGGTGAAGAAGGCGCCCGAGGAGGCCGGCGCGGGGCAGGGCGCGGGCGGGGGCGACGCGGCGATGGCGGGGTCGTTCGATCCCGAGGACGAGGAGCTGCAGCGGGCGCTGGCGATGTCGATGGCGGACGCGGAGGGCGAGGGGGGGGACATGGAGGAGGACAAGAAGGGGGAGTGACGGGGGCGTGTTCGAGAGGTGCGAGAGGTGGCCGTGCGCCGTGTGAGGCGGCGCGGGAGGCTGCAGCGAGTGTTCTTTCTCTGTTGCAAGGGGGGGGGTGTTTCTCCGCTTGGGGGTCTGTGCGTGCCGGGGTGGAGCTGCGACGCATGTGCGTGGGCGGCCCTCAGCCGTGCCGCCCGCTCATGCCGGTGGCGCGCGTCGTTCGGGCACAGGGCGCGCCGGGAGCGGCCGTGCTATACGGCAGGTGCACGTGCGACACCACAGGCTGCCCGGCGCCGCGCGGCCCGTCTCCGAGGCCGGCGCGGTGCGCTGGCCGCCCGTGCAGCCCGCTGCGTCCCCGCCGCTGCAGCCCCTAGCCGCTATTCCGCCCCCGAATGACTCGTTTCATCGCGACAGGTTTTGATCGAGGGTGCGCTGGTGGGGGGGTGCCGCGTGGGAGCGACAGCGGCGGCGTTCGTCGTGTGTTACAGCGAGTCTGGGCGCCAGCAGGCATCGTCGCATTCGAGGACCCGGATTCACTTCTCCCAGCGCAGCCGTCCGCTCTCTTTGTACATGTCCTTGGTCCTGCGCGCACGGCACGACGGGGAGGTGGGCGGGGGGCTGGCGCGGGCGTGCGGGTGCCCCGGGGCGCGAGACGAGAAGAAGCGGCGCAAGAGCAGAAGGGATGGGCCAATTGGTCGTCACGTACACTCCCTCGATCTCAGGCAGCTCCTCCCAGGGCAGTTTCCTCCACGGCTCCTTCTCCCGCTCCTCCATGGTCAGAATCTGCGTCGCGTGGCCGCGCACGGCGCCGCGGTGGGCCCCGGAGCGCAAGCAGAGGCATGGGCGCGTGCTGGGCGGGGTCGCTGGGCGGGCCAGGGGGCGCGCGCACACACCTGCTTGCCCGGAGTGTACCAGAGCTGCGAGGGGATCCAGCCGTTCTCCCGCTTCTCGCGTGGGTTGACGGTGCGGACCTCGTTCTCCACGGACCAGCGGAACAGCATGTAAGTGACGGTCGCGATGCCGAGACCTGCGGGGCCCAGCGCGGGGAGAGTGGTCCTCGGTGAGCCTGGGGGCTGGTTCCGTCCGGGGGGCGAGCGGACGAGGGGCGGAGTCGCGTTCCGGCGCGGGGAGGGAGCGAAAAGAGGGTCTGGAGGAAAAAGAGCGGCGCGGACGCGCGGTGGCGGGGTTGGAGTGCGCGAGCGGGGGCTGAGATGCATGAAACCGTCGCGCCTGACGCCGAGGCGGGGCGGAGCGGCGCGGAAGGCGCGGGCGGAAGCGCAGCGCGGAGAGACTTGGGCCGCGGAGGGTTGTCCGCGCCGTGGCGCGAGGGGCTTGCCTGCAATCGCCGTGTTGCGCCGCCAGCCCTTCGGGTCCGGCCACATCCATCCGGTGGTGGACCAGGGTTCCGTGAAGTGCGGCCACTCATGGCGCGAGAGGCCCATCCACTTGCCCCCTCCCATCCTGCCCTGCGCTGCTCCCGGTAGGCCCCTGTTCGGACGGGAAACGTGCGGACGACACCGTGTGTGTCGCAGGGGTGGCGGCACGGGGCTGCTCGGGCGCCCCTCGAGCCTGTGCAGGGCGCCTGGGGGCCACTTTGCCTGACGCGAGGGCGACAGACGCGCATTTGGCCCGTTCCGAGGATGGTGGCGCGCGGCGGCGTGGCGCCCGAGCAGTTTCCGATTCGTTACGTGACACTGCGCGAACGCGAGGCTCGGGACAGTCCTGGTGACGGCCTGCTCCAGTGCTGCCTGGAGCAGGAGTCGACACGCATTCGTCGCCGAGGCCGCCAGGCGAGGTATGCCGGCCATGGACCTCCAGAGACTGTACTCCGCGGGCGATGAGCAGCTGGAGGCGGTGAAGACCGCTCGGCGGAGAGCGGTCGACGCATTCGCTGCCAAGCTCGAGCGATGGACGAGCCGCGCTGCGTCGTCGAAGGTCACCAAGGCCGCGAAGACCAAGCTGCTGCGGGAGATTGCTTCGCAGCACACGGAGGAGAACCTCGGGTTCGCGCAGGTGCGGCACGCGCGAGAGCGCGAGCGAGCATTGTCACCTGCTCCGGCGGGTCCACCGCGCTCGTCCGGCCGCGTTCGGCCAGCGCATGCGAGTCCGGAGCGAGACCCACAATGATTCTCTCGGTTTCGCGCGTCACATTCCGTCAGAAGCGCCTCCTCGCGCCGCGCGCGGCGGTTGTTTGAACCTGCTCGGTGACAGCCGTGAACAGGGCGCTCGAACGGAGTGTTTCGATCCCGTTTCGCGCGCAGACGAGGGCGAGACAGCAGCACGCCATGCCCGGTCCCAGCGGGCTCGGAGTCATCGCCGAGGAGGAGGAGAGGAGCGGAGAGGACGAGGCTGGCAGCGGGGCCGGGAGCGCTGGGCGGTCCTCGCGCAAGTCCCGTCGCGAAGCAGGTGCGCTCTCCGCACGCACGGTCTCTCGCATCCACTGGAAGGCGTCCCGACCGGCCTGCTGGACGAGACAGCGCCAGCAGCCGTCGCGGACACGCCCGCACTCGCCAGTGTTGCGCTCCGTCGCCCCGCCCGCGACCTCCGCCTCATTTCCGGGTTTTCCGAAGCCGTGCCGCGCGCTCCGGCTCCGTAATGCATCAATCTCGGCTCTGCCGTGAGCATCCTGCGTCCTTCGCGCCGGGTTCCGTCTGCAGGGGCGCGAGCAGCGACGGGCAGCGCTCACAAGCAGGGCGCCCGCGAACCCAGCGCGGGCGGCGCGCACGACCTCGACGAGGCGGCCGTGGCGAAGATGACGTGCCCCCAGCTCAAGGAGGAGCTCAAGGTGCGGCGACGCAGCCGCGCGCGACCGCACGCGCATCCCGCGAAGTGACGTGCCGCCGCGCTGCGGTCTCAAACGGTCCCCCGCAGCTCGGGAATCATTCTCTGCGCCGAAACACCAGCCCAGCGTCTTGCTTGATCAGAAGGCTTGATGTTTCGAAGAAAAAATCCGCGTTTGTCCGAAAGCGCGATCTGCGGCAGCGCCTGCGTTCGACCAGCTGTCGCTGTGCGTTTGGTGACGACGCAGGCGCGGGGCGTGGAGCCGAGGGCCCGGGCCAAGAAGGCCGAGCTCGTCGAGGCGCTCGTGTCCGCCCTGCGCGCCGAGGCCGCCGCCGCGCCGGCAGGGGCGGAAGCGGAGCCCGCGAGCGACGACACACGACACAGCACTGAGAGCTGCCCTGGAGCGGACGGCGACGACGGGGACGCACCTGCAGGCACGCAGCGCTCGCAGATCTTGCACGCCTCCGGCGGTTCAGCGATCCATCTCGCGCCTGGGTCGCAGCGGCTCGTCGGAACGTCGCCTCGATGCACACGGCGACGCGAGACGACGCGCCCTGCCGCCAACGCGAGGGTTCCGCCGCCCTGCTTCGCCGGAGGGCCCTGCGCTCCTCGGCGCACCGTCGCAGAGCTCCTTGTTCGGCGCCGCTGACTCACTCCCCCCCTGACGCGGTCTGCTTGCTGCGCAGGCGATGAGGGGGCGCTCGCGGCCGGAGGCGACGAGGCGGCCGGCGCGCCCGCGCGCACGCCTGCGCCCGCGAGCGCCGCACCGCGTTCCGCGGCCCGCACCGGGAGCGTCCGCCGCAACGCGCCACGGTCGTGCAACAAGCCCCACGGCCACGCCTGCCCCCGCGCCCCCAGCGCCGCGCAGGCCTCAGCGAAGCGCTCCACGGCGCGCGCTCGGCACGGCCAGCGCCGGAGACGGCCACGCCCGCCGCCGCGCCGCCTCCGGCGCCGCAGTCGGCTGCGGCCCTCGGACGCGCCTTGCGCAGTGCCGGGCGTGCCGCAGCGGCCGCGGCCGAGGGCGGTGCCGCGCCGGCGGGCGCGCGTAGCGCGGAGAAGGGGTCCACGGGCGGCAGCGCGGCGCAGGCGCAGCGGACGGCGGACAGGCCGAAGTTCGAGGGAGCCCCGCTGCGAGTGGCGGTGGCGGAGGAGGCGACGCCGAAGGCTGGTTTGGAGGGCGGCGGGGCGGGGGCGTCGGCGATGGTGACGCGGTCCGCGTCGAGGAGCGAGGGGAAGAAGGCAGCGGGGGGGAGTCGGGGGGGGAGTGAGGTTGCGACGCCCGCGGCAGGCGGGGAGCGGTCGCAGGGGACGGAGGGCGGGACGGGCAGGAAGCGGAAGTCCCCGGACACCGCGGACGAGAAGGTCGGGTCGGCAAGCAAGCGGGCCGCAGTGGGGGCGGTGGCATCGCCGCGGGCCGCTGGCCGCAACGGCAGCGGGAGCGGGAGCGGGGCAAAGAAGACGCCGGCGGGGAGCGACGTCGTGGTCGCGGCGGCGCCTGGGAGCGGGGGTGCGTCGCGGGGCGGGAGCGGACGGAAGGTGGCGGAAGTGGGGGGAGTCGGGAAGGTCCGGGGGGGTGTTAGCAAGCCGGGGCGGCCCAAGGCGCTGGAGGCGGCGGAGCGGCTGCGCGCGAAGCAGGAGGAGAAGGAGAGGCATCGGCGGGCGATGAAGGAGGAGGTCTTGCGGCGACGCGAGCAGCGGCAGCCCGGCGCCCCCGCGCCGTCCGCAGTTGCGCCGCCGAGGCAGAAGCCCGCCGCGGGGCCGGCTGCGCCCGCGGCGACGGTACCGAGGCCCGCGACCGCGGCAGCGGGACGGCAGCCGCTCGCGCCGGTGCGACAGGACCCGAACGCCCCCGCCAAGGCTCCGGGGACGACGAAACTCCCCGGGGGGACTCAGACGGCGAAGGAGCGTCCGGCGGCGCCGCCGCCGGCGACGAAGAAGCCGGCGGCGCTGCCAGCGACGAAGGTGATCGGCGGGGCGGCGGAGGCCCCGGCGGCGGCCCCGAAACCAGGCGGCATCATGAGCACTATCGCTGGCATGGTTGGCCTGACCAAGGGCGCGGAGACGGCGGCAGCGCCCGCGGCGGCCGCGAAACCGAAGCCTCCGGTCTCGGCGCCGCAGGGCACGAAGGCTGCGTCGCAGCAGGCGCCGCCGGCGCACGCGGCGGGCGGGAACAAGCCGGGCGAGGAGGAGTTTGTGTGCTATGCGTTGTCGCCGTACCGGGACGCGTCGGACGACGACGACTACGACACGCGGCCGAAGAAGGCGATTCCGGAGTGGGCGCGCGGGTACAATTTGAAGGACTCGCTGTGGGCGCAGCGCAAGGTGGATCCCGACGACATCTTTTGCGAGTTCAAGAATGCGACGTGCCACCTGCGGGAGGTGTTCGACTACTCGAACTGGCAGCAGACGGCGAAGAACAGGCACCCGGACCGGCGCACGTCGTCGCAGAACTGGGCGCAGGACCGCTGCACGGCCGCGGAGATCCTGGCCTACCGCAACGCGCTGGGGCTGCACTGAGCGGGCGCGGCGCGGGCGGCGGCGGGCCGGGCGGTCGGATGTGATCACAGACCGTCGCGGCGACGACTTGGTGCACGAATATTGCGGTGCCCGACCTCGCAGATACCAAAACCATAGCATCGGATGCAACGCTGATGATGTTGATTATGATGTGTAGTGCGTGGTTGTTTTCCGGGGACAGCGCGTGGCGTCACGCGTACTTGAGCGCGGCGTGCCCCGTCGTCTTGATGTGCTTGAACAGCTGGTTCCTGCTCGGGAACTCCTCCCCGCACACACTGCACTTGAGGTCGCTGTGCGCTGCAGCGGCGGCGCCCGCCTTCGCCGCCTTGCGCTGCTTCCGCGCCTCCTTCTTCGACAGCGGCGCGGCCGCCTTGCCCAGCGCGCCCTTGGCCGCCCCGCCGCCCTTGGCTGCGCCCTCGGCCGCCGCCGCCGCCGCCGGCTTCTTCTTGCCGCCTTTCTTGCCCCCCGCAGGTTGCTTCGCCTGGGCAGATGCCGCAGGGGGCTTCGCTGCGCCGCCGCCCATCATCATCTCGAGCATCGCCGCCTCGTCCACGCTCGCGTCGCTGTCGTACTCAACACCCCCCCCCTCGCCCGACACAGCCTCCGCGGCATTCACCATCTCCCAGTCACCGTCGCTCCCCGACTCCTCCTCCTCGCTGCTCGACTCCTCCTCCTCGCTGCTCGACTCCTCGTCACTGCTGTTCGACTCCCCCTCCTCGCTGCTCGACTCCCCCTCCTCGCTGCTCTCACTCCCCTCCTCACTCCCACTGCCACTGTCAGACTCGCTGTCCGAGCTCTCCTCGTCATCGTCCCCGTCATCGTCCTCGTCATCATCCTCGTCCTCATCGTCATCGTCCTCGTCATCATTCGCTCCCGATTGCTTCCCTGCCGCCATCCCCATCATCGCCGCAAGCATGTCGTCCTCATCCAAGCTCCCCTCCTCAGCGTCCTCCGACTCCCGCTCCTCCTCCTCCTCGCCGCCGCGGTCCTCGCGCTCGCCTCCCCCGCTCCGGCCCTCCGCCGCCGAACCACCGCCGCTGTCAGCCTGTTCGCTAGCGGCGTCTGAACCCGCCCGCTCCTCCCCGTCCAGCCCAAGCGCAGCCATGCGCTCGCGGAACAGCTTTTCCTGCTTCTTGTTCCGCTTCTTGCTCCGCGCGCCGCCCACAGACGGCGACGCCACCTCCACGGCCGGCACACCCCCCCCCTTCGCGCCCCGCCCCTTCGCCTTCCGCTCCTGCTTCCGCAGCTCGTTCCGCATCTGCGCCACGCGCTTCCGGTGCTGCTTGCTCCCCTCGTGGTTCCGCAGCGCCCCCTCGCTGCGAAACTTCTTCTCGCACGCAACGCACTCCCACACCTCCTCGTCGCCGTCCGACCCGGACCCGCTCACGGCCCCGCCGTCCTCCTCCCACTCGTCGAACGTCGCGGCGGCCTCCGCCTCCTCGGCCGCCCGCACCCAATCGGCCTCCTTCGCCTCCCTCATCCTCGCGAGTCGCTCCTCCTTCTCCCGCCTCATGCGCTCCGCGTTCGCAGCCATCATGCGCTCGCGCTCCTCGGCCTCGCGCTTCTGGTACTCCGCCACGCGCCTGCGAGGCAGCGCACGCCCAAGCCAGGTGTCCAGCCGATCGCCATGCGGACCCTTTAGAACACCGCACGCGCGCACAACGGGCCCAAGAGGCAGCGGCGGACCGCGAGAGACGGGCTCCGATCGCTCTCGGGGCGCTGAGGTTGGCGGGGACGTGCCTGTCGCGCTTCTTGACGAACAGAGTCAAGTTGCGCACTTCGTCGTTGAACTCCTTTCGGTACTTCTTCCGCTTCTTGTTGTTCTCGTCCTCCATGCGGCGCCGCACGAAGCGGTTCGGCGCCGACGCCGTGTTGTACTGGTCGCACCACGAGAACGACTTTGCCGAGGAGAAGTTGGCCCAAAACGAATAGAAGTTCTTGATCTCCTGCGCGGGACTGTTCGGACTCCCGAACAGGGGGATCTCCGGCGGGTCCTCCCCGCGCCAGTCGTACGCCGCGAGCTCCTGCTGCGCCAGGGTCTGCACCGAACCGCCCGAGCAACGCGCCCGTGTTCAGAGCGCACGCGTCCACCAGGCACTACACCGAGCTTCGTGGCGCAGGGAGGGGCGCACCGTGAACAGCTGGCCGTACACGACGTAGAAGCTCTTGTTCCCGTCGTACCCGTTGTAGCAGGTCGAGCTGAAGTACTTGTAGAGGTCGACTTCGTCGTCGGGCCGCACGTTGCTCTCAAAGCCCGTGTCGCCGGCCTGGTGGCGGCTCCCTGACCCGAGAATCTGGTCCCTGTGGGAGTCGTACCTGCGTAGAAGGCGGTGAGGCGCTCGGCGCCGTGAGGCATGCCTTGAACGAGGCGCCGTCGGGCCAGCACACAGGAGTGCTGGCTGGGCGCGTAGCATCGCGTGGCACGTGCCGGCGCCGGATTTCTCGCACTTGCAGGTCGGGGGATTGTGTGTCTCACCATGCGCGCTCGTGTTTGTCGCTGAGCACCTCGTAGGCGTTCACAACCTCCTGGAAGAGCTCGTGCGCTTCTGGGTTGTCGGGATTCTGCGCTCAATACAGACGAAATCGACCGAAATCCCCATGAACTACACCATTCTATCGATGCTGCGCCTCCTCGTCGCACAGACCGTGCCCCGCTGCCGTCGTAAGCCCGCAACCACGCTGTATAGGGTTACGCGGCGAGGCACGGTCCCAGGGACGCCGCAGCTGCTCCCCCTCGAGCTCCGACAGCCCGCGGGCAGTCCAGCCCGGGCCTCGCCTGGCAAGCACAAGCGCGGCGTATTAGTCCCCCTGCACGGCGCACTCGCCGCACCTTGTCCGGATGCCACTTCAACGCCGCCTTCCGGTACGCCTTCTTGAGCGCGGCGTCGTCGGCATCCTTGTCGACTTCCAGGACCTCGTAGTGGCACCGCATGTCTACGAAGCAGCCCGCTCCGCGCTCTCAGCGCGGGGTCACGGGGTCTGCCGCAAGCGCACGGCACCTACGCGGCACTCACGCGCGCGTCGCGGGCAGGGCTGGACCGCCGAGGTCCGGGCAGGGCGAGTGCGCGGCGGCGCGTCTGGCCGCGGCATCGAGGGCGCGGGAGCGGCCCGTGGAGCAGGTAAAAGCGGGGGTGTAATTGCACAGACCCCCATGGTCGCGCGGCAATGAGGCACGGAGCTTCGGTGCTGGTCGGACGGCTGGCTGCGGGTGGTGGAAGAGCTTGCCGCGGTGTACTCTGATCTCAGGCGCGGAACAACATGACAGCGGCGAAGCTCATGTGATGTCGCTTGCTGCGATGCGCACGGCGGCGGTGCGAGGCGGGGCGTGCACCCGCTGGCCGATGCGCCGTGCTGATGACGGGCCTGCTCGTGATGCTCTTGTTGACCCCGGGCGTGTTGCCGCGGGGCTGCTGCTGTAGAAAGCATGGTGAAACATTGAACACAGACATTCGCTGAGGACCCGGCCGCCTCGGGTAGATAGCCGGTACGTGGCCCCGGACGGACGACGCTCTGGACAGGCTTTGGCCGCCCTGGTGCTGCGCGCTCCACAGGCCTGTCGATCGCCCCGCGTCGACGAGATCCCCGGGGATGGTGGGGGGGGTCTCTCAGGTCGCTACAGGGGCGGTGCTTCAACGCGTCGGCGCTGTCCAGATCGGTGATATACGCCGCCGAATACCGCATAGAAGTGGAACAGGCATCGGACGACGCTTCGATTGCCGGGCTGTCTGTCTCTGAGGTTCTCGGACAGGGCATCCGGCGCAGTCGCGAGCGGCGCAGCGATCGAGCTCGAGGCGCTCTCAGGTGCATCCCTGATATCATTGGTTTGCGGCCAAACAGCTATTGTTCTTGCTGAGCGCTCCAGCATGCGGTAGGCACGAGGGCAGCCAAATGTTCGTGCCTCGCTCATTCGAGGCGGCAGGAACAACGACAGACAGGCAGGCATAGTTGCGGTGCCGGGGTCGCAGTACCCACCGCTACGACGACGACACCGAGGCAGCACGCATGGTGCCCTCGCGACGCAGGATTCGAGCCTCGACACTTAGTGTCAGACTGAGACCATGGGCAACAACGCCTCCGCCAGCAACGCGGGCGCGGACGGCTCGCATGTCCCGGAGACGTCAGGGGGGGGCAGTATCGATCGTGTGCTGCGGGAGGCGCCCGTGCTGGACAGGCTGTCGGACGAGGACAAGGCGAACCTTGCAGCGACATGCTGGGATGTGCTCGAGACGGTGATGCGCGGCAGTCGGGCGGTGCTCGAGGTACACCCAGACGACCCCGTGCTGGCGGCGTTGGCGCAGCGGCTTGAGGGGGGGCCGTGTTTGGGACACGTGACGGTGTGCGGGGTGCGAGTGCCGGCGACTGACGCTGCGGCATTGCTGGACGCGACGAGAAGTCTCGGCTTCCGTTTGTCGACTCTGGGTGCACCTACGCTTGATGCCCCGCGTGAGGCGGAAACTCGATATTGCGGCAATCCCGGATCAATCCAGAAATACGTTGAGACACTCAAGTCTCTATCTTGGAGACAAATGTGCGAATGGATCGATCTGATGCGGGCGCTGACAAGGGAGTCAAGCGGGGTGCGCGTGACTGGGCTGACGGTGCCCGTCCTGAGCGATCGACTGACATCGACGGCGGAGGCACAGGCATTCGCGGCTATCTTGCGGACACCGGCGTTGAGGGAGAGCCTGCGGTCCTTGCAGGTTGTCGTGGGGGAGCTGGTGATCTTCTTGCCTGAAGAGGTCATCGAGGTGCTGCACGATGCTCTGCGCGGTCTGTCGGCGCTCGAGCACCTGGAGCTCCGCAACGCACCCGCAAGCTGGGCACGTCGAATTGACCAGTACAGCTGTCTGACAACGCTCAGGCCTGGGACGAGCGGCTGAGCGGGTGGTCGATCGCACCGGATGCGCTTGCGGCGTTCTTTGATTCTCTGGGGCGGGCTTCGGCCCTGTGCAGCCTCAAATGTGAAACCGGCAGGCCGTTCATACGCGCGGCATCCGCCATTGAGGGCCAGCCACGTGCTCTACCAGCGGGGCTGCAGGCGCTGCACATGCACATCGCCACGTTCGCGCTGCGCTGGTGGGATGCCGAGGAACTGCGTTCGCTGGTTCGCTTGTGACCCCCGGGGCCCTCCGACCGGCCGGGCCCGGCGCGGCGGCCAGAACGAGAGATGTGCGTCTGTCTGGAAAGGACAAGGCCACCCTTTGTCGTGTGACGATGCCTTGAATCAATGCGTCGGAGATGTCGTTCGTAATCGCGACCCTCGGGCGTTGCTAGGATGCCACACAGTGACGTGGCTCGGCGCGCGCAACGCCCCTCGTCCACGGCAATGCACCGCCAGCGAGGTTGAGAAGCATCATTCCGCGTCGCAGCCCGCGTGACGGAAGGTGCACGACATGCCCGGGGCAAACGCACTGAAGCGGTTGCGCTGGGTCGTGGATATCGAGGCCTGGCGTCCCAGCGAGGACGAGTGGAACTTCTACCTGCGCCAAGTACCTCTCCAAGAGCAGGAGGCCGTTCTCAAGTTCAAGTGCGCGCGACCACACGCACACCGCGCGCACACGCCGCGCCTCTTGCTGTCTGCAAACTATCGCCGCGTGCTGTCGCATAGGGCCGTAGAGTGCGCGTTCTCGTGCGACAGAGAAGCTCCGTACGTACCTGACCTGCAGGAAGGAGGACGACCGGAAGCGCGCGCTGGTCTCTCGCCTGCTGCAGCGCTGCGCCTACTGCACGGTTCTTGGGCTCCCTGCTACGTCGCTCAACATCTGCCGGACCAAGGGCCGCAAGCCCTTCCTGCGCGGCGCACCGGACCCCGCCACCGGCCGCGACCTCGCCCCCGAGGCCCGCCAGCGAGCCCAAGCCCCGAACTTCAACCTCAACATCAGCCACGAGGGCGCCCTCGTGGTGCTGGCGTCGGAGCCGGTCTGCCTCGTCGGGGTCGACGTGGCCGCTCCGTGGCACCAGCGGCCCGGCATCTCGCAGCGGGGCCACGGCGCGTCGGCCCTGAGAGCCACGTTCGAAAAGCAATTGACAGAACAAGAGTGGCGCTCAGTCGAGGCTGCTGGTTCGCCGTCCGAGCAGGAGGTGATGTTCCAGACGCTGTGGTCGCTCAAGGAGGCGTTCGTCAAGGCGCGCGGAGACGGCCTCGCGTTCGACTTCCACCGCGCGTCGTTCAGGCCGCGCGTTCCAGTGGGACGTAACGGGGCGCCGGGGACGTGCGCGTGCTTGCCGTGGACGGGGCCGGTGGAGGTGGAGGTGGACGGGGTGCTGCGGAGCGACTGGGCGCTGCACGTGGCGCACCCGCGGTGCGGGTACGCGATCAGCGTCGCGCGGGGGCCGCCCACGGAGGCGCGGGACGCGTGGGGGGTGTTTCGGGGGACGTTTCTGCGGCCGGAGCTGTCGCCGGAGGAGCTGGAAGCGCACCTGGGGGCGGAGGAGCCGGCGTTCACGGAGCTACGCGTCGAGGATCTGCTGCCTGAGGGCGCGGGGAGGCCCGAGCGGCGAAACGACAACAACGTTGGCATTATGGACAACCACTAGTTAGTCAGGGATCGTACGCATCAGATAGCGAGTAGATACGAATGCGTACGGCCGCTCCGGTGATGGGCACTGCGGGGTCGGGCTGTGCGTGCGTGCGTCGTAGCGCGGGCACCTCCTTCTAGACAGACATAGAGAGATAACAAGCCGCGCGGTGAAGCAGACTCCCCCCCCTCTCCCTCCGTGCCGGCACCGCGCCGTGCCCGTTCCTCGCGCTTGAGCCTCGATCACCGCCACGCAGTCTGCGCGTACTCGACCGCTGTCGTTGCTGCTGGGCCCCTGCCCATGTTGTTGCTGTGGATGGCCCGCGTTGGATGCGCGTCTGCTCGTCTGAATGTTCCTCACACAATCTGAATGTCTCCGCACAACCCGCGGCCCCGCGCTCGGCCGCGCCGTGCTGCGCGCCGCCTCCCGCTCCGGCCCCGCACTGCGTGGTTATACCAGCAGCGCGGCAATCACCTCTTCTTGATCTTGTCCAGCACCACGTTGTGTGGCTTCTCCTTGGGCGGGATCGCGAGGTCGTCGAAGTACGTGGGGATGAACGACGTCGTGCAGTTGCCCTTGACGAACTCCGGGTGCATCATGATGTTCTGCAGCGCGATTCAATAATAATAATAATAGCCAACAGAGTTTGTCAGGCGTCGGTTGAAGCGACCAAACGCGGTGAACGGCGCCCGCAACGAACGCGGACGCGCAGGCATACGACGACGTGCGCAGCTGCCGGGGTCGCAGCGAGCGAGTCGGCTCCGCGTGCGTCATTACGTCATTACGGCGCGGGGTGGGTGCGCACCATGTGGTAGGGCACGGTGGTCGGCACGCCCGCGACGGTGAGCTCGCTCAGGGCGCGGTGCATGCGCGTGATGGCCTCGCGCCGGTCCTTGCCCCACACGATGAGCTTGCCGAGCAGGGAGTCGTAGTTCGGCGGCACGACGTAGTTGGGGTAAATGTGGCTGTCCCAGCGCACGTGCGGGCCGCCCGGGGACAGCGTCGTGTGGATCTTGCCGGGGCCCGGACGGAAGTTGTTGAACGCGTCCTCGGCGTTGATGCGGCACTCGATGCTGCGGGGCAACGCGACGCAACTCCACGTGAGCAAGCAGCGTTGCACGCACGCACGCACGGCGCGAACGTTTCGTTTTCGGCGCGACTCGCGTGCTCCTAGCGCACCTGTGGCCGTTGATCTTGATGTCCTCCTGCGTGAAGGACAGCTTGTGGCCCATCGCGACCTTGATCTGTTCCTGGACGAGGTCCACGCCGGTGATCATCTCCGTCACGGGGTGCTCCACTTGGATGCGCGTGTTCATCTCCATGAAGTAGAACCCCTTCTCCTCCCACAGGAACTCGATCGTGCCGGCCCCCACGTACCCGATCGACTGCGCCGCCTGCACTGCGGCTCGGCCCATCGCCTCGCGCGTCGCCTCGTCCAGCACGGGCGACGGGCCCTCCTCCACGAGCTTCTGGTTCCGGCGCTGGATCGAGCAGTCGCGCTCGCCCAGGTGCACCACGTTGCCGTGCTTGTCCGCCATGACTTGGAACTCAATGTGCCGCGGGTTGATCACGAGCCGCTCGATGTACACGTCGCCGTTCCCGAACGCCGCGAGCGCCTCCTGGCTCGCCTGGTTCAGCAGCGGCAAGAAGTCCTTCTCCTCCATGCACATGCGCATCCCGCGCCCGCCGCCGCCCGCCGTGGCCTTGATCATCACCGGGAACCCGATCTGCGCGACCGTCTCGAGCGCCTGCTTCTCGCCCTTCACGAGCCCGTCCGACCCCGGCACGACGGGCACGTTGGCCGCGATCATCGTCTCGCGCGCCGTCGACTTGTCGCCCATCTTCCGAATCTGCTCCGGCGTCGGCCCGATGAACTCCAGACCGTGCTCGCGGACCATCTCCACGAAGGTCGCGTTCTCCGAGAGGAAGCCGTAGCCCGGGTGGATCGCGTCCGCGCCGCACGACACCGCCGCGGCGATGACCGTCGGCATCGAGAGGTAGGACTCCGAGGAGGCCGCCTCGCCGATGCACACCGCCTCGTCCGCGAGCTGCGTGTGCAGGCAGTCCTTGTCGACCGTCGAGTACACCGCGACGGTCTTCAGGCCGAGCTCCTGGCACGCCCTGATCACGCGCACCGCGATTTCACCCCTGCAAGCACAGAGACGCAAGAGAGGGAAGTCACGCGGGTGCGGGGCGCTGGGGAGCCGGACGGGCGGCGCAGGGAGGCGGGGGCGCGCGTCGCACCGGTTGGCGATGAGGACCTTCTTGATGTCGCGGAGCGGGACGTCGCCAGAGTGGGCGCGGACGGAGCGGGGGCGCCGGGACGCGGAGCGCGCGGCCGAGGGGGCGGCGATGGTCGCGCCCGCCGGCTTCTGGGCGGAACGGGCGCATTTCGCGGCCGAGGCGCGCGGAGCGGCCGCGAGGGGCGCGGACGCGCGGGCCTGCTGGGGGCGCCCGCCCACCTGGAGGGGCGCCTGCGAGGGGCGCGCGGGGCGGAGCTGGACGTTTGGAAGTGGATGTGCGGGCGTGCACGAGGGGAGAGCACTCCGCGGGAGCGGCGCGGCGCCGCGCGGGGAGCCGGGGCGACGGGTGCGGGCGTTGGTGGCTTGACTGTTGCCCCCGAGGGGCTTGCTGGGCGCCGTGCGGGACTCGAATGTATGATGGGGCGCGTGGAATGGTGGTGTGGAAAGGTGTTTGGGCGAGTCGCGGCGGACCCACGGGCGAGGCGGGGCCGGGCGTGCGTCGGCAGCGGTTGTGTTGCCCCGAAGTGGGATGGATGGGGCCCTTGGGCGCGTCAAGGGGATCAGGCGGCCGATGCTGGTGCGGAAGGGGCTATCAATATCTCGATGTTCGTCGAGACGATCTACATTGGCCCTTGCGGTGGCCGCGCAGGCGGCACCGGGGCGATATCGGCTCCATCGTCGACGGAGTGACCCACCTGCGCCACAGGAGCGAGCGAGTGCATTCCTCTTGCGACTCCCTGGAGCCCAAAGATCCAAGATCGGGGAGGCCGGCCGCGCCGCCGCGCGCAGGCAATGTACGCGGCTGTCGGGCGACCACCAGGCAGAGCCCTGCGGTCAGGTGACATCCCCGCCTCGAAACCGCCGCACGAAACGCTCCAGCGCCCCACACCTCACGCATCAACACCAGATGCGGCGTATGCGCACGCGAATTTCCCGGCGCACGCCCTCGTGCGTCTCCAGCCGGCGTTTGCCTGCCCAGCAACATTGGTGTCCCGGACACGGCCCCCCGGAGCGCGCTCCCGATCGCGCGAGCGCCGGTCCACGCAGCGGGCGCTTTCCGGCAACGCATCGGCGGGGTCGACGGGCCATCGGAGGCCTGTTCCGCCTCTCAGTCGCTGCTGTCACACACAGTCATTGTGGACGCGTGCCCGGCGTCGAACCGGCGTCGGTGGGCGATCAAACCACGCGAGGACGTAGCCCATAGCCCGCTGCGGCCCTGCGCCGGGTCGCAACCACGCCCCCCTGCACACGTCCCCGCCCCGCCCGCTGTCAGCCTCGTCGGGGGCGCCTCCCCGCGCCGTTCGTCACTGCCGCGCCGCCGCGCCCTCACAGCGCACATCACCTCCACTGAGCTGTAGCCCGCACGGAAACAGACGCCGCAGCGACATATTCCGTTCATTCCCAACGCTTCCCGCTCGGTGACCGCCTCGCACGCACTCGCGGGCACCGCACGAGTGCGCGAGCGCCAGCAGCTGCCTGGACGCCATGGCCGCGCCCGCCGCAGACACCGGGCCCCAGGCGAGCTTCTGGGCCAGCACCAGCTGGTTCACAGGTTGCACAGGTGCGCGCGGACGCGGCAACTGACGGGGCCGTGCTCCGCTGCCGGCCCCACATTCCCAGCCCCCGCCGCGCAGCCCCGGACGCCCCCCGCGGCCCCGTGCCCATCCCGCTGGTTCGAGTCGACGAAAGGGCGCTGACAGACGCGTCCGCGCTGCACGGAACCGTCAGTTCGCCCCGGCAGCGGCCCTCGTGCGCCCTCCACACAGCATCATGCCGCGTCCCCAGCGCCTCACCCGGCCCGTCCGCGCCCCACGCCCCTGCAGCGGGTCCCTCGATCGAGCCCTGCCGCGACCTGTCCACCGGCGACCACCCGGTCCCGGAGCCCACCGCTGCCCCCGGGCCTGACCCCGAACACGACGCATGGCTGGAGCAAGCCGTGCCCAAGGTCGGCGGCGCCGCGGCCCAGTCGCGCTTCGGCGGCACCTGCCACATCCCGATCTTCCACAAGGCGCCCGACGGCGGCGCGCCCGTCGCGTCCGAGTCGCGCAAGCGCGCGCACCGGGTCGAAGAGATCCCGCGCGGCGCCGCCAGCGCCCCGCAGCGCACCCAGGCGCCGCCGCGGGCCGGCGTGAACGCCATGACCGGGTCCGCGCTGCCGGCGCCGATGCCCGGCGTGCCCCGGCGGTGCGCGGAGGGCGCGGCGCCGGTCGCGGTGCGTCCCGGGAACGAGGCACGCTGGGAATTCGATTTTGCGGCGTGGGCGTGGGTCCGCGTCGAGCGCGGCGCCGAGGCGGACACCGCGCGCGCGGAGCTCGCGGCGCGCAAGTGGGGCGCGACCGAGTGCCGCGACGCGCTCCGCGCGTCCGTACGCGCCGCGGCGCCTGCTGCAGGACGTGCGGCGAGCCCCGACGCGGCGCGCGCGCCGCCGCGGAAGGTCCGGAAGGTGCCCAGCGAGCACGAGGTGTGGGGCAGCGGCGACGCGCAGTCTCCGAGGGTCGCGGGGCGCTCCGAACAGAAGCGCGAGCTCCGCGAGGCTGTGTTTCTGCCGCTGTTGCGCCCCGGCCTCGTCCGCGCGCTCGGCGTGGCGCCGCCGACGGGCGTGCTGCTCCACGGCCTGCCGGGCGCCGGGAAGACCGAGCTCGCGCGCGCCGCGGCCCACCAGGCGGGGGTGTTCCTGAAGGAGGTGCCGTGCGCGGAGATCGCCTCCCGCGGCGAGAAGGGGCTCGAGGCGCTGCACCGCGCGTTCCACGTCGCGGCCGCGAACGCCCCGTCGGTGCTCCTCCTCGACGACGTCGACGCGCTCGCTCCGTCTGACAAGGCGTCCCTGAGTCAGTCGCCCGACGCGGCGTCCCTCGCCACCGAGCTCTCCGTGCTGCTCTCGCGGCTGCGCAGCGGCGCGTTCGACGGCACGGCCGGCGCGGCCCGCGACGTCGCGCCGCGCGTCGCCGTCCTCGCGACCGCCACCGCGCCCGCCCGCGTCGCGGCCTCGCTGCGCCGCGCGGGACGGTTCGATCGCGAAATCGGGCTCGGGCAGCTGCCGCGCGGGGACCGCCGCGCCGTGCTCGACGCCATTCTCGCCCGCGCGCCGCTCGCGCCGTGCGTCGACCTCGACGCCGTCGCTGGGCTGACTCAGGGCTACCTTCCGTCGGACCTGGAGGGGTTGTGCGGGGAGGCGGCGCTGCGCGCGGTGTCCAAGGCGGCCGACGCGTACGAGGCCGCGGTCGACGCGGACGGGCCGCCGCCGCACGTGCGCCTGACCGCCGAGCACTTCGCTGCGGCGCTCCGCGTGGTGCGGGGCCCGGCGGCGCTGCGGGGTTGGGCGGTCGCGGAGCGGCCGGACGTGGACTGGGACGACATCGGCGGCCTCGAGGCCGTAAAGGCGGAGCTGTGCGAGATGGTCGAGCTCCCGCTGCGGCATCCGGAGAAGCTGGACCGCTACGGGGTGCGTGCGAGCCGCGGAGCGCTGTTGCACGGGCCGCCCGGTTGCGGCAAGACGATGCTCGCGAAGGCCGTCGCCGCGCAGTGCGGCGCGTCGTTCATCAGCATCCGCGGCCCGGAGCTCCTCGATCCGTTCCTGGGGGAGTCGGAGCGGGGCGTGCGCGAGCTGTTTGCCGCCGCGCGCAACTCAGCGCCCTGCGTGGTCTTCTTCGACGAGGTCGACGCGATCGGCGGCGCGCGGGGCGCGCAGGACTCGACCGTCAGCGACGGCATCGCGGCGCGCGTGCTCAACCAGATCCTCGTCGAGCTCGACGGCGTGGGCGACCGGAACGGCGTGTTTGTTCTTGCGGCCACGAATCGCCCCGACGCGCTCGACCCGGCGCTCGTGCGCCCCGGCCGGTTCGACTCGGTGGTCGAGATCCCGCTGCCGGACGCGGCGGGGCGGCTTGCGGTGCTCCGTGCGGCGTCGCGGAGGATGCCGCTCGCCACCGACGTCGACCTGCAGGCGCTCGCCGACGCGACGGACGGGGCGTCGGGCGCGACGATGGCCGAGGTGTGTCGCCGCGCAGGCATGGCGGCGCTGCGCGACTTCATGCGGGCCGGCACGGGCGACGTCGTCGCCGCGCAGCACTTTCAGTCTGCCATGGAGTCTTTCACTCCCCCCCCCGCCGACGCCCCCGCGGCCGACCCCGCGGCGCGGACGCCGTGCGGCTCCTGCGGGTGCACCTGCGCCTCGGAGCGCGACGCGCCGCCGCTCGACCCGTCCAGCGAGCCCCAGCTGGCTGCCGCTGAGAGGCAGCTCGGCTCGGGCGGCGCGGCTCTGATGCGCAAGCTGGTCCAGCAGGCCGTCGTCCGCACGACCGCCGCGGCCGAGCAGGGCGAGGCGGCGCAGCTCCGCCGCCAGGTCAGGGCGCAGGAGGCCTACGTGAGTCATCTGCAGGAGCTGTTGAAGCAGGCGGGCGTGGCGGTGCCGGACCCGGTGCAGGTCGGTGACCGCTGATGTGAGCGAGACCGATAGGGATTTGTTCGGGCCGCGCCTCAGTCCGCTCGGTTCGGCACGAGGATCGGAACGCGCGGAGCTCAAAACGCCCTCCACGATCCTCGTTGTTCGTGCGAGGATCGTGAGGGGCTTCGTAAGCTCCGGCCACACTGCGAGCTTCGGAGCTTCACACGACAACCTAGCATTCTCGGCGATCGACGGACCGCGGCGACGTGATGAGAGTCACCGACACCTGCCCACAACGGCACTCACAGCGGCTGCAGAGGCGCTCCCGCCGCGCGCGCCTAGATGCGCTGCACGTACGACGCGGCCTGCGACGCGTACCGCACCCACCGCGACGGCTTGTAGTTGCGGTCGTTGGTCATCACCTGCAGATACCGCACCGCGAGCCCCGACGCCGCCCACGTCGGGACGGTGAACTGCAGCGACACGGGCCCGACCTGCCGCCGCGTCGCCGCGCCCACCTCCGCCGCGAACGTAATCACGCACCGCAGCGACACCTCCGTGCCCGCGGCGACCTTCTTGGACGTCCACACGCACGCCTGCTCCTTCTCCAGCCACTCCCCGGGCATCCGCGAGCTCTGCTCGGGGAAGCTGACGCGCGTGGCGCCCGGCGGGACCGGGATCCGCACGGCCACGCCGCTCGCGAACTTGCCCTTGGGCAGCGTGCAGCGCACACGCAGCGCCACGTCCATGCGGTTGCCGCCCGAGATGTCCGCGGACGCGACCGCGCGGAACGGCGGCGGGAACTCCGCGGACGTCCTGTAGTTCATCACCGCGAACTGCACCGCGCGAGACAAGGAACCACTCCGTCCGTCGAGAACATCAAACACAACATGCGCAGCCGATCACTCCATGCGTGCGCGGCGGCAGCGCCGCTGTGTCTCGTCCCTCGACTGGACAGCCCCGGGGCGGGCTGCTCCGGGCGCGGCGGCCGCGTCCGGCGTCGCACGGCGCCCGGGCGGGCAGCGGCGCGCGCTTACCTCGCCCTCTGGCGGCGTCAGCACGATCGTGCGCTCCGTCTCGAAGGTGTCGAGCTGCGCGCGCGGGTGGAAGTTGCAGTCGTCGAGCACGACCGCCGTCGACGCGCCGTGGCCGTACCCGCCCGCTCCGGAGCCCCGCCCGACCACGAGGTTGGGCGACAGCGCAATGCGTATGGGAACCATGCTGGTCAGGAAGCTGCGGACCGTGACGGCGCCGGAGATCTCCCCGAGGACCATGAGGCCGTTGGGGTCGAACGTCGCGCTGATGCGCTCCACGACGTCCACGTAGATCTCTTCGCGCGACCCGTCAGTGCGACCCGTCGACAACACGGACTTGGCCGCGGCGACGGGGCCGCGGACGAAGCCGGCCGCGGCGCCCAGGGCGGACGCGGGCATGACGGCCTTGGGCTCGGTGAGGACGAGCGGGCGCAGCGCCTCTGCGGAGCGCGGGCGCGTGTGGAGGGGGGGCTGTGAGGGCGAGGGGGGGGGGTGTGGGTGGGTCGCGGGCTGGGGAGTGGTTCGCACCGGTGGTTGTGAGCTGCGGGAGGCCCATGTCGACCGCCTCGTCGACGATTTCGTAGCACAGGGAGAAGTTGAGGCGCAGGGCCTCCTCAGACAGCACCCCGCAGAAGTCCTTGAGGAGGACGGCGAGGCGGTGCAGGAGCTCGAGGACCTCCGTGGCGCTCACGTTGAACTTGGTGGTCGCCAGGAAGTGCAGGCCGGCCTGCGCGCGCGACGCTAGGCAGCGAGGGCGTGCTTAGTGCCGCGCGTGGTGCCGCAGCTGGGGCTGCATCGACCGGGGGCGCGCGCCCGCAGGTGGTGTCGCGGCAGGGGATCGAGGGCTGGCGGCGGGAGAGCTCACCGTGGTCAGGTGGATGAAGCTGGCGCCGTGGTGCTGGAAGACAGGAGGGGCCTGCTCGCCGTCTTGCCCCCAGAAGCGCACTTTGCGGAAGAAGGTCTCGTGGGCGTTCTTGGGGACGTTGTCGAGGTAGTCGCGCCGAATGATCGGGTCGCCGCGCAGGGACAGCACGAAGAGCTGGCTGATCATGGCCGGACCCTGTGAGCGCGCCCACGCGCGCGCTCCCTAACTAACGATCGACGAAACTCCAATTATCGAGCTATTGGTAGGCGGAGCTCGCCTAGTCGCGCTTCGCTCCGGCGCTGGGCCGCACGAGACGGAGGAGGAAGCTCACTATGTTGTGCAGGATGATAACCGCGGGGATGAAGCTCACGACAGCGATGAGGGCCAGGTAGAAGTCCGACAGGGGCATGGGGATCTCCAGCCCGACGATGGGAAGCTTCGCCATGACCGCCGTGACTGCAACCGGGCAAGGTCTCGCGCCAAAGTCCTCGTGAACAAACCGACCGCGCGCGTGCGACGTAGCAGCACGGGAACGCACGCTCTGTCCGGCCTGGCGGGCAGCCCTAGATGGCGAGTGCGCGGCCGCGTGCGACCCGCGCCCAACCAGGGAGCAGCCAGCAAGGGAGGGCTGTCGGACATCCTGCTGACTGCGAGAGCTGGTGCCTGGGGCGCTTCCTTGGATCATTGCGGCCGCGTCGGGCCCTGCGCGTCGCAGACAGTGCGAACGCAAGTGCCTCGCAGGCCCAAAACCGCCCGCACATCGGCGGAAAGAGACGAGCGCGGAGCCCAAAGGGCTGCAGGCTCTCCCGGACCAGAATGCGCCGATAGAGGGGAGGCCATGGCCGACTACGCGACGGGCCTGCACCGTGTCTTCTATGGCTCGGTGCAGGAGCCCGAGCCGCTCAAGGAGCTGCAGGAGCGCCGCTGGCAGGTGCGCAGTGAGCATCGCTCCCCACTATCAAGCGCCCTGGCTCCCCGGCGCCGTGCCAGCGCGTGATTCGCGCCCGCACCTGCCCTCCGCGACAGTCCCTCGCGCCGCGCGCCGCATCCTGCACGCGCGACCGGCGCGGTTCGTCGGCAGCCCGGCCCGCGCCCCCACCATCGCCGGCAACAAGTTCGGCCGCGCGCCGCCGCGCTCAGGCGCGCTCGCTCGCAGACGACGCGACTTTCCGACCCCGCGCTCGATGCCTCGCCGCGGGCGCCCGTGCGGTCGCGCGCGCGCCCCGCACAGGCCCCGCAAGCGCTCCGAAGCCGCTTGAGCTTGCGCTCCACCTCCCGGGCCCGCCGCGGCCCGCCGCGGCCGGTTCGGCCACGCGCGGCGGCGGCTCGCGCCAGGGAACGAGGCAGCGAGCAATGCGCGCCCACAGTTCTGCCCGCGGGCCGCGTCGCTGGCCCTGGGAGGCGCGCTGAGCACTCTTGAACGGAGGCGCGGGTTGCGCTCGCACGCGCGCAGGTGAAGCATCTTTCGATCGCGGCGGACTGGGACTCGGCGAACCTCGCGAGCGCGCGGCTCGGGCCGAACAACACGGTCGTCCTGGGCACCCTGCGCGACAACCACGGCACCGCGCAGGAGACAGGCAACCGCTCTTGGTTCTACTTCTCCGTCGAGGGCCACGCCGCCGCCGAGCACGTCACGTTCCACATCACCAACCTCAACAAACAAAAGTCCCTCTTCGTCACACACGTGCGCCCACACGCCGCCCGCCGTGCCCCACACCCCGCCGCGACGACCCTGCTGTTGCCCGCCCCCACGGCCCGGACCGCCGCGCGTCGCCGCAGGACCACCGGCCCGTCTTCCGCCTGAAGGGGTCGACGTCCTGGGAGCACCTGCGCTTCCGCGTGAAGTACCGGCGCAGCGACACTGGCGGCGAGATGACCTTCACGCACCGCTTCACGAGCGCGAAGAAGCACTACTTCGCCCTCTGCTTTCCGTTCTCCTACGACGACAACGCCACGCTGCTGCGGCGCACCACGGCCCTCCTGCGGGCGCACGGCGCCACCGTCACCGCGCCCCCCGCGGGGCGTCTCGCGCAGTCCCCCGCGCCCTCGCCCGCGCGCGCCTCGCCCGTCCCCGCCGCGCTCCGCAACAACACCGACCCGTCCAAGTCCGTCCCCGCCGAGGCGCTGCGCTCCCGCATGGACGCCATGTCAGACGCGAGCTCCTGCAGTGAGCAGGAGGACTCTGACAACGAGGGGGGGGGGTCGAGCAGCGGCGCGGGGACGCAGGAGGGGGAGTCGCGCACGGCGTCGTCGTCGCGGCGGGGCTCGATGGAGCGCCCGGCGACGAGCCCGCCGCTGCCGGCGGCGGGGAGCGACGGCGGCCACGTGCAGGGCTTGCAGGGTGTGGGGTGGCACGGCGGGGGCGTGGCGGCGCCGCCGCGCGCGGCCGCGGCGCGCGGGGCGGTCTCGCCCGGCGGGAGGCTGAGCAGCGAGGCGGCGGGGGTGTTCTTCCGGCGCGAGGCGCTGGCAGTCACTGAAACGGGAATGCGGGTGGAACTGCTCACGATAACTGAGGCCGGGGGCGGGCTCACGGACGTGGGCCCGGGCGTCGCGCTGCACCCGTCGGGCCCGAACATGCTGCCCGACCAGCGGCCCTCAGACGGCCACACCGGCCTGGGGGTGTGTCCGGAGTTCCCCGGGAGGGCTGTCGTCGTCGTCAGGTGCGCGCGCCCGCGGCACGTGCCCGCGGACGGCATGCCCGCGTGTACCGCAGCCTGCCGCTCATCCGCCCACTCCCTGTCGGTCCCCGACGTCGCGGAGCACGCCTCCCGCTGCGCGTACGTCCACCGTGTCGCTTTTCCCGGTCGGGCGCCGTGTCCGTCGCTCCGCTCGGGCACGCAGCGCCGCGATCTTCATGCTCCGGCCGCGTCCTGCGTGTTCGCAGCGCGAGGGTGCACCCGGGGGAGACGCCGGCGAGCATGATGATGAACGGCGTCATCGAGATGCTGCTGCGCCCGCACGACCCGCGCGCGGTCGCCCTCCGCCGCAGCTTCGTCTTCAAGCTCGTCCCGATCCTCAACCCCGAGGGCGTCCGCGCGGGGCACTTCCGCCACGACCTGCACGGCGTCAACCTCAACCGCGCCTACCGCAGCCCCGACCCGCACACGCAGCCGCAGATCCACGCCCTCAAGGCCCTCCTGCTGCACTACGCGCGGCAGGACCGCCTCGGGCTGTACCTCGACCTCCACGCCCACGCGAACAAGCGCGGCATCTTCGCCTACGGGAACTCGTTCGACGACGTGGAGCGGCAGGTCGAGGTGCTGACGTTCGCGAAGCTGTGCGCGCTGAACTGCCCGCTGTTCGACGTGAACGGGTGCAACTTCTCCGAGCGGAACATGCGCCTGACGGACAAGAACGGGGACTCGAAGGAGGGCTCCGGCCGCGTCAGTCTGTTCCGGGAGACGGGGCTGGTGCACATCTACACGGTCGAGGCGAACTACAGCACGACCGTGCAGCAGAACATCACGCCCGACGCCGTCGGGCGGCCCGGCGCGGTGTCGCCGCCGTGTCGCTCGTCGGCGCCCGAGCGCTTCACGGCGGGATCTCTGATGAGCGCCGGCCGCCACCTCGCCGTGTCCGTGCTGGACCTGCTCGGGGAGAACCCCGCGTCGAGGTGCGGCCGCGCAGCAGCGACACCGAGTGCTCCGTGCGACTCACAGACCCAGAAACAAGTCCCGGGCCGCACATCTGCCTGCTCGACTGGAGCTCGCGAGGCGAAGCGACCACGCACCCGCTTTTTCTGCGCCGATTCCGTGCAGGCTGCCATACTCGGAGTTCGGCGCGCTCTCGGAGCTCAAGGGCTGGCTCCGGAAGTGCCTCGCGATCGCGCAGAAGGAGAAGAATGGAAACATGTCGCTGGTGCTGCAGCCGCCGCTCCCGCCCTTCCCGCGCCGCCGCACGCGCCCCGTGCAGCGCGAGTCCTCCCGCGCAGGCGCCCCGCGGCGGCGCCCGGCCGTCGAGCGCGGCGCCAGCACAGGCTCGATGCGCCCGCACGTCGCGGCGGCGGACGCCGACTCCGCAGCCGTCCCGGCCCTGCCGCCGCCGGGAGGACGCGCCGGCGCCGCAGGGAGGCACGTGCCCACGCGCAGCGCGTCGGCGGTCGCGCCGCACACCGCGCACCCGCCCCGCCCTGGCCGCGGGGCTTCGTTCCAAGCCTCCGAGCGCGCAGCGCAGGCCGCGCACGCGCACGTGCGGGCAAGGGTCATGCGCGACCTCGACAGCGCGTCCGGCTACGCGAACGGGCGGCCGCACCGCGACCAGCCCAGCAAAGACCCCCCCCCCCCCGCCGCGAAGAACGCCGGCGGGCCGGCCCGGCGGCCGAGCGGCGTGGCCAACAGCGAGAGGCCGCCCGCGCAGATCGTGGGCCTGATGCCGCCGAGCGCGCAGTCGGCGCGGCGGATGGAGGTGCCGGTGCCAGCCGACGGATACCTGCCGGGCATTGGGGGGCCCGTGCGCAGTGCGAGCGCGCGGGACGGGGCGTGGCCGCCGTCGCGGATCCCGCGGCCGCCGCTGCGGCCCGCGCCGGCGGTGTGGGCGACGGACGGCGGGCCCGTTGGGTGGGGCGACCGCGCGCCTGCGGGCTCCTGGCGGATGCTGGAGCCCGGGTCGGCGGTGACCGGGCTGTTGCAGCCGGGGGAGGTGGCGCGGATGCCGAGCTTGCGGCAGGGGCGGTGACGAGCTGCGAGCGGCTGTGAGGTGATGGTGGTTGTCCTGCTTCCTGAGTCGTAAATTTATGGTTGTTGTGGTTGTCTTTGTGTTGCGAGACGTTGCCTTTTGGCGAAGAGGACTGTCATGCCGGCGCTGGAGAGCTCAAGGCGTGCGCGGGGCGGAGATCGTGTCGCTCAACGTAACAGAGATGCCAGGGACCGCATCTGCTCCTCAAACAGCCCCTGCAGCTGCGAGTCCGTGGCCGACAGCTCCCGCAGCTTCCCACAGCTCGACGCCGGCAGCCACCCCTCCGCCAGCTGCGAGCACCCGCTCACGTCGAGCTCCTCCAGCGACCCCATCCCCTCCGGCAACCTCGCCAGCGACGAGTCCCACGCAACCAGCTTCTTCACGCTCCCGCCGCTCGACGCCGGCAGCCACCCCTCCTCCGCCAGCTGCGAGCACCGTGTCACGTCGAGCTCCTGAAGCGACCCCATCCCCTCCGGTAGCCTCGCCAGCGAGGAGTCCTCAGCAACCAGCTTCTTCACGCCCGGCCGGTCGCCGGCACCCTCCGCCAGCTCGTGCCAATCGTGTCACGTAGAGCACCCGGAAGCGACCCCATCCCTCCGGTAGTCTTCGACAGCGAGGAGTCATCAGCAACCAGCCTCTTCACGCTCCCGCCGCTCGACCGGCAGCCACCCCCTCCTCCGCCAGCCGCTCCACGCAATCGCTTCACGTCGAGCTCCCTGAAGCGATCTCATCCCTCCGGTAGCTCGCCAGTGAGGAGTCATCAGCATCCAGCCTCTTCACGCTCCCGCCGCTCGACGCCGGCAGCCACCCCTCCGCCGCCAGCTGCAAGCACTCGCCCACGTCGAGCTCCTCCAGCGACCCCATCCCCTCCGGCAGCCTTACCAGCGACGATTCCCGAGCAACCAGCGTCCTCACGCTCCCGCCGCTCGACGCCGGTAGCCACCCCTCCCCCGCCAGCTGCGAGCAGCACATCACGTTGAGCTCCTCGAGCGACACCATCCCCTCCGGTAGCCCTTTTCAAAGGAGGGACTGCAGCCGCAACCAGCTTTCACGTCCGCCGTCGACGCTGCAGCCAAATTCTCCGCCAGCTGCGAGCACCCGCTCGTCGAGCCCTCCACGAATTCCATCCCCCCCGGCACCCTCGCCAGCGACGAGCCATGAGCATCCAGCTTCTTCACGCTCCCGCCGCTCGACGCCGGCAGCCACCCCTCCGCCAGCTGCTCGCAATACCCCACGTTCAGCTCCTCCAGCGACCCCATCCCCTCCGGCAGCTCGCCAGCGACGGTCCGACGCGACACAGCCACGCTCCTGCTGCTCGACGCCGGCAGCCAATTCTCCTCCGCCAGCTCAGCACCGTGTCACGTTGAGCACCCGAAAGCGACCCCATCCCCTCCGGTAGCTCGACAGCGAGGAGTCGAGTCAGCAACCAGCCTCTTTCACGCCCCGCCGATGCCGGCAGCCACCCTCCTCCGCCAGCTCCATGCACTGCTCACGTTCAGCACCCAGCGCATCTCCCCATCCCTCCGGTAGCCTCTTCTCAGCGAGGAGTCATCAGCAACCAGCGCTTCTTCACGCCCCGGGCCGCTTGATTTCGCAGCCACCCCTCTCCGCCAGGTGCACCAACGCACATCCAGCCACCCAGCGACCCCATCCCTCCGGTAGCCTTCGCCAGCGAGGGAGTTGAGAGCAACCAGCGTCCTTTACTGCCTCGCCGCTCGACGCCGGCAGCCACCCCTCCTCCGCCAGCTGCTTGCACCGACCCACGTTGACCACCTCCAGCGACCCCATCCCCTCCGGCACCCTCGCCAGCGACGAGCCCGCAGCAAACAGCTTCTTCACGCTGCCGCCGCTCGACGCCGGCAGCCACCCCTCCTCGTCCAGCGCCTCGCATCCGCTCACGTTGAGCAGCTCCAGCGACCCCATCCCCTCCGGCAGCCTCGCCAACGAGGAGTCCCGAGCATGCAGCTTCTTCACGCTCCCGCCGCTCGACACCGGCAGCCACCCCTCCGTCAGCTGCGAGCACCCGCTCACGTCGAGCTCCTCCAGCCACCCCATCCTCCACCCTCCTCGCCAGCGACGAGAGGCAGCATCCAGTTTTTCACGCTCCTGCCGCTCGATCGCCGGCAGCTACCCTCCGCCAGCCCCAGCACCTGCGCACGCAGCCCCTCCGCGAAGACCCCTTACATCCTCCGGCAGCCTCGCCAGCCAGGATTGGTCAGCAACCAGCTTCTTCACGCTCCCGCAGCTCGACGCCGGCAGCCACCCCTCCTCCGCCAGCTCAAAGCACCGTGTCACGTTGAGCACCTGAAGCGACCCCATCCCCTCCGGTAGCCTCGACAGCGAGGAGTCATCAGCAACCAGCCTCTTCACGCTCCCGCCGCTCGAAGCCGGCAGCCACCCCTCCTCCGCCAGCTCCATGCACCTGCTCACGTTCAGCACCTCCAGCGACCCCATCCCTCCGGCAGCCTGCAAGGGTATTTAGTGTATGTAGCATCCATTTCTTCACGCCCCGCCGCTCGACGCCGGCAGCCACCCCTGCGCCAGCTCCTTGCATTCACGCACGTAGAGCATCTCCAGCGACGCCATCCCCTCCGGCACCCTCGCCAGCGACGAGCCATGGGCATCCAGCTTCTTCACGCTCCCGCAGCTCGACGCCGGCAGCCACCCCTCCTCCAGCCCCACGCAATTATCACGTAGAGCACCTCCAGCGACCCCATCCCCTCCGGCAGCCTCGCCAGACCTTGCTCGCGCACCGCCAGCTCCTTCAACCGCGCCGCGACGCTTGCAGGCAGCCAGTCCCCCCCCCACTCCTGACCGATGTCGAAATGATGCCGCGACGCCCTGACGACCTCCAGCCCCGTCATCTCCTCCGTGATCACCAGCCGACCCGCGTTCGCCACAGGCCCCTCTCCCTGGTCCGACCCCCTGGCCTCCAGCCCGACAATCGCCGCCACACTGTCAGGGTCCGCACCCGCGCGCCGGTACACCCACCACCGCCCGTCGTCGCTCGTCCGCCCCACCACCGATCTCGCCCCCGCGTACACGCGCCCCTCCACCTTCCCCGCCACCGCCCTGCCCACCTCCCTTGTGCGTGCACGTGCCGTCCATCGAGCCCCCCCGCAGCTCTCCAGCACGCTCGCCATCGCGCCCGACGACGCAGCCGCGAGGGCGACGCGCGACTCCCCGGGCAGCAGGCGGACGATGTCTCCCAGCGGACCGCCGCCCGGCCCGAACGACAGGTCCATCAGAGTGGGTGCGTCATCGTCACCGGCGCGTGGGCGCAGCGAGGGCCCCGACCCGCCCACGCAGCTGCCGCTTCGCAGATCCATCGAGTGTGAGTGTCGTGCCCGTGATGCCGCGCCGCCGCCGGGGGTCGTAGATGGGTCCTGCGGGTGCCAGCGAGAGAGATTCCAGCAGGTGAGGTAGCGGGAGCTGTGAGAGCCGTCCGGCGCGCGCATGCAGCCGGGCTCGGCATGACGCATAGTGCCTGTCATACGACATCGTGACAATCCATCAAGGGTCTCCCGCAACGCAGCCTCACGGCCGAGCTCCCTCCAGCGCCAGAGACGACGACGCACGCGGTACGCAGCGTGTTGGGCGCTCCATGCGACTCGCACGGCAGCCCGCGAGACAGCGCACACCTTCACCACGCCCGTGCGATCAGCACCAGCCACCGCCAGCGCGTTCCGCGAGCGCCGCCCCGCGTCTCACCTGCTACAAGCAGTTGCGCGGCCTGCTGTCGTCACGCCGTGGCCGATGTGCGGCCGATCGCGAGCCAGTCACACTGACCATGTGCGAGGCGGGCGCGGTCGCATGCTGCCCGCCCGGGACGGTTTGGGGAGTGCGCACACCTCCATGAGGGGACAACGGGTACAACTCGGCCGCTGACAGACCACGGCCATTGAAGATGCACCGCGAGGCACATGGTGGGCGCCTCCCGCCGGCCTGAGCTCCAGGGCCGTCATCCCACGCGGGGCGAGTCGCACTTCTACACGCGCAGATGTGCGCCGCACGCGCTCGCAGCGTTACACGGACACGGCTGCACTGTTTTGCGAGGTGCGACTCCATGAGTGCGACATCCAGCAGGGCACGGTGCCGACACCGACTCCAGGGCCATCGCGGCGTCAACGCGCACCGTCGGCGGCGTGCGAGCTAGGTGCAACGACGACTGTCTTGCAGCCTGTTGTGGCCTCACGACGTCGCCGCTGAGGGCTGTACGAGGCGGGCGCCGGGAAAGACCCATCGTATCGTCCTCCCGGGAGTCGACATTCGCACGTGCGCTCACACTGATCGCTCAGCGTAATAGAGATGCCAGGGACCGCATCTGCTCCTCCGGCAGCATCTGCAGCTGCGAGTCCGTGGCGTGCAGCTCCTGCAGCCTCCCGCAGCTCGACGCCGGCAGCCACCCCGCAGCCAGTCGCCCGCAGCCACGCACATTCAGCACCTCCAGCGACCCCATCCCCTCCGGTAGCCTCTTCAGCGAGGACTCCGCAGCATACAGCTGCTTCACGCTCCCGCCGCTCGACGCCGGCAGCCAGCCCTCCCCCGCCAGCTGCTTGCACCGTGTCACGCTGAGCTCCTCCAGCGACCCCATCCCCTCCGGTAGCCTCGCCAGCGAGGAGTCATCAGCAAGCAGCTTCTTCCGCGGCTCCGCTAACTCGACGCCGACATGTCCTCCTGCGCCAGCTGCGTACCACCCTCACGTCGAGCTCTCCAGCGACCCGCATCCCCTCCGGTAACTCGCTGGCGACGTTGCCAGGCAACCTAACCAGCTTCCTCAGCTCCCGCCCGGCTCGGCGACTAGCCCCTCCCCGCCAGCTGCCTGCGTGTCGTCGGCTCTCCGCGACCCCATCCCCTCCGGCAACCTCGACTGACGACCCGCAACGCTCGCTTCTTACGCTCCGCCCGTCGTGTGGCGTACCCCTCCGCCGCCAGCTGCGAGCAGCAAAACACCTTCAGCACCTCCAGCGACCCCATCCCCTCCGGCAGCCTCGCCAGAC